GAAGGCACCCACAGCTACCGCATCTGGGATACCACCACCAACTCCATCGTTGTCTCCCGTGACGTACGTTTCTCGGCGCTCCCACCCACTCCACTCGACTATGTGCCCGATGTTGACCCTCCCGCACAGGCTGGGGCACCTTCCGCTATTATCACGTCTGAGGACGTCCCCTCGGCTCCCAGTGCGCCGCCCTCTCCCTTATTGGCTGCCCCACCACCCCACCCAGCGTCTCCTGCCCCCTCCGTCGCCGCCGTTGATATTCCGGCCGATGCTCCGCCCGACCCCGGGTCTCCTACCGTAGATCATCCGGGATGGGCCCTCGAACCCTACGATCGATCCGGCGCCCCATCCCCCGACCCGCCCGATGAGCATCTGTCCGCGCCGGGCACCCCGCGCCGCCTGCGCTCAGGCTTCAGCTACATTGCGGAGCAGGACGAAGGCCTCATCTACGCTCTGGCGACGCAGGTCCTTCGCGAACCCCAATCCTACCGAGAGGCCCTCAACGCGGCGGATCGCGAGCAATGGATTGCGGCAATGAAGGATGAACTGGAGAAGCTTGAGAAGTATAAGGTGTGGGATGTGGTGCCGAAGGAGAAGAAGATGCAGGTACTTGGTGCTCGCTGGGTGTACAGTCGGAAGCTGGACGGAGAAACGGGCAAACCGGCGGCCTACAAGGCCCGCTGGGTCGCCAAGGGCTACAGCCAACGGGAGGGGATCGACTACGGCGAGCTGTTTGCCGCTGTTGCCCACAAAGACTCCATTCGCCTTTTCCTCGCTTGGGTCAATTACCATGATCTCGAATGCGACCAAGTCGACATAAAATCGGCTTTTCTCAACGGCGAACTGTCCGAAACCATCTACCTCTCCCCTCCTGAATACAGCGATGTCCCCAGCACCCATGTTCTTCGCCTTCGGAAGTCCCTCTATGGCCTCCGGCAGGCCCCGCGGTGTTTCAACAAGGTCTTCAATAAATGGCTTCAGAGCCAAGGCCTCGTCCCCTCCCGCGCGGACCCTTGCCTGTATATCAGGCGCAGCGGTTCCGAGTTTCTCATGCTCTCGGTCCACGTCGACGATCAAATGATAGCGTGCAATAGTCGGCCTGCCCTCGACACCTTCAAGCGCGCTCTACATGCCGCTTTCCCATGCTCCGACTCTGGCCCGGTGAACTACTTCTTGGGCTTCAACGTTTACCGCGACCGCCCTGCTCGCAAACTCTACATGTCCCAAGAGCACTACCTCGAAAACCTCCTCGAGCTCCACAACATGGCTAGCTGCAACGCTGCCAAAACTCCTCTCCCTCACAAATTCCAACTACTCCCTGCAACCAACAGTGAATTCGACGCAGCTCGCCACCTCCCATATCCACAGGTTGTTGGAGCTGTCCTCTATGCCTCCACCATTTCTCGTCCCGACCTTGCGCATGCCGCGAGTGTCCTCTCCCGTTCCCTCAGCAAGTGGAGCACTGCCCACTGGCTCGCTGCCAAGCATGTTCTCAGATATATCCGCGGCACTACCGACCTCTGTCTTTCCTACACGCATGATGCCGGTCGGCGCCTAGCTTTGGGATATGCCGATGCCGACTGGGGGGGGGATGTGGATACCCGACGCTCTACGACAGGGTATGTCTTCAAGGTTCACGGAGGAATAGTGGCATGGCGAAGTCGACGCCAGTCAACAGTGGCGCTATCCACCATGGAGGCAGAGACTATGGCCTCGACAGATGCTGCCCGCCAAGCCCTCTGGCTTCGCACCCTCCTTGAAGACCTCCAAGCCGGCACTCTCAATACTCCCTTTCCACTGCTTAACGACAACGCAGGCGCCATTGCGGTCGCTCATAACCCTAGTCAACTGCATGAGAAAACAAAGCATTGGGGTATACGCCTGGGTTTCTTGAGAGAGAAAGTCGGAGACGGTAGTTTGGATCTTGCGCATATCCCATCGGCACAGAACCTCGCCGACCCCCTTACCAAGTCGCTGCCGGGGGAGGTATTTGGGAAGCTAGTGAAGAACCTTGGCCTAGTAAGGAAAGGAGGAGAACGGCGTAATTCAGAGGAAGAATATGAGGGCCAAAAGGAGTAGGACAACTTGGGAGATGCGAGCGAGGGGGAGTGTTGAGATAGGGTCCCTTGCCATGTCAGGGTCCAGTAACGTTACCTTCATCCTTTCTTTTTAATCTATACCTCGCTAAGATACTCGCTACTTGTACCTTTTTCTTTCGCTCTGTCTCCCATATATACCCACATAGTTGATCCCTAGTTCCCCACCATTCTGGTCTTCTGTGTGTATAGAGATACACGTTGACTGATACTGGGAACTAGGTATGTACCACCATTCTGGTCTTCTGTGTGTATAGAGATACATGTTGACTGATACCGGGAACTAGGACGTCAACACCATCTTCATCGTCAATCAGATAGCGCGGATCGTAGCGAGTGGGCACAGCACGCCGGTCATGCTGATCATAATCGCATGGCAAGAAATCTTTGGTTGAACCAACGACAATATTGTTGACGCTGATATCTCGATGTAGCCACCCGCTTCGAAGAAGGTTGCGGTACCCTATGAAGCACGGTTTTAGCCACATTCATGATACTCCGGAGCATCCCCCGCGCTGTACCCACCATGCAATGCACCCAGTATAGCTTTCACAAGACCCAACATACTGTGCTTCTCGTATATGTCGAACAATGTGAGCCCTAATGTTACGGTTTCCTGGAGGGTCTCGACACGACGGGTGACCGGTTTTGGCTGTACAGAGGACGCTTGTCGGGGGGGAAGACTGTCAAGAATGACATGTTTGCTAAGTTTAAGATTGCCGGTGACTTTCTGCAACTGCAGAAGTGTCAGCAAGACACAGGTGCTAAAACATGAATCGATAACTTACAAGATCATTCCCGCTCGTCAATTCGTCTGAGTCTCTGAGACCAATGCGGTAAAATTTCTCGCCACTCTCTCCCACCCCACAGCTTACAGCCCTAGTTGGGCGACCCTGACGACGAGAGGCAAATCGAGCAATGCCAAGCATGGACTGGTTATGGTCGAGCACTTTCTCCAGAAATTGGTACACTTGTCTTTCAGGATCGTTGTGTCGAGTGATGGGAATGTAGATGTCGGTTTGCACTTTGTGCTCAGTCTTTGTGGAAGATTGGACAATAACAGTCATGGGTGGAGCGTCAAACGGCTGGATATTTCCGTGATTGAATAGAGGCGATGACACAGCCACGCCCGAGCCTTGTTTTGAAGCAGCTTGCTGACCACAACGATCAGTTCCTGATTAGAAAGTGCCCTTAGAGATACTTGATTGGTTTGGCTCATGCGTTGCCTCCACCCTCCGTTCCGCAGACATTGAGCTTTGCCCAGACTTCCCACGTTTGGTAGGTTGGGTGATTGTATCTTCCTCCTTCTTTCGCTTCTTCAATGGGGCTGGCCGGGCAAATTGATACTCTGTAATTTTCCGAGATTCAGCGGAATGAAGGGCATCGACGCGGGTAGTTCGAGACCAGAAGCTGTTCCGGTTACACAGGCGTTTCTCGACGCATCTCCACACTCCCTGAGGGTAGGACCACTTTTCAGGCACCATGTTTCCGGCTTCATTGGAGTAGAAGCGCATGCGCCGGTTGCAGCCAGCATCGTCGATAGGAGAACAGTACATCCCTGCAAGGAGACGCCAAAAGCGGGTATACTCGTAGTCATCCTTGAGATTGTGGATGTGTGTGAGGTGGATGCTTGCCATATCCATTTCCCCGATGGCCGCTTGCACTTTGGTACCATTGAGCGATATGACAACGAAGCGTACACCACATCGATTAGGGTGGGAGCCAAAAGTAGCTCGACCATAGGTGGAGGCTTGAAGTACAGCCTCGTAGATACTCTGATCCTTTATGACCTCGCCAAAAGTGATCAGGTGCGCTGCCTGCACGCGGTTTGATTTTTTGGAGGATTTGGGGTGAAGGACCAGTGCTTGTGTGCCGTCATCGAAGACTGATAGGTCATTGAGTTTGCACCCGACCAGGTCTGGTTTGAGCTCCTTGTCGCTGTCCTTGTCAGACATGAGGTGCTTGTCGTAAGCGATCCTTCGGAATTGCTCCGTGTATAATGAATCGAGCGCGCAATATTCGACACTCTTGCCAAACTTGGTATGGGCCTCTCGGGCTACACTCAAGACCGAGTTCATGAACTTGGCAGCCTGCTGATAGTGGGCAGCACCTTCGGTCCCCGTCGGCCATTCAGGAGGGGTGGGATCTTTGCAATTCGGTGGCATATACGCCGACAAATCGCGTTCGAGGATGGCCGAGTCGGGATCGAGGGGGAGGTCGTGCTCAGTCGCCTTCTTGAATTGGGCTTGAGAGGAATCTTGTGGTAGCCCCATGGACCTGTAAAATGTTTTGGGGTCGGCTGCAGATGGTCGTGCGGACGCCTTGAAAGTGGTAGAAGGGGAGGCGCCGGGAGAGTCCTGGCCGGACGGTCGAGAGGGTGACTTCGGGTGCATGGTGCGGGACCTCTATGAGTACTGGCGAGGCGCCGATCAGGAAGTAGATGTGCTGATGAATGGGCGGGTCAATGAAGAGCTCGGCAGCGCAGTTCCAAAAAAGAGGGCTGCATTTACGTAACGCACTCTTGCGGCCAATGAAATTTGTGGCAATTCAGCGGGGGGTGCCGCCGCCGATTCATCCATGCTTGCAATCATCCATCCATCTCTCATCCACATCTCATCCATCTCATCCATCCATCACCCAACATGGCCTTCCCTGCATTCCGCACCACCTTCGCATCCACCTCCAGGGTCACCCTCCACCACCTGCCCCCCCTCACCCACTTTGCCCGCTCCGGCTCCTCCTTAGCTCACCACGTCACATCCCCTTCCCCCCAGTCCTACTCCCCCACCTCATCCCCTGCCTACCATGGCTCAGTCGGCCAGCAAGGCCAACTGCAACATTCGGGTATGATGTCGGGCGGCAACGGCAAGGGCGGCGTCAAGGAGATGCATGTCGCTCCTACGCCCACTCCACCAGCGGCACCTGCCCCCAAGGTGCAGCCCAAGGCCAGCGAGAGGCCCCCCAGGAGAACAGGTAACCTGAGAGGCAAGAAGGCGCCGATAACAATGGTACATTGATGCCTCTGATGACGGACGGACTGGTGCTGACAATCACTCAGACCCCTGCTGCCATCGAACACTTGAGGGCCCTCGTATCATCCCCCACAGAGCCCCGGTTGTTGCGCATCGGTGTCAAGACTCGTGGATGTGCCGGTATGGCCTACCACCTCGACTATGTGCCCCCTCCCGGAGGCAAGTTTGACGAGGTTGTCGAGCAGGATGGCGTTAGGGTTTTGATCGACAGCAAGGCGTTGTTCAGCATTATTGGGAGTAGGATGGACTGGAGGGACACTCGGTTGAGCGCTGGATTCGTCTTTGACAAGTGAGTAATACTCTGGATGGTGCTGTGGAGAGGATGCTGACGTCTCTACCCTTCAGCCCCAACGTCGTTGACACGTGTGGATGCGGAGAGTCTTGTATGTGTCTCCCTGTCTACATCTTTTGTATCCGCTGACACTGCTACAGTCAACATCCGATTCTAGATATATGACACTTTCTGGTACCCTCTTCACGATCATATCACTGTAGACGATCCATCTGCGACTGGATCCTTGCCATTATCGACAACTTGTATTACCATTTCCCGATCTTTGCCAAAATCATGCATCGGTTGTTTACCGACAACGGGCGCTGCTTGGATACAGAGGAGGCTACAAGGGTGGATGCTTATCTGGTGGGGAGCATACAATGGGGCTATGGATAGGAGCATCCCGCTTCCAGCAATCAATGTTGGAAATTGAGGAATGAGTCGTGTACGAACCCCAAACGTGTGGGCAGCGCGCTGATTGGCTCGGCGTGGTTCGTGCGGGTAAAGCTCTTTACCGAGTTTCGTACCGGGTCGCGCCGGGGTGGTGACCGCATCGCTTCTTGCTTGACAAAACAGACTAGGGCTTAGAGTATTAGAGTCTCGCCTCTGCGCAAATAACCGGGGGAATATTCCGACTAATTCTAGCATGGATTGGGGCGTATTCGCAGTGCGACTGAATAGGTTGTGGCGAATGCTTCGTCTTCTATCGACTGGGGCTCCTGCTGTTAGGCCTCAGCCTGGCAGGTGATGTTCGTCATTCAAGACGCCAAGCAAGCTGGCTCCACACATCACGCTTACGAACCAAAAACAGCCAATGGCAGCCGTCAAACACATTCATCAATTCTACTGAAGAGATCATCAAATCGATGCGTACACCTAAACAAAAACGTATCCAAAGTGTCTAAAGCATGCCGCTCACCACCCATCCCCCGGGTGGCTCCTATCACTACTAGCCGAACTAATCATCCTCGGCGTCTCATCCCCCTGCCTACTACTACTCGCCGTCCCATGCAAGCTCGACAACGGCAACACCGACTCGTCCTGGATACTCTTCTTCAAATAGACCTCATCCCCTTCAAGAGGGGTGGTAGAGAAGGAGAGCCCGCGGTTGAAGTGTTTGGAGAAGCAGTCTTTGGCGAGGTCGTAGTCGATGTGGGAGGAGAGCTTTTTGCGGGGCTGGACTGTGAGACTGTGGCGCTACGAGGGAGGTTAGAGGAGGTTTGACCGAGGTGAGGGAAGGGTGCTTACAGCATCGACGTTGCTGTCCAATACAGCCGGACTGTGCGCGCCCTCGCTGATACTCAATCGGATGGAAAAGTCCTTCTGCCCTGTGCCGGTAGACTTTTCCCACAGTTCGATAGTGCAGTGGGAACAATAGTCGAGCTCGGGGATACGGACGTTGGTGAAGGGAAGCCCGGAAGCGAGGAGGAGGTGGACGAAAGTCGTGATATGAGATTCCTTACTGTGAGATGCATGTATCAGCAAATTGTGACCTTGAAGCAGAGAATGTACGCACGTAAAGTAGAAGCAAGCCAAAGATTTGCCAGTGCTCTTTGCTTCTTCCAAGTCTTCCCACACCTTTCTCAGTAACGGCAGACTTGTGAGGACGCCAATCTCCTCTTTGGCCTCGGCGTCGAAGCCGTATTCTTGGGGGGCAACAAGGTCGAAGAGAGCTTTGGCACGACCAAAGAGATCATGCAGGCCTAGTTCAAACCGTGTTTAGCTGATACCTAAGTTATGGAGACACTGTGCAACTCACGTCGGTCTTGGTTGGGAGCACCGGCCTTGCTGGTCTGTCCCTTACCCTCGGGGTCAAAAACGGCAAAGAGGAAGGTCCTGTTGTGCAGACTATCATACTTGATCTACTCTTTTGTCAGCCATACTCTCACATGTCATGAAGCACGCTTACACTGTCATACAGCTCGGAGACTCTCGAAGGATCAAACTTTTCCTGCTTGACGCCTACCCAGTCATCAAAGATCTTCTCCCAACGCTCCTTGAACAACCATGGGCTATCGCCACTGCACCATCGCTGTTGGGGGATCTTTTCCACGTTGCCGTTTTCGTAATTACGACGCATGATACCACGGAGTTCAGTGAGTTGTTCAATGACATCCTTTGACACTCGTTAGCACACCCGAAAAAGAAGGGAGCGATTCACGTACAGAGACGACTTCAACAGGCTCCTTCTTGAAACTCTTTGGCCACGCCAAATCCGTCCTTCTCTCCGTTTCGCCCGTCCTCAGCAGCATCTTGAGCTTCTTCTTTGCGTCACTCGTCAGCGTCTTGGCCGCATTGTTGTCATCCAAGAGGTCACGTCGCTGGATAAGGTGACTGATCTGAGGACCCGCAGGGCCAGCGTCAGGCGGAAGGCGGGAGGCGGCGATGGAAGACTGGCCGTTGCCGGAGGAGACTTGTTGGGAGGTGGAAGAGGATCCTTCGGCACCGAGAAGGGCGTGGGCGAAGATTTGGGCAGTGTTCTGTATCATGTCAGTGCCGTCCATGCTAGCTCGAGAGATGTGGCTTACGATGACTCGACGTTCGGAAGAGGTATAGATCTTGACGTTGTTGAGCACGTCCTTGTCTGTACCGTCGTCAGCAAGTTACCCGGAACCAAGAGTACTACTCACTCATGATCATGATATCCTTCTTGAACGCATCACCCAGGTCCCTACTCTGATACCTAGAAGAGTGTGTGCTCTCACCACCCCACTTGACAACCAACTGCATCTTCTCCAGCCCTTCCGGGATGTCTGGTTCATCCTCGGCGTGTTGGCAGTTGACATGCCTACCACCAGCAGGAGCCTCGTCGAGAGCAGCAGTGATCTGAGGACTGTGAGGGACTCCAGAGCGGGGACCGACATCGACAGCGGCATTGTCGGGGGTGGACGGTTGAGGGGCGACACCATCTGCAGTGGCTCGTTCACCTCGGGCGAGCCATTCGTTCACTCTCCTCCTCCCCTCTTCAGACTCGTCCTCTTCATCACCCTCGTCCTCCTTCTCTTTCCTGTCCTTCTTGTCCTTCTTTCCTTCTTTCTCGCCCTTCTCGCCCTTCTTCTTGGCGAAACTAGGCTTGAGCTGCGCTTTCGTCCCCGCAAAATTCATCTTTCGTCCCAACGCTTCCTTGATCTGCGACAGCTTTTGCAGCTGCTCTTCAGTAATACCTTCCATCTTGGCAGACTCTTCCGCCGCCGAAAGAATAAACTGCAACTGCCTCGTATCACGAAGAATAATCTCTTCACGATGACCGCGGAGCAGTCGAAGGAAAGGCTTAGACCAAGCTTGGTCGGCTGGGAATGAGAATTTGAGCTTCATCTTGGGCGTGCGGTCCGCATGACGCAACACAGTGATGGTGGCACGGAGGGTACTGGTCGTGGAGCCTCCGGCACTTTCGTTGTTGTTGTTATCGGCGGGTAAGCCGGCTTGGATGCCTCGAATTTTGCGGTCGCGCGCAAGTTGACAGACGCCAGAGAGGATTTCGGCGGCTTTGTCGTAGTATGCCTAGTCCCTATAAGCACATTCACTTTCGAGATCTGGTGCGCTTACCTGGTTGCCCTTGACGAAACTCCATCCGTTGACATCAATGACCATACTCCTCGAACCACACCTCAACAGATCAAAGCCGCAGACTCGCTGACCGAATGCTTCAACAACGTCCTTGGCGCATTGGTTCTCAGCCTCAGAGAGAGGAGTGATGAATCGTGTCTCTTTGCCATCGGCGTTTCGCCTGACAAGGCCGTCTACTACAGGAGATTTACGGGTCTCGGCGTGGGAAAAGTTGGAGCCGATCGTGTAGACCTTGATATCTTCGGCTGTACGTCGTGTCAGTATGGTCTCTTCAAGCTTGAACAGACATACCATTGTCAACGTTGATGAACTCTTCGTAGATGAAGGATCCGATGGTACGGGGGTGATAAATATTAGGGTCATGTTCACTCGACTTGTTTCCGACTTTCCGGAACAGTCGTCGACCACCTCCGCCACGATAGTAGATGTACACGTTGTGGTCCTCACCATCGACGGGTTTCTCCACAAAAGGCTTTTCGATGACATGTCCACCAACAATGATGGCATCCCCGTCTTCGCGAAGGATGATCTCGGTATCTTTGGGAATGGCGTCCTTCCTCTGTTTGCCCTTCCACCGGTCCGGGATGACGACCTTGTCCCATTCGTCTTCGTCTTTTGATTTAGGCCCAGGAAGCACCAGACCCAGCTCTTTTCTGACCTTGCGTCTCAACGGCCTGGGTATACGGGGCCCACCATCTCGCGAGATTTCCGCGCGGTTTGGCGTAGGCACGCCGATATGGTCCAGGATAGCTAGCACGAGCCGGCGGTCCCAGAGGAGCGACTGCATGGACAGCGAGTTGATGGAGATGGGCGGAGGCCGGTTCGGAATTTGAGTGTAGGAAATTGCCTTGGGGAGGGGAAAGTCGGTAGAGAAGAAGGAGACCAGTACGTCCACAGGAGGCCAATGGGAGATGTCTGCAGCGTTATGAGCTCATGCCGGCAACTTTGATGCGCACCTTCTTCGAGGATGACAACGTCGCCAAAGATCTTCACTTCCAGACCGCCCTTCTCAATATCTACAAGGCGAGTGAGGATTTCCCGCATGGCCTTGCTCCGGGCCTTGACGTCCATGGCACATACTCCGAGCACGACCTTGGGCGACTTGGGAGTCAAGGTGGGGCTGTTGAGGCTCATGAGGGTGTTTGGGGAGGCGGGGCGCTTCTCGGCTGTGTTGACCCCTGGGAAGGACTTCTTGGAGGGGGAGCGTGGGGGCAGCATGGACATTGTGGGATACTGGTGCCATCGCATAGAGAGAGCAGAAAGTGGTCATCGGTGCCTGCCTCCACTTCAGCGACGTGATGAACTTTGTTTGGCTTCACTCTCCTTTTGGTTCCATTGTATATCGCACGACCAGTATGTCCTTGGGTATAGACACCACCGCCATATACAGCGACGAGGGGGCACTGCAGCAGGCCAGCACCTCGGAGACAGCAGCACGGAACATTGCGCAGGATCTCCACCGTCGGTACGTCCATCGCTCCTTGGAAACCGTTGCTGACCCACTATGCAGGACGGATATCCTTCCTATAGATGCTGCCCCTGGCCTCTTTAATGGTATAGGAAGGACATGGGAGCTGCTGGCAGCGTCATTTGACCCTAGTGAGCAAGCCGACAAGTCTTCGTTTGCCTCGGAGGACTCGCGTCTGGAACTCGCTTTGGCGCTCGCAAAGCTGGAACGAAACTTGGTTGCTGGTCTTCTGGAGTTTCAGAGAGAAGCACTGTGAGAGAGACACTGCCATACTGGGGAACAATGCTAACCCATCGCAGCAAGCATGAAGCCGCGATTCGACGTTTCATCTTCAATATCACTACTTTTGTTCGCATAGAAGATCCCAAATGTGAGCCGCCATTGCACCATCTCGCAAGTCCTAGTATCTAACACGCAGGCAGTCTTCACAATACAATCCATATCAGCGCAACTTCTGTCCAACCTCGTCTCTCCGTCGGACGATAGCGCTGAAGCTGCTGAGACGGCCGACAGGATCTTGCGGTTGTACACTTCTGGCGGCAGAGAAGAGGACGTCGTCGTGTAGGTTCCAAAGCTTCTCAGCCAGGATCTCATAGCTCATGATGTCCTTCTAGCCGCCTCCTTGATTCAAAAGAACAAAAGACGAACCACGCTACCCTACATATGCTCAACAACCTCACCCGCAACAGCTCTTCACGATTGTGAGTAGGGCCGTCACTCTTTCTGATCAGTCAATAATTCTGGGCAGGACCCTTCTCCTATCGACCTCAGGGACAAGATGGCTTGCCAAGATTTTGGGAAGGATGGACGACTGGTTGGATAATGAAGATCCTTGCTTTGAGCTCTCGTAGGTCCCCCGCCTCTAATGCCTTGATGATCTACCGACAACTTTATAGTGCTTCTATCTTCAACTCCTTCATCTCCCATTGCTTGCATCCGAAACTCTTCGACCTGCTGTCCGAACCTCCCGAACCAATCACTCCCTCCCAAACAACCCTCCTCAAACTACTCGACTCTTCCCTCGCCTTACCGCCTTCCGATCATCCCACTCCCCCGACCTCGGGCGATTACCCCAACACTTTCCTTGTACCCCTGTTCATCTCTTTGTCATCCGCTTCTCTCCCGAGCATCACATCCCGAGCAGATGATCCGAGACTGCCGAAACAGCTTGCAGCGCTGATGCTGGTGACTGAGAGTCTGTCGTCGATAGGGTTGAGAGTACAAGAAAGGATTGATGATGCGGCTGCACTTGGCTCGGAGGATGCTGATGGGGAAGGTAGTAACTGGGAGGCGGCCGGGGAAAAGAGTTTGGTGCAAAGTCTGAAAGACAAGGAGCAGGGCGTAGTCAAGTCTTTAGTCGGTGAGTCCCAACAAATTGATACCCTCGCCCATCCTAACACTTGCCCCAGATCTTCTCCGAGCACTGAACGACTTCTTCCCCAAAACCAACCCCCGAACCACATCCTCCGACCCTCTCCCCCCACCCCTGCCCCTCAACCCCGAACTCAAACCGTTCTCCAAAGTCAAACGCGACCTCGTCCGGCTGCTGTCCATCCTCTCCTTTGATGATACGTTCGTTGGGGATCAAGTGAGGGAGTGGAGTGGTGTTGAGTTGGTGTTGGGTATGACGGAGATTGATGAGGGTAATCCTTGTACGTACCCTTTCCTCTTGCTCACCTTGTCCTGAGTCCAAGGACTAGCAGCTGACATGATCGACAGATTTGAGAGAACACGCCTTGTTCTGCATCCGCAACCTCATGCGTAACAACCCCGCCAATCAGGACGTGATCAAGCAAATGAACCCTGTGGGGGTTCTTTCAGATACGGGGGAGCTGCTGCCGTTACCGGAGAAGATGAAGAAGAAGGCAAAGGTGGTGACCATCGAAGATGAAGGGGAGGCGTGATGGTGATATCTGCGACTACCGAGTAGCCCAGTCATGCAGCTATTCACACTGAAAAGCATGCCCTTTTCCAAAGGACGATGCTCTTCGTTCTGAGCTCCCGTGTTGAACCGGCACGATTTGCACCATGATGGTATATGGGAAGGGACAAGCCTATAGCCCTGCGACTAGCATTGATGAAATATCTGTAGTCCACCGCTCATTTAGTTGCATATGTCTAAACAGCTGCACGACGAAAACACCCGCTTTTCCGCTTTTCACCCTTTCCTCATGATTGGCTATCGAGAGTATCTCCTCTCAACTTAGTTTTCCCCCCTCCTTCGCATTTGAAAGTGGGCGCTCATTAGACTGATAAGCTCTTCCGGTGTGATACCCCCTATTATTACATTGAAGAAAGGACTCTACATCAGTACATTGTCCCCCGACAAAGGGTTAATCGCGCAGTGACTTACCACTGATCATCAAAGAGTTGTCATATGCTCTTGATCCAATGAATACGGATCCATGAGTGCCAGTGTTTGGGTTGACATCGCGGTTGATCTGAGTCGCTTGATCAAACGACTGCATGTCGATGAAAGTGTTGTGGGAGGAGGCCGTTGTCCTATTTCCCCTCGTAGGCCTCCTCTTTCGCCCGATGCTCGGCTGCTCCTTTGGGGAATCGTATTCAATCTCCGCGGTGTTCTCCATTTCAGGCTGCTCCGAGTGACTCTCCGGCTGGGATGATGTAAGAGCCGTCATCTGGAGAAGAATTGAAAGGGCCGTCCGAAAGGGCCGTCCGAAAGTCCGTCAAGGGCCACTTTGCTCCCTATATTAAGCTGGAGCTTGCCCGGGGTATGGTCTTGAAGGACAAAAGGATACACGTCATGACTCATTGATAGAAGCTAATAGAATGCTGAGCGGACTAGAACAGATGGGGAGAGTATGAAAGGCAGATGAAAGGATATATTATCCTCAGCTGCAAGATGGTTTGAGTGGTTGATCGGCACAAATTCGAATAACGCTCTCTGGAAGGAATGTGCCAGAAGACTGCATACTGCGGCTATGGACACTACAATCCAGAAGATGCCCGCTTCTTCCGGCTGTGGAATAAGCGGTAATCTGTGTCTTCAAATCACAGCGCGTGCTTTACTCCTCCCATCTAACTTTCTCTGCTGACTTTCCATCTCCCTAGAGGTTACAGTGTGATATCAAACAGCCCTTTGACTTGAACTCTGTGATATATTCCCCAGAAACTATCCGTCACCACAATGTCCGCATCCGTACGAACAGTCAAAGACGGCGACTATGATGGTAAGTTCTTGAACTCTGATGGACGATATCAAGTCGATGCTGGGCGACCATGCGCTGATACACTCACAGCGCTGAGAGAAGAGATTGGAAAGATAATGAAGCAGCCAGGCTATGACGATGGATCTGCTGGTCCAGTCCTCGTTCGGTATGTCTAGCGATGTACTACTGGAAGTGGATTGTTGCTGATGTGACTTGCTTGTGTAGTTTGGCGTGGCATGCGTCAGGTAATTTCAGTTTGGTCGAGGTGAGATATTTTGCATCTGTAGAAATGTTGACACTGACATGCCTCTTCCCCTCAAAAAAGCACAATGGAGGATCGAATGGGTGAGCTTGGCATCGTAACGACACTCGGCGTGTACAAAAAGCTAACCAGAGTCTGTTCTCTAAGCGCTGGTATGCGGTTCCCACCTGAGGTGCGGCTCGTGATATTATTGATCAAGAACCACGACTGACCCACGCTGTAGTCTGTCGACCCTGCGAACGCCGGTCTCCACCACGCCATATCTTTCCTCCTCCCAATCCAAGCCGCCAACCCTTGGATAAGTCACGCCGACCTCTGGAGTGCGTCCTCTTTCACCCTTCATTTCACTTCTCCCTCCGTACTAACATCTATCGCTCGCAGCTCTAGCCGGAGTGACAGCCATCGAACACATGCGCGGCCCCCGCGTCCCCTGGACACCCGGACGATCCGACTACGCCTCCGAACAAGAAGCCTCCTCCCACCGCGGGAACGTGGGCGACCGCCTGCCCGACGGAGCGCTCGGCGCGCAGCATGTGAGGGATGTGTTTGGGCGGATGGGGTTTACGGATCAGGAGATTGTGGCGCTGAGCGGGGCGCATGCGTTGGGACGATGTCATAAGGATCGTAGCGGGTTTGATGGGTGGGCTGCGCTGTGATAACGATGAGTTCAAGCTGATTCGGTATCGTAGGCCTTGGGTAGTCAACCCTATTCGATTCTCAAATCAATACTTCAAGCTCCTCCTCCGCCCAATCTGGAAGCCTAGAGAATGGGACGGGCCTTTCCAGTACGAAGCTACCGTCGCCGGCACCAAACTGATGATGTTGCCCACCGACGTGAGTTCTTTTAACAGGTCTCGAGCTGTCAGCTGACGGGCAAACAGATGGCACTCGTTGAAGACTCTGCGCTCAAGGAATGGGTTGAAAAGTACGCCACCGACCAGGATCTCTTCTTCAAAGACTTTGCCAACGCTTTCGCCAAACTCATCGGTCCGTTATATGTTTTTCATCTTTCCTTGTCATTCACTAACACTGACATCAGAACTCGGCGTGGACCGAGATGACACAGGCTTGGCTTCTCTCGCCAAGAAAGCCGCTGAAGAAGGCAAGCCCCTCGATAAGACTACACCCCCCGCAGGATCTTCAGCTGGGAATCGTACTGCCAAGCTCGGGAGTGGCGGGTGTCCATTCTCTGGGGCGAACGGCGGAGTCAGGATGGCTGGCGGAGGGTGCCCATTCTTGGCGGGGCAGAGGAAATCCGCAAAGCTGTAGTTGTTGAGCTCCAGGCTTGTTACTTCCGTGACAGTTTGATCTTCTTGTGTTGTAGATTAGTCAGCATGTAGCAAGCTCCTGTGTACAAATGAAAAAAGTTGATCCGAAGCGCGACAATGCAGACAAGACCGAAAAAGTGATAGCGAGAGCTGATGCATAATCTTCTCCAGATATTACACCGTCCCACCATACGACCAAAGTTGAGATAGAAGAAAAGAAAAGAGTTTAAAGAAGAAAAAGAAAAAAGGACAGCTCCCCTCGGCCTCCGAACACCCAATTAAGGGCTCAGACAAGGCTTGGGTATAAGCGTGCGATCACTCCTGTTGTGCTGCCGCATCCTTCCTTTCCAACTCCTAGCTCCTTCTTCCTCCTAAACCTCCAATGAAACGCCTGATGATAAGAATGCAGAAAATGCTAGAGACAGAGCTGATCAAGAACATCGCTTAGAAGATTCGCTGAGGCTTGCCCATGGTAGACTTGATGGTCAAGGACTGGATGTTCTGCCACTGTTGAGGGGTCAGCAAAAATTCTAAAATGGCAGAGTTGATCAACGTACCTGCTTCTTCAAGAGGGAGATCAAGAAGTTGATGGAAAGCATGACGTTGGTCATGATCTGGTCCTCAGTCATGTTGACGTGACCGATGGCGACACCGAGACAGAGAACCTTCTTGAGCTGGAACTTGATGGTAGATCGGACATCGGTGATCTTCTTGGTGAGGTCCTCGGAGTGAGAGACCGGGGTGGGGAACTTACCGGCCTTGGAAAGACCGGGACCGAGCAGACGGGGAATCTGCTTGATGAGGGCCTCAGAGGCGAGGAAAGCGTCGTACTTCTGCGCGAGCTTCTTGACGAGCTTCTTGTTCTTGTTGAGCTTCTTCAAGTCCTCAACGGTCATGAAGGGGAGCTCCTCGTCGAGCTGCTTAGCACTGGACAAGATATCAGTATGGGACAGAAAGAAGGATGCGAAAAAAACTAACCGGTCGACGTCCATGGCATCGGCAAGGATACAAAGAGACATCCTGGGCCTGGGCACGTGAGGGAGCCTGACGGTACCAGACTATGCGACTGTCAGCTGAATTCCAGCGCCCTTGCATGCACGACTCACGAATCGCTTGTCCCTCTGGGGGTCGTAGTTCTTGAGGCCGATCTGGAGCTCGATGGTCTCGACAAAGTTCCTCTTCTTACCACCAGCCTCCTTGTGGGTTTCAAGGGAGGACTGGTCGATGATGGTCTTGATGGACCCTCGCACGCTGGCAGCCTGGAGCTTGGACATTTTTGATAGGCCGGAGTAGGTCTTGTGGACAATTCACAGCAACCGCGACAACTTTTGGGAGCGCACAGTTTCGAAAACGGAAGCAAAACCGGCGTTTTATCGTGTGGCGTCTTTGACCTATTTCGCGCCCATCTCCTCTTACATCTATGCTATTCACCACGCGCCATGTCTGTCCCCGTCCGCCTCCTCACGGCCCGCACCACCACCCCTGCCATCCTTCCCCTCGCCCAGACTCGATCCGGTAACAACAAACCGAAATCACTCCAAAAAACAAAACGTGTCTTCAAGCCGAATTTGACCCGCGCCGACTGGCCTGTCACCGTTCTCGGGGGGCCTGTTGCTCATGGGGAGGTGTTACCGAAGTTGAAGGCGGTGAAGATGTCTGTGAGGAGAATCAGGGATGTGGAAAAGGCGGGAGGTATCGAGGGTCTTTTGGTATGTCGATCTTTAGCATCGAGTCGCAATGGCTGATTCACCATTAGCTGTCAAGAAGGCCAAAAGACCTTACTTCCTATGGCGCTCTCCTCCGATCTCAGCTGTTTGAGCAACTGCATCAGGTCAAGCGGGACGTCGAGCTGGAAAGGAGATCAACGGAGAGCTTTGAATCACTAGAGTCGGGAATCCATGACGAGAAGCTGGAACAGGTGGAGACTCAGAAGCAACCTCTGCTGGAGGGACAATGAGTGTGGTGACGATGCAGTGTATAATAGTGATCCCACAGGCAAGATATCGTACATCTATACTAACGCATAGGACAAGACAGAAAGGAATACGACACCGGCCATGTACAGCTTTCTGGCTCCCAATCTCTCAGCACTGCTTGTCGAACTTGGCTGTCCATCCGCCGCCTGTGTCAACTCTGTGGTAGTCGCACTGTCGGAAGCAGACCCGCTGCTGCTGACACCACCTCCAGAACTATCAATCGTGCTAACAGCATTGGTTGCAGATGGATTGGTGCCAGAAGCACCATCCGTGGCGACTGCTGCAACACCGGAGGCTGAATCAGAGGCTGTCGAACTAGTGCTGTTGCTCTGGTACAAGACCGTGTCGATAACCTACACTCGTCAATAATGCCTGCTTCAAAGTTGTGTGAAGGATACTTACGTGCATGACGCCATTGGCAAGCGTCACATCAGACTTCAAAATCCGCGCCTGTACTCCCCCAAGAACCACGCTCGATCCTCCATCATCATTCAATTTGATCGTGAGTGTTTGGCCGGATGAGACTGGCAGGTCGAAGCTCTTGTTATCATCATCGGTCCAAGCAGGCGAAAAGAGCGTATAGTTGGTCGTGTACTGTCTCCCATCAGCTCTCATTATCTACATGAATGAAAAGAGCTCACATGATTTCCAACCAGCCCTCCCGCCTCATTCGAATCCCCCATCAATCCCTTGACGTCGTCACCCCATGCACTATCGATCGGGGCAAAAATTGTAAACCCGTGCTGGGAGAGCTGAGACAGGTTGTCTGTCTGTCCTACGACCTCGATGGCGGAGGATATGTTTGAAAGGCCAGAGGTTGTGAGAGCTTCAGAAAGGGCGGGAGGAAAAGCGATCACCTTTGGAAACAGCGTAAGTACAGCGCAAAGAGTTCAATGGAAGCTTACCGTGTCTACAGGGAGTATATTGATATTTCCCAGTCCGTTTGCCCCGCTCGTATCCACAAAACCACTCCAGCTCGTCCCATTCCCCCACCACCCATCCACTATAACAGCCTCTCCATCATCTCCCTTGTTCAATGCAACAGCTTGATAGGCATCAGAGTTGGACGAGGTGACGTTGAGTTCGGAAGAGAGGAGGAGGTATGTGCTGGCTATACCAACACCAGAAGTAGTAGAGAGCGAAGAAGCAGAGTATGTCCCTTGCAGAGCATGCAGTGCCATCAAATCAGCACCATACTCATCACCCATCCCACTAAAAGGCGGGTAAATCCCAGCGTTCTGCCAAGCCGAATCAGTCGGCGCCATAAACGTCCATTTCGTCCCCGCATCCGCCATATACAACGACTCTAAGAGCTCGTACCCCGCGTCAGTTTCGGAGAGATGGACGATGAGCTCTTCGGAGGTGGTGAGGCCGTTGGAGTAGAGGGTGTCGATGAGGGAGATGAGGTAGGTTGTGAGGTCGGTGTCGGGGCATTCTATTTGGTCGTCTTGGGCGAGAGAGGGAAGGGTGAGGAGGGAGGTGGCTAGGAGGAAACGTAGGGAGGGACGCATTCTGGGCGGGGATTGAGTATGAGACAGAGGGGTGTGAGAGGCGAGGCGAGGCGAGGCGAGAGGTGCAGGTAATATTCAAATGAGTGTGCTGAGTCCGGTATCCGAGAACGTTTAATGACAGAGGGGGCCGCTAGATTTCATATAATCTACAAAGAGAATTGACATCGATGGGTCGATACCTTGGCATGTATTGACACTCGCCCCAAAGACAGGATACAAAGGAAGTGAAGGGGGTAGACATGTTTTGCACTGGAGAGACGAAAGCAACAACGGAGGATATGATGCTCCTTTGAGTCATCCGACTCATGATGGCCCCTTGTAAACGTGATGCAGACATCTAATACGTCAATAGTGCTGTGAGCTGTGTTACATTGCTTGGTTTGAATTACTGTGTTCTTACTAGACTCCCTAGCTGAACAGAAGCGACTTTGATCCATCGCACATGCATGATACGGAAATACCGAAAGAAACAAAATACCCCAGCAGAGCAAGACGGAGCTTCGATGAAAGACAGAGATAAGTAGAGATACCGTAAAAGTAAGAATAGATATAGCGGAACAAAGCGAAAACAAAAAGAAGGCTTTTGTATACAGTATGGTGATATATCCTTCATCTGCTTCCTCTTCTCCAGAGGTCTCTCCAAGCTACATTTGTGTGCACCGTCTTGATTCTCTTCTTCGCCCTTTTCTTCACCAAAACGGACCATATGATAATAGTCGCATCTAAAGTCGTTGGTATCGTATTCGTTGCGGGAGAGGATATACACGTGTATTTATCGAGGGGAAAAAGTGTTTGTTGAATTGATTATGTGACTATTAGGTGTGTCCTCGGGGAAACGATTAAACTTTTGGGGAGACGGGGTGGTCGAACTGCTGACCGACGGGAGGGCCGGGGGCGGTCGCAGAGGAAGCTAAGTAAAGTCAGTCTTGCGCCAAACCATAAAACCATTCGACGTACGAGGAGTGATAGTGCTCGAAGTAGAGCCCGCAAAGCTCGCGCCGGACGAAGCCACGCCAGCACCAGCTCCAGTAGCAACATTCAGAGGCTGCTTCTTGGGAGACGCCTTTGCACTTCCATTCTCCGCAAAGTCGAGCGGGTTCTTGTCTCCGAAAATCCACTTTCTCACAGTACTCTCCATCTCCGTCCTGTCCTTGGGCAAGCTATTCCCTAGTCAGCACAGTCTCCGAAGCGTGCAGACGTGTGGCTTACTTGTCAACATCCAGCTTGGGCATCCACTTGTCTCCGGCAACGTGCTTGAAAAACCTAGATTCGACCTGCTCGCCAGCGGCTTCGCGCTTTCGCGCAAGGTCTCGTTGGTGGTCCTCCACAACCCCTTTGGCGGCTGTAGCAGCGTACATGTCGGCTGTGCGAATAGCATCCGTGAGTTTAGTCCATAATCTATTTGGCGCGTCAGCGTGCGTCGTTACGAAAGAAGGAGTCAAGCCTGCCTTCTAGATTCGAATTCTTCCTGCTCCGACTCTGGCAAAACGCGTTTCGGCGCAGACCTCGATTTGGCCGGGTCAAACAGCACCCTCTTCTCTTTACTCTTCTTATCCGTATACTCAATCGCCGAACTCCAGTGTCCTCCCACTTCACCTGAATCCGCCCTCCCAGGCCCATTGACCTTTCCGCTAATGACATTGTACCCGCCCGAAATCCAGCCCTTGGCCTTGAAGTCGACGTCGGCGTGGAAGTCGGTGGTAGGGTTTGCGATGGTAGAGAGATCACAGAGTTCGAGAAGCATCTTGCCAAAGAGGATACCACGGGCGTAGGTGTTGGGCATCTGAGATGTGTCAGCTTGGGGTCAAATGTGGGTGAACGATGTGGACGTACGCTGATGGCGTACTCGCCGTCCTCGGGTCGGTCCAGTAGGCGTATCCGATCCTCACCTTCCATGATGGTCGCCGCGCTGTTACCCAAGAATTTACTCTGAGATGGATTTGTCAGTTACCGACCGTGTCCGAATTTGTGCACTTACCTTGGGTTTGAGCTCGCCGGTCACCAAAAGGCCATTCTTTGGGGAGATGTAGAAGAACGCAGACACAGGCTATAATTCGGATTAGGTTGAAGACGTATATGCTGGTTGATGAGAGCACGTACCGGGTGGTGGGACACTTGCTCAGCAATGTAGAATCCCTCGGACCCGTCCGGGTACACATACGTGCACCGGAAGAACTCCCCAAGTACCGGATTGTACGGCTTCTTCACACCCTTGGGCTTGATGTGCCATCCACTGAGGTAGAACGTCATCACCCGCAAGAACCTCTCCTTGGCTTCGGGTTCATCGGCAGCACCGAAGATGAGCTCGGGGTGGGAGAAAAAGTCGGTGATCCTCTCCAGCAGACTTCTGGGCTCGAGGACAAAGGTAGGGAGGGCGATTTTGGTGAGATCCATACCAGGACGCACTATAGCACGCGTAAGCATGATCAGATGTACAGATCTAAGGGAAGCAGGCGCGTACATTGCGAGATGAGGGACATGAGAATGTTCCCTTCTTCTTGGTCAAGAGTACTGGTGTCGTTGGGATCACCGTCATCAATCTGGGTCTCGCTATCGTTTCTGGCTCTGGCCGCCGGGGATCCAGCGGAGGCATTGGAGGTGCGTCGAGAGCCCTTGGAGCCGCCTCGGATGGAGAGCGAGTCCATGCCACTAAGAAGTCCCATTATGCTGTACTACGTAGGTGGGGATAATTTGCGGGGCGGTGTAGTGCTGTCTGGGGGGGTACTGCCGATGGCTGTGGTGTGGAGAGCGATGTATACAGATGGAGGAACAAGATAGGAATGGAAAAGTGGACGAAGCGAGTTTAAAACCGACCGAGTGGGCGATTTCGTGGTCGGGCGGCGGCGCGGGGGGTCTGCTCTGGCTGGTATCGGCGGCCAGCGATTATGGCGGGGATATGGCTGGGCGGAAGAGAGATGGTAGAGAGGCAGATGAGAAACAGGATACAGATTCAGATGCATGCACACCGCCGCCACTCCAACGTCATCTCCACACCCCTCGGCCACATTGCACTTACGTAACACATCCTATGCATCATCGTCTGAGACACCCAACATGTCATCAGCAGCGTCAAGACTCGTCGGCGTGATCTCTGCTGGAAGTCATAGTGGGAGATTTCAAGAAAGATGAGTAAATAACGGCCACTGCTGCGATTCGCTGCGTTTTCTATGTCTCCAACTCGGCGCCGGGCTGTGGCCACCAAAGCACATCATCCCCGGCCCGCCCCCGTACATAAGCCGGCCAGCGAGAGGCTACCATTCTCCTCAAGCTGCTAAGAAGACATCCCTTCGTTTGTCACGCCACGCACTAGGCTCAAGACTGTGGTCGAAAATATGATGATGATTACGAGAGGAGAATGCGGCTATGGCCGTGTTCTTCGTTGTTGCTGGGGAAAAACGCCGGCAAAGGCTTCGTGGTCACCGTCATTTATATGCCTTGCCCGGAGCGGCCTGTTTGGTTATGCATAAGATAAAGATATGATTTAGGTATAGGGGGGTGGTGACCTCGCTCAACGACGCGGAGAGTTTCATCGCATGGAACTGCTCTCGCGGGCTTTTGCTGCAGAGGTGAGCGGCTGACACCACACTGGGACAATGCAATACGTAGGATAGAAGCAGTGACATGATCTTCATACCATACTCTCAACTTCGATATAGGCATCGCAACATAGTCATCTTCCTTTCTTGTTAAAGCACTTCTAGATTCATCAACAACGCCCAACTATTCTTCCTCAATCTCTGTTCAATCTCTATGTTCGACCCATCCTCCTCATACTTTTACCCTCTACTCGCCATCATTGTTGACCGACTCCCTTCCCCAGGCTCATAGTAGGCCACGCCGCCTCCCAGGCATGCAGCAAGCGCCCTCCCCGCATATGTTCATGGCGAGGGTTCGTGCACCTGGATTGATGCCTAGTCCAATCGATCGTTTCTCCACGTTCCCTTCATATGACCCTCGTAAATGCGGCATGCGGCAAGCTACATGGGAAAGATCATGTACCCTTCTCCCGCGTCTAGTCTCTCCTCCAGGTCGTTGTTCATGAACACTTGGGGGCTGGTGAAAGAATGTATACAGCTGAATTTGCTGCTTGATGTCTCACAACACACTATCTTTAGCCTCAATCGACAAAAAATTCTACATCCATAACAATGCCCAACTATTCATCCTCAATATCCATAGTCGACCCATCCTCCTCATACTCTTGCCCTCTGCCCGCCATCATCGTCGATCGACTCCCTTCCCCAGGCTCGTAGACCAAACTCAACCCACCTGCCTCTTGTAAACTCCCCGGATCCACCTCCACCGGCACTGGCCCAAACGCCGCATTCCCCTTTGGCACCCTAAACGGATCCATATCCCGCCCGCCTAGTTGTCCCGGCAGACCAGGTAAAGTCGTCGGGTTGAGCGCCTCCATCTGCTCTTTGAGCGCCATCTCAAGCAAGACAGTAGATAGAGGATCTTGGGGAGAGAGGGAGAGGGCTTGGTGGTAGATTTGGATGGCGCCGCGAATGTCGCCTTTGAGGTGGAAGATGAGGGCGAGGGAAGAGTAGGCGACGGGATTGGTGGGGTCGAGGCGGATAGTTTGGCGGTAGTTGTGTTCGGATTTGTCATAATCGCTGTACTGATATGAGACTGGACCGCCAGAATCTTGGGATGAACGTACCGCATGATCCGGTAAGAGTGCCCAAGGTTACAGTACGTGACTGACCAGACGCTTTTGACGCCCTGCATTTCGGCAGAAGCACGGAGGGCTTTGCGAAAGTAGCTAGCAGCTCCCGAGTAACTGAGATTAATCAGCTTTGCCTCTTCACCGCCGATGCTGTACGCACTCTTCCTTGTTGTAATGCACTACACCAAACTCATTCAAGAGCAAAGGGTCGGCCGCGTTGATGGCTTTTGCTGCCAAGAAGTACTCTTCTGCGAGGCTCGAGGCGCTCAATTGCAGATGCTCCATCCCAATGAACAATAGCGGAAGATGTGAACTGTGAGTCATCAGCTTTGCTGCAATCCAGAACACGCCTCGTACATACCCCTGAAATAACCTCGCAGAAGTCGAATACGCCGTTATGGCATGATCATGCTCTCCCTCATACGCAAACGAATGCGCAAAAGCAATCCACGCCGGCGCAAACCTCGAATCGATCAAGTTTGCTTTACTGAAATACCTCCTCGCGTCCGCCCACCGCTTGCCAGAAAAGTACCACAGCCCAACAGCGTACCACGTGAGGGCAGACTGGGGATCTTGGTCCACAAGGTCATGGGCAAGGATGAAGAGCGCGGATCGGAGGCGATGTATGTGGTGCATACAAGCGAGGTGGATGGGGAGGGCGCTGGTGTGGCCGGGGATGCGGGAGAGAATTTTGGCGGTGACAGCGTAGCATTCTTCCCATTTGTATTTCGAATAGAGCTCGTCGGCGAGACCAACGAGGACATCGCAGTTGTCACCCAGGGCGTACTGTTTGGTGAGGCTTTCTCGAGCCGCAGCCACTTCTTGGGCGTGGGTATCCTTTTTCAGCTTTGTCAAGTAGATCATCTTTACAAAGTTGGCGTCGTCCTGGGATAGTTGTTTCCGATACGAAAGACCACTTATAAACTCCCATTCTACTTCACATCAGCTTGTACGAGTACCAGACACAGGTCGACTTACCCTCCTGCTCCGACATCATCCCACCATCTATCAATTCCCGAAAAGCATCGTAATTCTTCACATCTAGCGCGAGCGCTTCCATCAACGACTCCTTGGCGAAAGTAAAGGAGGACAGCCGCAGATGTAGCAGACCTCTGAGATGGCAGAGCGAAGAATGCAGTTTGATACCTCCGTCTTGCGAAGGTTCGTCGGGTGATTGAGAGGAATGATCTGTCGCTCTGAAGGGGTTGGCTTCGCCCACCAGTTCCAAGGCTTCTTCGTATTTTTCTTGATGTACCTATGAGTCGTCAGGGAGTGATCTGGTAATGCCTGGGGACATACTAGACATTGCGCCGCGAGGTACCGACATGCCAAGCTCTCATCCACCAGCTTCAGATCCAGATCGACCTTCTCGTCGTGCCCGTTCATGTGTTGATCGTCATCCCGCATCTTGCCTTTGTCGCGCGAGTCTCTTGACGGCAGGAAACCTTTTGGAGGGGGCGGTAAAGGTTCTGTCAGGAGCTTCTCTGCTCGAAGATAGTGTCCAGTCAGGAAATGTGTTTGCGCCAGCCAAAACGCATCATTCGGGTCGGCTGCAAACCATCAGCTCCCCTTTCAACACACCCCATGTACGATTGCACTCACCTGTCCAGCTCAGAATCTTGTCTCCCCAGAACGCAGCCGTCTCATACAGATGCTGCATGATCGCATCATGCCGCCACAACCGCATAGAGTCAACCATACTCCAATTCCGTTCTTCCCCTTCATCCGCCCCTTCGTCCGCATCGCCCACATTGATAGTTTCCTTCATCCGCGACATTGGCCTTCCATTGGCATACTCTCTTGCACTTGATCCTCTTGGAAAGCCCGGACGGACAGTAGCTGTCGACCGTTTCGATCCCACCGGGCTAGGCTTGGCTCTAGGCGACACTTGAGCTATACCGCGGTTACCCTGCTCGACAGCACTATCCATCGCCGCGCCCGAGAACATTGTGAGACTGGACGGTCTCGGGCGTTTGCCAGCCCCGGGATAGAATGAGTAGCTCGCATCAGAGTCGAGAGAGAGGGAGTGGTCCGGGTTTGGGTTGGGGTCGAACGAGAAGGAGTTGGATAGGGATGAGTGTGGGGGGAGCGGGAGGCGGTGGCGGGATGAGGAGGGGAAGGGGGAGTAGGAGAGCGGCGGGGGGTTGTTGGAGGGGGGATTGGGGGGCGTAAACATGGTTGTATAGTGGATGAGGTTGATTTGTTGACAAAAGTCCGTCGCCAGCGAAGATGGGCGCGTCGCGTAGGGGAGGGTGTAAATAAAATGGCCAGGTGTCTGTGGCCGCATGGAGATGGGTTGAGGTTCCAGGATGCCGATTGTATTCTTTTCTGAAGGCAGCGAAGGAGATAGAGCTGGATGCAATGAGCAGTATCATTTTGAGTGCTTTCCCGAGATGAGATGCGCGCATCCATTGATCCTCTTTCAGCGTCAACCAACTTGACGAGAAGTGCCGATTTGTAGTCCAAAATCGAATATCCATAGACAAGAATTCGTCCCACAGAGTCAATACTACTAGCAACTCCCAATTAGTACCCCCACGTACCACCCTCTTCTTCTCCATTATGTCCAGCTCTACACACCTATCCCGCAATCTGCTCAAACTTCCAGATCTTGGCAAACGTATCCCCACTCCCACTCGCCAAATACCCCCCACTCCTCGCAAGATCAATACTGATAACCGAATTCTTATGCCCTTGCAGCATCAATTGCGCCTGCCCCGTCGAGATGTGCCAGAACTGTATCGTCCTATCTTTCGACCCGCTCACGACCCACTGGCCGTCGGGCGAGATGGCGACGGAGAGGACATAGTCTTTGTGGCCGTTGAGGGTGGATTGGCAGGTGCCGAGGTTCTTTTGGGATTCTTTGCCGGTGGGGACGGTTTCGACTTCGTGTTTGGTAGCGGAGAGATCCCAGACGCGGAGGGTGCGGTCGAGAGAGCCAGAGACGAGGCATTTGCCATCGGGAGAGAAGGCCACGCTGCCAAAAATCAGCACCAGGAAAGAAGAAGGGCGAGCGGCTTACGAGTAGACAGAGTCTTTGTGGCCCTTTAATCGCTCGACTTGTTGACCTGTAGAGACGTTCCAGACGCGCACCATCGTATCTAACGATCCCGCCGCAACAAGGTTTCCATCGGGTGACACTACACCCAGTCAATACTGCCTCTGTAAGTTGTGGAAAGACACTCACAAGCAACAGAGGTGATACCCGCATCGATCGGCCCGTGCTCATTGTGGATGAAATCTTCAATTTGGAGGTTGAACACACAAGCGCCCTTTTCGATATCCCACACCCTCGCAGACTTGTCGCCGGAACCAGAGACGAGGAAACGGCCGTCGCGGGAAAAGTCGAGCGAGTAAATTTCTTGCATGTGGCCTTGGAGCAAGTGCCAAATGCGTTTGGCCTTGATGTCCCAGATCTACAGAGTGTTAGCAGGAGAATAGATCGAGAGAGAACCAAGCATACTCTGATCTGACGATCTTCGGCGCCGGTAGCGAGATATCGACCGTCGGGGGAGAAACAGATACTGCGAATGTACAAGTCGCCTGTACGACTAGCCGCGTCGTCCGACAATACCCTGCAAACATTATCAGCGCACGAAAGCCAAACGTCCAGTCGCCCACTCACGTCACTCTCTGGCCAGTCTTGACATCATGAATCTGCGCCGTTCGATTACACCCCGTCGCCAAATACTTTCCATCATTCGAAAACCTGACACAACATACCACCGACTCGTGCTCGATCGAATGCACCAGCGTCACATCCAACTGCTTCCTCATCTGCCCACTCCAGACCGCCTGCCACTCTGGCCCTTCTTTTCTCAGCTCTCTCGACACGTTCTCGGGATCAAGGTCGGACAAGTGTACTGGCGGGGAAGCCGCAGATGCCGAAGCAGGCGGCCGCACCGCCGCTACACGCGCTTCTGAAGGGGGTCGGATGATGGATGTGCCTGCGTTCGGAAAGGGCGAGCGGGAACGGGAGACGTCGGTGCCGTTCAGTGGGAGACCGGGGAGCGGTCCGCCAGAGTATGGCAGGCGGTCGTCGGGCGGACGGGCGAGCTCGGAGGTGGGGGAATGGTGGCTAAGGGCAGGGATGGATGGGGGCGGGCCGGGGGCGACGCTGCTCTCGCCTGGGGCGCGGTTCGCGAGCTCATGTCGCAGCCTCTGGATCTCGGCTTCGTATCTACAATCGCGCAAACGCGCATCAGCCACAATCCCAGTCCTCAAAAGCATCTAGCTGAGAACGCACTCTGACCGGATCTTGTTGTGGTTCGCCTCGAGTTCATACAATGACTGCCTGATCATTCCCAGCTCATTGATCTGCGCTTGAACTGTCGTCGCGGGTCTCGTCAGTCGCGTATCAACGGGGCAAGACATTCACTGTAAAAAAAAACCCACCCTTCGACTCGTATTCATCTCTCTGCTGTTTCCACACGCTGCCGTCCGCGCCGAGGGTCTCGTACTCTTGCCGGATGAGGTCGAAGAGCTCGTTGAGGCGTGTTGTTGAGGGGGCGGCAAGTACGTTTTGTTGCGATGGGGTGGCTGCGGGCGGCAGGCGGTGGTGCTGGGGGGGTTAGGATATGCACGGCAGGCGCACCCGAGGACTCACATTGTATATGGGGGGCTGCATGTTGGGTGATTTGTGGCGGATGGATGATGAGAGAGCAGAGGACAAGTTGACAGCGATCCAAGCCAGGAGGGCCAGGTACCGTTTAGACGTATTATGTAATCACACCCATGTCACTGCCGCCGGCATTGTTTTTCTTCTGGGCAGGTGTGCATGCAGGGACATGGATGCATGGGGCATGGGGCATGGGGCATGGGGCATGGCGGGGACGAACTCAGGAGACGCCCCTGCCTCCGAGACGACACTGTCAATACCTTTGCTACACCTGAATGAACGTTTGCCGGAAAGGGAGAAATGGCCGATCGGCTCAGTTCCCAGCAGTTCCCGATTGCGTCAATAAATAATGTTCTCGTTTCCGCCATCCATCTATTACATCTCTCTTGAAATATCAAAACCATTCTCATTCCCCACCACCATGTCACCCACGATGCACGCTAAACCCCACGACGTTATAACCACCCTCGCACCTCTCAATCCAGATATCCAATCCCACATCTGGCGCCTCCTCACCTCCTCCCCCTCCTGCTCATTCCTCTGCACCTCCCGCGCCGCGTACGCCCAGTCCACAGCCAACCTCTACCGCCATGTCGTTCTAGACAAATGGAACGCCATGCGGTTCTTCAAAGGTCTCGGGTTGTCCGAGGACGAGGCGGCCCCGCTCAGTACGGCAGAGCAGGCGGGTTTGTTGTATCGCTGTAGTATGTCTGGAGCTGGAGGGGGGCGGGGTCCCGCCATGGCGATGTGTGTCCCCACGACACCGCACCGCTCACCGTTCGTACACAAGATTATGCTGCTGCGGCACTGCCAGAGCTTGCACCTCGTAGACGTTCAAGCAGCCGTCTGGACACTCCGCGCATCTACAAAGTTTGACCGGCTCGACCTGTATAGCTATGGCCACCACCGCCTCTTTCCCAATCTCACGTCCATCCATTTTGGCCAGTCGCTCATTCATTATGCCAACCAAGAACCTTGTGGGGCGATGGTGCTCCCGCCGAGGGTGGATTGGAGCGAGTGCGCGAGGGGGAAGAATGAGCATCTTATCCCGGGGACGCATATGAGCGCGTTGCAAGTTTTGAATGGACTCGCAAAAGAGTTTAGCGGCAAGCTGTTGGTGAACTGTGATTGTGAGGGGTGCACGGTGGCAAAGGAGAAACCAGACGGGCGAGAGTTGGAATTCGACTTGCCAGAAGACGAGCCGCTGTCATGCGCGGTTCTGGCATTCATGATGGCGATATCACAAAAATGCTCGACTGTCAAGCTACACAATGTTGACCCGATTGATCTTTACCAGCTCAATACCGTAGGGAGAAGGTATCAGAATATCTGGGTGGTGGGTATGGCAGCGGAAAAGGTGATGCTGTATCTCAAGCCTGAGGCTTGGATGTGCAACACGCACGAGGAGAGTGTGTTTCAGTTTATCAGGGAAGAGTTCAAGATTGCTCGGGATGATCCTACTGTTCCATTTGCAGAGCGCCAGTTTGCAGAGCGCAGGTACTTATATACTGACCCTCATTGACGGGTGCCCAAAGCTGACAGTATATCAGGTTCCTGTCGACCACACCCGAGTCTATCGAAATCATCAGCAACTCGTTACACAACATGGACAGTCTCGCCAACAACATCATCCAAGAACTGCCTTATGGGCACCTTATCGTCGACTCTGGTATATTCTCTGCGAGGGTGCCAAACCCATTCGAGAGGCAGCACCAAGAGATATGCGATGAGTCCGGCTGAGGGTCGTCCGTGCGGTCTGTGCACATCTCCCATCAAAAGCCATCCAAGGACTTTAAGTATATTCTGATGTCTAAATTGCCTATTGCACGCATAATGAACGATGGCCAACGCTCTCTAAGACTCTCCATAGAGTAAGCCCTCCACCACTGCCACCCAACGCACTGACCCCACCCCACAGCTTCTCCCAATACACCCACAAAACCACCCACCTCCTCGCCATCATCTCCACCCACTCCCAATGCCAGCGCGACCTCTTCCCCTCCCCCTTCCGGCCTACACCGCCCACGCCGTCTCACGCGTTGAGAAGGAAAGTGTGGATGTTGTTGTTTAGAAAGGATCGGGGGATGATGGAGAGGGCGGAACGGGAGGGGTTGGTAGAATGGGTGGAGGGGGATGGGATTGAGGGGGCTGGGAAGTGGGAAGTGGGGGATGAGTGGGATGAGGGGGTTTATAACCCGATTGGTGATTGGGTTGAAGAGTGGGTTTCGACCTCGTCCCAAAGTAGAGAACTGATCGAGATTGAAGGCTCATGGAAACCTTCCGCCATGAGCTATACGACAAGCCAGGCATGTTTGACAGACGCTGGACTTCCTGGGAGGATGTAGCGGATGAAGACGAGGAAGGTATATGTCCCTTCCCGCGCCGCAGACCACCCACTAACCCGACGCATAGATCGTCTCCGAGAACTCTGCCCCCACTACTTTCAGCTAAGAACTCTGATGGACGCCGCTGGTCTTCTTCCAAAACTCATCAAGAAGCCCAAGCCGGCCCCACCGATCATTACCATATCTTCCGATGAATCGGATGGATCCGAGGATGGGGCAGCTCCTCCTTCTTGGCGTGTACGGCGAAAGAGGCGGTCAAAGACGTCGGATACGGCGGCGTCTTCTGCTTCTGCTTTCACCTCTTCCCCTTCCTCATCGTCGGACTCGGACAGTGAGGACGACCCCATACCTCTCTCGCCTTCCGAATACGTCGTCCCCCGACGCCACACACCATCACTCCCATACAGACCCCGTCCACCTAAACGTCTATCCCCCCGACCTCTCCCTCCCAGACCCGTCCGCAACCTCCCTTCTTCCTCTTCCGCCTCTGAAACCGATACCGAACCCCTCCACATCTCAGGTCATTTCGAAAAACGCGCAAGGCGGCCCGATACGCCCCCTCTAGGGCATTTACCGGGGATCTATTCGTATCACGATGAACTAGATAGGGCGAGGGTGATGGGGCTTTTCGATTTCGCGCCCCCAGATCAAGGGGATGGGGTGGGGGTGGAGGTGAAGGTGATACCGGAGAGTATGGAGTTGGATAGTGAAGGTGAACCTGAATGGGGCGGAGATGCGGTGGTGAAAGTGGTACTCCAAGAAACAGACGGGCGTCCCTGGCCATCCGATATCGTTGCCGAAGTGCATCTCCCAGAACCAGAGGGAAGGCGAAAGAGGAAGAGGGCCAGGCCGGGGGAGGATACAGGGAGAGGGGAGAGTGAGAGGAGGGTCAAGAGGAAGATGAGGATACCGAATTTGCAGATTGCGAAAGATGATCTGAATAGGAAGGCTCAGAAGCGGATGGGCGTGGTTCTTGCTGGGGTGGATATTTTGTGAAGTCTTGTTGAGTGTCACTGCCTCTACATACTTGTGCTTCTTGTTGTATAGATGCAAATTGCTTGAAGACCATGTAGATCTACCTTCTACAGCCGAGACCGAGACGGAAGCAGATGATGACCGGTTTGCTTGGTTCCTCGACAGTCATTTCCAGATACCGATACACGTTTCCATCTACATTTGCACCCGACATTCTCAATGAAGTCAGCTCGAGGCGGCAAGAACGCACCCCCAGTCCCCCAATCACAACCCCATCCTCAGCTCTCTTGCACCAGCCTCGACGACCTCTTTCCTCCCGAAATCGTTTCCCAAATCTGGCATTCATACGTCTCCATTCCCGACAGCACCACCCTACGCACCCTCGTGCGCGTGTGCAAGTCCCTCTTCCACCGCTACACTCCAACGCTCTACGCCCACATCGAGCTCAGCCACCGCAACGTGCTGTCCTTCTTCCACGGCCTCGGCGGAGAGTTCGGTCCTTCGGGGGCCGATATCTCTGGAATCGAGCGTGTGCTCTGGTATGATCGGCGAGTGAGGAAAGGGTGTATAGCGAGAAGGATCGCTTTGCTGGGGATGGTGGAGGATGCAGTCGTCTGTGATGGGGCAGCGTACGAGGCGTGTCTTCGAGCGCTCAAACGCCTAGATGCTCTAGGTCTGCCAAATGCCCCAGACCTCCGTCAAACTCCAGAACTCCGAATGACGAGCTATAAGCCCCATGTGCTCTTTCCTGGTATACACCTGAAGATTGACCTAGAGTTTCGGGATAAGGGATCGCATAGCTGCGGTCATCTGATATTCGCCCAAGAGGCGCTGGCGTATATCCAGACAGGCCGGGAAGACAATCCCCCCACAGGAGATCCGCCTTTCAGCAGGCTGTGCTGCAACAAAGCAGCAATGGTGTTTCAGTTTCCTCGCAGGATCAGCTTGCTTTTGGTCGAGTATGTCGCTGCTATGGCTCAGGCGTACGAGGTCAGCGATCTTGTGTTTGCGAATCTGCTGCCGACAGAGATTCAGAACCTTTCTGTCAACACCGAGTCTTTGTGCTTTGGTCTGAGGGAGAGGGATATATATGATATGGACTATCATAACAGTATCGCTCTCGCAATGGCGTGAGTCGCGAGCTGTTTGATCATAGAGCCGATGCTGATTTCGTCGCAGCGCGCACTGTTCTTTACAACGAAGGCCCCATTTCTGCGTCTACGTCGAAGACCGCGAATACTCATCGCCTCTAACGACTATACGAGATCAAGCTGTCCGGCTTGTCAACCAGCTGACGGCCGAGCCGCAAGACTTTCCGCTCTTCAGCCAGAAAGACTTGGATGTAGTGGACAGGTCTAATGTGTGGAAGAACTGTCTGCTATGCCGGCGATTTCTCTTCCCGCAACTCTTTTCTTCAGTACCTACTACGCCTTCAGAGACCAGTGAGTACCGTATCCTGCCCGAACGATGTCAAGCACTACTGCGCCCATATACTCCTAGATACACGGTCAAATCGTGCCACTTGCACCATCGCATGATAGTCACTTATATGGACTTCATTTTGACATGCATTCTATATCAACACTGCTCCGCTCGCGCCCCTTTCAAGCATCAAAAGAGATCAATCTCTTCCTTGCCAAACCCTCTCACACCCTTAACACGCCCCTCAAACCCAAACATATCTCCCTCATACGCCACCCACGCCTTCTCTTCTTCCCTGGCCTTGTACGCGTCGTTGAGACCCAAAAGCTCTTCAAGGTTGTCAGAAACGAGCGCAAGGGCAGACGATTTCGAAAAGATGTCGGGCGAGTTGGCGTACACCCATGCGGCATCGTATCGGGTGTTGCGGGCTTGCCATTCTTCGACGATACCGAGGCCGACGGTCTGGTGTTGTATTAGCGGGAATACGAGCCAAGAGAGAGGGGGACGTACGACACCATGGGAAGCGAGGTATGATGGAAGAGTGTGGTTGGAGAGGGGAGGTCCGGGGATGATGCGGCGTTCGCTCCATTCCTCGGGATAAGACCTGGCGGGGGCGACGATGACGCCGATGTTGGCATCCGCCAACTCTTCAGCAATCTGCAGCGAGTCAGACAATGATCCAATAGGCGAACATGAACCACTCACAAGCCAAGTCTCGTGCCCGCCCAAGAACGTCCACTTGCCCTCACCTCCCACCTCCTTCTTCAACCTCACCAACGCGCTCATCACATCCGCCTGCCTGACCTCCACGACCAATCTCAGCTCTCCCCTTGCTACCTTCTTGAAAGCCTTCACCACCTCGGTATCTTCGTGCACTTGGCCAAGAAGGAGACGGCGGAGAATAGCAATCTTGGTGGAAGTGCTTCCGGAGCCGCCGTCCAGAGAGATGTGCAGCGCCGCGGCGGGGTTTTGGATCGCGTCGCGAGCCAGGGGATGAGGAGCGGAGGGGGAGAAGGAGAAGGAGAGGCCAGCTACGAGAGAGTTGGAAATGGGAGGGGCGACAGCGGTCGTGATGCCAGATCGGTAGGCGGTACTACGAGGGTAAGTCGTATGCAGATACGATATCGTAAAAACTCACAGTTCATCCTTGCCGCCAAACTTGGCTCCATCGACCGCATGTACAAGAAGACCGTCAGTCAATTCGCCCGCATCCTTCAAGGAGTCATATGCCACCTTGCAGAGTTGTCAGTCTCGCAAAGCATCATCAAACGAGCCACTTACCCCATCCCAAGTAGACTTCTCACCCCTGATCTCCATGAGACCAAGGTAGCTTCCGACGCTAATCAGACCTGGCGCAATGCTCCCGCCCTTGAGGTCGATGATCTCAAACTCCAGTCCTTCCTCGGCCACGCATTTGCCGACACAAGTGATCTCGCCGTTCTTGACCACGACATCGCCCTTGCCGCCATTCTCAAACGCAGACAAGTCGTGTTTGGACTTGAGGTAGAAGCCAGAGACGTCCTGGAAGAACACGTTGTCGGCGGACTTCTTGGGTCGCAGGTCAGGGTCACCTCGGGTCTGAAGCACCTCGGCAATCTCCTCATCCCACTTTCCCTCGGGGAAGACTTGCTGAGCTTCGGCAGGCTTGTCAACCACGTGCGGCTTGATGATCTGCGGGATACCATCGATATAAGTCTGTTTCGGTGTAGCTCCGAGCGACAGAGGGAACGAGTCCCAAACGACGATATCGGCGTCGTATCCCTCGCGGACGTGACCGATACGGTGGTCCAGGCCCATAGCCTTTGCAGGGTGAGTGGTGACAGCGCCGAGAGCATGAGAAAAGTTGAGACCGTAATGATGACCTTGAGAGGCTTCGTACACTAGGTAGCGAGAGTCAAGAACAGGGTGGTCCGACTTGAAGATGACGTCGAGGCCATTGTCGGCGATGATCTTTGGGGCAAACTCCGTGCCTCGGTAAGACTCGCGCTTGTATCGACCGTTGGTAGAGAAGATGGCTACAGCAGGGGGTACAGGGCCCCACGCTTGCTTGAGCAAGTCGGTGACAAGGTAGACTTCGTGTGCGTGGTGGAAGGCGGCGATGGGGAATTGGTACTCGTTCGAGATGCGCACAAGAGAGTTGAGATCGGTGGTCTCGTAGCAGTGGATGTTGACCTTGACGTTGCCCCGAATGACATCTGCGAGGGCTTCCCACTCCAAGCTGGTGGGGTAAGGCTCTTTCTGAGATTTGGGGTCGGCACACCATCTATCTTGCTCGTCTTTAATCTTCTTACCCTCCGCGTACGCCTTTCGGAAATCGTAGGCAGCGTCCATACGATTGGCACCGTAGACGCGCGCCGGGTTTTCACCGCACGCATGCTTGATGTGGCGCCATGCCTTTGTTCGCTTCAAAGTGCCGTTGCCAGCAGTGTCGATCACGAATGGAGGTTCGAGCTGCATACTCTGAGGAGTGTTCTCATTGGTCCATCGGGGCTTGAAGACTGCAGCTTGGCCGCCGATGGAGCCGGCAGAACCGGGCAGGACAAGCATGGTGGTGATGCCACCAGAGATGGAGAGATTGAATGCGAGGTCATGAGTGTTGAAGCCGTCGAAAGACCTGAGCCAGGGTTGAGTGTTGCCGCGACGAGAGTTGGTGTCGTCTGAACCTCTGAGACCAGGGGCAGAGTCAAGACCCATATGGGAGTGAGTGTCGACGATTCCTGGAGGCGTTCCAGCTATTGATCTTTGTAGGACGGATCCACTTACCAGGTGTTACCCATGCTCCATCAAGCTCGACCTGATCGTAATTCTTATCCTTCAAGTGCTCCGCAAGGTCGAGACCAGACCCAATCTTCCTGACAACACCATTCTCCAGAAAGACGTCTGCTCCATGCAAGATCTCCTGCCCATCATCCTCTCCCGTCCATACAGTTCCGTTCTTGAGAAGTACAGACTTGGTTCCTTCCACGAAGCGCTCGTTCTTCTCTCGAGACGCGGTGAAGGGCTTGTGATGTGGAGGCGGTCGAGAGATGATCTCGCATTGCTCGATACCATCGCGGATAAAGTCGGGTAGGGGCGCAGGTTTGGAGGGGAAGGGGAAAGAGGTATCGTAATGGGTCTTGAGGAGATAGAGAACGCCAAAGAGAGCCAGCATCATAGGCAGCGTGTGGACATGGCTTCGTCGACGAGGCTTGACGTCGTCTTCGTCGTGCTCGATGAACGGGGCTTTCTCGAGGTCAGCGTTGGATGGCATCCTGGCGGCAGTGTTGCGGGCCTGTATGCCCATATTTAGTGATGCCGGGAGCGATGGAAGAGAAAGAAGAGATAAGATTACAAGGAGCACGCATGATGTCGGCCCTCGCGTCAAGCCGTCGGGCAGCTCCGTATTACGTCAGCACCAGGGACCGCGGTGATCCGACCGATACGATAGTACTGTTGAGTGATGAATTGTGAAGCATTGCAGCAAACAGCGGGTCAACAAGAGAGTCAGATCGGTCCAGGAGAATGATACGTGTTACAAAAGCCACATGCATCACATATTTGCCTTGTCACTCACAGCCACCGACAGGCCCCCGCGTTGCTGCTGTTTCTCTCCTCCTCCGGAAGCGCGGTGGAAGTGTATACCATCGATGCATCTAATTGGCGCATCAATAGGGGGTAGCATCTTGCATATGTGTATGGAAGGAGCTACATAATGTGCTCAAGAGATCTGCCTGCCTGCCCACTACTGCGCAACACAACCGCCAAGTCTTTGAGACTTTTTTACTGGTGATGACCTCAGAAACATGATCATATTGTCGATGTCAGTCTTGTGGGCCTCCATCTGTGCCTCCCACCCCCCCGCGCCTTAGTCACAAGGTCCCCGTCAAATTCCTATTTGAAAGCATAGCATTAGCTGGAATGTGGTGATCCGAAGTCTGATGAAAGCAGAGCCGGGACTCACCCGCCATAGCAGAACCAAAGTTTCAAGCCGCAGAACCATCCAAACAAGGCCATTGCAGGCTGTACGCATCTCTTGGTCACAGACTCCAAGTCCCAGGGTTTTATGGTCTTGATTTGAAGCTGCGAAAAATGGTATATTTTATGATAATTCTTCATCTGCGGATGTTGTCGACGTCAATTCCACTGGAGTAATAGTGTGGTGGTTATGATACTGCAGGCAAACAGAAACTCACGAGGATACGGAGTCAACCAGCTTGTTGAGTTCGAGTGACAACGTTCTGTGCTCCCTCACATATGAAAAGATGATCTTGCAGAGGAACGCGGAGATGGTGGAGTAAATTTCAACCTATAAGGAGGAGCAATCAGATCGCGGTACGAGAAGATCAAATGACATTTGGGCAGACTCACGAGGAAAAAGACTGAGATGGGTACAATGTTGCGTCTATACGCGTAATCATCACCGACGTCCAAAATCCTCTCCCCCCAAAGCACGAGTGCTCGCTGACAGCCCTCGTCTCGAATCGGGAAGAATCCCTTTGTCCGAGACAGATAGGACATGAGTGTGAGCTTCGGGACTACATAAGACCGGCGAGCTTCAAGCACTGCGTCTGTGTATCATTTGCTGGGAGACCAGTAAGTCTCTGGCGACACCGGTTCCGGGCGGCGCTATCGAGCAGGCATAGATAAAAAGGCGAATGGGCAGCAGGAAGCAAGGGGCGGAATGATCAATAATGGGTGGCTTCTTTCATTAGAGACCGGTTAGTATATAGAATATGCAGGGCGCTCAGCTTGCCGGGAGCAGCCTGTTTGGGCATTGACCAGATGGTTCTGTTATTGATCTACACCCGATGAGGCTGCAGGCAAGCCATTCATCACCTGCTCAATCACTTCACGGTACGAGTATGTGCCACCCGTCGCCGCACCTCATCAGATCTTCCAACACGCGGCTTTTCGCAACAACTGGGTCCCATTCAAGTAGCGCAGTGTCGGTTCATCATGTTGGTGGGCTTACTTGAGCAGCAAGAATAACGTCTAAGTGCGTGATTGCCAATGGCTCCCCTCTCAGAGATGCTGACCTGGACTGTTACAATGTCTGTGTGTCACCCCAGTATTATCTGGAGCACTTTGACAGTACGGTGCTAGAGGCAAAGCTGTCATCATCTCACCAAAGTCACTACAGAGGTGCAAGGGATATTCTACAAGGAGTGGTTGCTGCTTGTGACTTGCACCACACCGGGTGCAGTATTCCACTGCGCCATCTCACGGACAAAGTCAAGGCCATACTTGGGCTCCACTAGCACCCGCAAGCAGCAACCATTCCTTGTAAGGCTGAATATCCCTTGCACCTCTGTAGTGACTTTGGTGAGATGATGACAGCTTTGCCTCTAGCACCGTACTGTCAAAGTGCTCCAGATAATACTGGGGTGACACACAGACATTGTAACAGTCCAGGTCAGCATCTCTGAGAGGGGAGCCATTGATGATATCGTCCTGAACATCAGGGGCATAGTTGGAGATGGGGTGGAAGGAATGGATCTCATGTCTGATTGAGGGGCGCTGAGCCTCAAGTGGAGGGGGGGAGGGAGATGCTGACATGGTCTGGACACCATCAGGGAGGTCAAGGGAGCGCTCAGAGAGCCTTGGGGAGCTTTGAGGTGAAAGCCCGCTCTCGTTAACCTCAAAACCCGGCTTCAGCTCCTCCAACTTCCCCACCAAGGCGAGGTTGTGGGCCTTGTAGGCCCGGACGTAGCGGCCCAAGGTCGGCTCGTCGAGGGGGGTGACGGAAATGGTGTACTTCGCGGAAGGAAATCGACGGGGGAACTGACTGCAGGCGAGGAGATACGGCATGGAGATTATGCGCAGTCCGCGAGAAAACATAAACAGTAACTCACGTTGAGATTTCGGTTGTCAATCCCGTCACATTGACGAACTGGACACTGTCGCTCGACGGGTCGAGACTATGATAACCGAGGCCTGGCGTGCCGCCGACCGCCCTTTACGGTCACTGTCAGCATCAGCAACAATGGCTAAACAATCTCATATGAAAGGTCCACTTACAGCGGTGTCGGGATTCCACAGGGACCCGGACGTGGCGGTGTTAAAGCCGCTTCCCGTCTTCTGGCCCCAGATCCACATCACGTCACTATAAGCTTGCCGTCAGTCGAAAAGTAGAACATAAATCGTCGCCGGTGCTCACGTTTCAGCGGTAATGTTGCCACCGTTGATATCAAACTTGATATCGCTGGTGGGGACGTCCTCCACCCAGAGGTACGCGGTGGCGGCCATCTTAGCCACCATACCGCTCTTGAGCTCGGAAGGAGCCCGACAACCCTCCTCACGTCGCAGAACGGACCGGCCACCTCGGCCGCCAGATCCCAAGAAGGAACGGGTGTATTGGACACATTGGGCGACACCGCCTGCGAGCTGGGGACAGCATTGCCTGGGTGAGTGGAAGTAGGTGGCGCCATTTGATAGAACTGATGCCGGGAGTGGGGAGTTGATTCGTTTGAAATGACCGCAAGCTTGCCGCAACTCACTCAGTCCGCGCCCTGCTTCCATGATTATGTAACTCCTTCGCCCGCTCTTCGCGTCGCCGCTGACGTTTAAGCGAATTTTTGCCTGGCCGGCTCAACTCAAGCTCGACTTGGGCTCGACGGTATTCTCGTATAAACCTCCTCACCTACTATATCCATCCTTCATCCATCCAGTCTATTCAAGGTCGACATCTGGTGCCCCTAGCTAGATCCACCGCGTAACCGCCCCTAGGTCACGCATCGCCTCACCTACCCTTAGTACACGCAGGTTTCATGTTATCGCGCACACGTAGTTCTTCTTTATATGCAACCTAGATAGCCTAACCTCCCAACAGCCTCAGTGCTGTTGGTGGGTCTCGTTGCATATATGTTGTCGTCATTTCATTGACCCAGCCTGTTCCCATCACAGTCCGAAGTCATTCAACGCGGTCCACCCCGGGCACCCCCCCGCGGGTAGACGAAGAGTGCACGGGTCATCTCCATTGTCCGTTGTATGTACCTTTGAAGAAGAGAGGGAGGAAAAAGATCTTGATTCTACGACATAAGTTGATAGTGCCTAGGGAAGAAGTGCCACTCTTTCCCGTATTGACAGTCACCTTATACACACCTGTACATGCCACATTGATTTGTTATGATGCGAAAGCTTGGACGACTTTACCCCAGCCACTGATCTCTTGTTGTTGCAGCTCTACTGATAGATAGGCGTGCATCCGCTGGAGATACTGTATGATGTTCAATGTTGGCGATTGGACGACTGTGAGTGACGTTGGGCGAGGGGATCACCCCAACAAGCCAAAAAATCGCAACCACGAGTCGAGCCCTCGTGCGAACCTGGCCATACATATCTACTCGTATAGTTTATACGGATGCTGGGTCAAACCAGATAGCGCAGTCATCGCATGACTCCTCCGCCTGACACTCATCGTCGTCGACAGTCGTCGACAGTCTTTGACAGTTTCGCCAGTAATCGTCACTCGTCGCCAATTTTCGCCAGCCATTGTCAGTTGTCGACAGTCTTTGAAAGTCGTTGACAGTGTCGACGCTACTAGTGCTGGACCCTGAAACCCGTACATATATAAGGAAGACATTCGATCTCACTTTCATACTTTCTTCCCTCAATGAACCACTATTGTTGTCTCTTTACATATACAAATACTTCAATGATAGCCACGCCGCCCGATATTGACGTGGCTGCTTACTCTCATATAAGCCCTCAGGTTATCTCTATACATCGCTATACTGTTTAAGAGTAGTTGACCCGTCGGTCGGCATAGCCTCTTGACACCTCGCCGGCCTCCTCCTCGGGCCCGGCCGCGCCCTCACTAGGCAGGGAGTCGTTGGCCAAATGTCCCTTGGAAGCTCTTCTTGGATATCAATACGTACGCTCTGTCAAGGGGCAAGCAATGGCTTACTAACGTGAAAGCCACAGGTTGAAAGAAGAAGCATAAGGAATCTCCTAATGAGGCAATGAGCTAAATTGCCAATTCCGCGATTGAAAAACCGAGCTAAGGCCAAATACATTTTTTGATCCCGTCCCAAATCATCCAAATGCTCGCTCTTTCGGCTTGCCCCCACTTTTCTATTCACCCTTTTTCTTATCCGCTTTGTTTGTAAATCTCTAATCCTTACAAAAAAGCCATCTCCCCTCAACCTATACCGGCACCCGTGAGTACACTACATGCGTCCACCCATGCGTCAGACAGGTTGCTGATGTGCTTGCCGCCCCTTATCTGTTCCCTACCCGCATGCCCCTGTTGTGCGCTTTGTTTATGCCTGCTCGACGCGTATCACCTTGTGGCCACGTTCTCGTCATCCAGACGCGTCAACATCCGATACAATGTCTGCTCCTAGCTGGGAAGAAATGGAGGGCAAGAGGCTCGAAGTCAGTGCACACAACCTTACAGACAGAATAGGATGCTGACCCTCACTAGATGATCAACTCGTTCCGAGAGGTCGCGGCTGCCATGACCAACTGTGTCAAGGTGATCGACGAATACACCAGCCTCTCTCCCGTGCATCTCTCCAAGCCCGACCTCCTTCAGCCCCTTACCGCCGGCGGTCCCCTCGCACAGGCCCTCGCCTCCGGCCTCGGCGACCCCTCTTACGGCGGTGGCATCAACCCTGCTACCGGCAAGAAGGAGCGCAAGAAGAAGGAGAAGAAGATCAAGGACCCCAACGCGCCCAAACGACCCCCCAGTGCCTACATCTTGTTCCAGAACGACGTGAGGGATGAGATTAGGAGGTCAAACCCCAACATTGCGTACAAGGAGATCTTGCATATCATCTCTGCCAAGTGGAAGGATTTGGCGGATGACCAGAAGAAGGTGAGTCTTTGTATGGTTCGATGGGTGCATGTGCTGACGAGTGTAGGTGTACGAGGATGCATACCAGAATGCTCACTCCACCTTCCGTGCGGAAGAGGAAGCCTACACTAGCAAGAAGGACTTCCCTGTCCCCCCTCCCGTCGCCGCCGAGGAAGACTTTTCCTCCGACTCTGACTCTGACTCTAGTTCTGAGGAGGTGAGTCTTCTTGTGTCTTTGCACGCGGCGATAACTTATATTGTATACAGTCTGTTGTGCCTGCGCCTACCACTCTTGCGTCTGCTACCGCTACCGACAAGAAGGAGAAGAAGAGGAAGAACAAGGAAGAAGAAGCTTCTGTAAGTGCCATTCTCGGTGTCAAGGATCTGGACGCATCATGTTCTGTATCCTTCGGCGTATCAAAGTCCATGGCTGACTCTCACGACAGAAGAAGAAGAAGAGCAAGGACTGAGTGTCGTCTTTCGTTCGGATTGATTTGATTTTTCTGATAATACGTGATGGGTGGTGGATTGGCGTTGGCACAGTAAATGATTCTCCTTTCGTGTAGTATATATATAGCCCTAATGCATTTCAATGTCCATTGTGAGATTGTGCTAGCAAGCTACTGAACCCTTGCAACGGCGTGGCGGTCATCCGCTCCACCCTCGCTCAACTCGAGCTCGTCCCGTGCGTATTCCTCCATATGACGCCCACATTCAAGATCCCGACTTCCATCGGAAAGCTTTGAGAGGTGAGACCGGCTGGTCAACGAGGAAGAAGTCGAGAGCCGGAGAGAGATCTGAAGTCGATAGAACATCGGGCCGAAGGTGCCACAGTGCCGGTCACACTGTCGGGTCTGCCGTCTGCTTTCAGACACCTGTACGCTGCAGATCCTGCAGACTGTGAGTCGTGCCGGGGTCATACGATTACTCACCGTTCCGATACGACTGCAGTGTCTCGGTATAGCCGGTATCCGGTCTGGTCATCGCAGATCTTGATGCAAAGAGACATAATGAGATCGACATTGACGTCTTGCCGTCGTCCTTGAGACGGCTTGAGACATCGCAGAGTATGGATCGTTTCGCGCTTCAAATCGACCATCTTTGTTGACGTGTGCTTTGAGCCTGCAGAGGGAGCAGAGCTGCCGTCCTTCGCAGTAGCGCCTTTGGGTATCGTTTCCAGAGTCAGTCACAAAGCTAGCCCAGTGAGTCCTGTCTCTTCGACACCATCTGCAAAAGCGGAAGCTGGCCTCGTACAAGAGCGACGAGGGCGGGAATGGCGGCTACATGAACGGTGACTGCTCGCAGATCTCGTTGAAAGAATGTCTCTGGCGGATCTTGTTGATTGACGTGGGCTGTCGTCGTACACATGAAACGGTGAAACTGGAACCACACATGGAGTTGAAAAGTGATCGGTGCGGAACCAGATCCCGGTACCGTGAGGGGCGGCTTTCCCTGGCCCGGGTATCTCGTAGCTTCTTACCGAATGCGGCGATGGACGGCAAAAAGTCTGCGGGAAACGCGTCCAACGAGGTATATCAGCGACGCGAAAGTCATGGGATGTACGAGAACTAGAAGAAGGGGAAGATGGGGGAAGGGCGAGGGGGAGCTGGGCCAGGGCAGGGGAGAGTGCTACTCAAGTCTGGTAGCATGCAAGGTCTGCGCGGGGATGCAGGAGTAGGTAATTGAGCGACCTGGCCTAAAATGGCCCCCCCCTGGGCTTAGCACTTCGGACCATCTGCACCAGCGTTGACAAGCACCGTCCATGCCTATCCCTGACCCCCCACAGCACAGCGATCACCTCGCAAGCACATAAGCAATTGTCAAAGGGCAGCGCAACTCCTGGTCTTTGTGTTTGTTTGCAGCTTCTCGCTCTCTTTTAGCCCAGGTCTTCAGGTCGTCCTGCGCGACTGATTTTTGGGGCCGTTACCGTAAGCTCTCTTCTTTGTTTCACCTCCCGCCTCTCGTTGTCCTCCAGAACTGACGGCCTGTGCGCAGAGCGGGTCGTTCGTATCCCGCTCTCTCGCTCTCGCTCTCGCCCCCGCCCATCTCCTCTTGCACAAACCTCGTCGCGCTGCTCTTCCTCGCCCCTCGACCATCCCCCGCCTGGTAGGGCACCACCCGGCCTTTGACCGAACCGAGCATCAGCACAAGCTGCATCCCCCGAAGAGCCACAATCAATCACCCGATCGAGCATTATTTGGTCATTCCCGGCTTAGCATATCTATGCCGTTATTCCCAGATCCCAGCACGAGGCCCACGCCTGTTACCTAAAAGCCGTCTAACAATTATCCTCCTTATATCATGGACTCTCAGCTCGACTGGGTGTTTCACCCTCACGGTCTTCAACCACCGTTCCCGCACCGTACAAAGAGCGACTCTGAGCTAGACCCCAGCAGACGCTCTTTGGGTGATATAGATCCTTTTCCGAGTCGGGCGTCGACGAGTGCCATGCCTCTCATACCGCTTCCTGAACCGCCTGCACCTCACCCGCTCGCCAATACCTACTTTCCGCCCATCCTGCCCTCTCGCCCAAGACCGAAACCATCAGCAAAACCCCGCCTCGCCGAGATCCTCCTCCCTAATCCTCCTCTCCGCACGTCCCACTCCCTTCCTCTACTCAAACCGCCTCCCACCCCGCCGGACGACGATGAAGACAAGCCAACGAGGTTTCGAAAGATGAAGCGGATAGGCTCGGGGTTGTTGGTGAAAGTGGGGTTGAAGGAGGATCTAGAGTGGGAGGTGGTGGCTTCGCCTGCAGATGTCCCGGGGCCAAAGCCGGTGACTGTCCGAGCGGAAGAGGCGCTGAAAGAGAAGAGGCGGTCGACGATACCATGGCCGCCTTCGCCTCATGCTCAAAGACGAGTCAGCTCGACATTTGGTTCCCCTCGACCTCTATCATTCCCATCCTTCTCGTCTTTCCTCAATACGACCTCGGGAGGCAACCGTGATTCAGACTCGGCAGAGCAGTCGGGCTCGAGCAACGATCACGCCGGGCCAGCGAGAAAAGAGTCGGGATCTGGAGAGAGCGCAATGGGCAACTACCTCTCTTCTTTTCCTTACCCGCCTACGCCTCATGTCGGCATGTTTGAACACGGGCAGAGCGAAGTAGACCCGCCCATCCCCGCCGGTCATCCGTTCAGCACCGGCGCCTCCAAGCAAACGCCCAAACAGTCGCAGACGCCCAAGATGCCTTCAGCGGGTACATGGTGGGGCCAAGCGACTCCGAGCGAGATACCTGGTAACGCAAGCGGCGTGCCCCCAACCCCACCTTCGAGCCGTACCCCGCGCGTGCCCCTCTCTCCTCTATCCCACAAGCTCCGCCGTCCGTCCTCCCAAAGCTTCACCCGCACAGATTCCCCGACTGCTATCACCAAACGCCACCGCAACCCCTCCCTCCCCATGCCCCTCACCCCACCCCACTCTCTCCCTCCACCCCCGTCCCTCGCCGAACTCTTATCCCTGCTCTCCACCCTCCTCCTCTTACGCGAAGTACTCCACATCCACGCGCTCTCGTCGCAGAGGGTGTTGGATGCGTATAGAGACGAGTTGCCGGGGTTTGTGTTTCGGGATTTGGGGAGGCAGATTGATGGGTGGTGGGAGACGTGGAGGGGCACGTTGAATGATTACGGTTCCCGGACTTCCAGCCTTATCCTCTCTATCCCTTCCCCACCTGCTCCGCCCACACCAGCGCCTCTACCATCCCAAATCCCAACCAAACCGATCCCCCCAGCTCTCACACAAGATACGTTACAAGAAACGATCTGGGCTCTCGAAGAAGCTGGCCAAGTACCGTCATTCACTTTCGCGCGGATGTTTGGCCGCGGGCCTGGGGTGAGGGTGAGGAGGATGGATGATGAGGAAGAGCGGGAGGCGAGCCGGAGGGGGATGAGGGAGTGGCAAGATGGGGAGTGGGGGTTGTTGGAGAGGGATCGGTGGAAGGAGGTTGCGGTTGGGTATGGGAGGAGGGGAAGGCAGCAGGGGAGGAAGAGTAGTAGTGTTATCTGAGCGTTGGTGTCGTTATGCTTGTGGCTTGCTTGTGAGTCTATTTTGGTTGTTGTGATCATGAGAATGAAAGCTTACCAGATACAGTACGGTGTGCATAAAACAAACCACTAGCTCTCCCTGCGGCCATTCATCACGCTGCGTGTATCGCGCGATAAAAGCTGAAAGTCGAAACGATCGTCCAATCTCAATATGGGAGATCTGAATCTTGATATCGCTTCAAAGGCTTGTCACTTTTGACTGGACCTCCGATGGCGCCCCTTCGGTCAGTCAATGTTCTCCTCACGGATGTACTACTAAAGCTGAACACACTCGTCTACAGAGCTTTTACCCCGCTTCAAGGCTCGACCTGTCATGCCATGACATGCCCGTCCGCTCGACCAGCTCAACTTGCCGAACTGGCCGGTATCCTCTGATCTCAAAAGCCCGACAGCCCGAAGGGTCGTTCGGTCCTAGTGCCGGGCATGTTGAAGAAGATGTATGGGGTGTAATACTGTTTTTTTACGACGTTTATGAGAAGGAAGGAGGATGATTGAGCCACTCAGCCTAGGGGAGTATATATGTATAGTTTTGTACTACATAAGAACGTAAGGTATAGGTCAGACGTACTTTTGAAGATGGTTGATGCAAAGTGCTCTCTTTCAAACATGCGCGCAGTACATTTCCAAAGACGCGAGAGTCGAGAGGGTGCAAAGAGAAAATCAAACGCGTCCAGCACTCATTTCCCATACACCTCTCTTCCATCATCCCCAAATCACCCTCCTCCCTTTCAACATGCATACGCCAAACCCCACAGCTCAAAAGGCGAACCTTTACCGAACGCAGCGAACAGTTACAGGGAGTATGGTGCTGGGGGGGCAACAAAGGGTCCTCCGCACGGATCCCTTTCGACACAGCCCCCGCTTCCGCCTTACACAGGACCCATACTAACAACAATCCCACAACAACACTTTTCTTTTTACTGACCATAACATCCTCAGCATGTCGTACAACGTATACCGCCAATCGCAGCACTACCCCCCACAGCAAACACCCCTCCACGACAGTTACGAAGGACCGTACAGCCCTGATGAGGAACACGACGAGCCGTTCGACGTGCGCGCGGATTTCGACGTCAAAGGTCCCAAATGGAGCGCAGGAGGAGGGGGAGGAGGAGGAGGAGGGGGGCTGAAGAGTCCAGGGTTGGAAGGGGAGATAGGGAGGGGGAGTGTGAGGGGGGGTGTTATGGGTTTGGGGGTGGTTGGTGATCGAAGGTAAGCTTGTCCGCCATTTGTGTGACAGAGAACCGAGCTGATGTTTGAGTAGTAGCTATATGCCTGTGGGGGATCATTCGCCGTCGGGGGAGTATTCTAAGTCGCTCGCGTCGAGGGAAGAGCTCGTATCCGTGCCCGTCCTTGGCCCCGAGTACGTCCCCCTCCCACGATGTCTGTTTACAAACCACTGAATGAAGATGGTAGGTGGAGAAAGGGCGAGCTGCATGACATGTCTCGTCGTGGACAGAAAGAGATCCAGGGAGATAAGCGGAAGAGAGCGTGGAGAGCGTGGAATCGGGATCAGAGAGGGTTATGCGGGATGAGGTGGTTGTCTAGGAAGGTGTTGGTTATGATCATCTTTGTCTTGCTCGCCGCGTGAGTGCAGTCTCTACCTTAGGCTGCCAATATACTGATAGATGTATAGGCTCGGAGTGACTCTCTACTTTCTCATCCCCCGCGCACCGACCTTTAAATTCTACGGCGACGACCCCTTCAGCGTCCGCAACGAAACCATCAACTTTAACCGTTCCCCCACAAACTATTCATTCTCTGGCAACCTCAACCTCTGGGGCGACGCTTCCTCCTCCTATCTCCCGGTGCATTTCACGCATCTGGAAGCTACGGTGTATGACCATGTGACGAGCAAGAGAATTGCGACGGGAGATTGGGGAAACCATGTGATGGCGCATAAAGAGCAGCAGGCGGTGTTGTTGCCTATCGACTTTTCGTATAGCGCTGTCAACACTTCGGATACTACTTGTGAGCTGCCCCCTCTCGCTACAAAGGACGAGTGGCTGATGGGCTGGAGGGAACGACATGTACAATGCCTGCGCTCATATCTGGACGGGCACAACCCGACCCGACCTCAAATTCCGTCTCGTACTCGAGATGTCTATCGTGGGGCTTGTCAAGAAGACCTCGAGGACGCTGGAGATATCGGATGTGACTTGTCCGTTCGAGCTGGCTGCCGATGGTGTCTAGTTTCGAGTATTTACTTTTGTGTGATAGCTTGACAAGGTAGAAACGTATGGATACCAGAGTTACACTGATCAGGGTGCCAAACAAAGAATGCGGTGTTGCTGTGCCTGAGCGCAGTTGAATCCACTGTTGCCGCTTTCTCACGTGCCATCTCAGACAAAGGACACTAACAATCCTCGTAAGCCCCTCTGCGCACCAAGACCGAGACTCACCTCCCAGACGATGGGCCTCCGCTTCCGCAATGCCACCCCCGGCACCATCCTCTGCGCAGCATCCACCGTCCTCCTCGCCATCGTCGCCTTCAACACCCCCGTCATCAAGAGCCTCGACTTTCTCTCCGCGTCCTATACCGCTGGGTCGTACAGCGGCGAGCTGTCGCTCGGGACGCTTGGGTTCTGCCATACCCTCAGCGGGACACAGAACTGTACCGGGCCTCAGGTTGGATACGAATTCGGTAAGCACCCCCTACGCGGGCTTCGGGCTTGTCGCAAGGCTAACATGTGGTATAGACCCCAATGATGTATTCGGCGTATCCTTCTTCGACATTCCCGAAGCCATCACCAGATACCTCACCTACGTCCTCATCCTACACGTCGTCGCCCTCGGCTTTTCCGCCATCGCCATGATCGTCGCCATCCTCGCCCACTCGCCCACCTTCCCCCTTCTATGCCTCTCCATCTGGCTCGCCGGTATCGCCTCCACCATCACCTTTATCGCGCTCGTATTCGACCTCGCCATGTTCTATATAGCCAAGGCGCGGATCGACCAGGTGGATGGGGCGTCGTCGACGATAGGCAACTCGGTATGGATCACGTTGGCGGCGTGGATCATCTTGGCGCTGAGCGGGTGTTTCTTTGGGATTGGGAATTGCTGTGGGATCTGTAGGGATGAGAGCAGGGATACGAATAGGAAGAGGATGGATAGTATGGATGATAGGGCGGAAGAGGACTACAAGATGCGGATGATGGCTATCGACAGCGAGCGAGCGAGAAAGCAACAGCAAGAACAAGGTCTCCCCGGATTCCAAGAGATTACGCCTCTCAAAGATGAATCGGAAGAACAATACCTCATCCAGCACAACGCTCTCCCCGTGCAGAACCGCGACGGCGGCCTCGGCAGGAACGCCAGTAGGGTCTCGGGTGTCGGAGTGGGCTACGGAAGGCGAAACCACCGCACGCCAGCGAATGATTATGCGATGGCGGGCGGGAATGGCTATGGCGGGTGGGACCAGCCGAGGGGGTATCAGAACATCCAGGCCCCGCCGCCGGTGGCGAGGAGGTTGTCGGATGCGACGTCGGCGGGAGACTTTGTGGGCGTAGGGGCTGGAGGAGGTGGGGTAGAGAGCTCGCCACCTGTGCCGCCTCTTCCCTCCCAAACACCTGCTGGGGGTTATGGTGGACCGCAGAATTACTACAATGAGCTGCCGGCGCAGGGGCAGTATGGGGCCACTTATGCCGAGCCGAATCAGTATGGTACCAGTATGTCTTATCATCCATAATAAAATCAAGAATCAAGTTGACATCTGTACAGATTACGCCGACCCATACGCTACCCAAAGATCAAACGCATACGACCCCTACACCCAAACAACCTACAACGACCCCTACGTCGCCACCCCTTCCAACAACTACGCCGCCGCCCCCACCGCCATGCCCATCCCAACCCCCACCGCTACCCGCTCCCCACCCCAAGCTATGCCCATCGCCCAACCTTCCGGCTCGAGCGCAAACCCGTACGGGTACAACACCACCGCCTCGTCCGAATCCTACGACCCCGGACCCCGCGTCGTCCAAGCCGACCCTTACGACGCATATGACGACGGGCTGGGCGCTATCGGCATGGCGGCTACCACCAACACTGCCGGCAGGCATGAGCGAGATTATACGGGGCAGACGTTTGGCGCTGCGGCGCCGATACAGGTACAGGAACCGCGTCCTCAGCATTTGGTGGGGCAGAATACGGCGAGGTTGTTGGCTTCGCCGCAGAGTCCGGTGGATCAGAGACATAGTGTGGCGCTGGGGGCGAGTGGGTCGGGCGGGGGGTATGGGGATGAGTTGATGAATGTTAGTGGGTCGGATAATAGGCCGCCGAGTTATTCGGCTGGAAACTATACCGCCGCGCCGAGTGGGAATGAGAAGAGCTCGTATAGATAAAGAGGAAGAAGGGGGTATAGTTCTGGTTTCTCAGGACGAATTCTATCTTCTGCGTTTGATTAGGGATCTGTGATCTTTGTAAAACTGTATGTTCTGACGATGCGGTGCTAGATAGAGTATACATAGTTGAAGTCTGGACATTCGCGACGATATGCAGCTAGACAATTGTGGAGTGTTTAGGCCAGGCAAGCTTTGGGTGCGGCGGTCACAGAACGCTTTCTGCACATGTGAAGCGCCTGTTGCGAGTCAGCTATACTCGGTCGGCCATTATTGGTTCAGTGTATAGACTCACATGCATTCCACCACAATATCAATAGATTGTCGATATCGAAAGGGGCATGGGCAGAGTCCAATTCGAGCAGCCAGGACAGACCATTCTACCGTATCGTCAATCTGACATGTCAGACAAAGAGACGCGCAACTCACAACTCATTCTGCCGGGCACAATAATAGGTGGAAAATTTCTTTCCAAAATGTGCACTCGTAGTCCACTATGAGTGACAAGATGATAGGCGGAGCGACTACGTGATACGACTACGGCACGAAGCAAATAAGGGTACAAGTCGACCGGCGAAGCGTACGAAAAGGCTAAAGATAATAAGAAAGAGGAGACGGGTGGAAGAAGGTAAGGGTAGCGAATATGGGCGTGTCGATGGGCGTGTCGATGTGCGTCGGGCAGCCTTACTAGAAGATAGAATAGAACGAGAACAAGTAACGGTGCCGAAGGCCGAGACGAGTAAAGCTAAAAGAGTCCATGGGGCGTGCAGGCGCCTTGCACGCTACTTCACCCCCTGCCAGAAGGAAGGGCTGTCCCAGCCCGTTCAGAAACGGCCTTGGAGCTTATCTGCGGGGTCGCAGGCCTGGTAGACATGTGGGCTGAGCGCCTCTCTCTTTCGTTCTCTCGACGCTTCATCCCGAGACCTCCTCCTTCCTCCTACGACTCGACCGTCCTTTTCAAAAGACTCCCTTGCGCGTGCATTAGTCAACATGCAGCCTAGCCAAGGTCCTAATCAGCCACCTGCCTCAGGCGCTCCTGCCTCCTCTCTCGCAAAACGCACTACTGGTGCAGCGGGCACTTCCTCAGCCTCTCCCAACCCCACCCTTCACAACATTACTTCAGCTGTCACCTCAGAGCAGGCCTGATCACCACTGGATGCTGAGATCATCAGGTACCTGATACCTCCAAAGATCGGAGTCTGGGGGAGGAAGGAAAGAGGCATAAGAGGGGTTGGTTTGTCGTGCTTACAAATGGGGTTGGTGAGAGCGCCACAATCATCGGTTTCGGCGCCGGTCAAGACCACATAAGGGGGCAAGCGGAGGACACGCGTATGCGAAAGTGCCCGTGCCGTCCTCTTCGCGCTGTCCCCTCCACCCATGAGAGAAGCAAAAAGAGAGGCGGTGAGGGAGACATCGTGATAGATGTCAGGGATGGTGAAGTCGTAGCAGTACTGGGACAGAAAAAAGAGTTGTGTGAGGGTGAGGAGGGAGAGATGGTGGAGAATGTGATTGTAGACGGGCTTGAGTCGGGCAAAGTTTGCTAGGATGACAGACTCATCCATCTGGTGACCGTTAACACACTTCTCCTTTGCAGAATGTCGACTCACGATTGTGTTTTCGAGGCCAAGCGTCAAAGCAAGAAAGAAGATGCGATCTGAGATGAGATATTGCGCGCCATGTGCTGAACTCGAGATACCGACCGAAGTGAAACAACAGTCGAGTCCTGGTCGAGTCAGAGTCCAGCAGTCGACGTTTAGAACTCGAGACATTATGTGATACCCATCTCATCTCTGACGATTTGATCATGGCATTAACCACAAGTCGTTTCACACTGTCCCAGCACGGAAAAACCCACTGTACGACGATGGAGACGGGAACAGCGAGACGACGGGGATCTGCTAGGCTCGAGGAGGAGCCTGTCGACGGTGAGCTTGTTTCCTTGCAGTCAACCCTCTATCACTCACTCTCTCGGAAGGAGGAGTGCGGTGAAAGATTGATATCACTATTTACCGCTCGCCTGTTCCCCGTTCACCATATCATATTGCGAGAACTCTGCGCTCTGTGCCCAATCAAGTTCCTTACCCTCTCCCAGTACTGCTACGACCTCATTATCCCTTCCCTATACCACGAGATGGACCTTACACTCCAGCTTCTACTGGTGGCCTCAGGATTCGGGGATGGGCACCAGCGAATGAGGGCCGCTTTGTCGCACACCCGCGTCCTGCATATCCATGACCACAGAGTGGTCCGCGCCATACACACACCCGAGTACGACCCACTTTCCCTCGAGATCACCAGGTTCAGTCTTTGGACGGTACCTTCCCCGGCGTCAAAGTTCTCGTCCTCCACGAGCTCGTACTTCACGCTTCCTTCTACATCGACACTCGGCATCCCATGAGGGGATTCTTCCAGACATTGCTCTCTCGCCAATTCAGTGACAATATAGATGAAGTCGTCGGGGTTTTGGACCCTTCAGACCACCCCCTGGCTATCGAGGAGAGTATTCAAGAACTCCTGTGCTTTTCAGAAGCTCTTCGCGCTCCAATAATCACTCTGGAAGGTGCTGCGGGGTCCAGCATCTTGAAGGCGCTATCGGTCACTTCCGGCAAGCTGCCGATTTGCTGGTCAGGGGCCAAGCTCTTGCGTATTCGTATTGGGCCCGCCTTTGCATAGCGCTAATGGTAAGATCCGGAGGAAGAGCAAAGCCGACTATGACCAGAAGGGCAGAATGGGCAAGACGGGCACGAAGGGGTCATTTGAACATGCCTCTGCTCGCATTGCGAAGCAGTACGCAAGAAGGAAGTGGGGGCGGAGTACTGCCAAGACGAAGACTGGAGAGATCATCGAGCAAGTAGAGATTGTTGTTAATAATGACTACGTGCAAGGCTGGATGAAGCAGGGTAACTCTGCGGATAACGGGTTAAAAGGTATTGTTCACTTTTGAAGCGTAGCTTAGAATGTTACTCTCAAGGTGTATCATCGGTGATTCATGACTTGAGTAGCTACTTCATCCATGCCGTCAGAACAATCATGACGACCCAAACCGTTCCCTCAAGCTCTTTGCCATATCCCCGAAAGTCTCATCTTGGGGCCTGTACTGGATTCCCAAAACCTTTGTAGCTTTGGATCCGTCAAAGTAGCTGTAGTCATCTCTCAGCTTCTGCCTGTACGCAGGGTCTGGGTTGCCTTTGGGAACGCCCTTGATGTCCGGATAGGCCTTGGCAATGGACTGAGGGGGTATCAGCGACGATCCAGTATGATCAATAAGAAGGGTGCTCACCAAGACATAGTCATTGCCGCTGGACGCGCCGTTTCCGGTGATGAAGCGCTCGCCGGCCGCCTCTTCCACGACGAGTGCTTGTACATGTCCAATAGCACCTGGTCACAAGTTAGCTTCAAGTTCATCGGATCAGTTGACAAAAATTGAGACTTACAGTCTCGGACATCCACGTAGTTCCCACCAGCAGCAGGGAGGTCATCCTGCGTCTTCTTTCCAATCATCCAGTCGTAAAAGCTTGCTGTGCTAGTCTTAGCCCTACTGCCGCAACCACAGTAGAAGTTCAGAACGCACCGACGGAAGTGTTGAGTGACTCTGGGGTAGCACACTCATGTATGATAGGTCCAAGGACAAGGGGAGGGTTGATGGCGACACCATCGAAGGAAGGTTTCTCATCCTCGATGAACTTCCAGAAAGCCTTCTCTGCCAGAATCTTGCTTCCTAAAGCTCGAAGTCAGTAAAGTGACCTTCATGGTGAGGGTCAAGCTTACCGCGGTATTTGTTAACGCCATCCGCATCTCGGCCCTTCTCCGCGCAGACTTTCAAGCTGACAGGGTTCCAGTAGGCTTCCGTGAATCTGCAAGTACCCTCAGCAATCAGATCTGGTCCATGGATGGAAGGCATACGTGTGAGGCTGGGGGAGATCCGAATTGACGATGGTGGCGACAGAGCTACCATACAAGTTAGCTAAATCCACCTTCCAAGCGTGTGAGAGGCAAGGACCGACCTAGTAATAACGACCCGCTTACAGTCCGGACTACCCCTGCCAGTCAGCTCCCCACACTTTTCAGATCTATTTACGCTTACTTGAACTTTCTGAGACTCTTCAGTACCCCCAGAGTACCCTTCTCGGCAGGCTCAAACAGCTCGGCAGGCTCGACAGCGTCAAGGTGGAAAGGACTACAGGCCATCTCACGTCAGCTTCTCCAATCCATGCGATGTTATATGCGATGGCGAGGGACAAACCTAGCCATGTGGGCCACAGCATCGACACCCTTCACTGCATCGTCGAAAGCTCCATCCTAAATCGAGTGTTAGATACAACTTGTAATAGAAGGCAGGGCGAGGTCAGAACTCACCTGGGCGATGTCACCGACGATATGGTACTCAAACTTGGCTGGGGCATTCTTGAAGAGATTGGAGAGGTATTCGCCCTTGGACTGACTTCGAACAGTACCTCTGACGTTGAAGCCTCGCTGCAAAAGTATGTCCACGGTATGCCTATAGTTCTGTCAGCACCTCTCCCGGTCGCTGCCCGGTCGTCATACGTAGTAGAAGGAACACTCACGCGGCGATGTAGCCACTAGCTCCGGTAACAAGAACGAGAGATCCAGGTTTGACAGCGGGCATTGTATAATATGTGAGGATGATTCAGTTTACTTCTTTGTTGGATTCGATGGCAATCCGCATCTCTTATGTACGGGCGAGCAGGGTGGAGGCAAGGTGGAGGCAAGGTGGAGGCAAGGTGGAGGCAGTCTCGTTTTGATGTTTGCAGTGCAATGCGTAGCCAATGCGTAGCAGGAGTTTGGGGTTACAGGCCGCTGATGACAAAGATATGCTGGCCTTGCATATGCTGTGCAATCACCAATGTGAAAAGCCACCATATGCCGGCCGGTACTAACGTCCGGAGGGCCAATCATCATCGCCGGGCAGAACCATGTGAGGCGCGTAACGTATGATATATATACATGAACACCACACACCGACACCTCCCATTTACATCTAGTCATCTAACCGTCTACATATCTACAAGTCATCAAACCTCTCCCTCAAACTCCTCGCCATTTTCTCAAGCGTCTCATCCCTCGACCTATACTGCAAACCCAACACCCTAGTAGCTTTCGACCCGTCAAAGAAATTGTAGTCGTCTCGCAGTTTTTGGTTGTATGCTGGGTCTGGATTGCCTTTGGGCACATTGGGGAGGTCGGGGTATGCTTTGGCAATAGACTTTCCGGGAGTCAGCTTTTGCAGGAGATGGAAGCAGCGTCAGGGATACTCACGAGGGCAAAGTCGTTCCCGCTATACGAGTTGTTACCAGTGATGAACCGTTGGCCCGCAGCTTCTTCAACCTCTAAGGCTCTCACATGTCCCATAGCACCTGAAAAGTCGTCAACAGTCAGCTCGCGGGAAAGCGGAAGTGAGGGTATGGGAGACATACAGTCACGGACGTCTACATAGTTTCCACCAGGATCAGGAAGGTCGTCCTGTGTCTTTTTGCCAATCATCCAGTCGTAAAAGTACCCTATAGTACAGTCAGTAGGTGGCATGTGTCATTAAGGGGCAGGCGACGTACCGACGGATGCATTCAAAGACTCGGGAGTGGCACATTCTTGAATGATAGGTCCGAGTACTCTTGAAGGGTTAATGGCAACACCGTCGAACGATGGTTTTTCATCCTCGATCCATTTCCAGAAAGACTGCTCTGCAAGAGTCTTGCTGCCTGATCAGAATTAGTATGACACGCCATTGTGTAGTGGTCCACTTACCTCGATACATGTTGGCACCATCGGCATCTCGGCCCTTCTCTTCGCATACTCTCAAACTCACGGGGTTCCAGTCGGCCTCCGTGAATCTACCACATCAAGTCAGTGAATGAATTGGCCCAAAGACGGACATGACTTACTTGTAAGGTTTCTGCTGGAGGATATCCGTGTTGATGATAGCGCCGACTGAGCTAAACATCCTAGTCAGCTTGGATCATTAGTCTGGACGGGAGACGCACCTTGTGACGACGACACGTTTGCACTCAGGGCTGCACTTGGTGGTAAGCTCCATAATACGCTTACAGGCATATTGATACTTACTTGTATCTCTTGAGACTCTCTAGAACACCCAAAGTACCACTCTTGGCGGGTCCAAGCATTTCGGCAGGATCAACAGCGTTATAGTGACAAGGACTACCAGCGGACTGTCAGCTACACAGTCGCCTTGGTATATGTCGACGAACCTAGCCATATGAGCCACGGCATCTACTCCTCTAACGACTTCATTAAACGCCCCTTTCTACACAAGATGTCAGATTCCGGCCAATGTAAACGAAGACAATAGACAGACCTCGGCGATGTCGCCGACGATGGCATACTCAAAGTTGGCTTTTGCATTCTTGAAAAGGTTGGTGAGGTATCCTCCTTTGGAATGACTCCGAACAGTCCCTCTGACGTTGAATCCCCTCTTCAAGAGTGTGTCTACAGTATGCCTGTGGATCAAGTCAGGATTGATGGCTGAAGTGGCCGGGCAAAGGACTCACGCGGCGATGTAACCACTCGCGCCTGTGACCAGAACGAGAGATCCCGGTTTGATAGCAGGCATCGTCAGAAGTCGTAGAAGTCGTTAGTCGATGCAATAGCTTGTTGTTGGCTTGTTGACAAAAGCAATTTTTGGAACCGAAGCAGGATGTTTCTAAACAAATTGAGCTAGCGGTCGGTGGAGGTCGAAATGGAGGCCGTCTGCCCGGCGTTCGGCAGCCTTCTGGTGGGCATACAAATGAAAGGTATTCGGGGGGACGAGTGTCGCTATTTTGCCGTGCAAACTGTATATGAGGGCAGCCGAGATGCTGGCGTGGAGTATTCATGGATAGTACTCTCAGCGGGGCAAACTGAACTTGAACTGAACATGGGCGGGAGCAGATGCTGGTCAAACTGACGCCTACAGAACTGTCAATTATCATGACGTTGTGACATATACACGCGGCACACCGCGCTCTCAGTCAGTTTTACTACATCTTGAACACATATACAAAATTGGCATTTACATAGCAATCAGCAAATGTACAGCTATAAGGCACTACAAAGACCTTCATGGACCGGCCTCCGACATATGGCCAGAGGGTGACCGGGCTCCTGCTTCCCTAACCCGAGCAGCACGCTCTCGCTTCTTCTTATTCTCCTCCTCGGTGGCCTTCCTCTTGCCCAGTGACTTTCGATGACTCTCCTCAAAATTCAAGGTCGATCAGCTCCCCTGCAGGGACGTTCACCTTCTTCCTCCCGCCTCCAGTCTTATTGCCCTGAGCATCCCGGGGAACTGAATGATCTGTTCTCGGTAGGGTATTCCCTCTTGCGTATACTGTAGGTCTTCCATGATCAAAGATTTGATCCCTAATTTGGGGGCGGGTGGAGACCGAATCATCCTGGCAGTCATCGCCCCGGGCACCATCATCACCATCATCACTGTCATCGGATACCTGGGCGGATCTGAGGCTGGGATCGAACAGGCGGCTGTATACCTTCTTGACATTGAACCCTTTCAGATCTTCCAGATTGAAAGAAGGTTGCATCAAAAGGTCCACCCGGCGCTGAAGCTTTTTCTCTGGGACAGGATTGCCTCCGCTTCTAGCCCAGCGTACAAGGTTGAGTATGTTGGAATTGTCCGCTTGGGAATGGCTGTCAAAATGAGTCAGCGAGATAAAGGCAGGCTTGTACCAGAAACCTACTCATTCTTGACGTCACCCTTATTTGACGGCACATCAATGGAGCCGTTACACGAATATGGGTCCCATTTTCGAAGGTATCTGCCTCACTGAGAGGTGTGTCGCAAGAACGATAGTTAGATGCCTCGCCATCATCTCTGTCTTTTCCAGCGAAATCCATTTCTTTGCCCTGATAACATACAGTCAGACGGTGCTTCTTACCCCTGACAACTTCATCCTTTGCTCACTTCAAATATGGATGGTTCATCGTAAGTTGTGGCTCGAAGGTCGGCATACTCGTTGGGCGTCTTGAATATACGATCGACACGGCTGTGCGCGTTGTTTTTTTTGGGGGAGGAGGCGGATCATGCTACACAAAGACAAATGTCAGAGGGTGATCACAGTATGGTACCAAGAGAAACACACTGCAAAGTCATCATTTCCTCCTTCACGCATTGCCCTAGCATCCTCTTCGGCCTTCATCATCCTCTTTGCATCCTCTTCATCGTGAGTGACTCGTGATTTAACGTGAACCGGCGCATGCCGCCAGCGGACGGCGGAACCAAATCACTGCAGGACCTCTGACATCCAAAACCCATCTCGAATCCAACTCGAATCCGTCCTTCGCATTCGAATCCTGCATCAAACTCCCTGTTCTCATCCTCATCTATCCGGGAAGGCCATAGTCTGAAGGCATAAAGTGTCGCACAAATTGCATCTCGACTAGACTCAGCATAATCGCAAGATGGCCGAACAAAACACTGAACTCACAAACCTCGAACTGGAAGCTGGGTCAGAGTGGAGGTTTGAGTTGGAAGGAGATGAGAATATGGCTGTCAGGGTATGTGATATTTCTTTGATTTCTGGGGGATTGATGAGAAAGTAAGCGTCGGCTGGGGTACCGCATCGTAAGTCTTGTCATCGACGGTGATGATGGTCTTGCTAAACACTTGCCTGTGTACAGGTCACGCATCGGAGTATCGTTTCAATCTACGCAGGACTACTCGGCAGGACTTCCCTCTGTTGATAGAGTGCTTGGTTTGCTATGCTACGCGGCATCACGTCCACTCTGAGCGTGCTATGGCCTTTCTGCGGTGTCGATGTGCACGTCAGAAGAGAATAGTGCAAGAACCATATCTGACTGGTATACTAACCCCTTCTCAGACTCTCTCTCAAGGATCCGTCCTGATCAACTCTGAAGAGATCAACCCCACCACTTGGTACCCCATCCACCGCTACACCAAAGCCGCCATATACGCCCCCTCCCCCGCCCGCCTTCAAGTCGCCAACATGCCCGCCTCCCAATACACATCATCTCCTACCAACCAGCCCCAGCTTATCAATATCCACCTGGCCTTGGAGAGAGAACGGATACTGGCCAAGCGCGGGCAGGGGAGTGCGCCGCGGGTAATGGTTATCGGACAGGCGAATGCGGGCAAGACGACGGTGGTGAAGAATTTGGTCAATATGGCGCTTGGCAGTGGACTTGGGTGGACGCCTGGTGTGGTTGGTTTGGATCCTGCAAGTGTGAGTAGCCTTGTTGATGAGTTGTACCATTGCTGATCTACGTATAGCCCCCGAACCTGATTCCGGGCAGTATCTCTCTGTCCACCCCTTCACACACTCTCCCAACGCACCATATCGCCCATCCCCTCGGCGCGCCCTCGACCTCTACAGCAGGAAACACTCTGTCTGGGAATGTCGAGACGCTTGCTTGGTGGTTGGGGACGAACGAGCCTACGAGCAAGAACCTGGAAGTTTGGAAGCTGTTGGTGCGGAATCTGGCCGATGCTTGGGAGAAGCGATGCCAACAGGACAAGAATGGTGAGTACATCATAGGTCTCGGCAATCTATCGCTAAGTGGATATTACAGCCGCCGTCTCGGGCCTCTTCGTCGACACTTCCAGCGCTTTCACCGTCCCCTCTCTGAGCAAGAAGAAAGACGACCACACCCCTCCATACTCTCTCGTCACCGACGCCGTCCAAGCCCTCGATATCGACACCATCCTCATCATCGGCAACGAAAAGCTCCAAATCGGCATCTCCCGTCTCCCCCTCCTCCAAGCCCGGGGCACCACCGTCATCCGTCTCCCCAAATCCGACGGCGCTGTCGACCTCGACGATGCCTACCGCTCTCTCGCGCATAGCTTCATCGTGAGGACGTACTTTTACGGCGAACCGCCGTTGCCGCCGCAGATCTCGAGTTTGGTGGGCAAGATGGTCGGGCTGGATAGCGAGTTAACGCCGTATTCGTTCCAGATTCCGTGGTACCGGCTTTCTGTGATGAGGGTTGGGGAGGAGAATACGGCGCCTTCTAGTGCGCTGCCTCTGGGGTCTTCGAAGGTTGTTTCGCCGACGAGACTTGTCAAAGTTGACCCGAGCGGTCCGGGGCATGTGGTGAGGCTTCTGAATACCGTCCTGGCGCTGGTCCAAGTCAAGAAGGAGGACTGGTTGAACCCGGAAGAGATGAAGGAGGAGAAAGAAGAGCACGATGGCGAGGGGGCTGAGGGGACGGAAGGAGAGGTGAAGGAGGAAGAGCAGGAGGATGAGGATGATGAAGTGCCGTACAAGGAAGAGATTGGGACGAGGGAGGTTTTGGGGTTCATCGTCATGTAAGTTGATACGACGTCTTCCTGTCTTTCCTTGGCTGATGCGATTCACAGTACTGCTATTGACACTGTGAAGAAAAAGTATACAGTCCTCTCCCCAAGCCCTGGCAAGCTTCCCTCTACTGTCGCTATCGCAGGTCACATCGAGTGGGTCGACTCGGCGTAAAAGAGCTCGCTGGTATCTAGGAGGGTTTTGCACGTGTGCATATGTTAATTATGCAGATATGTCATGGCAACTGTCGTGGATGCGACCGAGAAAGGCATAAGGTTGAGAGTATACAAGAAAGGCCCATGGAGCGAAGTACCGTCAGCGGATCACGTAAAGGTTCGTCGAGCCAGCGACAGGAGGGGCCAATGCGTTGCTCCTCGCTGCTGCTGTCAGGGCGAGAGGTGCCACGCAGAGCTGTATATACAGATATGCATCATATCCCCTTGTAAAGCAGCAGCATGGGCAGGTGCCGTGGCGTCTCATGGCCCTCGTGTCAGTGTGGAGATAGGGAAAAGTGCTGGTCCCTCGGTACGCCGATCTGAGCTTGTTTGATGGCTTCTTCAGTTGACTCGACGACAAGAGCACAAACGTGGTGCATCCACCCAGATGATGCAGGCCCAGTGATGCAGCATTGTGTATGAACCAAAAGTACGCCCTTCGGACTAACGTGCAATACTGGTAGAAGGAAGAGCTTGCAAGGATGTTAGTGGTTCGTGATGACAGTCACTTTGGCCGAATTTGGCGGGAATGATCCACCAGACAGCCCGGTGGAGGTCGTTCGTTATATTGCCGGCCATGTGAGAATTGGTGATAAGTACATAAGAAACAGCCCATCTTCTCTAATCATTACTTCTCCCCACTCCCGTCAAAACTCTGAGTCTATCCCACGTCTAGCCGGCTTCCTTGCCCGAACTTCCGACTCGAAAAGACCCGCTCAGCAAGCCACAAAGCTCATCCGGTATGAGCTCGCACTCCGGCACTTTGATTGACGAGGAGAAGGGTGTCCCAGACTCCCAGGTGCAAATGACACCGTATCTACTCCCAGATCGACCCCGCCACAGAAAAGAAGCTGGTGTGGAAAATTGACCTGACGATCTTGCCCCTTGGTGCGTGTCCGACCCTATGTCCGTCTTTTCATGTGCTAATGGTCACACGAAAGCCATCCTCGTCTACTGGGTGTCTTATCAGCAGGCATGGTCGCCTCTCTCGGACTCGGCACCTACGAGTTCAATACCGGTGCCTGTGTCTACTTTGTCGTCTACATATTCTGCCAGCCCTTCGCTGGGCTTGCCGTCAAACGATGAGGTTTCATTCTCATACCGATCTCGTGAGTCCGAGCTTTGGCTATGAATCATGCTGACTTCTCGAGAGTGTGCTAGGCTTTGCGGTTATCACTCTGGCGACAGCCTGGATCAAGAACAGCGGTCAATTCTACGCTGTGAGATGTCTACTCGGGGCGGTGGAGACTTTCAGCATGCCCGGTCTGAGCTATGTGCTGTCCAGGGTACGTATGTATGTCATGGATGAGCATTGAAACTGACTGTAGTAGTATTACCGTCGGCATGAGCTTACCGCGAGGTTTGGAATCTTCATGCTTGTGGCCATCGGATGCTCGCAAGGCTGTAAGCTGGCTCATCAAACCTCGGGCTGGGTGCTGACCCCTGGGTCACAGTTGGCGGTCTCTTGAGCGGTGCTCTAGTGGACATGGGATCTATCGGAAACGTAATGGGATGGAGTCTGATCTTCTTGGTCGCACGTCTGTTGCTCCCTGTGTCTATTCGGATACTGATCACTCGAGTAGGAAGGCATCATTACAATCGGCATCGCCATCTTCCTCATCATCTTCTTCCCTAGGGATCCCTTTACCACCAGAATGTTTAGTTTTTACACCCGAACAACGAAAATCAGCTCTCATGCGCCGCCAAGCCGATGCTCCTCCAGGCGAGGACACGAAAGAACCCATCAGTTGGGCAGGTATAAAGAAGATGTCCTTCCTGAATCTGAACATGGCCGCATACTGCTGCATGTATATTGCAAGTGAGTGCTACGTACCTTGCGGTGGTACCAAAGTTGACTTGGACAGACTGCATGTCTTCGCAAGGTCTCGCCATCTTCACGACGTCCATTCTTCAAGTCATCTACCCCGATGCGAGCACCAAGCCTATCCAGTATCTGTCGGTGGGACCGCAGGTTGTGGCGGTATTCATTTTCATAGGGGTCCTTGGGTGCTTTGCGGCAAGCAGACCGCAAAGACAAGGATACATTTGTCCTCGTCGGCGCCGGCTTGTGTATCTTTGCTTGTAAGCACCCTCACATATCAGAAAGACCGCAAGCTCACGAGATCCCAGACATCATTCTCGTCTCCACCGCCCAGCAGACCTCCTCCAGCTATGCCAGCCTTCGCTACTTTGCCCTCTTCATCGTCACCGGCGGCGGCTACATCTACGCTACCTGCGTCCTCGGCTGGGCCATGTCCAACGCTTCTCCCGACACTACCCGCTCTCTCACCGGCGCGCTTGTCACCGGCCTCGGATCCATCGGCTCCATCGCGTCAACATGGTCGTACATTGCGACGGACGCACATACAGGGTTCAGGATAGGAAATGCGTTGAATATAGGGATGAATGTAGGGACGGTGCTGGTCTGTCTGGGGTTGATGGCGTATCAAAAGAAGGAGAATCAGTTGAGAGAAGGAGGTGGTAGGGATTATAGGTTGTTGGAGCCGCAACCGGAAAAGCTTGGGAGACACCATCCTGCGTACCGTTATAAGAGTGAGTAAAGTGGTTCAAGTTTGGGTAGACAGGACTTTGCTGACAGTGTGACAAAGTCTAATGAATCGATGAACAAAACGACCCCTGTCGATAAAAGTCGGCATGATTTAAGACGGAAAGAGAAAGGTCCGCTGTATGGACCCATGAGGCTTACAATTAACTATGCATGTGAATGAAACCAATCCAAAACCTTGCTCTCCCCCTCCCTTCTGCCTCGAGAGACTCGAGACCAGCATCTCCTTATCACTCTCCGATCATGAAGCCGGAGCAGTGTATCGGTTTGCGCCTTCAACGGTTTGGATGTTGGCAATATCTGCAGGGTGCTTCTCCTCTTCTTCTTGCTCGGGACTGTCAAACATGGCGTCCTTGATGAAGGGCGAGTGGTGGCGGAGGTACTCGCCTTTGTACTATTGTACATGTCAGCTCCAATGTACGTGTTGATTTCGGAAGAAAACTTACGAAGAGAAGGAAGGGGACACCAGACAGAGCGAGCGCGAGGAACCCGAGAAGACTTCCGGCCCAGTGGAAACCGAGGTTGGTGAAGAGGGCTTGACTGGCGAGGGGCAAGAAGGCTCCGAACGCATTCTGTTGGTAGTTGTCAGCGCAGAAAGCTAAAGAAGAAATTCGGAACGTACTCTGCCGAGAGAAGCGGCTGACAAAGCAGAACTGGCATACTTTTCGTAGGCATCAGTCAAATATGTCACAGTACCCATATCTGCGATTCTGCGTAAGCAAATGACCAATAATCATAGAGAGCGATACTTACAGATACTGTAGATACCCAAACCAATGAAACCGATAGCAAGCGTCGGCACGATCCAGTGTATACTCGGGTAACTCGTCCATCCATACCAGAACAAGGCGCCGGTAAACAGGAGACTTCCAGGCATGGAAAAGTAGAGTCGAGCCTCAGGGATGGGCTTTTCCTTGGTCTCCTTGTTACGAGCGGCAGAGCCGAGGTACATCCGGTCTTGGAAGGGGTTGATGATGGTACCGACGACAGCGCCGACGGAGAGGGCGAGTTGGATGAGACTGGTTTGGAAAGTGTTGAATCCGTAGCTGGGGAGATTGTCAGATGTCATCGATGTTGACCTGCACATGACACTCACTTGGTCTGGAAAGTCTGGGTGATACTGTTCTGGAACAAGAACAAAAGACCCCAAGCTAAAGAGCATCAGCGCCATGTCCAAATGATGTGATTGGTCAAAACACTCACCAAAGGACACCCAAAGAGTGAAAGCGGCAACCACAAACTCGGTCACCAGCATCTTGGTAGGTCTCTCAAAAGAGATCTTGAGTTCCTCTAAGAGGGGCTTGCGCTTGAGCTCAGACTTGGCGTAGACTTCTCGGCCAGTTTCTTTACGAATCTTGGCGGCTCGTTTGGCGAGGATGACATCGCCTCGGGTTTCGCGAAGGATGAACCAGAAGACGGGGAGAAGAGCACCGTCAAAGATGAGCTGCATCCAGTAGATCCTGATGGGTGTTAGCTCGCTGTCGATGAAAGAGTCGTCAATTTACTCACCAGTGCCAGTTGAGAGTACTGTGATTGGTCTGGATAGCGCCACCGATGAATGGACCTAGAGCGATACCGACGACACTTGTCATACCGAAGATACTCATGGGGATACTTCGTTCTATATATGTAGGTGAGTTTTCAGGCCTGACATACACAGACGGATGCACGTACCCTTGGGACCCTTCCAGATATCGGCAATGGTACCACCGACAATGTTGATAGAGACCGAACTGGCTCCGCCGCCAAAGAATCGAGTGACGATCATGGTGGCAAAGTTGGTTCCGACTCCGGAGGGGATAAGGAAGATGAGGAAGACAATATAGGAGATCTGAGACACGACACTTTACGTCAATGTACGTTCCATGACCGAGGCGCCAGTCTTACAAAGTATCCAGGCATACGTCCACTCTTCTCGGTCAACGGGACAAACAAGAGAGGGAAGGTGGCGGCACCTGAATGGGTTTAGTTGGACATCACGGAGACAGCTCAAAAGACATACCGATGTTCCAGCTACAGGTGGCCCATTGCAGCCAAGGGAAGTTGGTCTGGTCGATGCCATATGCCTCCTCCATGTACTCATTTCCGGCACCGTAAGCTCCAGCAGGCAGACCAGTAAGGATAGAACTATGTCCGGGTCAGCTGGACTCTTCACTAGGCGGACGATCTACGCACATGAAGCATGTCGTTATTGTCAGGAGCCACTTGTAAGATATTGAAAAGTTGAAGGGGTTGTCGGGGTCGTCGGGTCCGTCCCAATCGATGATTTCTCTACCCTTGTCGTCAATCTTTCCCCTCTTGTGGCCACTGCCAGACTCGGAGGGATCTGGAGTAGCGTCAGTGCCGCCCAATGACACGAGTAGTACGACGTACGCAAGGTAGTGCCCTCATCCGACGACATCTGCCCCGACTCCAGGTCTGCCTCACGCCTATTCTCTACCGCCTTCTGTGTCGATCCCGATTTGCCCATATCGACGAGCTGTGAAAGTGTATAGCTGTGAATGTGTACTCTATAGTACAAGGATATATGTTAGCTGAACAAGGGTACTGCAGTCATATAGCAACGACAATGAAGCAGGGGAGCCGGGAGATCGGTTGGCATCGCTTTCGAGTGTCTTGTTGTATTTAATCCTCCCACCTGCGCTGCTCGTCATGACCGGTCCTCGATGACTAAACGGACAAGGGATACTCAGTCTGGAGTCCCATAAATTTAGTTGGAAAGATCCCGTGTATTCTTGCCTCTTTCAGCTCACGTTATCGGTGGAGGCAAAAAATGTTGAGCGTCAGAGGCGCGTCATCAGGAACGAGCAGCTGATCTTCAGCAGTTCCTTGGCCGTTTCAGCTTTGTTTGGCTTCAAATCTTCGCTGGAACCTCGCCAAGGTGCATGCAGCGCATCTTGGGGCTGTCATCGAGCTGTTGCATGCCGAGAACGGTGCACATCTGGGCATACCAGCGTTGGCATGAAATCGTTGAAGACGATGGCGGAGCTCTGTATCGGCGCTTGAACGCCGCTGACCGTTGGCCCCGCTATCGCTTGTCGTCCATATCGTCGCTTGATAAACAAAAACCTGAGCAAACCCCGCTGTCCGCTGTTGTTTTCACCTGTTTCGAGGTCCTCGGCGTTCGGGTTTCGGGGCTCATGTGCGCAGTGCGATAGCTGCGTCTGCCGTCTTTTACAAGCCTTGCGCTGCGGAGCACCCGTCGCTGAGAATAGCTGACGTTGCCCGAGGACAATCCCTTGACCCCCCCCGACGGCCACCAGATGGTCGACCGATTGATTTGAAGAGCTGATCCCTGCTCATAGCCCACCCCATGGGAGTACGAGGTAGGTCCTGGATATGTCTGAGAAACTGGAAAACTCTGGCTGTCCAGAAACAAGGTCCATAGCTTGGCAAAGGGGCGGCAACCTCTTGACAAGAGACAAGATCTTTGACCTCTATATGCATATCGAGTAGATGGAGAAGCAACCACAAGCTATACAGTAGAGCCCGAGCATGCTGCATGGCCATGTCCCGTACACCTCGGCGCTGCTGGTGAGTGGTGCGACCTTTTGACGCACGTAAATGCGCTTGCGACATCACATCATCATCGACCAAACGCAAAAGCAAAAAGCAACAAGATTCTGACTTTCATGAGGATCGAACTCGAGACTTGTCTTCCAAAAAGGTTCCGCGGTCGAGAACGCGCTCCGGCCTCATTCTCTCTCTGCTCTTGCTCTGCTCTACAGTTCTTCAGTCCCATCCACGCCTGCTATCTCCCTCCAGACTATTTTCACCAGCACACTCTCCCGCCCCTTCAAATCTATACTCTCCCCGGTCCACCATCTCTCAGTCTTCGATCCAGCACAAGGGAAACGGCCCAGAACAGCAATCTCCACGTCAAAAGACGTCTCACAATGATCAACTATGTCATGCTTGTCTCCCGGCAGGGTGAGTCTTGCCCCTCTCTGCCATTAGAAAGAAGCACTTTACGATGGACAGCTGCTGATGTAGCGAAACAGGCAAAGTGCGTTTAGCAAAGTGGTTCCAAACCCTGCCGCCCAAGACGAAGAACAAGATCGTGAAGGATGTGACCCAATTGGTGCTTGCTAGACGCACGAGGATGTGCAACTTCCTCGAGTACAAGGGTAAGCCTTCCCCATCCTCTACGAAGAGTGTCGGATAATAAGCTGACAGGACGTATCAGACACCAAGGTCATTTACCGCAGATACGCTTCCCTCTTCTTCATCACCTCCATCTCGCCAGGCGACAATGAGCTCATAACGCTTGAGATCATACATCGTTATGTGGAGGTGCTGGATAGATACTTTGGAAATGTTTGAGCCTTCCTAATGGGCTGGGGATGATGTGCTGATGGATGAGTAGGTGTGCGAGCTTGATTTGATCTTCAACTTCCAGAAGGCGTTCGCTGTCAGTCTTTATTCTGTTGTTCCTCGTGACACGTGCTGACTGAGACGTAGGTGCTCGACGAGCTCATCATTGCGGGGGAAATACAAGAGTCATCAAAGAAGACCGTCCTCAAGATTGTGCGTGACCTCTTCCCACACTTTCCTTTTGGCAGCGAGCTGACCATCCTATCCAGGTTGCCCAGTCTGATGCTATTGAAGAGGGTGAGTTACTGCTCACAGACCTGAAGGACAGTGGCCTCGCTTTCTAGAGTGGGCACGTCTTGATATATGATGTTCGTCGAGCAAGAGCAGGCGCTGACTGGATCTTGCAATTATAGCCGAAGTATCTGAAGACTCTTTGGCGCGCTTGGGTAGTATGGCTAGAAGTCAGCTTGGATAAGGGTCAGGTGTTGAACGAGGAGTTCAGATGGGAGTTGTATCGTACGAAGAAATGCAACGACGTGCTACATGAGCGGCGTGGGTATGTGATCTATGGAGGTTATGATGGGTCATTTACAGCTCTACAAAGATGATCTATCCTACAACAGTCCGTGGGCGTATCCATGATGGGCGCGTTATACAGTCTTTGCGATTCCAGTCAGTCCGATGAAAAAGCGTAGGAGAAGAGACTCACATCGTCGTCGTAGTGCCACCTCGTTTTCTTGGGGTTTGAAGGTGCCGAGCGGACGTAGCGATCGTTTCCTTCCGGTCTGCAAGCGGACATCAGGATGACACCCATCACAGATACAGAGCTTGGACTTACAACTCCTTCTTCTTACATGAAGCCAGCATGGATTGCATGGTGATGCAAATAGAGATGGCGTTGAGGACTATGAGCTGTTAGTGTTGCACCCTCCCCCATGTACTCATCAACGCACCTGGGGACCACTCGTGACCTGAACACCATTAGCATAGACCAGCATATACATAATAGTAACGCACCTAATATAGAAGCGCATATGTGCCCGTTCGTATAGATATGGGGATGCACAGGCGGGGTCCACTCATTGTCCGCAATAAAAGTGACCTGGGCAGCGCACATGAGCTTCTCACTCATCCTGACAAAGACACAGGTCAGACCCACCTGAGGAACTTCTATAGGGTATCTATCCTCAAATTTGATTCGCAAAGCAAACACTTCGCCCTTCATCGTCCATTGTCAGCTGCCATTGTGTCAAAAGTTGACATGGACGTACTCTGTAGACTGTCTCGTCTCCGAGTACAGCTATTGTAAAGATCCACTCTTCCATACTGTCCGCGCTCAGCAGGGCTATACCAGGAGGCGTCCCCTTCGTATTGATATCCCCCAGTTCCTTCACTATCTCGACTATCAGCACTACTTCGACTTGCTAGATTTCAAGATGAAGGACGTACTGAGCCTTTTGGTAGCGAGTCTGACAGACATGACGGGTATGCTAGACAAGAGGGGACAGGTATCAAGATAGATTTGACTTGCGGTGGGGATAGATGTGGTCAATATGAGTTGCACGCTTTAATCAGAAAATGCACAGGTGATCCACAACTCATGGCCACCGGCGGTTCGAGGGCGGCGATCTCCGCGCCATTACCCGGCTGTTAATCGCCTTTGCTTGTTCGACGCGTCGGCGCTCAATTGCGCGCCAATTACCGTCTTCATAGACATAGAATGTCCTCGATACCAGTCCTATCAAGATCCAAGTCACCGAATACCTCTCACCATCACCCGCAACGGCTGGCTTCTCACAACCATGGGCGTCCTCAACTATACCCAAAACAAACCCAAGGACATGTCAAGGGGCTACCTCGAGGCCTGCAACTACAGCAAAGACGCCCAGTTCGACTTCCATGACCGAAGCCCCAGAATCCAAGCCCTGAGGGGTCCAGCTGCCGCTTTGTACCACGCAAAGCTGAAGCATGAGAGACAAACCAGGTGGTACGAGCTGCAAAAACAAAAGGCTTTGCAGAAGAAGGCTTTGGAAGCCGAACGGGTCAAGGCTGGCGGAAGAGCGGCTGTGCCGGCTGGGGAGGAAGGGAAAAAGAGAGGCAAGACGGATGATGACTCTGGAGGTAGGAGCGGGGGCAAGACCGACTATGGGGACAGATGGAAGAACTCTGGGTCTGGAGGCTTCCATTTCAATCACAGTGAGTACGACTTGAGGGACTGGGCGCTTGAAAGGGAGAGCAGATGAATATGAGGAGAGGGATAATTGTATACGCCGTCAAAGAATCTGGTCGGTTGGAAGGTGTGATGGGATAGTTGAGCTACTGTGAGTCACTTGCATGTTTCATCAAGAAACGAGCGCTGATTGATCTACAGTAGTTGTATTTAAGTATAATCCAATACCGACTTTGTTGGTGAATATCTACAGTCCTTTTTCAAAGAAGACTACCCTATCAACACCCTAAAGTATTACTCAGCCTTCCTCAACCCCCAAATGTCACGTCTCACCAAGGCCCTGAAACTCCTCGGATCCTCATCCCTTCGAACCAACAAATCCAACCTCCTCTCCGACCCGAGGTCCTTCAGAACCATGGTGTGTCGCTTGACCTTGTCACATAAGCCATCCGTCCTGGCCTCGAGGAGAGACTGAAGGGAAGGCTTGGATGCAAAGGCTTTGGCAGACGCCTTGGGAGGGTTGGGGACGAATTTAGCCCAAGATTTGAATGCTTTCTCGTTGAGAAACATGGGGTCCACTAGGGCTCTATACACCGTCGTTGGCGGCGGGAGCTGAGAGGAAGTGGTAACATGGCTAAAGCGTATGTTCCCAGGGAGGCGGAAGATTTGGATATCGACAGGAGGGTCCATGTAGAATGATGTCCAAAAGGCAGTCCTCATCTGCGATATTTGTTTCAGCGCGCACACAGAAGGGAGAGCAAAGTTCACTTACCAATGGCGACCACCATTCCGGGTCCTCGACAAAAAACCACTGACACTACTGAAAACAACCACTCCTCGTTGTAGAATTTTGGGAGGAAATTACCTTCGGGAACCTCAGGGCGGCTTGTGACAGAGGTGCGAAGCAATGGTGCTTCTTTGCAGGTTGCTATAAGGGAAGCGTCAAACTTTGTCATCCCCAACCAGATCTTTGCTGGTTAGTAAAGCAATAGCAGATGACGTACGCTTCGCGCATGCAGAACTCACCTTATGGGCCAGTTTGTCTGATCTCTCTTTCGCACTCTCCATCACCGCAAGACTTGGGGCCGTAATGACGCCGGGATGAATTTTCACACTCTGATGGTATTTGTTTACGTAGGTACGATACTGATCATTCTTGCTGGCTTGACCAGCAGGAACAGGGACGTGGAGAGCATGTGCGACGACGATGGTACTCTTTCCAGCCTGTGGAATGCGAAGGGGCGATTGATGGCTAGGTTTGACTGTTAGCCCAAGCTGTGCGTTGGGAAATACATACTTACCTAGCCGAAAACGTGCCTTGTTTAGAAGCAACTTGCAAAGGCAAAGTCGGGGGGCCTTGAGGAGCGTCGTTCACCTTGGCTATTGCCAGTGCATTGTTGTCCACTAGCCTCAAAGGGGCTTTGTGTCGATTGAAGGCTTCTTCTCGTTCTTCACCTTTGGGGCCAGCTTGGCGTATCGCCTCAGCAAGCTCGGGCTCCTGCGGCGGCAGGATGGGGGCGGCAGGATCGATTTTAGGGGTGCGCTGGTCCCATTCTTCGCTGACGACTTCACGAGCGACTTCTCGTAATCGAAGGTCGAAATCGGGAGGGAAAGGGCTGTAGGTGATGGATATAGTAAGGCCCTGTACAGGCAAGTGTAAGGTCAGTCGTCTTCCTGCTGTAATGCGCACAAGAAGAACGAGAGAGGAGAAGCAAACAATCGGTCATTTGCTCACCATTGGGTCTAGGACATCGGTGGCCTCGATGGGGAGAAGTACTCGAAAGAAATCAAACCCCAAGAAAGGATGTTTATCGCCTCACTGAGACCGACATCGAGAAGTGAGCCCTGGTGCCCACACTTCGACAGAACATAACGACCATCAGAGAACGATCGACACTCCACGGACTTGCAGTAGCCGAGGGTCATATGTTCACAGATGGAGTGCGAGGGGATTCTTGAATCCGCTGCTTTTATAGGATGGAATACCCTGAGACTACCTTTGGAGCTTGGAGTCAAGCTTAGTTACAGTCTGGTGATCGTTCAACGTTAGTGTGTAGCGCCACCGAGTCCGAGATATGAGCGGTCCTGTTGAAACCATGTATACACGAGCACTATAACAGACACTGTCTTAGGTCTTAAGCAACTCCTGCTCGCCTTGGCCCATGCTGGCGGCCAGATTGGTCACCCAACACGGAACCCAACAATGAGCAGAATGAAAAGGTGGAGATGCCCGCAAGCCAAAATGGTTCCGTTCCTTCGACGCAGCGGCGTCACTGCTAAACCGCTGCCTGGTGCGCACTTTTCGACACTTGAGTCCCAAAAGCAATCTTCCCTACCCCTTACGATGGCGCATATTCCCAAGCATAGAGCTCTCCCAGACAAGGAGAACAAGCTCTTCAGGGAGCTTTTGGTGCCTTTTTTCAGACTGCAGATCCGTCACACGCTTACCATCTTTGACATTCCAGACCCAATATGAGCTCAAGCAGTACAAGAAAGGTATCAAGGCTGCCGACACGATTCTCAAAAAGTTCCCCAACCATGGAGGTACGTATAGCAGTCATGGCTAGGATTTGAGAGCTTACACAATATCAGAAACCATCGCTTTGAAAGCCCTTACCATCCACTCTTCCCTTCCCGACCCTATGACCGCCTCAGCCGTGCCAAAGAAGGAAGAAGCAAAAGCCATGGCTCGTCTTGCTGTCAAGAAGGACATCACCAGTCACATCACATGGCACGTTCTTGGTATCTTTGCCAAGTCAGAACGGAACTGGGACGAAGCTTCCAGAGCATTTGCCCAGGCGCGAAGGCTCGACCCCGACAACATTCCTCTCATTCGAGACTCTATCAGCCTCCTCACCCACACCCGACAGTACTCTCAAGCTCTCCAAGCTCGACATCACTTCCTTACCCTCCGTCCTCAGATTCGTGCCACCTGGCTCGGTCTTGTTGTTGCCCACCACCTCGCAGGTGATGCCGACGAAGCTATTCGGGTGTACAATGACTATACCGAGGCGACCGCCATCGATGGAGCTACTGCTCCCGAGAAAGCGCAGACCCTCATGTATGTGATCTCACTTTGCATCGAGGCCGGAAGAAAGGAGGAGGCGTTGGAGAGGCTGGAGGCAGGCGTGAAGGAGGAGGTCATCTCGCCGAGAGGACAGGTCTCTCTGACCAAGGCGCAGCTTTTGGGCGAGCTGGAGCGAACAGAAGAGGCGTTGAAGGTCTGGGAAGAGCTTTTGAAGCAAAACTCGGACAGCTTGGATTACTACCGGGGCTACTTTAAGGCCAAGGGTCTCGATCTTGCTGGACCTCACGACGAAGCCGCCCAATCAGCTCTGCTCGAGTCCCTCGAACAGCTTTCCCAGAAATATCCTCGCTCTGCCGCCCCCCGTCGATTGGCTCTCGACGTTGCCCAAGGCGAAAAGTTCCGACAAATCGCCCAGGCATATATCGTCAAGGGTCTCGAACGTGGTGTCCCCTCATTATTCGTCGACGTCAAGAGCATCTACTCTGATTCCACAAAGATGACCGTCATTGGCGAAATCGTCCAGGAGATCATCTCCAAGCTCGAGAAAGAGTCCACTCTCGCCAACGACGGCAGCATCGCCCCTCCTACCGTCCTCCTCTGGGCATACTACTACCTCGCTCTTCATCTCACACACCCTCGCAACGCTTCTCCCAACCCTACGCGCGCTCTTGAGCTTGTTGAACTTGCCATCACCCACACCCCCACTCTTCCGGAGTTGTACATGGCAAAGGCCATCGTGCTCAAACGTGCTGGCGACCCTCTGGGTGCGGCGCACGAGATGGAGAAGGCCCGTCTGCTCGATGGACAAGATCGATTCTTGAACGGCAAGGCTGCCAAGTACTGGCTCCGAGCTGGCAACGTCGAGAAGGCCGAAGAGCTGTTGGCGATGTTTACCAAGAAGGACATGTCGCCGATCCAGGACTTGACAGACTTGCAGTGTGTCTGGTTCTTGCAGGAGGAGGGTGATGCGTACAGGCGGAGTCAGAATAGGGGAATGGCGTTGAAGAGGTATCAGACGGTGGTGTCTGTGTTCAAGGAGTATGAGGATGATCAATATGATTTCCATGGTTACTGCACTCGACGAGATACCTTCTCTGCCTACATCGAGTGCGTCTACTGTCTTCTTGTGGGACCCTTCACTAATAACATTCTAGGTTGCTCAACTACGAAGAAACCCTCCGCTCGAATCCCCACTATGCCAAAGCTGCCCTCGCTCTCATCTCCATCTACACTGAAATCTCCGACAACCCCTCTCTCACCGTCGAGCACATCACCCCTGAAGAAGAAGCCGAGCGCAAACGACTCGCCAAAAAGGCCCAAAAGGCCGAGTCTAAAGCCAAAAAGGCCGCTGCGACATCGGGAGACAAGAAGGAGGAACCGCCTTTGCCGGATGAGGACCCCAAGGGAGAGAAGCTCTTGAAGAGCGAGACGCCGCTGGATGATGCTGAGAAGGTGTGGAAGGCTTTGGAGCAGCTGGCTGGGGAGAGGGTGGAGACTTGGTTGGCGGGATACGAGATTTTCAGCAGGAAGAGTGAGTTTCCAGAGCCTTGTAATGGAAGTTGTAGCTGACCCGTTGTACAGAGCTCTACGCGGCTGCTCTCCGAAGTTTGCTCACTGCCCAATCAATCGCCCCCTCCAACCCTACCCTCCACCACCAGATTCTCAATTTTGCCCGCCTCACCTCTTCTGCCGACTTGCCCGCTCCTATTGCCCAGGTCATCGAGCAAAGTCTCCCCACGCTGCTTGGCGGTAAAGATGCCAAGTCCGCTAGCGAGGCTTTCGTAGAGCAAGCGATCAAGGGCTCCGATGCTGAGGCTATCCTCGGTGCCACCAAGGGTCACCTCGAAGTCAATCACACCGACGTCTCTGGCGCCATCTCCATCCTCTCCAACTTTGCTTCTCCTTCCGTCCCTCCTAGCGTACAGGGTTTCCTCTCTGCCATCAACTTCATCTCTTCCCGAGAAGGCGCAGAAGAGGCGCAGGTGGAAGCGCTGAGGCAAAAGTTGGAGGAGAGGATGCCCCTGGCTTGGGCATTGAAGAGTGGGAAGGAGCAAGGGGCGAGAAAGGAGATGTTGGAAAAGGAGGCGCAGGGGGAAGAGGTCGTGGGAAAGGCGGATCTCTGATACCATTTCTATACAGATTGTTTGGCATAACTGTAGAAAGGCGGTGAATAGAAGATTAAAAAGCATATATGCATTGTCATGGCTTGCCCGTATTTCCTTTGAGTGGTTGCGTGCATATACGTTATGTTTCTACAATTCTAAGTTCTAGATATAATCCGTCAACCTCACAGATCCAATTTTCTCGTCTTCTTCTACTACATCTACCCCAACCTCGCCGTTTGCTCGTCTCACCGCCCGATCCCAAATCAACCACGGCTCCTGACCTTGCACGAAGGTGAACCCTACTAGAGCAAACACCCGCTCTACTAGCCTTGCTACGATGAAAGCTTTGAGGACTCGCTGCAAGACTGCGCGCCTGGCTCCCGTGGAAAGTAGAGAGGAGTCGGTGAAATGTGGGGCAAGGGTGGATAGGGCCGGAATAGAAGATGGGGGTTGGGTACTGGAGTTAGAGTACAGATACGTAAAGTATCTCTGACGTATAGACCTTGTCCAGCGTGATATATAGTCACTTTGAGCTTGATCGGGAGGACCAAACATGCGGATAAAGAGCGCCTCGTTGGAGACTACAGTGAGTCTCTCAAACATGAGAAACAAAAAGTGCTGAGGCGAAGGCGCCGCCATGAGGTTTGTAAAGAACGTAGGGTCGGCAGTGTGGATACTCAGCACTTCGTCCCCTGAGCCCGCAAGGAGCGGCTGTGGACCATGCTCAAAGACCACCTCCAGCCTGATACCAAGTTGCTCTGCCCTCTTGACCATCAACTCTTGAATCGCTTTTGTCACGCCCCTTTTTCCGGAAGACATGGGCTTGCGCTGGAGGCCATAGTCGATACCAGTATCCCCCGGGTGGGGGTTGAAGCCGTTGCCGGTGAATGGACATCCCGGTTCGGGTCTGGGGTACAAAGCGAGTTTCTTTCGATAGTTTAGGATGTATGCTTGCCAATATGTTCGTACTTGGACGAGTAGCAATGTTCCCGGCCACTTTCGCAACACCTTCAACATGCCCCAGGCTGATTCCCATCCCTCCCCGAGTCTGGCAGGAGGCAAGGGGCCAGAGACGAGGGTCACATTCAGCTTCATCACCTTGTCTGGCGTCAAGACTCGGACAAAGACTTTGAACTTGGGCACAAAGTTGGGGATTTTGGAGTAGCCGGCAGGGAAGGGGTCTAGAATATCGAGACGGTAGTATCCTGAGCGGTTGTTGAAAGGGGAAGTGTGGAAGGTGCGGGGGAGAGTAAAGGCGAGATCGTACCCTTTGTTAGGTTCCTGTCTCAGAGGTGAGTCGAGACCGAGGACATAGGCGCAGCTTGCATCACCGTCAGTCTCTTGCCATTCCTTGTTTCATGCCCACTTACGACTCTTCAAACGAATTGTGCACTTCCAGAATAAGCCACTTGAGCAACCCCTCCTCTCCATCTTTCGCCTTGCTGTAGATGTACCAATTTGTCATCGGGTTCGTCCCCTCCAACCCCAGAAAACTAGGCATGGTCGTCATCCACGCCCTCCCAATATCTTCCTTCGCTACCCCATGACGAGCCATAAGCTCCTCCAGCTTGACCCGGAAAGGAGCATTACCATGACCGAGGTAATACTTGCTCCTCAAGCCAACCACTTTCTTCTTTGGGTCTCCGCCGTGGTGCAAAACACGGAGAGGGAGGTCGAGTGCGCCATCTTGAAGAGCTTCAATGTCAGCACAGAGGCATAGTACGGGGATGCTGAAAGCATTGCGTGCAGACGAAGGGATTTGACGGCCGTGGTAGGTGACGGCTGGGAAAAAGAAAGAGGGCAGGGCATTGGGCGGCTGTTTTTTGGTAGGGGTGGTGAGGTAGATGTAGCCGGCGAAGAGGGGGATGGCTGCAATGACCAGGAGCAGGATGGGGGAGGACATCGTGACGGGATGGCCCCTGTGACACCTCGAACAGCTGCTTATGTAGAAATGGCCGGGAGCAACAGGGGAGCCGATGCCCGGCGGCCATGGCTGCTGCAGTATCTCGAGCCAACGACAGGATGCAAATATCTAACTCTATCACAACAGCGCCGTATCGCTCTTTCCCTCCTTCACAAGCCTCTTCCACTCTACCCGCCACCCATCCATCTTTCCCCTCAGACCCTTCAGCGCCAACACCTTGTGGATCCACTGCATCAGCGAGTCTTCGTCTTCGGCGACAAAGTAGGATGAGAGAAGGGACAGGATCGATTCGAAAGAGGCGTGGGGCGATGCGAGGAGGTCTATGGAGGTATGAGCGAGTGGTCGGAATAGAGAGACACGACATACCTCGGAAAGCCCATAGAATGGCAAGACTGGTGATAATGACCACATCTCGGCCTTCCATCCAAAGCACATCCCAGATCCGTAGTTGCTGAGAAAAGGGTACAGTGTTGACAAACAGGGTGATGAACCACTTGGTGCCCCATGAAGTAGTGGATATAGTGTTCCGTTGCTTGAGTAGTCAAGTCAGCAAAAACCAGCTAGGGGTGCCAGATGGACTCACAAAAGATTGGTAGACATCTGCCATGAGCCATTCCATCAACCGTTCCTGCACGTAAAACGCTTCAAGCAACCCCGGAAACCCAGGCTCAAAGATGTCGTGCATCCCATACACATCATGCAAGCGGACCATGAGCGCATAAGCTCTCTGCCACCAACATTAGCTCGTACGCCCAATTCTTGAGTGGATAACTCACCTCGGGTTCATAATAACACAGCAGCGTCGCTGCTATCGGTCCCATACCCTGAACATACCCACAAGTCTCACACAGTTGACCAAAACAATGCAGTACGTGCCAAAGATTCCGTTGACCGGTGCCGTACCGTGTGACAAACATGGTATGACCGCTGATAGTCCGAGGAACGTCGAGATCGATCTGGACGTCAAACGTGGATGGGAGGTTGATACAATCCTGTCATAGACGTCAGAAAACTCCCGTAAAGAACGAGGGACATACGTTGTAGTCCTTTATCAGCTCAGGAGCAGATGCTTTCCCCTTTCCCTTCCCTTTCCATTGCTGAGCCTGCCCATCCGACAACGTCCACCACGCGGCCATTCGCCACCTATCAGGTATCCCCTTATACACCCGATTCTGCAGCTTTGCCCCTTGCCCATCATGGCTCCATTCCCACTCTGCAATATTCCCTCCCGGATCTCTCTTCTTGACCTTCATCATCCTGGCCCATTTCCCTACTCTTTCAGTCTCTTTCCGTTTAGCACGGTCTTCTGCACTTCCGTCAAGAGATGGGCTCTTGGGCGGGTTGGCGGTGGGGCAGTTGCCGTTGGAGGGACCGAAGTTGTTGTTGGGTTCGACTGGGGGTTTGCCGGATAATGGAGAATGCGAAGGGAGCTTTGGGACTTTGGATAGGGCGGCAGAGGGGATGGAGGCGAGGCGGGACTCGGAGCGGTTTCGATGGGGCTCCTTGACGAAACCATACCTGACGTCTATTAGCAGATCCTCTGTAGCATGTTGATATACTCACCGATCGAGACTCGACAAGTACTGCTTCTCCTTCTCCCCCAAGTCTCCTGACTTGGTCGCAAACAACATGGTAGCTCGTTTATTCAGCGTGGCTGGTCCACCCCGCGTGCGCTCTACACCTTGGTCCCAGCCATCTCCATGGACACCCTCTGCATCAAGCCTCGCATCTGAAAATCATCAGCACAGTACACCAAAATATCAAGTACTCACAAGTAGATCTGACATAAAAAGAATCTTCTTCCTCCCCGGGATACCTAGACGAACCAGCCACGCTCGTCTGGCTCTGTGCTCCATCCGTCGTTGTCGAGAAACCAGTGCTCATGCTGGATCGCGGCTTTCCAGTGGTATCCGCAGGGCTCAACCTCTGGCTAGACCGCCCAGGAGAGTCTGTCGTTGACACTGTGATGGCAGAGTACTGACTTTCGTTTCGACGTCGAGGACTTGGGGTATGGGGCTGGGACGGCGGACGGGTCGATGGTGCCGCAGGAGGTGAAGGTGTCGGCGGGGACGTAATGGAGATATCGGGGGTATTCTCTGAAGCCATACTCCATCTCCCTTGCCTCTCAGGTGTACTCGCAAGAGCCCTCATAGGTCCCTCCCAACTACTCCCCTCCTCCTCCCCCTCCACAGACCCTCCTTTTACTCCATCCCTTCCACTCGTCCATCTCTGCCGCATATCCAGCCGTTCCATCATATCTCCCACTTCCTCGTCTTCCCCCAGAGCGCCATAGAGGTCGAATATATCTGCAGCCTGGCCGGCGCTTTCGACAGTCGAGTCCCGCGACGGGTCGCGCTTGGGCGAGTTTTGGAAATTGTGGTATGCAACTGGCGGGGCGGGTTTTCGGGGTGACCGGAGTGGGGAGAGGTGCTGGGCCATCAGATTGGTGGGGGGGAGATGGTGGCGCCCCTTTCGTGTGCTGGAGGTAGAGATGAAGAAGTAACGACGAGCGACGCTAGGTGCGATTGACGCGAGCCTCCCTCAAGTTCACGTATGTCTCTCTCGTAACAACTCTGTCATTCAAATTTTGTTCCTCCCTAGCCTGCGTATGCATGAGTGAGACTTCAAAAGGCTCAGAACGGGTCATTAATGTGAGCATGCATTTGTGTATGTAGTGTCCATTGCTAGAGTGTCTATAGCTACAATGCAGGTCCTCCTTTTCGTCATACAGCTCTCTCCAACAGGATCTTCTCATACAAATCACTCGATGCCTTCAAATATATCTCTTATCTGCTGCAAGATCTCTTTCTCCCTCTCTCCCCACTCTGCCGTCACATCTCTCCTCACCTCCAACATCCTCAGCTGATCTACCATCTTGAGTTGGATGGCAAACCCTGCAGAGACGGGTCGGTGGTCCGAGACGACAGGCTCGTAGCGTTGGTAGTTGATGGGCGTGATACGGGGTGATTTGTTATGCAGGATACGGTCACACCTAAAGACGAGTCAGACATTGTCCGATGAAGCGACGGTGGCACATACCAGGCAGGGATCCTCCTCTTCTCACTTGTGTCATAATCATGAGTCCCCGGATTATACTTGTACGTCGGCTTGAAATTGATGGGAGGCTCCTCGAAACTCCTCAGCCTGAACGCATGATTCGTCCTCATCTCTTTTCGTAGCTGGTCGTGCTCGAGAAGATAGGCGAGCTCGTTACTATGCACAGAGGAGATGACATTCTCGCGTCGTTGGTCGATACGATACTATACTTTTTGTCAGTTCCATCCCTCAGACAAAATCATGGACTCACATTGAGATCTCCGTTCAAAAACACCATCTCATGGTCCAAGATCCCGGTGCCACTACCTCCATGTATGAAGGGCAGCTCCTCCGTCGGCGGGAAGATCGCCTTATCCTCCAATATCCCCGCCAAATCCGCATTCCTCGACGCCTTCTGCGACTGCCCGGCCGCCAGATGGACATTGATGAAACAGATAGAAGTGTCATCCATCACCAGCCTCGACACAATGGCGCCCTTGTTTCCGTATATCCCTCCCATGCCTCGTTTGACGGTGGTGATGTCCAAATCGCGCAACATCTGCTTTTCTTTGCTTTTGACAAAGATACAGGTGAATAGGCCGACAAGGCTTTCAGAGTGGATCTTGACGTAGGGGGTGCCTGCAGGCATGGCTTGGAGAACGGCAGAAGTGAGCTTCTCGAGCCATTGGCGGTAAGCGTGGGATACGCGGTCCGCTGTGGCACCTGTATCCTTCTTGGATCCGAACAGCAGGGTTTCTGTACGGAAATCAGACCAAAGTCACACAACTGGGCAAAATCCACTCACTGGCAGTGATCTTTTTGTCTGTCAACGGGATGACCTCTTGGAAGCCAAACACAATGATGTCGGGACTATCCACACTCTTGAGACACTCGTCCAACCAGCGTTGATTCGGCTCGGGGCCGTTGGCGAGGTCAGCAGGGCGGCAAGAGTCAATGTTCCAAGTACAGATAAGGATATTGGCTTGGCGGAATGTGCAAAACTCTGGTTGACGGATTCGGAGTTGTTTATCTGGGCGGGACGTCAGCACGATCAACCTTTTGATGAAGTGTACCTACCGATCCAGTCGACAGATAGTAGCCCATCCCATGCGCGAAGAGAATCCCTAGCAAACGACCAGCAGGTATATCTCCCAGCTTGCTCAATCGAGTAGGGGTCCATCACCAGCGATTGGATGGGATTGTCCCTTTTCGACATCAGCGACATATCATGCCAAACAAACGAGTACTCACGGATGCGCGGTCCAGATATTCGTAGCCACCCAAGGTCTCTCTTGGATATCATAAACAAACACCTGCCCCTTCCTGTTCCCTGCCCACAAATACTCTCCAACCCCCTCCAACGCAAGCACATCCGTATTCGAAACCTTCATCACCCCCACACAAACCAGCTCCCTCCCATCCCACCGACTCACATAACCGCCCTCGTGCCCCATAAAGATGTTATCTCGATCAAGAGGCATGTAGGTGGCAGAGGTGACAGCGCCGGTCCATTCGGTGGTGAAGAGGGATTTGGGAGGGGGCATGTTGCCGGGGCAGCAGGGGTCGTAGATGCGGATGGTGGGGCCGCGGGAGGATGCAGAGGTCACAGATCGCGCAGCAGGTCCGCTCGAAGTCCACAGCTTGCCGCAGAGCATCTTTGCAAACGTAAACTTTTCGCCGATCCGAAGTGTTCTTGTCAAGATTGGCTTGCTGTCTGCTTCCTGCACGACCTCAAAGACAAGCAGTTTACCCGAGTCGTCAAGCGTGAGGACACTCTGCCTGTGCCGCCAGATGTGCGACACTGCAGAAGTGTGGGCATACGCTTTGAAAGCGGACGCTTCGCCTGTGGTGATATCTACCTCCCACAAATGCCCATCCTTCGTGCCACACCACAACCACCTCCCTTCTTCCGCTTCTGAACACCCGGGTCTGAAGCCCATCGCAGTCACTTTCGTCTCTTTGATTTTCCCTCCCCCTCCAGGTCCATCTACATGCTCCTTCAAGTCAATAACTTGGATAGCATGGTCCGACAGCATCGTATCGTAGATTCGCACATGATGCGCGCCAGTGCAGATGTAACGGCCATAGACGGCAAACGCCGAGACGTGATGGCAATCTTTGATACGAACGTCGGGAACGAATGCAGGGAGTTTGCGATTGGCTTGAGTCGTATCCGGATGATCCTCCAGCAGCCGGCGGGCTTGGGCGCTCAGGCCCAATATGGCAGCATCTTCAGGCGGCTCGGCGTCCTCGTCCTCTGAATCTGCTTCGACAAGCTGTCTATCATCGTTCAAGTTGTCTGTCGAGTGAGACTGGGGTATGGTAGCAGGCTGAGGCTGGGGGACACGGTGGCTTATAGTGCTCGCCCGGCGAGGTGGAGACGCCGTATTCGACACTGTCGAATTGAGTACAGCACTGCGTAGAGGGGGTGGAGGAAGGGTACCGGAGCCTGTCCTCTTTCGGGAAGGAGATGATGGATGAGATGGAGGTCCCACAGGTGACGAGGGGGCGACATTGATGTGGACTGAAATGGTATTGTTTCGCGCAGGCAAACGTGGAGGTGGCGGACCTGGAGCGGCCCTCGCTTCTGGTTCTGTTCTGGTAGCTGTTGACGCGCGAGCCCTGTCTGGCAGAGGAGGTGGTCCTCCTGGTGCAACGTGGACCGGCGGTGACGAAGCCAGGACGGGGGGCGGTGCGGTATACGTCGTCGCCGGCTCTAGAGAATCCGCCGAGCTGACAGTCGGTCGACGAGGGGGGAGTGGCAGCGGGGCCTCTGACGATATAGTCGGGCTTCTTGCTGGGAGGGCAGGTCTATTTGGAGGGATGGGAGGTGGGGAGGACTCTGTGGACCCTGGAGCAGTACTAGTAGGACGAGGCGGTGGTTTGTGCGCTCGATTTATAGGCGGTGGGCCCGGTGCTGGAGATGCTGCCCGGGATATCGATGGTAGCGACGAGTGACCAATCGACGAAGGAGACGAGTTCAATTCGGGCTGCCTGCTTGTGACTTGTGCTAGTATGTGCGAGTCAATCTCTTCAGGCGAAGGAGACAAGGCCACGGGAGACGTCGTTTCCCCGTCCTCCGAAGTCCTCTGTATGATGGGAGCAGGTACCGCCCTTGGGACAACGGGTACAGTAACTGCTTTGGGCACATCTATCGGCGGTCTTTCGGCTGCTGCCTGACCTTGCCCGCTGAAACGCTCTCGTAGCGCCTTGACAGATATCGCGGGTTCCTCCTCCTCTCCATTCTCCGACCCACCCAGGGTAATGTTTACCAAAGGCGCATTGCTCGGCACTGCAGAGCTCGCAGCTGATGCAGGTTTGCTGGGGATAGCAGGAGCAGCGCGTCGGGCGCCGAGGCTAGGAGTAGGCGAGGAGGACCGTGGCGGTATAGGCGATTCTGCTCGAAGATGGGATTCCGCAAGTGCCGAAACAGATGGGGTCGATTGGTGATTGCTGAAAGCAGGTTTTGGAGTTGTCGGTCTGCCTGGGGTTACTGCAGGGGGACGTGGTAGTAGCTGTGGCTGTACATCTTCTGTTGGGAGAGGAGACGTCGGCGCAGGGGTGATTGGCCGTGATACGGGTTTCGGAGGCGGAACAGGCTACATGAACCAAGATGGTTAGCACGCCGGCCTAATGATAGGGCAATAACGCACCTTGGGTCTGGCAGGTACTTCATTGCCAGCGCTCAAGTGGCCATTTCTAATCGAGCTGACCGATGCCGCTTTGTTATGACTGGGGACCGTCGCGTCGTTCCCAGCTGCCAGGTTCTCAAATCTCGACCGCAAAGACGCGATGCTCCTGGGGGCCTCTTCTACCGACTCTGAAGGGGGTGTTGAGCCTCCCGACATTGTCTGAGGTAGCGATGATGATTATTTGTGTCGTGCCGGTGTTGTGCCTGTGGTTGTGGTCTTGCGGGGTTTGTGGGCGAGACTATCTAGCGACAGGCGAATACGAGTGTTGGAGGGAGTGGCGAGAGTGGATATGTTTCTATAAAGTGGATGTGAAAGAAAGATGCAATGAGGACAAGAAGAAGTGCATCTGCACAGCCAGCAAGCAACATGAACAAGCAAGACCACGTGACCCGACCGAGTCATTTCCGAGCCCCTACGTATGCTGCCACCCATGCATCTCTTTAGCACAATGCTACTGCGGTATTGATAGGTGCGTTTCGCATGAGATAGAAGATTCAATCTCTGACGCAGCCGCAGAGACTTATAACTGTGCAGATACGATGTACGCGTAGAATGCCGCGTACGTAAAGTATCTCGAGCGTTTGCCGACTGTACCATTGCGCGCGACTCTATTCGTTGGCTGAAGCAATCCATGCTCGCCTGAGTTGCTCACATAGCTCGTCCACATGCCGCCAGTGATGTCGAGGACCTTTTGATCATCAATCCATTCCAGCGAGCTAGCTCGGCTATGTCCGATTGAGATCTTAGGATCATATGGGCCGGGGAATGGGCGGCTTTTGAGCCGTCGCGCCGATATCTGACTGAAATACCTCCAGGAGACGGATCAACAACTTGCTTCAAATCTATGATATCCCAGCAGGAAAGTGAATGTTATGGCCAAATTCGACACGATCATCAAGAACGGCGTGGTGGTCACGGCAGGAGATATCTCGCAAGTCTTGAGTCTCAGTGTGCTCAGCCCCATGGCTAACATGGATTGTAGGCAATACTGGATAGGCATCAAAGATGGAAAGATCAAGTCCCTCTCCGAGACATTTGATGAGGAAGAGATGGCAGGAGCCGAGGTGATCGATGCGGAGTGAGCGCCGAAACGCTGGACTTGGATCTTACTGATAGACATCTAGAGGCGCGTATGTGATGCCAGGTGGTGTGGACTGTCATGTACACCTATGCCAAGACCTCAAGACAGGTATGTCCCCTACCTGACATCTGATGCTTCCATCTGACCCCTGCATCAGGCCCCCACGGTCTAGGCGGACAATGCGCGGACGACTTCAACACAGGATCCCTCGCTGCTCTCTGCGGCGGTACCACAACCATCGTCACATTCGCCACTCAAACCCGCTCCGACGACGACAAGTCTCTCCTCGGTGTCGTCGAAAAGTACAACGCCCGAGCGGAAGCTACGGGAAGTTATATCGACTATGGCTTTCACGTGATTATCGTGAGAGATGATCCGGAGGTGTTGGAGGATGAGATGCCGAGGTTAGTGGAGGAGTGGGGTGTGACGAGCTGCAAGTTGTTCATGACATATGAGAGCCAGAGGCTGAAGGATAGGGAGCTTTTGGATGTTATGGTGGCTGCGAGGAAGAACAAGGTTACCACAGTGAGTGATAGATTGCACGAGCGAAACGAAGACGGTTGACTGATACTCGTCACAGATGATCCATGCAGAGAACGGAGATATGATTGAATGGCTCACAGACAAGCTGGAGACCAAGGGCATGCTCGGTGAGTCGCTTCGACCCCAGAGGAAGTGAAACATTGATCTCATGGATGATAGCGCCGTACTACCACGCCCTCTCCCGCCCGCCTCTGGTCGAAGGCGAAGCGACGAACCGCGCTATTGCCATGTCTGAGTTGGTCCAGAACCCGATCTTGTTTGTACACATCGGCTCCACGGTCGGTCTTGCTCCTTGTCAACCATTGCTTTTGCTGATGAGTTTTGCAGCTGGGCATGAACAACGTACGCAAGGCTCAAACTATGGGGTTGCCAATCTACGCCGAGACGTGCCCGCAGTACTTTAATCTGACTTGGGATGACTTGGTAAGCCCGGGCGATGTTGCTTCACGTACTTGTCCGCTGACATACTCTCCAGAAACGTTTCCATTCTCCCACTTGTTTCGAGAACAGCAAGATGATCTGCTCGCCTCCCCCTCCACCAGACGACTCGGACCGCGAACTTCTCTTCCAGTAAGCCTCCTTTTCCTGCTTTCACAACGCCCACACTTATGCTAGGAATCAGAGGCCTACACAACGGCACGTTCACAATCTTCTCCTCCGACCACTGTCCATTCCGATACGACTCTCCCCACGGAAAACCTTCAGGCATCCTCGATCACTCTGCCTCCATGGCCGTCGAGTCTTTCGAGATTCCTACCGACCATGCCCATCCTCACGATACCAAAGCGCTTTGCGACTTGACGGCGCGGAAAGGGGGTGCTTTTAGGTTTATACCTAATGGGATACCGGGGGTGGAGACGAGGTTGCCGTTGTTGTTTACTGGGGGGCTGTTGGAGGGGAGAATCAGTCCGCAGAAGTTTGTGGAGCTTACTGCTACCAATCCTGCCAAGCTTGTGAGTTTCTGGTCCCTTTGGAAGGGGGCAAGAAGCTGACCAGAGATAGTATGGGATGTATCCTCAGAAAGGGACTCTACAGCCTGGATCTGATGCGGATATCACGATTGTAAGTGCCCCTTTTCGCGTGGTACATGAAGATCATGGCTGACGACTGAGTTCCAGTGGCATCCTCAAGAACGGTTCTCGCCCTTCCAGCTACGCAACGAAATGCTTCATCACAACGTCGACTGTGAGCTCATCTTCTTCCTCTTCCATATCTCTGAAAGCTAATGTGCTACCCCTCAGATACGCCCTACGAAGGCCAGACATTCAACAACTGGCCTCGCTACGTCCTCGTTCGCGGCCAACTATCCTACGCTGAGGGTGCTGTGAAAGGCAAACTGAGGGACGGGCGATATCTTAAGAGGGGGCCTAGTCAGTTGAGCACGGGTCTTCCCGGGAAGAAGGATCCGAGGCGGGTGGCAGGGTGGCTGTATGACTAGAATGTGTGCATAGGCTGAGGGGGGTTGAGATCTGGTTGAGATGCATACTAAGCATAGCTTTCGAGGTTTGAGGTACAGTGTAAACGAAACGACACGGGTACAAAGATAAGGCGCCGCGGCCGGGTAGTCACCGAGGTCCGACGGTCGCATTGAGCCGAGAACTCTTATCACTCTCGAATACGTGTGCAAGATAAGGTCAAGTATATAAGTATCGACGCCGTGTTCTTTCGTCACTTCACAGCCCTGCACCCATAGAATGTCCATTTCCGACGAGAAACTCAAAGAGGTACGCACCCAGAAATGCGACGCACGATACGAGCTGCTGACGACACCCACAGCCGCAGGATGTCACTGTCATCCAGGAGGTTGGTGGGCAGGAGGAGACACCCGATATGCTGCCCCAGAATCATCTCCAACGGACTCTGAAAGTATGTATCCCTCTCCCCTTACTCGGTGCGAATAGAAGCACTTTCTGACATCTTCTTCTAAAACAGCCTCGACACATGTTAGTACTCGCAGCGCCCCACCACCGAAGAATTGGAGCTCATCTGTGTCCAGCCAAATGATAGCTATCGGCGGAGTCATTGGCACCGGTCTTTTTCTTGGTACTGCAAGTAATCTCCAGAGTGGTGGCCCCGCAGGACTCCTTATCGCATACTGCTTGATGTCGAGCATCCTGTTTGCGGTCATGATTTCTCTGGGCGAAATGGTGTCACATCTGCCTCTTCCAGGCGGGCATGTCACTCTAGCTGGTCGCTTCGTTTCTAGGGAGATGGGATTCGCTTTGGGTTGGCTATGGTGGTTAGAGTAAGTTGCTCAGGCAGCGTCTGACTCTTAACAAGGTTCACGCCGAAGGCTAACGATTACTGCAGCTACATTGGTGAGCCACAGCACGATCGATGGTCCGCATTGTCATCCAGGCACTGACATATACCCCTACATAGTCGTACTGCCAGCCGAAGTCTCTGCCTGTGCCGTTCTCATATCCTACTGGACACCAAAAGGCACTGGTGACGGCACTTGCACCACCGGTATCTGCAACAACGCCATGTGGGTCGGCCTCGTCTTGATTGTGGTCGTGAGTGGACAATCTCCCTCTCTTTTTGTACAACTACTCACCAATACACAGTGGGCTGTCAACTTCGGGGGAACGAAATACTACGGAGAGTGCGAATTCTGGTTCGCGTCTATCAAAGTCATCACCATCATAGGCCTCATCATCACAGGCATCGTCATCACCAGCGGTGGTGGACCAAACCACGAAACTATCGGCTTCAGATTCTGGAACGAAACTGGCGGCTTCATGCAATATGACGGTATCGCTGGTGCTAAAGGCCGCTTCCTTGGTTTCTTTTCGACTATGATTTCAGCTGCTTTTGCTTTCATCGGGTCAGAGGCTACCGCCATTGCTGCTGCAGAGACGTCAGATGTAAGTGTGCCCTGACTAAGCCCATAAGAAGCTCGCTGACAACGTCATCTCATAGCCTCGACGAGCTGTCCCTCGAGCTATCAAGTCAGTCTGGATCCGGTTGGTTCTGTGTGAGTGGCATATTTCCGTACGGATTCTCTTCAAGATTTCTAACAATGTCATTTCAGTCTACATCACGAGCGCCTTTATCGTACGCAATCATGTTCTCGGCATAAACTTGTGTATACGCTGACGATTGGCCACAGATAGGTCTTCTTGTCTCCCCTTCGGACCCCTCCTTGAGCCTCGGCAGTACCGCTGCCAGATCTCCCTTCGTCATTGCCATGACGAACGCTGGCATCAAGGTACTCCCTTCCATCATCAACGCCGCCCTTCTCACTTCGGCATGGTCTGCTGCTGTCGCAGACCTCTACATCTCTTCCCGTTCTCTCTACGCCATCACACTCAGAGGTGATTCACCGAGATGGTTTGGCCCGGCTTTGCTCAAGACGAGGAAAGACGGTCTGCCTTGGGTTTGTGTGTGTGTCTGCGCGGCGTTCAGCTTGTTGTCGTTCATGGCCGCGGACTCTGGTAGTTCGGCAGGTACCGTCTTTGGATATTGTGCGTTTTTTCCGGATGGCTGTGGAGGCGAGATCAACACTGATGCGGGATGATGAGATAGTCAGTGATATGACAGCCTACTGCGGAGTAATCTCGTGGTCGTGTGTGTTGTTCACAGGTCTCCGATGGAGCAAAGGCCTCAAGCTCGGCTCGATCGACCGAAACAGTCTTCCCTACAAGGCGCCCTTGCAGCCATACCTCAGCTATTACGCTCTGGCTATCTGTCTCATCGTAATCGTGTTTGGTGGATTTACAAACTTCAGTGTGTCTTTTCTTTTTGCCAAAACCCATATCATGTCCGAGAGGTTGTTGCTGACCATATCCATCCCAACAGTGGAGGGGTTCAACACTTCCGGATTCATCACTACTTACTTTCCCGTCCCATTCTTCTTTGTACTCATGTTCGGATACAAATTGATCCACAAGACCAAGATGGTCAGATACGAAGACATGGACTTTTACTCGGGTTGTTCTGAGGACGTCCCAGTCGATGAAGAGGTGAGTCATCTTGCTCGATTGGGGACGCAACAACATCTGCACAATATGATAGGAGCTTATGGGTGATTGAACTCAGGCGACGGGTTCCGGAATCTGGGAAAAGATCAAGTGGAGTATCTAACCACGCCCGCGTTGGACCGTTTCTCGAGTATGTCGGTCTTTTGGAAAGTGACTGTGCATGGACGTGTCATAGAGAATTATACAGGTGTACGATAGAAGGTAGTGGATGCATGGTCTTGTCGCACAATCAAACATTATCGCTGAAGATAGAGATAGAGTGATGGAAGAAGGTGATGGTAAGAAGCTCTCATCATACTGCTCAATACACGGTACATCTCTTTGCTGTCCAACGTACCCTCATGAGCCATCATCACCTTACGCAAAATGCTTCTCCATCTCGGCGTCCAACTCTAGCATAGGCTGGAGAATCTTCAAGAAAGCTTCCCCTTCTTCTTCTGCCAGAGGCAAGAGAGGTCGTCGAGGATAGGGGCTGTACCCATGAAGTTTGTTCAACGCATATTCTATTGTCATGTAAGCCAAGATTCTCACGCTAATAGCATCAGACTTACTCATTGCCCTGACACCTCCCGGCACAGCAGCCACGTCCGCCTTGCCCAATACTGCCTGTATCCTTCTCACCTCTTCCTTCTCTTCTGCACTAGCACCATTTCCTTTGGAGCATAGCTGGAACAACCTCACACCAGCAAAAGGCGCAAAGTTGGGGATACCGCTGACGGTGCCGTGGCCGTTGAGATGCATCCACGGGACAAGGTCGGCAATGAGGCCGTCAAGGAAGAGGAAAGGCTGGGGACGGGAGGTGTTGAGTTCGGGACTGTGATGGAAGGCGGAGGAGAGGCGGATGAGTTTTGGGATACTTCCTGGGCAGCTGTGAAGATAATTAGTACAGGCACTATGGTGATTGAAATTTGAACAGCCTACGTCAACTTCACACCGCAGAGGTTCGAGGCCCGGCGAATGATAGCTTCAATCGTGTCTGAAGACATGTCTTGACCCGCCGCGTTGGCTGGAAAGTTGTAGAGAAGAATAGGTATCTATAAAGTCGTATAAGCATCTTGTTGTGCACCGTTCATCATTGGGGCGTACCGGAGAAGCTTCGCAGATGTCAACATAGTACTGAATGACCTGCTCTTGATCGGCATTTAGGCTTGCCGCGTAATAGGCAGGAAGAATGACCATACCAGCATCGCTATGATGAGCTGTCAGTATCGACACCATATGGTACGAGATGTAAACTGACGCGCCGGCTGCAGCTGCGTCTTTCGCAAGTCTGATCGTCTCCCTCGTACTGGCGCCGCCCACGCCAGCCACTATAGGTCGCGACGACATCTCGTTGTCATCCAAAGTTTGGCGAACGAATTTGATGATTGAGATCCTTTCTTCCGTGTCCTGGAGAGAGTTAGCATATCTCGTGTTGCGTCCCGAAGATGAACATTACCAGGTGAGAAGCTTCCCCAAGGGAGCCCATGCATACAGGAACTGAATTGGTTCCTTAGCGCCTGTATACTAGTTAGTTGGAAGAGAGGCTTACCGACGCCAAGGCTGGCCAATCCTATAGACCTTGTTAGCTCCGAAGACAAGAACACTTTGTGACGCACTCAGCAAATGGTGTTCATAACTCTTGAAGTCGATCTGGCCGTCCTTATCGAAAAAGGTGGGCAAAGGCCCGTAAACTCCTGGCCCTAGATCTCGAGTGGTCGACATGGTCAGATTTTGATGGTTCGAGAACGTTGTGGTGAACACTGCATGTACTCTGATGGATTGATGAAAGAGCAGAAAGCGCAGCAGCGGAGAGGGCGGGACAGATGCCGAGCGGGAGGTGGGCTGAGCTGAGCCGATAAGCTTATCAGCGGGATTCGATCCCGTGCGGCCGCTTTTTATCGCCACTATCATGATATCATCTATCACTCGGCGCACAACACAAAAACAGGGAAATGGCTACAAAAGGGGGCCCTTTCGCGTCTATCTCCCCGGTACCAACTGCTGTCCATAATGTCCAGCTACGACGAGAAAGAAGATGTGCGTCGGCTTCTTGGTGCCCTTTTCTACGCGTGACCTGACCAGCAGACAGCAGCTCAAGGATACCTCGGTCATCCATGAGGTCAACACAGGTGTAGAATCACCTTCCGACCTGGTTCCTCACAATGGTCTTCACCGTACTCTCAAGGTCAGTCATCTCAAATTATAAAACTTCCCCCTGAGCTGACATTGTTGTTCTAGCCTCGCCATGTGTAGGTCTGCAAAAAGTCTGTTTCTTGATCACATCAGCCTGACTTTTGCCCAGCCAAATGATCGCTATCGGCGGAGTGATCGGCACAGGTCTCTTCCTCGGTACCGCTGGTGACCTTCAGAACGGCGGCCCTGCAGGACTCCTCATCTCCTACGCCGTCATGTCAAGTCTCTTGTTTGCCGTCATGACCTCTTTGGGTGAGATGGTCTCGCACCTCCCCATTCCGGGTGGACAGTTTGCTCTCGCGGGACGATTTGTCTCAAAAGAATTGGGCTTTGCCATGGGATGGCTGTGGTGGTTCAAGTGAGTGCCGCGGGTTTCGTCCTCCAATGTGTCGCAAACTGACGCGTCTTACAGCTACATCGGTTCGTACAAGCACTTTTGGGATCATGGATATTGACCTGCTTCTTCAGTCGTTCTCCCTGCCGAAGTCTCTGCATGTGCCGTGCTTATCTCTTACTGGACTCCGAAGGGCACTGGTGATGGCACTTGTACCGCGGGCATCTGCAACAATGCCATGTGGGTCGGCATCGTTTTGATTGTGGTCGTAAGTGGATGATCTTCCTCTCTTTGTGCAGCTACTAACCAACATGCAGTGGGCTATCAATTTTGCTGGTACCAAGTACTATGGCGAGTGTGAATTTTGGTTCGCTTCACTCAAAATCATCACCATCATCGGTCTCATCATTAGCGGTATCATCATCACCAGCGGCGGTGGACCCAACCACGAGACTATCGGCTTCAGATTCTGGAATGAGACTGGCGGTTTCATGCAGTACGAGGGTATTGCTGGTGCTAAAGGACGTTTCCTCGGATTCTTCGCGACTCTGATCTCGGCTGCTTTCGCCTTCATCGGGTCGGAGATCACTGCTATTGCTGCTGCCGAGACCGCGGACGTGAGTTCACCTTCCAGACTTCCCAATCGCCAACTTGAGCTTATAATGTCGCTCGACAGCCTCGAAGGGCAGTTCCCCGTGCTATCAAGTCAGTTTGGATTCGACTCGTGCTGTGTAAGTTCCATGCCCCCCAATGTAGCAAGGAAGCCTACTGATCGAAAAACAGTCTATCTCACTAGTGCTTTCCTCGTACGTCAATCGTTATTGTTTATCACTTTTGCACTCTGGCTAATGTTGATCATCGCAGATCGGCCTCCTCGTCTCTCCATCCGATCCTTCTCTCGACCTCAGCAGCACCGCCGCCAAATCGCCCTTTGTCATCGCCATGAAGAACGCTGGTATCAGCGTCCTCCCTTCCATCGTCAACGCCGCCCTCCTCACATCCGCATGGTCCGCCGCCGTTGCAGACCTCTACATTTCCTCTCGTTCTCTGTATGCTATCACTCTCCGGGGCGACTCTCCCAGGTGGTTCAAGTCTACGCTTCTCAAGACAAGGAAAGCGGATGGGCTCCCGTGGGTCTGCGTCTGTGTCTGTGCGGTGTTCAGTCTCTTGTCGTTCATGGCTGCCGACTCTGGTCATTCGGCGGGAACTGTCTTTGGATACTGTGCGTTCCATTCAGTGCATGCCTGGCAACATGTGAACTGACTTGCACCAACAGTCGGAAACATGACAGCCTACTGTGGTATCATCTCCTGGTCATGCGTGCTCTTCACCGGCATTCGATGGAGGAAAGGCCTCCAGTTGCACTCCATTGAGCGGGCTTCTCTCCCTTACAAAGCACCTCTCCAGCCTTATCTCAGCTACTACGGCTTGACAATCTGCATCATTGTGCTCATATTTGGAGGATTTGCCAACTTCAGTAAGTTCATTACAGCTTCGCGCCTCCTGTTGTGGTTGCAGAAAAGCTCACCAAAGCATCGCTTGCAGTCGAAGGTTTCAACACTTCTGGATTCATCACCACCTACTTCCCTGTACCTTTCTTCCTCGTACTCCTCGTTGGCTACAAGATCATCAACAAAACAAAGCTGGTCAAGTACGAAGATATGGACTTTTACACCGGCTCGTCCGCAGATATCCCCACTGATGAGGTGAGCCCCAAAGCCAAAATTCTCCCCCAACTTCTGACGCTGACATGACCTTGGTACAGACGGCTCCCTCTAATCTCTGGGAGAAGTTGAAGGAGAACATCTGATCTATATTTGTCGTAGTGGACGGCGTGGAAGTAATTTTGGGACTTGGACTCTTTGGGTGGTTGTATGCGATGAGTTTTCGACTTGTTTAGAATGTGGGCAATAGATGCATTATTTCTTGATCCATCATACGTCTCTTTCGCTTCATGTCCAAACGCCATTTCCCCCTTCATTATTCACACCATCCACCTCTCCACTCCACCCCTGCTCGCCTCCATCACCCCCAAACAAATAACCAGGCCAGTCCATCCCCGAGCTACTGAGCAGATCGAACAGCCCCTGCAGATTACCCTGGTCTCCTCCTTGTCCATCTTCCATCCCTGCCAGGGTACCTGCTCCCATAGCGCCCTGTTGCGGGTCGAGCGGTGGAATGACGAGAGCGGCTGCGTTGCTCACTATTGGCTCGTAATCATGGGCCGGGTGGATAGGGGAAGTTTGGCAGAGGCCGAGGAAGATTTGATGCGCGAGGTAAACGAGACGGTAGAGGATGGATGATGGGTGAACGATGGGGTACGCAAGCTTGTCAATCGGGGACTCTGCAAGTGTGATCGAAAGATCGTCTATATGTTCTGTGAGTGAGCACCTTTGAGGGGAATTGAAAGAGTGACCGACCATTGATGACTCCTCTCACTCGACAAAGAACCAGAAACACCACAGAGAAAGCTAGCGAAATCCACGTATAGTCCACAGCATAGCTCAACCTCTCCACAGCTTCAACATTCATCTCAAAAGGCCCCACCGGGAAAGTGTTGACATCTTGAGATGCCAGGCTCCATATGTATGCGGGGGTGATGTGAGAGAGGGCAAGGAGGATCTGAGAGGCGGCGGTGAGTGATATCTCGAGAGGTTGGAGGAATGGAGAATGGGCTGAGGGGTCAGGCGATGGGGGCGGTGAAGGAGACAACAGCGGACCCAAGGATGCAGAGTTGAGAGACAGGCGATACCACTGTGATGTGTCAGAAACGTTTACGCTCTCGAGCCATTGCTTACCCGGACGGAGGTGAAAGGCAAGGCGTTGTGCTGATGTGGCGTATCTTTGAGTCGGTGGACCCATATACTGTGGTATGGTCAGTGCTCATTTCACTGGATTGACTTCTGGACTCACTTGTGCCAATCATCAAACTCTACGTTGATCTTCTTCAGCGACACCAGATCCAACGGCCTTCCGCTAAGATCCCACTCTCGACCCATCATCGCCCTATGCGTAATTCCCACAAGTTCCACCAACGCAGTCACCCTTTTGTCCTCCGGCAGCTGAGCGAGCTGTTGCTCGCTGAACGTCCGACCCACTCGGACAGCCGATGATGGATCGAGAGAGGCAGGAAGGCCAGAAGTGAGCATGAGATTACAATCGCATGTGATGAGATTGTGCCAGATTCGAAGACGTGCCATGTCTGTCGGTGTGATACTCTCAGTATGGGGGTCTTGGAAAGGAAGAACGGATAGGCGGTCCAGTCCGAGGAAGAGAGCATACCGCTGGGCGAGGCCTAGTACGGCCCAAGCGGAGATGTCGTTGTACCGACTCCGAGGTGCTCTTTGGTTCTCAGTCCCTTCAGAAGACCTTTTTGTAGCTCTAAACAGATGCTCGCGGGAGGGAGGCATCCACTGAGCGTACAACAAGAGCGCTCTGATTGAGTCAAGTGTCACGTCAGAGGGCGTTGGGCGGAGAATGAGTTGGGAGATGGTAATATCGAGGAGGGTTGTAAGCTCAAGGAAAGATGGGTGGAGGCCGCGTTCTCTCAGTGGGCCTTGGGCCCTGATAGATTGTCAGTAACAGTCACAGAGGTTCGGAAAACTCACTTTGATATTCCACTATCCCAGTAACGGGCACCGATTGTGCATATCGTCAAGAACAACGGAGGATTCTGATGCTGTAGACGCATCCCGTCGTTGACCGAAACTTTATCTAGTACCGGGCCAAAAGAATGACAATGATCAAAGAAGCTATCCCCAATTAGTCACCGCCATAGAGAACCTCAACCCCGGAACACTTACATCTTGATAGCCCGCTGAGCATCCAATACTGACAGCACGCTCTGCGCTATAGGGTCCAACATCGACTCTGACCCATTGGCGGGAAGAGCCCCCAACGAACGGAGGGTAGCTATCGGAGCCCCGAGCTGAATGGTAGACATCGACACGGCTGGCTGTCCGTCATGATGTGGAGAGGATATAGGATCGGTGTCGCGATGATGAGATGAGTAGGAGGGGCTAATGGCGTGCGAATTGTGAGAGTGCAGAGTCGATGGTTGGGCCGGTGATATGGATGGGCCAGATGTGCTAGCATGTCTAATCGGAGTCAGTGCTCTTTCTCCCAGGACCGACATACATGGGAGACGTACTGGACCACCATCCTATCTGGTTCAAGATGCGGTTCTTGGGATACCCTCACATTCGCAACGAGACCAATCCCGTCATTCGTCGGGGCGCCCCCTGTTTGCAGGCTGCGCACCCTCTCTTCGACAACCAGTAGTCTCTTTTGTAGATCCACAACAATTTCAGCCATCTGCGAAGGTGTAGGCTTGTCTTCGTTCTCGGTCAGACTATCGATCTCGAAAGAACATGAAGCGCCAAGCTGGCTGCATCGCTGGCAAGGAGCCTGCGTTTCGTCTGCTTGAGGGAGGCAACGTTGCTTCCTGCTGCGACACTGGAGGTTTGTCAGCTATCGGTGATGAGAGCAGATGTGCAAGTCTTGCCTGGAGACATGCTCGGTTTGCCCTTCTTGTTTTTGAGGGTCGTTCATTACTTGCTGGTCTGTATGGGGATACGGAGTCAGTCGTGTCACTGTGTTCGTGTCCAAGACTTACGACCGAGATCGCTCGTGGCTTCCCATATTGAAGACGGACCTGACGGGATACAATATGCGCCTTCCAAGACATGTTGAGGAATTTGAAGAATAACAAAAGCATAAGACTGGATAAGCTGGCCCTGAAAGATAAGAGATCGGCATCCACCGCCTGAATGGGTTGTGAAATGACATTTCAAGGTCCAATCAGATCAGGGAGATATGCATGGTAGGGACTATGACAACTGCTTGGAAATCTCAGAAAGCGAAGGGGTCTTGTCGAGCTCAGCAATACTGCGTAATACTAGGTGGTCAGTGACATGGAAAGACTATTGATGATAAAATCGACTCACGTGCTTTCATCTGCAATCTCAAATCGAACTTCCTGCTTCCCATCCCACAAGGTCTTTTCTCCCAATGCCCTCAGATTCTCATTTCCTCTGACGATAGTCAGGAACTGGTTTCCAGTCAACTGCCCCATCTTGCTCGCAAAAGTCACGCCCCCATAAGCCAGTAGGAACTCTCCCTCGCTGATGCCGCCGGGATAGAGAATAAACTCCCCTGGCGCGGGATGGGAGGTATGGTTCTCGTTGGGAAGCTTGGAGATGTCCATCGAAGTGTATCCCAGGGGAATCCAAACACCTTCACCCGACCATCGGACGTGGATGAGGGAGGCGGTATAGGGAAGGAGATCCAGGAAGAGTGAGGTGGTCTTTGGCGCGAGGGCGGTCTGGAGAACAGCGAGGAAGCGGAAGCCCCCCGCTGTGACGAGGATGATGGGGGATGTGGAGGATGCTGAGCTCATGTTGATAGGGGTGTGAGAAACAACTGTAGTTCCCAAAATTTGCAGACAATTCATCCATAGGATCCCCTCGGGTAAGGCCGCCAACAAAGTTATCGTCCCGTCGGTTCCCGCCCGTCCCTTATCTCGTCGGCACCAACGGTAAACGGGCCGACCAAAGGCTCAAATGACAATACTATCTTCAAGCAGATCAATTGCATACAGATCAGATATAAGTACAGCTTGCATAGGGATACTAATTGCCACCAGCGCACTTATTCAACCACTATGCTTACCACACAAACTCGAACTTACCCGACTGTTTCTTCTGGCATCCTCCGCCTCAAGTCCGACCCCTCTCACGTCGTCGGGCAGCTTCTGGTCACTCCTATCCTTACCCATGCCGACTCCTTCTTTGGAGCGGAGGTATCGGGTGTGGACTGGAGCCAAACAATCCCAGAGTCACTAGTCAAAGAAGTAAGCACTTCATTCGAAAGTGGAAAGACGTACTGACTTGCCGCCACTAGCTCGTTGCCCTTCAAGACAAGTATGGAGTGTTGGTCTTCCGTAAGACTGGCATGGACAACACTCGTCACATCGCCTTCTCCCACCAGCTTGGGAGCAAGCTCGAAGTAAACCCGTTCTACTATGGCAAGGAGAATGATCGCGTGAGAGAAGACTATCTTTGGGATGTTGGAAAGTGAGTGTCAAAATCTTGGGTGATACACTACCATTAGCTCACGACAGTGGATAGCATGGAACTTGATGGGTCACCAGTGAGACCTGAGAGTAGACGATGGCATCATTCCCTCGGTAACTGTCTATGGCATACCGCAAGTTTCTCTCTCTTCTTGACAACTCGCTGAGGCTAATCCTCATGTTCACAGGACTCTTCTTACCACCAAGAACGCTCCAAGTACTCTCTCCTTCTTTCTCATGGCAACCCCGTACAAGGCGGCTCTTGGACACATTTTGCCGACACGCGACAAGCATACGCCGACCTGCCCGAAGAGAAGAAGGCCATGCTGGAAGACCTCATCATCGAACACGAGCAAGTCTCCTCTATCATCACTCACCACTCATGAAGCTGACTTGGTACCAGACTATGGCACTCTCGTAAACTGGCCTCACCGATCATCTACGCGTCCCCCACTCCCGCCGAGAAAGCGCTCAAACCTCCCGCTTTCCACAAACTCGTTCAGACCGGTCCTGATGGCCGTAAAGTCCTATACCTCGCGGCGCACGCCAAGCAAGTGGTGGGGTGGGACCTTGAGAAGAGTCAGAAGCTGATTTGGGAGCTTATTGACTGGTGTACTCAGCCAAAGGTAAGTGCTTTTGTACGTTGGAAGGGAGGGTGCTGACGAGATGTAGTATGTGTTTAGTATGGAATGGCACGATGGGGGTGATATGGTTTGGTGGGATAATCGGTAAGATCCTCACAGCCTTCAAACGACCGAGCTGACCATATTACTAGTCAATCCATGCATCGTGCAAACCCCTACACGGCCAATATGACTGCCCGCGATGTCCGACGTGCAACGGTAATCGATGACGGACCTCTTGCGTTCGGCGTGACCGCTGAGGAAGTCAAAGATGCTGAGAGTAAAGCTTGAGACCGGAATTGATGCATTGTAATATCTTTTCGAACAACGTTTGGATGTGCCAAGTTGATTCAGTATAGAGAAGCCACACGATAAAACCACTATGTTCTACTTTACACAGATTGTTCCTTCTTCTACAACTGTCCACCTCTGAAATATAGACAACTTCTTTTATTTATCGACAATAGAACTCCTGAACGTCACATAGCTCACGATGCCATACTCCTCCATCCAACGTTCGGCAATTGCTCCTTATCGGCCTTTCTCGCCAACACATGCGGCGGCACAAACCCCTTCTCCTTCAATGTCCCTTCTCCCGCCTGCACCGCGCCGGCCCCGTCTTCATCATCCTCGTTGGCCGTATCAGCAAGCGACTCAAACACAGCCCCAGGGTCGGCCTTGTAAGACTTGACAGCTTCCGTCTCGCGGGACGCGGAGGCTGAACGAGAGTTCCTCCTCTGCGAGTTGGAGGCCGTTCGACCTCTGGGCGTAGGGAACCCGAGTCCCAACGTATTCCCCTTCTCCACCCCACTCTCCCTCATCGCGCCCTTCAACCTCGGGACCATCAGCCCCTGCCTATCGCTCAGACTCGTCTTTCTCTCAAATGCCACCGGCGCGCTGGCTTTCCCAGCGCGGATGGGGTTGATCTGGATCGGCACCGAGGTTGCTAGCTTGCTCGCTTGAGACTCGTCATCTTCGTCTTCCTCCCCGGGGATATATGTCTGACCACGGCGGAGGGCTTCGTACATGGATCCGTTCTGTTCGAAACGGCGCCAGGCGGCACGGTGAGAGGGGAGGTCGGCGGCAAAGGTGTGGGAGAGGTTGGTCTCGAGGAGGTTGCGGGAGCGGGAAGAGTCGAGAAGAGGTGCCGAGGCAGATTTGTCACGGATGTTGTCGTCGAGCTCAAAGTCAAACACGTAGTCTGTATACCATCAGTAAAGGCTCCAAAGTCATAAGGCTACTCACCATCGTCATCCTCTTCCGGTTCTTCTGTCTTCTCTGGTTTCTCGGGCTCTTCAAACTTGACTCGTCCCTTGCCCTTTTTATCTTTCCGCTCCTTGTCCTCGTACAACTCTTTCGTCTGTGTTGCCCTAGGAGTCCTCCCACCCCCTTCATTCTCTTCCGCAACTGCACCAAGCTGTTCCCTGGGCATCCTTCGCGCATTCTCCGTCTCATCATCAATCCAGCTATCCTTCCCATGCGCCTCAGGAGGCGCAAGCGTCTCCCCTTCTTCATCTGCCCGTGCAGCCTGAGACGGCCCGCCCATATTCTCTGCGAGAGAACTAAAGACGTAGCTCATAGCCACGGCGCGAGAATCGCCCTTGGTCCCATACGTCTTGGCCACTTGCGAGATCGTATCATCCATCTCATCCCTCACCCCATCGCTCACAGATCCCTCCTCTCCAGTCAGGTTTGAAGAAGGAGCAGGGTAGAACGAGCTGGCAGAGAGGGATTGCGCAAGGAGAGAAGTGCCGTTGGGGACGGCACTGGTGGCCGGGGCGGTGGCGGATTGCATGATTGGGTTGGAAGTGATGCTGGGAGAGGGTTGAGAAGAGTTGCCGTCGAAATGTTTGGGAGGTGAAAAGACGTTGGCGGGATTAGGGATGCGGGATATGCTCTCGCGAGTTCGGCTCGTGCTCGCACTTCGCTCGCGGGCCGCCCCTTCATTCCCTGGGATAGTCTGGTACTTGCCCCATAGCGTCTCCACTTCCCCTCGCACCTTCTCCTCCATATCACGCAGCTCATGCGTCCTTTCCGAGATGAAATGCCTCACTTCCTCCTCCAGCTTGTAGTGCACGTATTTCAAGTGACTTTCGGCTTGATCGCACAGGTCTTTGAGGTGGGAGTTGGAAGGGATGAAAGGGGGTGGGAGGAAGAATGGATCGTGGGGGGAGGATATGTATGGCCCAGTGGTGGCAGGTTCATAAGAGTCGAGGTCCGAGGACGGGGCGGGGTTGGTCGGTGGGCGTCCAAAGTTGGATTGAGCAGAGGAGGCGTCGATGAGTAGGTTGGAGAAGGGAAGACCTTCTTGGCTCAAAAGCTTTCCGAGTTCTTCTCCGTACTGTGATCTCAGTCAGAGGTGGCTCCAATGCTTATCGTTAGACTTACCACGACACTCCCAGCGAGGTCTATAGTGACCCATTCCTCTTCTGCCGCGGGAGCCTGCGGCGGTTTGCGGGTTGTTTCATAACACGTAGTTCCACAGATGTAACATTTCCTCCAGGACTTGCAGGAATCATCCGTATTGTCCGAGGACCCAAATAATGTGTTACCCTCTTGCTCATAGGTCACATAGTCCGGGAATTTCTGCGCCACCTGTCAGCGTTCCACTCATGATTCACCGTTATTGCGGGACTAACGACGCCTTCGGACCCAGGCGGCAAGTACACATTCACTTCCCCGCTATCCTTGTTCCCATCTCCACCTTTCAGCTTGTGCTCGTCTGCAGCGTCGACGCGACCGTCAACCTTGAGATTGAGACAGCGGCAGCCAAAGCTGACCGGAGCGGTGTTGGCGGGCAGGCCGGGGTGGTGCTCCTGATCGATGGCGGACATCTTGCTTGTCCAAGGAGCGTTCAAGATTGATGGATTGGATGTAGACGTGACTTGGACAGAAATGACTGAGATGCAACTGAGATTGAACTGAGATGACTTGCGTTTGGACTCGCGCGGAATACAGAGGTCGAAGTCAGAGTCGGCGAGCGCCGCCAGAAAGCTTGTTGCCAGTTGCCACCAACTTTAGAAAGTTGCTTTTATTTTCAATTCCGTCACTTTATACATCCTCCGCCAACCTAGCATGCCCCCCACACCCTGCTCCCTCTGCTTTACAGCCCGCGCCCTCGTCAAACGCCCGAAAACTGGACAGCAAGTGTGCAAGGACTGCTTCTTTGAGGTTTTCGAGACCGAAGTCCACAATACGATCGTGCAAGAGGGCGACGGTATTTTCCAGCGAGGAGAGAGGGTTGCTATCGGGGCCAGTGGAGGAAAAGGTGAGATAGATGGGATATTGGAAAGGGGCGAGCTCACGGATCATAGATTCCACGGTTCTGGCACATGTCCTTTCGGTCCTGAATAAGCGGTATGACTATGGATTGGACTTGTTCTTGTTGTCCATCGACGAAGGTATCACTGGATATCGAGACGACTCATTGGAGGTGCGCTTCAATTCCATATGACGAAGAATCAATGCTGACCCGACTTCAGACTGTCAAGCAAAATCAGAAAGAGTACGGCCTTCCGCTCAAGATCCTTTCATATTCAGAGCTCTACGGATGGACCATGGACCGGATAGTCGACCAAGTTGGCAAAAAGAACAACTGTAGGTCATCCTCATTGATCTCTGGAGCCTGACTAACAATTCAAAGGTACTTTCTGTGGTGTATTTCGACGTCAAGCATTGGATCGCGGCGCGGCCCAATTAGGCGTCGACCATATCGTCACTGGGCACAATGCTGATGACATTGCTGAGACTGTTTTGATGAACAGTGAGTGATCCTCTACCCTCACAAGCATATATGCTGATGAGAAATAGTCATGAGGGGCGATATTGCGCGATTGGCGAGGTGCACGGCTGTGACGACGCAAAGCGAAGACACGATCAAGAGAAGCAAGCCGTTCAAGTATGCGTACGAGAAGGAAATTGTCATGTATGTTTCTCCTCCATTTCAAAAGTTTCTCGCTAATGCAACGCAGGTATGCCTACTTTAAAAAGCTCACTTACTTTTCCACAGAGTGTATATACTCTCCCGATGGTACGTCTCTTCGTTCCCCGTGTCGCTCCGTCAGTTCACTTACATTCTCAGCCTACCGAGGCCACGCCCGAGTATTCCTCAAAGACCTCGAAGCCGTCCGCCCCAGCGCCATCGTCGACATCATCCATTCCGGCGAATCATTCATGCTGGAGCAGAGCGTACAGAAGGGTATGAAGGCTATGCGTGAGTTTTCGTGCCCTCATGTCTTAGAGAGTGTCTGACGACTGACGGGGATTGTAGAAACGTGTTTGAGGTGTGGATATATATCATCAAATGATCTCTGTGTACGCCCCTGTCCCTCATTTTCAATCTTTGTACGGAGCGCTGACTCCTGTTTCAGAAAGCGTGTGCTCTGCTCGAAGGTCTCGAGTCCGGTCTCTCCCGTTCCGCCCTGGTGAGCCCACCCTCAATCTTTCTACGATCGTCCCCATGCTGACTACTCGCCAGCGCCAAACTCAAGATAGCACCTCCGCAGCTCCCTCCGGCCATCGTACCATCCCCAAATACGAGCGGTACTCGTCCCAGCATCCTACAGGCGCTCCAGTAGCTGTCGGGGCAGTGGAGGGGATTGAGAAGCCGTTGAAGGCTATAGAGATATCATAGATGTGGGGGAGAGTAGGTGATGGAGCATTGTGGAGTTAGGGTACCTCTATTTGGATACGAGAGGTGTACGCATATGTGTTTGTATGTATTTGTACAGTGCAGCATTTATCGCAACTTTGTTCGTGCAGCAATGCTGTCCGCACAATCTGCAAAGCGTTGCATAGAGCTATGTATTATACCTAATCTACCTAATCAACGGCGTTATTCCTCGCACATTTACTATACAACATGTCTGCAGACCAGCTGCCAAAATTCGAAACTCAAAAAGATTCCACAATCAGACACCGTTCACTCCTAACACGGCGACAATGATTCTCTACCTCTAGGCGCCGGTGAGGGCGACCCGTCCCTCTCTTCCCTTTTCACCTTCTTTCCCGGCCTTATTCCCATACCTTCCCCATCCCCATCCACTCCAGGCGTCTCTGGAGTATCAGGCCCAGCTCGCGCGGGACGTTTCTTTGTAGGCGTCGTATAACCTCCGTGAGATGGGGATGGATGCGAGGAAGGTTTTTCGAGAGATGTGGGAGTTGGGGGTATTGAGGGGGTATGGGAATGTTTCTTTGGGGTCGATTTTGTCGTTCGAAGAGGAAGTCCGACATATACCTCTCTCTCCTTTGCTAGCGAGACTGGCGTCGGGGGTAATCCGTCTTTCGTCTCTTTCGTCTTCTTTGGCGTACTCGGTGTCTTTTCCGCAGGCATCTTCTTCGGCGAAACCTTCGCGGGCGTCTTCCGAGGAGGTCCCTTGGACACAGTCGAGAGATATGCCGGATTGGCGAGGTACGACGTCACAAACGTCTGCACATCGCTCTGCACCCACACATCAAACAACCCCTCCCACTCTGCCCCCTTACTCGGCGGCTCATCATTCACGAAAACCGTCCTGATCTCTCCTCTGCCCTTTGCGCCGCCCCGGGACTTGGCGCTCTTTGCCATCTCTTTGACCACCCTCTTCACCCCCGGCACACTTAGGCTCGTCCCACATACTACCAAACAATCTACGGCTTTCAAATCTTTTGCGACGACTTTGCCTATGGCTTCTCCTTCAGGATGATCTTCCCCGTAAAGTACGACACTGGCGCGGAGAAGTCCGGAAGGACGGGACCGTTCGTTCAGAGCAGCGCGTATCGACTCGCCGAGGGCACAGGCGGGACAGGAGAGAGGTGTCGGAGGGAGGGGAAGATGGTCGGCGAGGGGTGATGAGATTTTGCAGAGGGTGCAGTGGACCGAGGAGAGGAGGCCATGGAGAGGAATGACTTTGTGCTCTGGCTCAGCAGCTTCTGGCGCAGAAGCCTTTTTGGGAGATTTCCGTTTTCCTGAAGGTATCCCAACTGAGAGCCCCGCTTTATCTTCAAGCCCATCGATGTTCTGAGTGTAGCACCGTAAGAGTCGGCCTTCGGCAGCGATGGTGGATAGGTAAGAGTGGAAAGGCGTCGGAGAGGCAGAGGTGGCGAGGGAGGCAAGGGATGTTATGAGTTCGTGGTGTCTCTCCAGGAGCGCAGGTGACTGTACTATCGTCAGGAACAGAATGAATCGGCAAGGCCGTGGACATACACCCAAACATCGGACGTGGAAAAGGTCTTGGACAGAGTGGCCGCCCTTTGTCTTGCTGTTGAACAGACCCGACGCCGAGCGGAAATCCGGTATAGCAGCCCCCGTCGACACTCCTGCACCTATGCCATGTCAGTATTGTCCATCCTTACATGCCAAGCACACTTACCAGAGACGACGACGACCTTCTTGCCATTCCGTATGCGCGACACGACCTGGCGCAGCGTGTTCTCAGCATCCGTTGCCGGCGTTGCGAACGAGGAGGACGGGGTCGAAGGGCCAGCCTCCGAGTTGTGCAGTCGTAGGTGGATGGCCATTGTCCAGATGGCGCCCTGAGCTGGAAGACGAGAAACACAAAAAGAAACGGTGGAAAGATCGAATGGTTGGCATGTTCGATCGGCACTCGCCGCTGGGCAACGTATCCGGGATCATATGGTGATTGTTGTAACTGTAGGAGGACAAGTGGAGCCTGTGGAGGAGAAAGTCTATACTCTACAGTAGCGAGTTGACTGGAAGAAGACTGTATACTGCAGATAGTATAGGAAAGGCTGCCAAGTATAAACAATGCATTTGGACTTGATCTTCTCTCTGAGCTCGCGATTGAGCTGCTTAACGTTCATTTACCATAGAACACATCTAACCTAAGGGAAGCTTGTGAACTTCAGATGCGCGGCCTGTAATCTGAATCAGCACCATTATTTCTCCCCCTCACAGCCACGGGTAAACTTACCGCATTGAGAACAAAAGTGTTAGGCTTTCCTTCAGGCAAATAATGAGCATCAGTACCGAAGTAATTCATTGGGAATCCAAGATCAAATTCGGAAGCTTTGGAGAGCTTGTCAATCTGATCCTGGGTGAGGTGAATCTTGAGGGCCTGGGAAGATTGTCAGTATGAAATGAAGCAGCTGAGTCGGGACAAAAGACAGAGGGGAGAACTTGCATCGATGTTGGACTTGAGGTGCTCCGGGTTGGTTCCCCCGATGATAGGATAACAATCAGCAAACACCTGCCTAACCCAGGCCATCGCCACTACACACAATCAGGTCTCTTTAAGTCTCAGGGGTGTGGAAGCTCGACTCACCATTAGCAGCCCTAACGCCACCCCCAACTTCCTCAGCTACTTCTTGCAATGTCTTCGACACCTTGAGGTCCCTCTCAGAGGGAGGCGAACCGCCTCGCCAGGTGGATTGTTTTTGAAGCTCTTCGGGGGATTTGAACTTTCCTCGTCCGAGTGCACCCCAAGGAGCTTCAAGCTCGTCAGTAAAGTGAACTTTAATGAATTGAATGAGAAAAACGCACCGAGACCCATGCCATTGGCGCGACACATAGGAATGACATCCCGCTCCAAATCACGGACACTGACATTCCAAAGGCCTTGATAAACGACGAATTGTGAGAGACCGTGCTGACGGGCGTATTCGTTGGCCTGCGAGACGATCCAAGCTGTATATCGATCAATTAAAGTCTGGGTGTAGGCGGTTGGTGCACGTACCAGGAGTGTCGGAGATGCCGAGGTAGAGAACTTTGCCGCTCTTGACGACGTCGTTGAGGGACTGCATCAACTCCGGAATGGAGGTGCTATAGTCCCACCAATGGACATAGAGCAAGTCGATATAGTTGGTCCTGAGCTTCTTGAGAGAGGAATCAACCTATCAAAAGTCAGCTTACCCAAGGTACATGTGCACACGAATGGCAGGGGCTACTTACCGTCAAGATAAGGTTCTTCTTGTGGTTTCCAACGTAGTTGGCTGCAATACCTTGAAACTTGCCTTCTTTCCTGTCAAGCGCGTAGGTAGAGTACTTGCTAAGAAGGCGTCAGCTCACTTGCCCTTGATCAGGGCAAAGAACTCACGTAGCGAGAACAATCTCATCTCTGATCTGCCTCTTCTCCATCCACTCGCCGACGATCATCTCGGACTGCTCATCTACCACCTCATCAGTACAGAAGCCGCTGCAAGAGCTCAACAAACGTACCTTGGTAGTTGTTGGCAGTATCGATGAAATTCCCACCAGCTTCGTAGAAAGTGTCGAGAAGCTTGCAAGATTCTTCAAAGTCGGGTCCGGCGCCCATAACACCAGTCCACTGGTTACCGAGACTCATAGCACCAAGGCAGAGGGGTGAGACCCTGACTATCGACAACGTCAGTATTTCGCACATGCACTTGGGCGTACGATGACGTACTGGCTGCAGAGGGAGAGAGAATACGGTATCGTCCGAGCTCGGTCTTGGGTTCTGCGGGGAGTTTGAAGATCTCGCCCATGGCTATCAATCGTATATCGTCAGCACGGGTGTTCTCTGGGTGGAGAGGCAAGGTGCTCACCCTTGGAAGCATCATCGGCAGGGGTGTACTCGGTGGAAGAGTTGAGCAAAGTGTGAGGCATCGTTGTTGAGAATGGGCGGGATAGACTTTGGACGTGATGATGAGGCGTCGCTATGGCTAAGCCTCTTATATATGACGCGTCCCGCCATCTGGGGCACCCGGGCACAGGGTGGAGGTTTCTAGGTGGATGCAGAGGTGGAGGTCAAGTGGAGGCCAGTGGAGGCCAAGTGGAGGGAAAGTGGAGGCTAAGTGGAGGCCAAGTGGAGGCCAAGTGGAGGTTGATCAAGCATAGAATTGTTGAGTTTTGTGCTTGGTACGACTTTGGTCTCTAATTCGGTGACGATGGGTCACGGCCTTCTTATTGCGAGACGACCACGAGTATCTTATTGAAGTGACGACTGATCTCTGGAGCGCGGGAGTCATTACTAGTAACTGTACTCGTACTCGTACTGTGTTGAAATGTGTACTTACTCGCGTGTTCTTGTGTATGTGCTTATATCAAAGCTCTGGGCAATTCCTCACTAGGTGACCTTGTTTGTCACAATTCCAGCATCGCCTTCTATCCTTCCCCTTGTCCTTGGCGCCACCTGCATCATACATGCTTCTCGTAATCGGCAGCAGTGCCCCTCTTTCCCCGTCGGCCTCCACCCCTCCTAGTTGGCCACATGTCTGACGTCTCGAAATTGATGAGACTGGTGAGATGAATCCACGTCTGCTCGAAGGGTGGTTTGGAGACGAACAGGGTTCCAATTCGCTCATAATCGTTCCCCAACGACCTGAAGAATGCTCGGATCTTGTCCTCTTCGAGCATGGGCTCGCCGAGAATTTCGAGGTCATTCAAAATGTTTTCGAACCTCTGCAAGTGTTGTCTTCTCGTTGAGGCGTTGGAGTTTGGCGGAGGATAAAGCTGGCGAGTTCCGCTTGCTTTTGCGGAATCTCCCTCTCGCGGTCGGGGCCAAACCTGGCCTCGAAATACTCCCAGATCTCTGCGCTGGACCAGAAATACTGTAGCGAATTACGCCTCTAATGTTCTCTGACACGGCCATTGTCAAATACCACCTCGCCTTCCTTTCCTTCTTGGCCCACTTTTCCCATCTTTCCCTCATTTCCTCGTCTGGGACATCACTGGGCGTTCTTGCTCCTACAGGAGGAAAAGCATCTCCCGCTGCTTCCTCAGGCGGGCGAATGGCGTCATTCGCTAATCCGGTCAAGACTGTCACATCTCTCCAGCATGGTTCCTTTTCGACACCCAGAAGGCCAGAAGGACTTGTTTGGCATTGCACTCAGCAGCTGGGCACACCTCAAGGGTGGTTGCCCATAGATAGTAATCGTCTGGGCCTTCCAAAATAGGGATGCCCTCGAATACGCTCTCCATGTTGATGGACAGGTGGGTTCCGGGTGTGATCTCGAGCGGCCCTCGCCGCGACGGAATGCCGAGAATAGCGCGCAGGACTCAATTCATCAACAAATTAATTCATCCACTCCATCTCTCTCTCTCGTTGCATCTCCATCTCACCATGCTCCTCGCCAATACCAGGCATCTCGCCAGCCTGCTCAAGCCTGCCTGCACGCTCAGACGCGGTATCAGCAGTACGTCGCCCACCATACACCACGTCCACCAATTGACGACCTTCGTTGCATCTACAGCCTTCAAGGGGTCCTTCCCCGAAAAGCTCGCTTTCGCCTTTGACATTGTATGCCCTTGATCATGGCTTGAGAGAAAAGCTGATTATTGGTCAAGGATGGTGTACTGAAACAAGGACACCACAATGTCCTTCCTGAAGCTATGCGCACGATGAAGCTCCTCACGGGCGAAGATGGTCGTCTGCCCAAGTACCTCCCCTCCCCTCCCCCTCTTTGCCCCTCGCTAATATACTTTAGACCAATTCCATTTCTCCTGATAACAAATGGCGGTGGTATCCCCGATACCGACCGCCTCTCCCTCCTCTCTTCCGAACTCGGTATCACACTCACCCCCGACCAGCTCGTGCAAAGCCACACGCCCATGCGCGACTATGCAAAGCGGTACGCTGACAAGCATGTGCTGGTGATCGGCGGAAAGGGTGACGATTGTAGGCGGGTAGCAGAGTCGTGAGTCGCTCCTGTACTCTGAGTGGAGGCCAGCCTGACGAGGGGAATAGGTATGGGATGAAGAATGCGCATATACCGCAGGATATCATCGCTTCTGCACCTTCCATATGGGATCGTACAGAACTCACACAACACGAAAAGGCATTTGCTCGTGTACGCCTCCTTCCTGCCCTCTGCTCCACGCCCCACAAGCTGACATATCGCAGCCTCAAGACTTTTCCAAAATCCCATTCTCCGCCGTATTCGTCATGCACGACACGCACGACTGGGGCCGCGATATCACCCTCATCCTCGACCTCCTCAACTCTGATAACGGGTATCTCGGTACACGTAAAGAGGGGAGGCAGAATGGGGAAGAGGCTGTCGAGTTGATCATGAGCAATGCGGATGTTGAATGGCGGTCGTAAGTCTACGACTTATTGGTGAGATGGGTAAGAGCTGATGGGTGTAGGGACTGGCCGATCCCTCGTCTTGGACAAGGTGCATTCCGAATTGGGCTCGAAGCCATTTACAAAGTACGTCCCCTTACTTCCTTATCTTCCAACGTAGAAGCTGACTGTCAATCAGGAGACGACAGGCCTCAAGCTCCCCTATACGCAATACGGCAAACCCTTCAAAGCGACCTACGACTTTTCCGAGCTCTCTCTCCGGCGATACCTCGCTTCTGTAGGGCGCAAATCTGACGGTGATCTCAACGTGTAAGCCCTTTCCCTCGCCCCTCCCCTTGCCCCCAAGTCCCCTCCTCATGAGTCTCAAGTAACACGACATGTAGGTATATGGTAGGTGACAATCCCCAATCTGATATCGCCGGCGCCAACGCACACGGCTGGTCATCCATCCTCGTCCGTACCGGCGTCTTTCACGACACCCACGGCGAAAAGCCGGCGCACGAACCGACAGTCATCGCTGATAATGTCGAGAAGGGGGTCGAGTGGGCTATCGGCAGGGAAATGGGTCTTTACTAGAATGATACCCTCATAGAGCCAGAAGATTGCAGAAGAAGACAGTGGAATACAGTACCAGATGCGATCGATTTCATACCATGCTTAATGCTTTGACTTCTTCTACGTTACACTGTTTAAGAGGAGGGAGGCGGCGAAGGCGCGCCTGGTCGTAAAGACTGGATATGCCGTTGAGCGACCTGAGGTACTCGAGGGTAATACGGATTACGAGGCCGGAAAAGGAGGGTTCGCAAGTCTCGTTGATGAGGTTTGCGAACATCTCCTTTGGCCGCCTTGCTCTCTTCCTTCCCCTCACCCTCATCCTTCTCCTCCTTCTCTTGCCGTGACTCCGCCAAGCCTTTTGTCTCTGTTGGCTCTCGCTTCTCCACGACCTCTCCCACCACGGGCCCCTCAGCATCTTTCCAAACGTACCCCCACCTCCCCTCTCCCGCTTCACTCTTCTGTACCCATCCCTTCTTCTCCATCCTCCCTACTATTCTCGCCCAGCGCGTCTTTTGGGCACCGAGATGTTGGAATCTGAGTTGCCAACTCTCTGGTCCTTCTGCCCCTTGCTCGTCTGCTCCCAATTGGCCATCAAATCTAGATTTTGGAGAGTAGGAGAGAGGCCCGAGTAACGCCCTCGCCTCAGCATACCCCAAACTCCCAAACCACCCCTCCCACCCCACTTTCCCCAGATCCTTGATCCCAAATTTCGTCGCAAACTTGCCAATATGGCGCCACGTCTCCAACCCGGGCAAGATGTCCTTACTCAGAAACGTTTCTAGCATCGCTAGCACTTGTTTTTGGGTGACTTGGTGCGCTTGGGCGGCGGGGGAAGGTGGGGAGAGGAGGGAGAAGATGGATAGGTGCAGTGATTGGCGGTTCAATCTGATTGATGGGAAGGCGGAGGCGAAGGTGCTGAGGAGCGAGTCGGCAGGGGCCAAACGTGGCGCATACGCCAGATAGAGGTTCAACACATCCACCTCGCCTCCCTGCCTTTCCCTCTCTTTCCCCTTGACCGAAGGCGAGTCTGCGATATAATCGCTAGCGTTGCACAAGAGTTTGAGCGCAAACTCAAAAGTCGGTGCTTCACCATACAAAAGCAAGTGATGCAGCCTCCCGAGCAGTTGCGAGGTTGTGTACCTGCCTTCGTCCTCCAAACTCTCAATAAGGGGCCACCGTCTCAAAGCCCATTCATTCGCTCTCATCTCCCAGACTCCCTGTTTGCTAGTCTGCACCTTGTCTCGTCCTCGGATCTTTATGCGTTTCTTGTATCCGAGGGGCACGAGACGTCTCTTGACCAGGAGGTCGATGGTGGATTTTTGTGTCTTGTAGTCGCCCATGTGGGCCGAGTAGGATATCAGCAACTCCCCTGAAGCTTTATTTAGGTCTTGAGGGGAGGAGGGGAGGTGTGCGAATATTTGAGAGGGAGGGGGAGGGTGGGGTTTGGATAGGAGATGGTGGACTACGGTTGGGGGAGGTTCTGGAGTGTTTTGTCAGTCTTGTGATGGTATGTGAGGAGTACGTCGACTTACTAGGTATACAAGGCAGTGATCTGCTATCTTCTGTGCTGCCTCTGCTTTCTCTCAGCGCACCGAAAGAACTTTTTGGTGGTTCTGCGTCACTGCTGGAAGCTGCTTCTGCGCGCGTGTTCGTTGTGCTGCTAGCACCACCTGCGAAGAACTCGTCTGGATCAGATGTATTATTCGAGCCTTGCGCTTTTTGTTGTATATGCCGTTCGTTTAAGAGCATGCCTGTCAGTATACTGCCCGCACAACATCATCCGGTAGACTCACCTGGATACAGAGGCAGACGTGGGGTTCCTCTCCGCTGCCCACCTTCCTCTCTCCCCACCGCCGTGCTAGACGACGCTCTAGCAGCCCAAGGCAGCAACGCCCCCAGTTGTACCAGCTCCCCACTCAGCCGAGCTGGTATTCTCGGTCGCATAACCGTCTTTTCCTCGTCCTCTCTTTGTCAAACCCCTTCGCTTTGTAGTGAGGTTGTGGGTATCGTTGGGAAGGTCTTCACTGCGGTGATAAGCAGAACATGGTGGGGACCGAGACACGAGCTGATTTTGGAGAGGAAATGAGGGTCGAATGTATAGAGGAATCTGACAGCTGGAATCGGAGAAACGGCCGACTTTGCACGCAAGTCATATAAATAGGCGGAGGTAGCCGCTCGGCTTTACAAGTCTCGGTGGTGGTCTGGACAGCGATGCGATGGGGAGATATCATGCATGGGAAATTATGCATTGAATTATATGAGTAGCTCGGTAGATATATCTGCTGACTTGGCCTCGAAGTACATGCTTGGAAAGTAACAAATGCAAAAGCCGGTTGCTTGGGCGACGAACTGCCGAGAGAGCAGCCGAGATAATCAGCGTTATCTCTTTCCAGTCTCTTTCCAGTCTCTTCATCTGCATCCATATAACCAGTTAAGCGAAATGCCCGCCAACGTTGCCCTCCTAGGCTCTGGGGTCTTTGCCCAAGCCTCGTACTTACCCGCCCTCATCAACCTCTCCAAGTCGAATACCCTCAATCTCCACACCATCTGGTCCAGGTCAGAGTCGTCCGCCCAGACTCTTCACTCCAAGTACACGCCGCCCCAGGGATCGTCCGCTCCTGCGCTCCAGTATGGGGATGACGGTCTCGCTGCCGTACTTGCCGATGACGAGATTGACGCGGTGCTGTTTGTCTTGCCGATCACAAAGCAGCCGGACCTCGTCAGGAGGGCTTGGAAGGCCGGCAAACATGTATTGAGCGAGAAACCCCTGGGCAGGGACGTCAGGGAAGCTAAGGAGCTTGTGGCAGAGTATGAAAGGGTCTATAAGCCAAAGGATTTGATTTGGCGGGTTGCCGAGAGTAAGTCACATTGTACATTGCGATCTCTGCTAATGAGATGCAGACTATGCCCACGAGCCTGTCCTTCGCTGGGCTGCAGACCTATTGAAGAGCACCCCAGAGGCCGGCCCGATCCTGTACTGGGACCTCAAGTTTATCGCCTTTGTTGAGGATGGTAGCAAATATCACGCTACCAGCTGGCGCACTATCCCCGACTATCAAGGTGGTAAGTTCTCTTGACATCTCTCGCCGATTGTGTATGCTAAGCCGGGATTGCAGGATTCTTGCTCGACGGTGGCGTCCACTGGACCGCCTTCCTCCGTACCGTCCTTCCGCCCGCCGCCCGCCCTGCCTCCGTAGTAGCCTTCTCCTCCCTCCACCGCGCCTTCCTCCTCCCCCACGACACCATCCAAGCCATCGCCCTCCCCGCTCCTTCTTCCACCATTCCCCCCAACGGCCCCAAGACCAAGCTTTCGTCGGCCGACATCACTGAATCCGAAGTCCCTACCCAGCCTGGGCAATCGACGCCTAGGGGTCAAGTCACCATGTCGTTCGCCAAGCCCGACCTTCCTCCTTCCGCTCAGACCCCCAACGGTCTTTATATCACCCTCTTGAATGGCTTCTTCTCTATCGAGTCGAGCCTCACGCGAGAGTGGGTTGCAAAGTTCGTCCCTGCTCAGGGTAGCGGGCTGGAGGCAAAGGAGAAGAGGAGTCAGATGGAAGGGGTGGAGGTGGAGATTGGTATGTTTGCCAAGGCTGTGGCAGCGCAGAAGGAAGGGAAGGAGAGTGGGGAGCAGAACTTTGGCGAGCCTAGGGGTGCGCTTTGGGATTTGGGAATGTTGGAGGCTATGCTCAATAGCAATGGTGCCGAGACCAAGATCGAACAGTAGAATACTTTAGGAGAAGGAAAAGAATGAATGAACCTCGTCAGAAACACTTCAGATGTTGCATTCGCTATTCCAAGTTCTTGTCAATTTTATTATATTCCTTGAATTCAGTCACTTCTGCAACGTATACTCGTACAGTGATCTTCGCAATCAAACGTTACAGGCACATAACTCTCATTCCAGAATCATGGATTTAGCTGGCAGCAGCCACAGAAAGTCCGCCCTGCGGGAACCCGGCGTGCTTGCCAATCACATCAGTCGGCCCGACATCGTCATACCTCAAGCCCTGCTGCTGGCCCTGCCCATCCCCAGCTCCCTGGGAGGGGAAAGAAGATCCAAACTCGGCCGGTGCGCCCACAACAGGTTCAGCGGTCTGAGCATTACGCGTACCGTACCCAGACTGCAAAGACTGGCTTTCAGCGCCAAACCCAGTCCCTTCTTCTGCTCTAGCACGGGTGGTGTTGTTGTTCACATGGCCAGCGCTGGATCCGAGTTGGAAGGGCGCCTGCTCGGCGGGCTGGTGAGTGTGCTTGGGTGGGGTGAGGGCATTGGATACTGCATGCTGGATGTGGTGCTGCAAGAGCTCCGCTTCGCTGTAGCCCTAAAGTCAGCCATAGAAGAGACGGGTGATGAGGAATAGAGGGACGCACTCTTTAGCTCCGATCCAGTCCTTGTCGAATTCAAACTTGATAGTACCCGACTTTGGGAAACTGCTCTCGTCTTGACGGTTGCTGCCCACAGCCTGAAGAGGGTGATGCTCCTCGTCCTTGACCTACTCCCGTGTCAGCTCTCACCCAACAGAGCAAGATAAGAGACATACCTGAACAATGACCCAAGTGCCTTCGGCCTTCTTGTGCTTGAGCTGAACCCTGTCCTTGACCAAAGCCCAGGTGGGAATGATCACAGCAGCGAGCTTGTCCCCATCGATGACTCCAGGCCATGCGAGCTCAGAGCTGCCGTTGGTGTCAGTAGCTCCTGCCTCATTAGCCGCGGCACAAGGGAGGGTAGCGCCAGAGGCAGTCTGGTCGGTGATGGGTTCGTTCATGGCAGCCTGAGCTCCAGACTGCTGCCCAGTAGAAGCGGAGGTTTCCTTGTTGGTAGTGCTTCCACGCCTGAAGAAGTTCTTCATCTTGTTGGCTATCCCGCTGTCATTCTCGGGCGGGTGAAGAGCATTGACGTTGGAGTTGTTGATGGCGCTTTCTCCGGCGTTGGTGGTGGTGCGAGAAGAGTGCGCGGCGTGAGAGGGGACGGCGGTGGAAAGAGGAGGAGGAGCAGAAGTGAGGAGGGGGTTGGCAGGATCGGACAGGGGGAGGAGAACGACTTGAGACTTGGGCCTTGTCAGTCATGATCTAGTAAAAGTGGAGAGGTACGGACGTCGGTAACTCCAACTCGTACTCGCCAGTACCACCTTCCCTCAGGCGGGCTTCTAGCCTCCTCCTCATCTTTACCAGAGAGACTAAACCTCCTCCTTCTGCCTACTCCACTATCCCTTCCCCCCGGGCTAGAGGTCTGAGCCACGGCATCGACAGCCGTACTCTTTCTCCTGCCGCTGGAGCCCGAGAGGATGCGGGTGAGCGCGTTGCCGCTCTCGTCCTTATGAGCGTCGCGATCTTTGTCGGAGAATGATCCGAAAGAGGAGCGGCGGTCGCCCTCAGAAGTGGGGTCGAAGGGGGTGAAGAGGGAGATGGTTGCGAGGCAGGGGTAGAGGTTCTTGGGCGGGATGACGTTAGCGGTGTCAGTAACGAACTGCATGGTTGCTGTGGATACATCTCAGTAGGCGGGTGGCAAGACAGCATATATATATGGCAAGGACAGAGCGTCATCTGACAGACATCGATAGAGTTTGCGTCCAAGTGTTCCGGTCGCATGTCATCTGCTGTCCTCTGCCGGGATTATTCAACGAGCGAGTAGTACGTACAACGTCGATCCAGACCATTTACGTAACTGCCACTCGGAACGCCGGCGGCCCGGGCGGGAGATCTGATTCCCACGCATATAACATGACTTCCGCTGCTCTTTCTCTTCCCACCCGTCCCTATCCTTCTCTAAAACCGCGTGCCCAGTCACAAACGGGTCAGCCGGGGAAGAGAAGATCCGCGTCCTCGGACACGAACCTTCTCTTGTAGCTCGCTCCCTCTCTTACTTTCTCGGTCGAGTGGCGCTTACCATCCAACCTAGATAATGCTCAAGGAAGTCTGTGGTTCTCCGTCCTGTCTGATTGGAGTGTAAGCCGTTAGTCGTGGACTGCCTCTAGTGCAGACTTTTTTTGGTCGCTCTGCTGATCAATGTTAGCCTTGTCTTCCTTCATTATCTACCTAATAAGTATCAATAAGCTCCGCTTCCCCGCCGTCTGCTTGACCCCCATTCCCTACCTTGCTATAACTCCAGCTCTCATTGCTCCTTTGGGCTCCCTGTACGGCGCAGTATCGGCCGGGTGGAGTAAGATCTGCTCCCTTCGGTGGGTGCTGCGGTTTGCAGGGCGCAGGACGGCGCGGTGGGTATTGGTGTGGTAGACAAGGTGAGGTTCGGGGGTAAGTAGACGGTCGGGAAGCGGGTTTCGCTGGTACTTTACCGGTCCTCTCCTCTTGACCTCGGCCTGGTCAGCTGGAGAGACCAAAGGCGAGGTCGTTGGTCATAACGCCTTCGTCTCCTCTCTATCATCTCTCTACCTCGTGAGTGTACAGTGTTCCCAGATCACCACGAAGGCCTGCAGACCTGATCGATACGACCCAGAAACCTCAAACACCATACTCCTGTGTCATCTCCGCCAGAGTCTGCTCTTTGTACCTACCGCACTCTTTGCTCAACCATCATCTAGCAAGGTCGCGTACGGTTTTGTTGCTTCCAAAACATAGTGCACGATGTCCTAAGCCACCCAGCATGCACTCTGGTGAACCCTTTTCAGGATCTCGTATTGTTACATCACTTGTTGCATCTTGCATGTACATAAAGACGACTATCAGTGATCGGTCCCCGGCTCTAGTCCCCTTTGCGACGAAGCTAGAGCTTGCTTCTCGCTCACACGGCAAGCATTTTCCACATGACCCTCAGTGGCTCTTCTTCGCTTGAACAGTGCTCCACTATAACCGATCCTGTATTACGCCGCATCTTATCATCATGACTCTGAAGAGAGCCACATTGTTAGATACCGCATATCACCGTTGCATGACATCACGGATTCCCATGCACCCACCACGTACCTTCTTCCCGCCATTTTTCCCATCGTATTTCTCTTTCTTTCTTCACACCCCTCGCGCCGTGTATCGGTCAAGGCTGCTTGTAGCAGTTAGCGAGAGAGTACATACAGTCTAATACTGTGCGTGCTCGGTGGTTGCATCTCGGAGACGACCAGGTATCAAGGTTGATGTCTGGTCGGTATTTCCGGTAAGTTCCCGCCTAAAGTGCTTCGTACTCAGAAAAAGAGGCGCTGATCATCCTTCAGAGCGGTAGTGGTGGGCTTTCTCCCTGTGCGTATCAACATCAAACACATTCATCAACACCATGAGCCTATGGTATTGAGAGGCAACAATGACTGACGATGCTTTTACAACAACGCAGATCGTGAACGGTCGACGGGACTGATAGTCTCTTGTCCACCGTCATCACGTAAGTCTTCACCATGACCAGTACTTTCAAAGCAGTCACCAGACACTAATCATATCTTCAGCTGGAAGTCCCTCTTCAAAGAAGGGCCTCCAGGCATATGAGGTGTAGCGTCAGATAGACGTAACAGCTCAATAGGGTACATTTACTTCTCATTCTCGGCGGATATCACATGGCGGGCTTTGTCTGACACTTGGAATAGCCATCGAGCTTCCAGAATCAGATTCTGTAATCTCGGTGTCAGATAAGTACGCTCATATCGTCTCGTGGACGAATTTCGGCTGACGATCTGTCGCAACAGGGGTGAGAAGCCGTGATAGTAATTCGCGGCCTCTCACTCTAGGATCACGGGTACGTCAATTTCCCATATTTGTCTTTTCCCTTCCAGGATACTAGCTGATTGATGGCCAGACATTCTCTGGGAGAAGACCCCTGGAAATATCGTATGTACTCTTGTATCTCATGCTGAGGAAACTGCTGACGTCGCTCAACCCACAGCGTTTACCGGCGGTCTGTCGCTTTCAAATCGCCCTTGATCTTCAGACCCCAAGACATCGTCAAGACCGTCTCCAGAGTCGGTTGGAGACGGTCTTGACGATCTTACCGTGTCCCCCTTCCAACTTTCCTTCTCACTCAAGGGCGCGGTGGACAGTTGGAAAAAGAAGGGCACCAAAGGTTGCTTGTCACGATCCGCCGTGCTTTGCTTCTTCCTTGTATAATCTCGAGACTCTTCGCCAGGTGCACAAAGGAAGAGTCTTGTCCTGTCTCTATATGGTAAGGATGATCGCCATGGTCGATCTGCAGTGTTTCAGCGCTGACCTCGAGTTCAGAGTATACTTCAAACCTCGAGTCTCCCGACACTTCCGCACTGATCATGCGTCATGATTGTCTATGTCCTACATTCTCCTCTCGTGCAGCACTTGTGTATCTCCTGATATACATACCACCATATGTCTCAATCGGGGTAGCGTACGTACACAATGCACTGAGTATACCGATTGTTCCAAACCAATTTCAACAGACAGACAGACGCTAAGGAGTTGACTGTTGCATACACTGCCATACATATGCATAGAAGCAAGACAACAGCATGCACGAAATGGAAAGACATAAAAATACGCTTTGTGATGGTTATGCACGACACATTAATGATTTTGCCGAGATCCAAAACTCTTGCAGATGATGGCGCCCAAGATTTTTGAAAGCTACTCGGCCTTCTCCCTGACCTCCTCCTCTTCTCCGTCCTCATCATCCGACCTCTCATCCTTGAGCTGCTCGCCAAAGATGGTCCTGAAAAGGATTCTCCAGATCAAAAAGTACCAGAAAAGGTTGATGAGCTGGAGCAAGAAGATGGGGACAAAGATCTGCCACTTCATCCACCCGACCATGAAAGTGTCGTTTAAGGGGTCAAAGCCCTGACGTTCTTTCCAAGGAATGAGCTCGAACTGAGCCCAGACGGAGTAGAGGATGATAATGTTGAGGTAGTGGCGAAAGTATGACCAGACCCCAATGAACCAAGCAAAGACGGGCACGGACCAGAAGTCGGATACGTAGTTGACACATTTGGCAAGCTGCACACAATCAGATTTGCCAAATTCAATCATAGGAAAGACTCACAGCAAGGAAGATGTCGGACACGTCCATGGTCACAAACACAGCGACACCAATATATGTCAACTAATAGAGAGTCAGAGATGTACAATGCGGCGCCGATGTCACTCACGTAGATGTTGTAACTCCATCCAACCAACCAGAGCGTCACGACGTGGTGCGCAACAAGCTCCTTGAAATCTTTCCTCGGCTTCTCGATCTTTCCAGCCAACAGGATCGTTTGCTGGAGCCAGTAAGCGGCCTGCATAAGGTAGTAGGTCTTGAGCTCCCAAGTCATTTGTCGGTGAGGGTATTCGAGCCAGAAGTGCTCGGTTTGGTACCACCAGATAGGAAGGCTGCTCATAACGTAGACGCCGAGAGTGCCGAGGATGCCAAAGTAGAAGAACGCGTAACCCTCTACAATCTAATGAGCTTGTATACCACAGGGGGAGAGGAAGAAACGTACGCTCGGTGAACCTCATGATCTTGTTGCCCTTGATACCGAGCGACTTGGCCATAGGACGGAGAACACTGAGCGTCATGAATTGCCGGACACTGTTTGGCGTCAGAAAAGACTATCACAACGAAGACCGAACTCACAAGCTCCAGAAGATGATGTAGTTGGCCAAGAACGCAAAATCCCACCACGACTTGCCATATCGACCATCTGGCAGCTTGTTCGAGATGAACACAAAGTGCTCAAAAACATTGGGCAGCGCCGAGTCAAACACACCAAAGTGTTGGAGGATTTCGTGCTGATAGTACAGGAAAGGGGCAATGAGCATAAGCTTGAAGGAGGAGGCTGGGTCGCTGGGTCAGTTCCCGCAGCGGAAATAAAGTAGGCGGGATATGGCACATACAGGGTATCAGCATCCACTTTCCCTTCTTGAGGTCGTTCCAGAACCCCCCAGAGTGGTACAGATCCGGCAGCTCATCCTTTTTTCCGTTTTGAGCAGGTCGAGGGCGGCTGCTCAGAGGCTTGACCTCGAGTGGATCGTTCATTTTGTAAGTTGTGCTATTGGAAAAAAGGTCAACATCACGACCCCGTGGTCAACGCATATGACCATCTCATACCTCGCGTTTTGATCTTGATTGAGAGGGATTTGGCTGCCATTACCACATCAGTATCGAGTCTGACAGGTCGTCCGTGGGTTCCGCTCACGTCGCAGGAGCCACGTAGATCGAGGTAGATGGACTCACTTGAGGGCCTGCGTAACACTGGAGCTGCGTCTCCTGTGGGGCGGCTTGGAGACTGAGGACATTGTGGTGGTACAGGGGTGAATTACAAGATTATATTAGGTGGCAGCCGCAGGAAACAGCGGAAAGACGAAAGTGGAAAAACAACGACATTCCTCTCCGCAGAGACTTCGGCGGAATCAAAAAATCTATTACAAGCATTACTAATGCCCGCCGGCCCTGGACTCGGTTACGTTTCGATCGTCTCTTCTTGCATGTCACCCATTCCCATACATCCTGTACACTGGCAGCATAGACAAGATGTATAATACAACAAAGAGAGTGAAAAGAAGGCCACACGCTCATCTGTTGACAGAGCTCTCTCCACTCCTGATACATAACAACCACAAATGTAGAGACAATTGATCCGTTTGCATTTATTGTACTTGTCGTGTGAGCGCAGATGCATTAGACGTCTGTAATATCACGCAAGACATATATAGGAAGACAGAAAGAACATAGAGACTCGAGCGCATAGGGAATCTTACCACTTTAGGTGATCATGTTGTGTTGTGCCTCCATCAGCGTCAGAGAAGTCTTGCCATAGAAATGAACGAATAGAAGATAAAAGTCTGTCACTCGTGCGAAAAGGTTTGCTCGTTAGTCTCCCAGGTGCAAAAGAGAAACTTGCCTTAGCCGGATGAAGCAGACTTCACACCCAGGGCTGATTCGCCGTGACGTGTTTCGACTTGGCCAAGTAGGTGCGGTGTAAAAGCTATGCCGAAAGAACATCATATAACTCCCCACAAGAAACAAGAGAGACGCAGACAGAGACCGTTTTTCATACCGCATGATGATTGTGAAATCTTTTCTTTTTTCTTGTAAACCACTAAAAAGCTATTCACACTCTTTTCGTCAGTTTCGGGGACAGTGTTTTGAATACAACACAACACAAGCTCTGGGCCATCCCGGTCTTAGAGATGCGCTTTGAAGAGCGTCTCGGAGATGTACCCAGCCATCAACATCCTTCCACCAAAGAACCTGCCGTTGAGTCCGCGGATAGCATTGGTAGCAGAGTCGATTTCGGCAAATTCAATGTAGACTTCGCCCTGCACCAATTATCAGCCTCAATAACCAGGCATAGGAAAACGAAGGACATACAGCAGACATCTTTTCCACCTTGATCCGCACGACTTTACCGTACTTGGATTCCACTTCGCCCTTGACATCCTCTGCGAGGTCAAGATCCCAGTTCCTTTCAGTTTCCCTACAGCTCATCAGCCAATGCTCTCACTAACACTGGAAAAAAAGATTCACTCTTCGGGGTTGAACATGTTGCTGACGACGAGGAACGGGGACGGGTTCATAGCCGGCGCGGGGGCACGGCTCGGTGCGTCGTTTCGCGCGGCAGGAGGCGCCTCGGTCCTAGCAAGCTTGTACATCAGCTGTTGACGCTGGGTAGCGTCGAGCTTGGTGCCGTAGTCCTTGGAGTCGTCAATCATGTCGGGGGTTTGGTGGAATGAGCGGTCTTGGACTTGTTGAACCCGGACTGCGAAACAGTATGAGCGGGATCCAGGTGCAATGAAGGGCTGAACTCACTTGGTCGTCCGGCCAGCTCAAAGCCAGCCATAGCGTCCTGGGCCATCTGCGCCGGTCTCAGTTCTTTGTACTGTACGTAGGCTGTACCCTTTTTCAATCCACTCTGCAACATCCATCAGTCATTGCCTCCCAATTCAAGGTGAAAGCACTCACGTTGTCCATGTGCAAATCCACAAACTCTATCGCACCAAACGGCTCAAACACCTGTTTCAAATCAGCAGGCCCAAGCGAGAAGGGAAGGTTGGTGACGAAAAGTCGGTTGCCCTTGTGCAAATTGGGGTCGAAACCTTGAGGCACCTCGAGTCCGGAGGACAGGGGCGGATAGTTGGTACCGAAAGAAGGGGGAGGACGGGTGGAGGGATTGCTGGGAACGATCAGTTCGGAACGTGAAAGTGTGTGGTTGGACTTACGTTACACTAGCGAGGGCATGAGCGGTGATGAGCTCCTGTCCGCCAAGGTCATTTTCAGAGAGCAAAATGCTGATCGGGATACCCATGACGACTGTACCAGAAAGTTCCAGCGCCTTGTTGACGAGGTCCACGCTGTCCAGCTCGACATGTCCAATACTAAGCAGTCCGTGAGCTACGGTCGCAAGATACGAAAAGCACATACCCTCGAGACCTTCGACCACCGCGGTCAGTCACGACCCTTGCCTCTCGCACTGACCTCGGTCCAAGCTTGTCCTCAAAGAACATGCCAAGGATACGCGAAGTCATCTTGGCAGACAGCTGGGAGACAAAGACGGTTCGCCCCTTGGGGTCGACATCCTGAGGAGGCGGGCCTCGACGGCGAGGGGGCTGGTCGTAGTCCGGAGTTCGGCGGCGCATGGGAAGGGGTGATCGCATGGGGCGGATACCTCGTTCCTACGACTGATCAGAAGCAGCTCGAGCTGTATACAAAAGACTCACCTCGAATTCTCTACGGCCGTGGTCTCGTCTGTCATCATAGCCTCTCCTACCTCCATAACCCCTGTCCTCTCGCCTATCATCATAGCCCCGCCTGTCTCGCACATCATCAACAGGAGGTCGGTCGTCCCTATGACTCTTGTAGCTCCTGTGACTCTCCCTCGATCGATCACGCTGACTCGCAGGCCTACCCACCGAGATCTCCCTCGAGCCTCTCCTCAGGTCCTCCCTTTCCCTAGAGTCTCTCCTCACATCTCCCCTTTCCCTCTCTTCCCTCTCCCGCTCGTCCCTCTCCCTCCGTCTCCTCCGCCTGTCTTCTCTTTCTTCCTCTGTCTCTGCATCCCTACGGCGATGGCGCTCCCGGCGTTCTTCTTCCGTCTCATCCCGGTGTCGGTGGCGTCTGCGTTCCCGTTCAGGATCTTCATGTTCCAGTCCATCGTTGGGACCGTCGCGCCTATAGCGGTGAGATCTGCCAGCTCTGTCACGATCATCTTCTCCGTCATCTTGACGAGGGCGCTTCTCACGTCTGCTTTTTTTACATTAGCCATGCGCAGAGGGGGCAAGGGTGAGACTTACGTGACGAGTTCGGGGGTCTTGTCGCCTGCGGTGGCAGGGGCTGCATGGGGCGGTGTAGCGGACATGTTGAGTGATGCTTGGGTCTCGATAAGCTGGGACAGACTTGCGACGTTGCGAGAAAGTACAACAAGTAGAGAGAAGCGGGAGCTTTTCACGGCATTTTGAGTCGGAGCTATATACCCTGTGGGCTGTGGCATTCGACTTCAGATGTGTTTTGAACACCAAGTGCATGCATGCTTTGTCTATGTATCCGGCGAAGTGCATGGTATGATGAATAACAGAATAAGTGTGTGCAAATGTTGCCTAGTGTGATGATGTTACAAACGCGCCGTAAGTGCAGACTTGTAAAAGGGGCGTGGTATTGCAAAGCGGAGAAGATGAGAGGAGGATGAAGGGGTAGAATCATCCCATGTAAGGAGAGACTGTAGACATGTGACGATTTGGTGCATGGTGTGATCATATGATGGTAGAACTAGATCGACTCCCGGCGCACCACTGGTGTGGCTGATGTGGCTGACAACATCCATCAGGCAATGAGGCCTACTGGTCACGGCGGCTTGATGATCAGAATCTTACCGTGGAGCATTGTACCGTGGCATGTAGGTCCAATAAGCCACAGCCTGACCCTCTTGAGAACAAAGGGGCAGCCTGACCCTCTTGAGAACAAAGGGGCCATCGTGCTTTAACGGTCAACCTGGCTCGACGCCGGGGCCTTCTCGCAGGCGGAGTTAACTTTGCTATCTCGAGGAGGGACATTCCCGAGCAGCACTACTGGGCGTCCCGACTCTAGCAGCAGTTTAAATCTATGAAATCGCGCCCTCTTCCGCGACATATCGAGTTTGCGACCTGTCATTCTGTCCAGCCTCTCCAAAGCAAAGGCCAGAGGAGGAGCGTCCAGAAAGATTAATTACAGATTAAAAATCCGCACCAAACACACCACAGGAGCATGTTGTGGAGCCCCTGTGAAGGTGACTGTCTTCGAACGTTCGAAGGCAGTACAGACTACAGAACCATGAGCATACTTTATAATCGATTCTTTCATTTGGTCCCTATGGATCTGGCGTGGAGTGCAGTTAATTTCCCTGTCTGGCGTGTTCGCTGCGCTAGCTCGTCATGCAACGGCGGCAAAGCTACGGGAGCTAGAAAATCCAACAGATACGCACGAATGACGTCAGAAAATGCGTCCTGCCTCTGACGTCAATCCGGATTTCTCGCGCTTTCTATATAAGGCAGTCCTCCGGGATACCCCCATTTTCCCTCCATCTTTCCATCTACTTTCTCTTAATCACTGTAGCCGTGAGTCAACATCCCCTCCATCGCCTGCCTCCACTTCCCTCCTTCTTCTCCTCACTAACACTGCCGCAGATTAGAATATCCCCCCACCATGTCTGTCGCTCCCACAAAATCCGAAATCTCCCAGAACCCTGGAAAGCTCAGCGTAACAAACGCCCTCAACAGGGACCAGGTCGAAGGCAACGTCTCTTCCGGTCTCAAGCTGTGGGGTGCCATCCAGGCCTTCCGCGATGGGTGAGTCTTTCCATCTCGTCATCTTGCGCTATATCTGACATCCCGCAGTCGCATGCCCGACAACAAGCAGATCGATCGTGTCCTCGACTATGCCATCAAGACTTCCCCTGTCGACGTCTCGAGACTGTCACCAGACGGCCGTGTCCTTGTTGATGACTTTAGAGACATTATCGAGACTCTCCGTACTATTGTCGCCGAGAAGAACGCCGATGAGCTCTTGCAGAGTGCTGTTTGGGCTTCCTATAGCGGTGATCTGTCGCGGGCCAAGCAGGACGGTGTGATCCCTGTTACCAACGACAAGGTTCAAGAAGATGCCAACACTGGTGAGTTCATCGTCACATGTTTGTGAATCTCACTGACATCATCCGCAGCTGCTGCCCACATCCGTACCCTCATCACCCTCTTCGTCACCAACTCTGAAGCCCGAAAGCTTCTGCAAGACTTTGGCATCGTTGGCCGTGATGTCTTTGCTACCGCCGCTACCAAGGCTGCCGACAAGGCTCGCCCCACCCAGGAGCAGCTCGACGCTGTTGACCAAGAAGCTCCCTCGAATGAGTGGGTTGGTGCCGACGGCAAGAGGCATGGTCCCAACGAGACTCCCGAGGTGCAGATGAAGGGTCCCAACGGTACCCAGGTCCGATACAACCCCAAGGACGCTCCCGGCCAGGCTTCGTGGGTCATCTCTTGTCTTTTTGATTTTGGGTCCCTTGTTGACATGTTATCTAGCGTTACCGACCACCGAGGCGAGACCCGAACTGCCGGCGACACTTACAGCGCCGCTCAAGAAGCCAAGAACGACGCCCAGCTCCGCGCTCAGGAGGCCAAGGCCCAGGGCACGGGTACCGCCCAGTCCCACGCCGACGACCTCAAGGCCGCTCGTGACCCCAACGCTCCTCTTTCGCAACAAAAGGAACAGGTCACCTCTGCCGCCAACGCCAAGGTTGACGAGTACGGCAACCAGATCCCCGACCCCCAGAACCAGACCAACCAGGAGAAGGCTAGGGCTAAGGCTGCTGCTTTGAGGGACCGAATCCCCGCCGAGCACAGGGAGAGGGCTGCCAACTACCTCCAGCAGGGTAAGAACTTTTTCAACGATGAGTTCCCCGAGGAGAGGAGGGACCAGTTCATCTACAGGCTCAAGAAGGTGCGTCTATTTGTTCGTCTTGTGAATCTAGCTGACAAATCATTAGGTAGTTGTCGAGTGCCAAGGTCACAAGGACTACCAGGAGGCCATGGGCTGGCTTCTTGAGACTCTCGAAAACTACCACGGCCACGCCAAGCACGTCGGCACCAAGGGTGCCGGCTCTGTCCAGGCTGTCGGCGGCGACCCCGGAATCACCGACGCCACCACCCAGTTCCGTGTGCTCCTCGAGAGATTCGCCAACGGCCAGTCCATCGAGCCCATCCTCAACGCTCTCGACCAGGTCTACACCGACATCCAGAACGACTCTGAGCTCCGATCGTGGTTCACCACTTTCAACGAGTACATCCACAAGGTCTTGCTCGAGCCCGGATACATTCTCGACGAAGAGTCTGACCGTGAGGCTGTCGCTTTGAGAGACTCTGGCAAGAGGTTCTTCACCGACAAGTACAAGAGCCACCAGGAGCTCCTCTTTGACGAGGTACAAGTCTGGGCCACCGCCTTTGGCAAGGACCCTCTGAACGTCAGGCTCGGTGACGACGTCAAGCGCTTCACCAAGGACCTCTTGTTCAACTCTGAGGGTAACCTTACCTTCAAGCCCAAGCTCTGGAATGATGTCCGAACCATCCTCCTCCCCCTCTTGCTCGAGCAGGTCACCTACGTCCCCATCCCCAGGGCCGAGTACAGCGACCCCAACATCGACTTGGTCATCGAGGGCCTCGTCTTGTCCGGTCCCAACCTCTTCCCCAACATCGTCCACCTTGAGTCTTTCAACTCGTTCACCTTCTCCCCCTACCCCAAGATCAACAAGGGCATGGACAACCAGCACCACCGATTCGCCCTGTCTCTTTCTCAGATCCAGGCCGATATCCGAGATGTCGCTTTCGCTTTCCGAAGAAAGACTGGCTGGCCCCGTATCTCGGACCACGGTCTTGCCGATGTCGTCCTCGCTGGCAAGGGTATCTCTGTCGACGTTGAGCTCGAGTCTGTCGAGAACCGACGAGACACTGTCTTCAAGACCAACCATATCAAGGTCTCTATTGACACTCTCAAGTTCTCTATCAGGAACTCTAAGCACGACTTGCTTTACAAGGTACGTTCTTCTTTGTTTGTGTGGGCAAAGCTGACAGTCTCGTAGTTTATTAAGTCTACTGCCACTGGCTTGATCAAGAAGGCCATCACTGCTGCCGTTCAGAACGCCATGAAGACTTCTCTCGGTCACCTCGATGACCAGCTTGTCGAAATCCGAAACAGGGTACGTTTCTATCGATACTCTCGAATTGACTGAACTAACAACATCTCTAGGTTGACGAGGCCAAGAAGACCGATGAGACCACCCGATCCCAGGCTCTCAAAGACCTCTACGCCCGCAAGAAGCAGGCCTCTGCCGACGAGAAGGCCAGGGCCGAGCCTTCGCCCGGTACTTTCAAGATTGTCACCAACCGTGAATCCCAGCTCAACCCCGACCTCACGCACGATGCCGAGAAGAGCTGGACGCACAAGGCGTTCAAGACGGAGGACCTCGCAGCGTCTGGCAAGGAGTGGAGGAGTCCCGCGTTTGACTTAACCGACAAGGCTCACCCCGCGCTTACCGGTCAGCACCACCCCGGTGCTACTGTCGGCGCGGGTGCCAAGACGCAGAAGGTTGAGCAGCAGGCGGCTGCGGCGGTCAAGCAGAAGGTGTAAGGGGTTTTAATATCAAGAGGAATTTGTTAGAAGACTAAAAGAAGCTCTATTGTAATATTATCTATCGTAATACTAGCTTGAATAATTTGGAAATGCACACGTGAACAACAAAGCTTGGAACGTCGCACAGTACTCGTACAGTGGCATGAGCACATACTCGTATAGAGTCGTATACCACCTCTGGGCTCTTGTAGATTGGCTCGACTATCATCTCCATCACATCGTCGGACTCCCCTTTCAGGACCTCCCAGACCTCCCAAGTCACCCAAGCGTAGGATCCACTCGTAACGTACACGCAGTGCACTGCTCTGCGACGAAATGAATCAAAGTCTTTCATAAAGGATACAGCACATGTATAACTTCAGGTTATATATCTATTAGCACCTTACATGAAATCATCATCCGCCAGCACATCATCATACGCCTCCATATCATCCCTCCCTCCAGTCTTGGTCGCAGCCCCCAGCTTGGGCTTGGCCGACGCCTTCTTCTTACCTCCCTTGCTGTCCCTCTCCTCCTGCTGCTTGGTGTTACCCAACACACCCAAGCCTGAAGAGACCTTTCGAGTCTGAACGGCAGTCAAGGGAGCACAAGCGTCTTTGGCGAGCTGCTCGACAAAGTGGGAAAAGAGGGGGTTGGTCTCGTGCTTTTTGAGGATGGCGGCATAGACTTGCTGGGAGAGCTTGGTAAAGTCGTCCTTGGTGGAAGGGCGAGAGTTAAGGACGGCCTTCAAGTTGTCGCTGGCTACCGAGGATGTCAGCGCTAGTCTCGGGACGAGAAGGGGGACGTACAGCCACCGACGTCGAGACCGCCCATCAAGTCGGAAGCGACGGCCAAATCAGCTTCTTGCTCCTTTTCACGAGCCAGACGCCGACGGTCCTGCTCGGTCAAGTGGTCCATCAGATCATCATCGTCGACACTGACACCCTTTGCTTTCTGCGATCGACGTTAGCATAGTCACAGAGAAGTATGAAGAGCACGTACAGCTTCCTTGGCAAGCCTCTCCTTCTCGGCAAGCTTTTGTTTGAGGGTGCCCTTCTTCTTGGGCGGGGGCACAGCCGCAGCCTTAGGCTCAGGCGTCTCGTCATCAGACTTGTCCCAGTCATCGTCCTACACGATCTTGTCATCAGCACCACACCTCGGAGTAGCACCTTTCTACAAGAAAGGAGTCCAGAACGTACACTCTTGTCATCGGCGTCCTCGTCGGCCCACTTCTTGGCAGACACCTTGGGAGGAAGAGCCACAGCAGGGGCAGCGGCGGGCGCGACATCATCGACATCTGTTCGGAACCGCGAACAAATTTCGGGCGAAATCAGCGAAGAGCTCTCATGGCTTTATCGAAGAGAAGAGACGTACCCCAGTCGTCGTCGGACATTGTGATAGTTGCAGGTGATTTAAAGGAGTAGGAGTTTAGTTTAGGGGAGTTTTCAAAGCTGAGAGTGCGCTTTCAGTGGGATATGGAGATAAAACGGACGAGAACAACAAAGACTTCAGATTGTCATGCTGCAAAGAATTTGGTTCCGTTTTGATCCCGTGACTCAAGTCAGACTATAGAGGATATCGTCAATACAATCCAGCTGCATACTGACACAAAGCGATGGCCCACTCACCGCAACCCCTGGCCACATTGCAGCAGATAGTGGCCACCCCCTCGGCGGGCGACGGTGTGCCCAGCGATGTGGAGGGGGACTTGAGAACTGCTGGGTGTATGCTCATACAAGAGGCCGGCGTCATGATGAAGCTGTGAGTTCTTTGTCTCTCGTGAACACAGTGGCTGATGCGATGTAGCCCACAAAAGACTATGGCTACTGCCCAGGTATTGCTGCATCGCTTCTACTACGTCTCATCGATGTACTCTTTCAGCGTCAATGTGCGTCTTGCTTGAAGCAATAGTGGTCTCAAGCTTACAAGTCGTAGGACATATCAATATCGGCCCTTTTCCTCGCTTCCAAATTACGTGAAACGCCCGTCCGCCTACGCGATCTCATCAACACATATCTCTTCCTCACTGCCAGAATACGGCACTTGCTCGATTTGCCTTCGGATCAGCATTTGACCCTTGATCACTTGTCATCTGGCTCGGCTTCGAGAGCGAGCAACGGGAACGATATCTGGAGAGGCTTCAAGTTCGAAATACCAGGATTTCATGACGAGGTGTTTTGGGAATGGAAGGATGTGATTACGGCTTCAGAGATGCAGATACTCAAGCGTCTGGGGTTCAACATGCAGGTGTGTCGTCTCCTCTCTTATATAACCGACTTCGCTGACAATGTTGCCTAGGTTGATTTGCCGTACAACCATATGATAAACTATCTAAAGATCCTGGACCTTGTATTCAAAGAAGAAATCGCCCAGATGTGCTGGTCCATCTTGAACGACATGTTTGTGTCCTCATCTTCCTTGAGACTGGAGCTGACACCTACTCTAGGTTATTAACGCCGCTCTACGCAATCCACCCACCCCATACCCTCGCCTGTATATCCATCCTCCTTGCCACCCGCCTTTCCCGCCTACCGCTCCCTGCCCGGTGGTATTTGTTGTTTGACGTGTCTTTGCAAGAGATCACGAGCGGATCCGGAGTTGTGATGAAGCTGTGGCATGAATGGGGGCTCAATACACGGCATGGGCTGGGAACACAAAGGGCAGAAGGCGAGGGGGATAAGGCAGAGCAAGATAGACGGAGAGGAAATGAGGCGCGGTGGAGGAGAGCCTGGGTTCTGGCACAGTCGAGAAAGGCAGTGCGGCGGTGGCTAGAAGGCGCCAAGTGATGTTGTAGGATTATAGATGTATGCATGTACGAATCTACTACTGCTATGCTACAGAAGTTCACTTCGTTCGTGTTGTACACAAAGTCCGTTAGGCATACAAGTGGAGACACTACTCGTACTCGTACTATACAAGGTCAGGGGGTAGCCCCGCAGCTAGGTCATATAGAAATGTACTGCGTTACCACCATAATTAATTCTTGATCGTATAACGGTTTAGTATGCTCGCTTGTCAATTTCGTAATTGCGCGGGAGATCGGGGTTCGATTCCCCGTCAGGAAGATTGTTTTTTTTTTGCTCTTTTCGCTTTCGAAAATGGCCCTACAAGGGATCTTCTCTTTCATATACTTGTCATTGTTTTTGCTTCAGAATTTTTGCATGGATCAGACAGGGAGATTGGACGACGGCATCAAAACATGGTCTAGGCGGACCGGCCCGCAGCCGAAACGCACACCTTTTGACTTCATCCGCAGGCATCTGCTTATTGTGCATACAAAAGTCGTGAGTCAAACCAAAATCTTGCAGCAAGCTGAGAGTAAAGAAGGATGTCCCTATCACTAAATCCCCACAGCACCCGTTCGAACACTTTCTGCGCTGTAACGAGCTGCGACGACAAGGCTCACATGATGCGATGTCATGGTCTCTCTACAGCTCGTCATCCCTAGTGAAGCGCTGCCGTTGACGTGGTTGCGGATTGCGGACGTTCCGATGACAATCAAGAATCCGATGCCGGTACCTGGGACTTTCGAAACGAGGTTCGTCACCTTGCATTCTAACTGGTCAAGGATGTAGCAAGGACGATTGAATCCAAGATCCTTCGCGCTTGTCACGCAACGCCCTTCTATTCTCTCACGGTGCTAGCTACGATCCACTCAGCGCAGATATCACTAGCCTCACAAAGGATGAAAGAGTCTCGTGAACACGCAAAGATTAATGATCCTGGCGAGGCTAGTGCATGCCAAGTCATGCGAGACGACTGTGGTTTGGATGAGCAGTGCTCTCTAGTGTCCTTCGAGCCCTTTGAGGGGCCGGCGGATTGAATGTCGTGCTCTGAATAGAATGTGGTCTCGAGGGTATATAAGGGAGGGCAATTTGGAGAGAAAGAGAACCCCATCAGTCTTTCTCTCAACAGCCCCACTTCACTCACTTCGCTCACTTTATCACCCAACCATCACCAACAAAACTTTTTATCGTGCGATTCGCTACTGCCTTTGCCGTCCTCGCCGCCGTCGCCGCTAGTAAGTGCTCTCAACCATACTTGTGGTACTCCAGACTAATGTGATGTTATAGCTGCCGGCGCTGCCCCCACCGGTCAGCAGGAGTCTGCCAGCCTTTCCTTCTCTGGCCCTCCTCCTTCTGGCACCGGTGCCCCTCCCCCTCCCCGCCTCCGGTGCTCCCCAACAGAGGCGAGCTGACGACGCTGCTCGTATGTATGTTCTTGACTATCGTATGCTGTAGCTAACTTTCCAATAGCTGCCGGTCTCTCCTTCTCTGGACCTCCTCCTTCTGGACCTCCTCCTTCTGGATCTGCCCCTGCCGGTCCTCCTCCCTCTGGCGCCCCAGCAGAAGCGACAGGACGTCCGTCTGGTTCCGCCCCCGCCGGCCCGCCTTCTTCTGGATCTGCCCCCGCTGGGCCTCCTCCCTCTGGTACTCCCCAGCAGAAGCGAGCTGGTGATGTGAACTCTGCCGGTGAGTATTTATGCCTACTGATCATCGATGTTTGACATACTGACCATATTCTAGCTCCCCCTCCTCCTCCTTCCGGATCTGGATCTGCAGAAGCGACAGAACGCGCCCTCCGGCTCTGCTCACAAGAAGAATGGCGTCAGCCACCACTGACTTCGAGCGCGCGCATCCGGCCAGATACAACGACAGTACACCGCTCTACCGTGCACAATCAGATCACTTCATTGCAATAAGAGAATACATTGTCAACAGACTATCTACAAAACAAAGTACTAACAAGCGAATTCGTGATTCAGAGCAAAAAGTTGACAGGCAGGGGTACAAGTACTGGTAGTAGTACAGCACACAAAACGCAGGCTTGACAAGCCTACGAGTATAATTACAGAAAAAAAGCAAGACCTTATAATCAACAACACGCCAACTGTATACAAATTGAAACAAGCTTTACGTCTTTAAAGAGACGGGAAAATACAACTCTCATTCAACTCTTGACACCAAGCCATACACCCCAACCTAGCACGAAAACAGCACCCGCCACCACACCCCACTTCCAAATCCTCCTCCCACTACCTTTCCCACCCTCTCCGCCTTTGCCCCCAGATCCAGCACCGGCACTGGTGCCGGGGAACAACCGCCCTTTCCACTCTGCGAGTGCTTTACGGATGATCGAAGACATATTGTCCTTCTTCCCCGTATTACCCGGCGATACCCGCGGAAAGAGCGCCTGATAATAATCGCCCCTCCCCGTACCCTTATCTATACTCCTCCTCCTCTTCCTCTGTCCCTTCACTTTCAAAAACTCTTTCCCGCTCTTGCTCACCACGGCATCTCCACTCTCTCTCCTTTGAGCCACCCTCCTCGACAGGGTCGCTTCCCACTCGCCGCCGCCTTGGGCTCTGGCGACGGTGGGCATGGCGCCGGCGTAGTAGGATGAGGCGGAAGGCGAGGGGGAGGTGGGGTAGGATGCGCGGGAGGAGGTGGTGGTAGACAAGTAGGGCGAGCGACGCCATGCCAAGAAAGATGCGGTCGATCTCTCGGCGAGGTTTCGGGGCGAAGCGAATGAAGACAAGAGGACTTCGGCTTTGGGACTGAGCTTGGGTAAGATAGAGTCTGAGATGCTGGGAGAATGCTCCAGATCAGAGGGCGCGACAGACTCTTCGTCAGACTCGGGTTGCTCTTCGTGAGCGGGAAGAGTAAAGTATGAGAGTCCCGTTTCAGTGGGCTTTGGCGTAGATTCGGGCAAGGCGTGGTTCTTTGAATGGGGCGTCTCGTGGGATATCTCGGGAGAGGCCGAAGGAGCAGAAAGAGTGATGGTAGGAATCATCTTGTCCAACGAAGTTTTATCCACTATCATAGCGATAAGCGTAAAGTCAACTTTCGTCGGATTGAAACATACCTTCTCCCAGGACAATCACTCCGTGTATCCAGTCCTCGCGAGAGGCGTACCCATCAATCAGTCTCTTGAGCTCAGACTCCATCTCGGTGCTTGGAGGAGGCACTGGGCTGAGCAGAGCATTGAGGGTCTGATAAGCTTGATGAATCGACTTTTGGACCTGCTCTTTCGTCAGCTGCACGCCTGAGATGCGAGAGAGGTATGATGAGCTACTCACCTCGTCAAGCTTCACCCCAGAGACGATCCTAATCCCAATCTTTCCATTCTGAAGCACGCCCACGCCGTTATCAAGCTTGACCATCTCGACCCTCTCTTTGACTTCACGCAGCAGCCGCTCAACTTCCTCCCGCTCACCCACCAGAGCAAGCGTAATGGGACCTCTCTTGTTGTGAGGCTGATTGTGGTCGTCGTCGGATGACCAAGAATTGAGCCAGCGCGGGAGAGAGAGGTGCAGACTGAGCGACTCTGACGGCAAGTTGAGCTGCGGCAGAACCAATCCTCGATCGCCGCCATCCCCTTCTGCTCTGAAACTGCCGCCTTGCGTCTCGTCGTGGTCATGGATCGGCGAGTCCACCGAACTCGTTCTCGACAGACTCGACATGCTCGCGACGTAGGAAGGCATCGACGCCAAGCTCATTGGAGAACCTGGCTCTGAACCTGGTATACTCGGAGATGGCGGGGTCCCGGGAGGAGGCAAGTCCGCGAGTCGGAGGTGGCTGTGGAAGGGCAGGGGAAGAGGATGAGAGGTGGGTGAAGGGTCGACGGGATCGATGGGCTCCAACGGATGGAGCGTCTCCTCTGGACTGGGCGGCTCGACCTGGCCGCTTGATTGTCCGTTGGAGTCCCCGTCTTCATCATCTGAGCGATGGAAGACAAGACCCTCTGTAGAGATGGGAGAGACGTCTCGCCCGCCCGCTGCATGCAACCTCCCGCCGAGCGCATCGTCTCGCTGCGCCTGATCGACAGAGCTCATGTAGCTCCCCCACTCGCTCATACTCTCCACCCCGAAACTATCCCCTCGACTCCCTCCCTCATCACTCGTCTCTTGGTTTTGATGCTGCGAGTCCGAGGCAGAGGTATGGGGGTAATGTCCCGCGGCGGGTGGCGACTCGTGCTGATAAGCCTTGGCCGCGTCGACTGTCTGCTGGTGGCGCCTCTGGCGTGCTCTGAGGGGCGTCGGGAGCATGGCTGGGGGTGGGATGGCCTGCTGGATGGGTGGAAAGGAGAAAGAGAGATGCCGCCGGACGGGTGATGTCAAGAGCAGCTCAACCACGAAACGCGCGACCTGGTTACATATAATAAAGCTCGTGAATCTAATCGGCCGAGGAGTCATCACCCCGCGTCGCACTCCCCTGCTTGGACATGCTGCCGGGGGCAGGAGACTGGGCTGGAGGTGGTGCTGAGGGGTACATGGGATGCATAGCGCACGCAGAGATGCACAGGGTGGCGAGGGGCAGACAGCGGCCCCCACTATGCGCGTGGGAAACGCTCTGCTATACGTACTGTGCCTTAGTCTTACGAGCATCTCTGTGAGCTGATCTTTCGACTGTACTGGTCGTAAGATGTCTAACTGCTCTGTATGCTCTAGATAGCTCCTGTGTTATCCAGTATTTTACAACAATCCTATAGGCAGCTCCACTGCTTATCATGACTCTCGTAAAGACAGGTTGTGACTCATGACGTGCCGAAGCCTTAGCTTGGATTATCCACGAAGACCAGTCTCCTTTGTCGTAAAGGTCCACAGCAGCCACAAGGAGACTCTTGATAGGAGTTACAAAGATGCTCATCCCCTGGCAGACGATATCCCGTCCTTGCGCCACCATGAGTCTCTGGAGCTCTTTTATTACATATCTGTCGCGGAAGGCCGAAGGCAATCTGCAACAGGGCTGACGAGGGGTGACTCAAATGCGGGTTCAGCCAGACCGCCATCTCTCACTCAAAAACACCAGCTTGTACGTCTTCCAAGCTGCATGACTATTGATGGAACATATGATGCACCTCACTCAGGTACGTGGCGAACCCCTTTGATCTCAATTGTATCGCTCAACATCATTTTATCTCATTAACGACTTCTGTTTCTCGCAAGCCACGACATGGTACATCACAACGACTCACCGAGAAAGCCATGCGGAACTTGACCCCAGACGTTTGCCCGTTGTTCTTACCCATGAACCCATGACACTGGAGAACAAAAGGACGTTTTACCGAGCCCTCCCATGCGCCCACCGTGTCGCGCTTATATTTTCTCATCATTTCCATTCACCCCACCACCCCTCATTGATCCCTCACTTCCAATATGATCTCATTCCGCATCACTCCCAGACACTTGTTTCCCCTCACCTTCTTCATCCCTCACCCACCTCGCCCAACCACCCTGAGACGCTCTATAATGCACCCTACTCTGCCCCGTACTTTCACCCGCCTCCCAACGCTTCATTCTCCCTCACTCCCATTCCAATCCATCTCCCTTTACCCCACTCAGATCCTTGAAGCTCATCAAGATGTGAGGGAATCAGTATTGGACGCTTTGCCCGCTAGCCCAGAGCTGTCGCCAGAAGACATGGCACACATCTTTAGTGAACTTGGCACTTTGGCGGCAGGGGATGAAAGGAGAAACGTCATCTTGAAACTGCTCGGGGCTGAAGAGGTGTTCGGTCCCGATGGAAAAGCACTTCCATGAATCTTAAAGACGCCGGTATATGGCTATACTTGTATGCCTGTAATGCATGTCTCTAAAAGTCCCATTAAAAATGACATCATCCCCTACTTGCTCCTCTTGTAAACCTTGCCCAAAAAGCTCCTAAACACCTCCTTCTTCAACCCCGTCCCAGATTCATCAACACTCTCGATCAGCCCATTGATCTTCTCATAGCTCTCCTTCTCGTACGCCTCAAACCTCTCGGGGATGGAGATGGGCGCCTGGGAGAAGACCTCCTTGACGGCAGCTTCGGAGGTGGAGTTCTTTTGGCCATAGTTGGCGTCGAGGACGGCACGCTGTTCGGGGGTGGCGTTGGCGAGGGCGGTGTTGATGTTCCATGAACACTTGTTGTCCTGCTCATTGTCAGCCAAGCGTGACAAGGGAAGGGGAAGAGGCGACTCACGAGAATGTCGGTTCCGATCTTGCCAATGTGCTCGGGGAGACCGTAGCAGTCGAGGTAATCGTCCTGGACCTGGAAGTACTCTCCGAGAGGGATGAGGATTTTGGTGGCGAGGTCGTAGGCGGACTGGTCCTGGATACCGGTCTGTACAAACCATCAGCTTTGCCTTTGGGGGTGGACAGTGGCTTACCATGTGCATGGCGAGAGCGACAGGGAGGTAGAAAGAGTAGAAAGCAGTCTTGTAGACAACGATCAAGTGGTGCCTACACCCCGTTAGCTCCAAGTCACACCGACTGCCTAGCAGGTACTCACTTTTCAAGAGAGAACTTGTTCAAGTCAACAACCTCTTCCGGCGCGGTGATCAAGTCAATCAACTGTCCCATTTCGGTCTGGAAAGTGGTCTCAAGGAAGAGCTCCATCACGTCGACATAGTATTTTTCGGATCGGAAGTGCTTTTTGAGGAGGTGGTAGATGGCGGCTTCGAGCATGAAGGCGTCGTTGATGGCAATGTTGCCAACGGTGGGCTAGAAGCGCGTCAATCAGCTGGAAGAGATCTTTGAAGGGATACTCACGACTCGGTACCAACAAGGCTGGCCTCGTCGGGTGACACTCTGGTCCATGATATCGTCGGCAACAAGAAAGTACGCTTGAAGCTAATCTAGCATGAGCACAACCCCCTCACCCTAGCCCGTATCGCCGACTCACGAGCTCAACACACCAGCCAAGGATGGCAGCCTTGGTGTACTCTTCCTCGCTCAACTCTCGGCCCTTGAGGATCTCCACAGTGTCGACAACGGAAAGACCACGGTTGAGCTTTCCTCCAGGGGTGTTGTGGTAGAGCATCTAGCACTTGTCAGCTCTTTCCTCCCATATCTCCTACACCACGGAAAATCACCTTCTTGTACCAGTCCACAGCATCCTTGGGCATGTTCTCTCCCTTCAAGTAAGCCAAGAGCTCCTCCGCGATCTGGTCAAAGACACCCTCGAAACGGGCCCTCCGAGCAGCCTTGATGTCGGCGGCGGAAGCAGCGGGGGCAGCAGTGTCGGGGGTGATGGCAGACATGGCGGGGTGTTTTGGGTGAGAAGTCAAAAGTTGAGAGGATAAGCCACTTGTTCGACAGCTCGTACGAGAGCCAGGCACGCGCTTGGGTTGTTATGGCTTTTGGTCCCGTCGGTGCTGGCGGACACCACCGCTATGGGGTCCAACGCTTGAGATGCTGCAAGTGGAGCGCATGCATGAAGGAGGGCATGGTGCGGGGCGAAGGGGGCAAGAAGTTGGTCAGGCCTATAAAGCGAGAGACCAAAAACCAACTTCCGCCGGCAGTCCAGTCAATATTCCCTACTCAAAGCCAATCGACGCGACGCGTCTGGCACATTCTCCTCTTGCACACATGTCCAAACGAGCCTCATTACTCCTTTTTTCCGCTCCTTCTGATTGACTTCACCTTCTCGTCACTTTTCGCCCTGCCCAAACGCCGGCATTTCTACCAAGGCAAGCTGGATCTGGCACTCCGATGGGATGCACCGATATCCCGAGTACTGATTGACATGATGGCCGGTCGGTCTACAGCTCAACTTCTTGATCGTTCCCGCTTCGGGTCCACAGGGTCAGAGCTATATTTCTCCCCAATGAAGAGGGTTGAGGCATCCATATGATCTTTCCGCCGGACTGAATCTCTCCCATGAGATATCATCCTCGGTGGCCTCGGTACCCACTGAAGTGCTGCCAACTGCGACCGACTGCAGCTCCCCACTCCCTTCACCTTCGGCTTTCCTCTCGAGTTCCGATGCCCCACACTCCGGTAAAAGCGGCCTCATACAGCAAACAACGCCTACGATTCTAGGCTGCCTTCACCAGGTACTCGAGTACTCTACGAGAATTGGAAACATATATTGACGCATCCCTGAACCGGCACACACAAAGGGGCATGATGGATTCACAATCTTACCACACATCCCTCACCCACGTCCTTGACCGACTTCGGCCCTTCTTGAAGGCTGTGATCTTCACCGCATTCGGGCCTCGGAAGCGCACCAGCACATGTCAAATGCAAAGAGGTGAGTATATGCATACGTGTGAAACACATGCTGACGGACGCCGGAGGATCCTGATCGCCATCTCACATCAGCAATCAGCACAGCACAGTCAATCTCAAACAGACTGATCCTTTGTGCCACAAACGCCTTCCATCTCGCATTTCGCCCTATCTAGCCCCATCCCCGACATCTGTACATCCCTGCAAACAAAGGGCGGTGTGTGGCTACATGTGGCGCATATCGATATTGGGTCAATGAAGGCATGCTTTCAGATTCCCATTTCGGTACACCAGGGCACGACAGACTCATATATCAGCAGAGCTGACTCAGACTCGCCCCCTTCCCTCTTCATCTCTTTACTCACTCACTTCTCACCTGTCATTCATTGGTGCTAGTGATACATTCATCCACTTTTCAGCTCGGTATCAAGCGTCCGGATCTGTAGAAGATGACTACGTGAGTCTATCATCCTCATCAACACCATCATCAACCGAGCTGACTTTGTGATAGCCCAACAGCCATGGCCTTCTCGGCCCTCGCGTCCCTCGCCGGTTTGCTCTTCATGATATGGCATACTTATCACTATGACCGCTGGAAGTGAGTCTCCTCCCAATTCCACAAAGAGAGCCATATTGACGCGTCGTGCCAACTAAGGTGTCTTCTCTACACCAAGGATGAATGGTTCCGAGCTTTCATGTGTCATGTGCTGTTTGGATCTGTCATGTGTCTACAAGGTGCGTCTTGGCCTCCCTCTGACTTTCCCTGAAGCTCACTCGATATATAGTCTACACCTGGATAGACGTGCATGTTATCTACGCCGAGTACTGGATCTACTACCCCGCCTTGGAGGAGACCATCGTCACCCCCTGGTCGCTATACACGCCTACGCACTATAAGCTATTCCGAACCAGTCTCTACTTTATCACTGCCGGTTGGGGTTTCTTGCAGGGTGTGCATCTTGAAGAAGTACGTGACACTCCGTCTTCTTCTTCTTCGCACTGACCTCGTCGTAGTTCCTCTACTGGGCCTACCTGATCAAATCCATCAACACCCCCGGTGGACCACGAACCACCTGGCTCCATTCCGGCTTTTTCAAAGTCTGGGTCGGCCTCTTCATCTCCTGTTTCGCCTTGTTGATCGGCTCGGTGCATATCGAAGAGCATGACTTGGATTTGATGAGGAGTTATCTGTTCATGGTCGGAGGTTCCATGAGTCTTGTGTAAGTTCTCTTCGATCTCGAGCTGGTGGTCTCAAAGCACCGAAGGACTTGCAGAACTGACATCCTTTCTAGTTTGGCGTTCGCCTCTATCGCTCTTTGTATCGTCTTTCCCTCTTTCTTGCGAAACGTCAAACGCCAAGGCGCCTCCTCCGAAGTCCTCGAAAGACTGTACTTCTTCTCTGAAGTCAACGAGATCAGGATAGTGTGCAGGATCGTATACAGTGTCTCTTTCGTAAGTCCTTTTGCTCCAAGACCCCCAAGAGCGCGCCTTTGAGGGGTGGTCAATCCCGAGAATCGTGGAGCTGACGCAAAGGACAGTTGGTCCTCTCAGCCGATGCCTTTACCACAAACCAGGAAATCAACAAAAGTCCATTCTGGTCTGACGCTCTTTACCTTTGTGGACAGCTTGGTCTGTTCTCTGCTACCTGTCTCTCCGTGGTCGTGAGTATACCTTCGCTGTTATCTACCGACCTTGAGCTGACTGGCTCGATAGATCCTTCTTCCCAGAAATATGACTTCCGAATCTGTCCCCACCCTCGCTCAAACCGAAAACCAACTCATGGTAGCCTATCAGCGCCCTCAGCCCGACGGGTACTCGCCCCAACAGTTCTACGAACTCGGCGAGCGTCTCAACGTGGGGCACGATGCCCTGGCTATCGGTCTCGCTTCCCTCAACCCCAACAATGTCGGCCATATGGGCGGCAAAGAAGGGTTCGAGATGCAAGTCACCCCTCCCCTTCCCACGCACTCCCACAGCCAAGACGACATCTCTTCATACTCTGGCAATTCCTCCCAACGGACTCGTGTTGATCCAGCCCCTTTTGCCGAGTCTGCCGACCGCTCAAAACTCACTTCTAGGTTGAGCGAGTTTGCTGGGGGGTTGCCTAGTGTGGTGGGGAGATTCAAGAGCCCGTTCGAGGTGGGGAGCGCGGAGAGAAGAGGGAAGGAGGGGCCGACGGAGATCTATGTGAAGACGGTGAAAGAGGTGCACGAGGACGATATGGTCTAGCGCTTCTCTAGACTCGTCTTGTGGTCTTCTTACACGTTCTTTCGTTTCGGCGGGACAGGGTACCCTCTTTCTGTGGGATATAGCTTTATATTAGAGGTCGGATGGGCCTCACAACATTTATATTACCAATTTTTCCCTCTTGTACACAGAACCTGCCATAGAGATGAAACTCATGAGCATGTATGATGTAGCATGTCAACTAGCAAAACGATTAAAACCCTTATAGACACAGATACAGCCTTGTCTATGCGACCCTACTTCTTGGTCTACAAAGGCGGCCATTGGCATCCCAAGCCGCCATTTGAGTCCCTCTACCTAACAACACTCCAGTCCATCACTGTCCGATCGACTCCCTTAATCATTCTGTCCTTATCCCCTATCCAAGCCCCCCGTCAGACTCGCCCACTGGCCAAGAAGTCTGCAAGGAGTACACAATCTATTGCTTCTTGAAGTACTGGCTCATCACCGACTGCCCAGCGACAATGTCGAAGATTGTGTGTCCAACACCGAGGTAAGAGTCGGTCACCGACTTGAGAGAGGAGTCCGGGATGAGGTCGGTCGCGGGGCTGTTGATTTATATGGAAGTCAAGTGGATCGATATGGGATATGGGATGGTGAAAGGAACATGTGCGGGAAACCAGATAAACATGCAGAGTGATCAGCATCTGTCAACTACTTTTGCCTCCCTGCTTCCAGTATCTGGTACTCACGCAAATCCGGTAGTCTTCTTGACACCAGCAAGAATGGTAGACACGGCGAGGGCGTCAAATGCAAAGTGGACAAGACGGCCGAGAGCCATGATGGATGCTTCTTTGGGAAGGGTGGGATGGTCAAAGGGGAGATTTGGATGGGCGAGAGAGGGGCACGCGGTCAGGCAGAGATGGGGGTATTTATAGGAGAAGTGGGAGAAGAGAGTTGACGAGCATCAATATGGCGGCGAGAATTCGCAGAACACGACGAGATGCCGAAGAGACGCGGGAGTCTGTAATTAATGGTATGTCTGTTGCCTTAATTACACGCCCTGATTGTGGGTTGAAGAAAAGCCAACAAGTGCTCTTTCCTATCTTCTATCAGCCTCATTATGGTGCTCAGCAATAGCCTTCATCGGTCGCGCCGCCTTTCGCGGGCGCTCTTGACCGAGTGCTATTGGGATCAGATCAAGAAGTCCCCGAGCCTGGCCCGAGCCCTCACCGTACGACCTACCCTCGTCACCACGACGATGTCCAGAATCGCACCTATAGTAGACTTGTGATGAAGCAACAAAGCATAGGCAGACGATCGAATGCATTCTATTGCTAGGAGAAAGATTGTGCACAGAAATGGATGCTATGGAGGATTGACTATTACTATTGTGAGGGGTATATTCAAGTCGGAGGGGCAGAAAGCCTCAAAGAGGTGGTCCATAATCTGGGAGTCGTATGAGTACGCCGTTGGAAAGATTCTGCTGATAAGAAGTAAAAAAGAATGGAAGGGTGGCCCAACCTATGCTTCGAGGTGATTCGCTCCGGGCGCTCCTCCGGCGATTGACATCTGAATGCTTGACAGAAATCGACCCAACATCTCCTTAGCAGAATTCATGAACGAGTCCAAGGTGGGAACATCATCAGGATGCCAACCCAAGCAGGGGGCGTTGGATATAATTGCTGCTGACGTGCTGAGCTCCACCGATTTCGACGGCGACCACGTAGTACCACGAAGACATGGCGAGCTGAGGACCGGGGAATGGATGTCAGCACGACACTATCAGAGACATTTCATGCTAGAGCTCTAATACACGCTACAAGATTATGGGGGAGGCCTCATACTCAAAGGTTTGACATTCCAGCTTCAACGCAGAGATGTTGAATGACGAGACCGATAACCGGCACGGCGAGACATCATCTCTTTCCGACTTCGTTTCGAGCCATGCCATGTGAGCTGTGAGCACTAATTGAATGCAGATCCAAGCCACTAATACAACCCATAGGGTAGAGCCTAACAAATCATGCTATTACCTGCGCAAAATTGTGCTGTTCGACGTGACCGGCCCGACCCCGCTTGTCGCTCGCATATCGTCATACTCACCAGGGTACCATTAGTTTGGCCTGCGGATTGCATGCGAATAAAGTTGCGCCACCGGGCCGGACCCGTACCAAACTGAGCATCTTTAGACTTATGGACTATCCTCACCTATTCAATCGAGGGCACCTGCTACTTTACAGGACTTTAGGACTCTGGTGAGTTACTCACCGCCCATCGATTGTCGACAGCTGACGCGACTGATCATGTTCCTCGACCAAACAGATCATTGTGCAGTGCAATTATTTGCCATCCATGCACAATCGTTCGCTACCAACGGGTACTCGTCGTCACGCAAGCCGGCATCAACACCCATCCTCCTTCTCCTGCGTAGCCAGGTCAGACGCTAGTCACGATCAGTTCAGCGCAGATCTCTAAAGAGTACGTAGTCGAAAACTGAACTAGAAGTGCTGTGGACTGCTGTGGAATGCTGGAAAGGTTAGCCACGCCGGTATTTTTGTGACAATGTACAATCAACAAAGAGTAAAGATTGCGAATGCCTCCCTCCGGGCGATGCTACCTAACGTGAACAGGTCCTTCGAGGGTCGGCCTATTCGGGGGATCTATGAGAGCTGAAAAGATATATAAGGGGTACCAGTTCCACGAGAAGAAACTCCCAACTCACAGTCGCCTTGACAACTTTTCAAGCCACACTACTTCTCTCTCCCCCACACACCCAACAACAACAACACCAACAACTATGCGATTTGCTACTGCCTTTGCTGTCCTTGCTGCCGTCGCTGCTAGTGAGATTACTTTCACACCTCACAACGCTGTCCAAGTTGGTCGACTGACACCGCCTTAGCCGCCGGCGCTGCCCCCACCGGTCAGCAGGAGTCTGCCAGCCTCTCCTTCTTTGGTCCTCCTCCTTCTGGCCCTCCTCCTTCTGGCGTTCCTCCCTCCGGCGTTCCCCAGCAGAAGATGGGTGCCTCTGGTGAAGCTCCTTCTGGACCTGCCCCCTCTGGCAACCCTCCTCCTCCTGCCTCTGGATCTGGTTCTGCCGTCGCCCTGCCTCTCTCTGGCGCTGCTCAGCAGAGGCGAGGTGATGTGAGCTCTGCCGGTAAGTCTTTATTGTACTTGTACATCGTCTTTGATTGACTGACATGACTTGTAGCTCCCCCTCCTCCCCCTCCTCCCCCTCCTTCTGGCTCTGGCTCTGCCGCTGGCCCTCCTCCTTCCGGCGCTCCTCAGCAGAAGCGACAGGATGCCTCTGGCGCCCCTCCTACTGGCGAGCCTCAGTCTGGTGATGCCATGGCTACTGCCGTCTTCTAGTCTGCTTAAGTGCTGACGCCGAGGCGCATATGAGCTCGCAACCTGTTCTCGAAGGTGCTAAGAAAAGGACAATTGAACAGACGAAGAAACTGAAAGAAGCAAATAGAAGAAGAATTGAAATTGTTAAATGAATTACTGTGTTTTGTACCACCCTGCGCCCACTTAGCCTTATGAACAAGCCTGCAATCCCATCACTGATACACGGAGCCTGGATCTTCTTCCCTTCCTCGGCTAGCTTTCCTTACTCTTCTTTCAATGCGCTCTTTTGACATTGACACGAACCGTACAGCAGGATAACATGCTCATAGTTATATCAGCACATGCATGCCGTGCCCATCACGAACTCGTCTCTGCTTCTGACAATCTTCTCGTCAACGTTGCTCAACATACCGGTACCTGAAACCTGCGGAATCAAATCATGGAGTGACGCAGTGACCTCATCGGCGAGGGCGAACCACCGCAACGGATCAGCGACGATTCAGAAATATCCTTTTATATTCCCAGAGACCCGCTCTCTCGCACTCAGTAAGTTTCTACTCGACTCGACTCTTCGCTTCGCATTCAGGAAGGGCTTGTGTCGAGTCAGGTCAAGCCTACGACACCAAGAAACGCTCAGCACGGTTCCGCCGCCGATAGCGCCCTCGGTCATTCCCATTTCGTCTCCTCGGAACACTTACGACAGCCTAGTCTGAAGGCCAATAACTCTCAGAAGGAGTCGATATGGCAGGGATATTCCTGAACCTGTTCAATTGGCTCAGATCGCTATTCTTTGCCAAGCATCTGGAAGTTACAATCGTGGGATTACAGGTCAGTTCAGGCCCGGTCTCTCGTGCTCACGCGTACTGACATTGTACATTAGGCTAGTGGAAAGACATCGTGAGAATTACTCTTGCACATGAGCAAAGTCAAAGCGCTGACTGCTTTCTAGATTGGTGAATGTGCTAGGATCTGACCAATGGTCGGAAGACGTGGTTCCGACGGTGGCTTTCAATCTTCGGCAAGTGCGGAAAGGCAATGTGACCATGAAAGTCTGGGATGTAGCTGTGAGTACTGAGGTCTCGATGTGTGGGGGCGATATTAACAAGCTGGGTAGGGGCAACCAAAGTTCAGGGGAATGTGGGATCGATACTGTCGGGGAGCGGACGCCATCATGTACGTTCTTTCTGAACATGTCAACGAGACTCAAGCTAACCGTGGCCAAACAGATATGTGGTAGATGCAGCAGACGTAAGCTCAATAGGCCGCCCCTACACGATGCAATGCTGACTTTACCCGGGCAGCGCAACTCCATCCCGACAGCCACATCCGAGCTCCACGCACTCCTTTCACTCCCCTCTCTCCAATCAGTCCCATTACTAGTCCTCGCCAACAAGAACGATCTGGAAGTAGCTTTAGGGGTTGACGAGTTGATCAAGGAAATGCGGCTGGGGGATATAGGCGGCAGGGTCGTTTCGGTGAGTTATCTGTACCTGCTCGTGCATAGCGGAACATGCAGGTGAGAAGGGCAAAGCTGACGTGGTGATAGTGCTACTCTACAAGTAACAAGACAAAGCACAACCTCGACATTGTGCTCGCCTGGCTCACTCAGAGGGCTCATTGAGCGCTTTCATCTCACCTCTCCTGTTTATCTCAGCATCGCGACTCATTCGATTGCGCTTCTCGTTTTCTCAAATTGAGGTGGCTGTGAAGATTTGCTAATGTTGTATGAATAAGCCTTGTTCGTTTGCGAAAGGCTGACCAACGACTGTCCGGGAAGAACACGCGTAGCTCTAGCGGAAGGAGGGCAGCGGGCTTCGATCTGCCCTTACTCTCAGTAACACTTGCCATTGTCGCATGTGATCTCCCAAGATCCTCAGTATCTCAACCGGCTCTCAAATCTTGATAGGACTCGAAGCGCGGAAGTCTGAGGATGTATCTTGCCATCCTACAACGCTCTCATGTGTGCTACATATCAGCTCGGCCGCCGGTCTTGGAGAGAGGGGACTTGAGGCACGGATCTCTGACACTTCTGCTCAAGCGGCAAGCTTTTACGCCTATTACATAGCCTGATACGAATCACGATGCGCCAACACTCAGAACGAAGTATAAGTAGCGCTAGCACACCAGCGAAGAATGCTCAAATCTGCCAGGCGAAACGTGATTCTATTGTCACGGTTGCCTCGAGTGTGCCGCTCATGTGAGTCCGTGTGCCGCTCTAGTCTTATCTCTGACGCGTCTAATCCTTCCCTAAAGCTGTACCCCGCCTCGACTCACCGGGCAGCGTGCTCGCGCACAAAGACAACACTGAAACATGGATAGACAAGAGACAAGCAAATCAAGAGCTCATCAGGCATCAGGAAAAACGCGTAGGTCTGTGCACACCTCGGGTCCTCGGCACATACGTTCCGTCCCTTTCCATCGTGTCTGCACGCTAATCCCACAAAAAGTCCACCTGTCCTCCGCCTTTCAAGCATTGTCTCAAAAACGGCTCATTGTTCAAGAGAGCCCCAAAGCCTGCGCCGACCCTGTCCAGTATAATGCCCCTCGTCTCGCTCATCTTGCCCTGCTAGACCACCAAAATGTACCCCAGCAACAACGTCGACTACGCCTATCTTCCCACTCCGACATCCCTGCCCAGCAAACCTCCTCCCCGGCCACATGCCCTCGACCGAAACTTCCGCTTTCCCCTCCATCCTCCCCCGCCTCAACCGAACTTTCAAAGAGGACAACAGGGCCATGGTTTCTCTCCCTCCATGTCTGTAAAGGGGAGTCTCGATGGAGCAGGCTTCGGAGGCGGCGGGCGGCATGAGCGAACCAATACGCTCCAGCTCAACCCTGGAGCGCCAGCAGAATGGGCAGACATGGGTCATGGACCGCCTGTGAGCGCTGTCGGCGGCCTGAAATACGATCGCTCGCCCCTCGGGCACGGATTCGCCCCTTCCGTCCAGCATCACTCCAACTCACTCCCCATTCACTCCCCAAACTCGCCTCATGCTCTTCCTCAGATCAACACCAACCCCTTGCTCACGCCGGGTTTGACGCCTCCCCCGATCAACCGAGCTTGGACCCTCGACTCGTCTAGTCGTGCAAACTTGTCGCCTTTGGCACAAAGCCATGGCGGGAGGAATTTGACGAGGTCGCCGTTGGCGTATGAAGATGGGCGATCTGGCGCTAGTTCGCCCGCACGTTCGATGGTTTCCTCTGCTCGCTCGGCGAATGGGGACGGGCCAGAAAGGGGAGACAGAAGGGTCTTTACTGCTCCGTCCTATACGTACCATACCGGCCCGGATGGACCCCGCTCTGAGCAACTGGCGCATCCCAAACCGGAGAGGGCTTCGAAAGGGCTTCGAGGAAGGATCGGTGGGCCGCCCAAAGCTGTCCTAGGCGGGCCAGGAGGCAAGACGTTTGACGAAATGATGACGGATCAGGGCAAGGGACTCCAAAGCCCAGAGAAAGCTTCTGGAGGGTTGACACCTTCTCCAAGGCATAGCAACCGAGATGACTCGAGCGAAGGTGGGGAGCAAGAGGAAGAGGAGGTGAAGTGGAAAGGCAACAGGGTGGTGGTGCGTATGCCGCACAAGGAGTACAATCCTCCCGAGTCGCCTCTTTTCGTCAAGAATCCCGAGGAGGAGGATGGAGATCATACACCTGTCGAGCAGTTGTCGCGAAAAGAGGCGTTCCCTTGGCCTGCTGCCCAGGTCAGGCTTTCGCCAGAGTCCACGCCCTTACCTATGTCACCCAGGGATGCTGAGCATGAGGATCCAGGAGAAGCGCTGAGTAGAGTGCCTTCGCCCGATATAGACTGCGACATTGAGACGGTATGGAACGGCAAGAAGCTGGTCCTTGCTATCCCCGAACCAGTAAGTCAGAAGTTAATCAGTACGGCATAGGCTGACGTTTGACACCAGGATGCGTGGGGCAGCCTGACTCAAGAGCGGGATGAGCGCGAACTCGAGAAGATGTTGGATGAGATGGCGGCTGCTGAGCAGGCGGAGCTTGATGCGACGCCAGATGAGAAAGAAGACGATCAAGTGGAAGATGAAAGGATTAAAGAAGTTCTCGACGACGGGGAGAAGACATTCGACGCGCACGGATCTGCAGCGGGCCTCCACCGCGCGTCCACGTCAACCACACATCACCCACCACTCTCCCCATCTCAGTGTCCTCTTCCCCCATCTCCCATCCCGTCCCCCCCGCCCCCGTCCTCGCCACCCAGGTCGGCCAACTCCCAATCCTCGGCCAAGCGCTCGCAGGGCGTCATGCAGATGAATAGCTTTGCCCGCAGGCAGCTGGGCGGCTTCCTCAAGCAGGCGGCAGGGGATGGTGACAAGGAGGCGAGGCCAAAGCTCAAGCGGCCGACCCGAAGGTCAGAGTCGGCGGATATACCACCTCTCGCGGTCAAGGAGAAGAATGCGGATGATGGTAGCCCGGAGGCTGGCCCGTCTCAAGGAACAGTAAAGGAGGTCACTCAACCATCGCTCCAAGCCTCGATTCTCTGGAGTGAGCTGCAAGAGTCAGAGCCAGAAAGAAAGTCTAGTGTGGATGAAGAGGAAAGGAAGCCCGTCAAGAATGAAGCTGTACCAGTGAGTTGAACGCAACGAGCTCGAAGAACGAAATCTGACACTCCTTTAGCTGCCTGCATCGTTGTTGGACTTGAAGCGAAGGGTCCTTGCGTCGTCTTCAGCGGTGAAGGAGAAGAAAGACAAGGAAAAGGAGGATGAGAAAGCAGCTTCTGGCTGGCGAGAGGCAAGTTGATGTTCAGCTATCGTCGGGAAGATACTGACAGTATGTTCAGCTGCCGCCCCATCTCCGAGATGCTCGAAACAGCGTGATCCAATCTATGGCTTCATATTCGACAAACAAGGCGAAAACAGGCCCGCCAGGCATCCCGGAACTACCAACTATTCAGAACATCGGTGAACGAGCTGCAATGACCTCACAAAACGCTACTCTCTCCGCCAGTGTACCTACTGCTATCGTTGAGGAAGTATCCGAAGGACGTCCCGAGTCAGATAAACCAACCAAGAGACAGCGCGCCGTCGACGAAGGTCTCCAAGCATCGGACAGAGCTCCCATCAGCATCCAATTTGGCACCTCGTCAGCCCCTGCCCCTAGACCCAGTCTTCGTCCTACGGCGGCATATTTCAAGCCTACAGAGTCAAAGGGCATCGTCTTTGGGGCCGCCTTGGCGCGAGAGGCCGAAGAACGGTCGTCCAAGGCCTCAAGGGCAAGCACCGCCAGTTCAAGCTCGAGCAAGAAGTTGAGAGCCGCGGCTTCGGAATTTGTACCTCCTTCTCGAAGCTTTGCATCTGAGAGCGCAAACTTTACGTTTGCCATGCCCTTCGCTACCACTGCCCTGTGGAGCCAGGGAGGTCTTATTGATACCCCATCTGGTACATCTATCGGCGATGCTCCGGCTTGCAACAGACTCAACTTTGTATCATCTTCAGCAGTACCGTTCAAGCCCGCTTCTCTTCGAAAGGTGTCCCTCACCTCCATTCCATCCTCGTCTGCCCCTGGCAGGGTTGACTCTCCAGCGGAGTCTGTTGCTACCACCACCGCCAGCGAAGCCAAGATCCGCGCTTCCGCTCCCATCTTCACCCCAGGCGCCAAATCAAGTACAAACTCTTCCCCTGCTTTCGCTCCTTCCAGAGTACCCTCCACAACCCCATTATCGACAGCCACCAAGATCCGGGCTGCTGCTGCGGTGTTTATGCCGGCGAGCTCTATTGGGAGTGGTAGTCTGCCATCCTCACCGGTCAAGGGTAGTTCGCGAACACCTTCTATTAGCTCGACTACTTCAAAGACGGTTTTGAAGCATGATGCCCCTGCGTTTATCCCTTCGCTTGAGAAACGGAAACGTGCGAGGGCAGAAGACTACTTACATAAGGAGCCTGCCGAAAAGACTTCCAGTGAGATGGAGGTAGATACAGCTCCGAGGGAGAATACCAGTGCTTCAACTGAGAGCGGTATCCAGACAGTCCAGGCGGGTGATGATGGTAAGGTTGGCAGTCAGGTCGTCATACCCGTCCCCGCCGAGGATCCAGCACCCGCTAACGAAGGGCAGACGACAGACCAAGAGCAAGGCCATTCCAGCTCGTCCATCTCTGCTCCTTCGAGTGCGTTCGACATCACCACCACAGCACCCAGTGAGACTGCTGAGGCTTCCTTGCGCGAGATGGATGGTTCTCATAACGATGGGGGGGTCAAGCGTGTCATTGAACAGGCTGATGGTAACGCCGAGGCCGGTATCTTGTCAGTCGAGCAAAGCGTCATCCACTTTAGGCGAGAAGCCTCGCCCATGTCGTCGGCGGATAGGAGCAGGCCTGACTCTCTTGGAAATTCTGAACTGGTACGTTGCGCGGCTATGCAGGAAGACCACAGCTGACTTGGATACTTAGAGCGAAGTTCCTTCTCTTTCGGAAGACGGTCGTACCCCCCGTCCCTCTCTCGCGACAAGACACTCGTACAATTCATATCGCCCTCGCGATACCCCAGACATATCCTCGAGTTTGAGCGAGCCCACTGTACCCCTCGATGATGTGGTCATCCATCCTTCTCAACCGCTTCCTTCCCACCATACTGCTCAAATTTACGAGAAATCACCTTCCATCACTATGCTTTCAGCATACGCTTTTGATGAAGACGATTCAACTGAGCCTTTCGCTACTGCCATCGAGGCAGGAACGGAAGATGGTGAAGGAGTTGAGCGAGAGATGGAAAGCATCGCCACGCCCGATGTTCCTTACACTGCTAGTACGCTCAATGCGCACTATGCTGAGAGTGAGGAGGAGGCTTCTGGGTCGGGGAGTGGGACAGTCCGAGAGGCAGAGTTTGCCGAGGGCGTTGAACAGTCGATTCTCTTCGGGAGCCAGAAAGTGGGAGGGACACCCGGAGGTAGCAACTTTGAGTTTACATTTGGCGAGCTGTCTCGGTCCTCTCCTTCCTCTTTGGAACAAATCGAAGAGCAGCATCGTCCCCAAGACTCGCTGCAGCCAACGCTTCTCGCCCCAGCCGCGAACGCCGGACCTGCTAGGTCTTTGCGGTCGTCGGCTCCAAGTACCGAGGTGTCTTCTAGCGCCTTGCTATCAGCAGCGCCAAGCCCTCACGTACCCATGGTGGCTCACGATTCAGAAGAAGCCGCAGACTTCAAACGGTCTATGGAGTATTCGAAGATGTCGGAATCACCGAGAGCCGCCTTCCCGGACAACATTCCAGATGTTCCCGCGACCTTTGATGGTCCAGGCGAACAATTCGAGTCTTCCGACGAAGACAACGGTGATGAGACTATCCAAGCAGTCGAATCTCGAGAATTGAAAGGCGGAGATAATGACTCGTCGCACGAGAATCAAGTTCGCGACGTTGGAGATCTTTCTCAGTCTACCGCCGTACCTCCAGGTCAAGTGTCACTGGCTCCCGAGGAATACGAAGAGTACAAGAGGTTCACAGAAGCTTCTCGATCCCATGGGCATACCAACAGCTCGCCTCCTTATTATCATGGGATTACTAAGCCTTCCCCCTATCACCCTTCCCAAGACCTTACGCACGATCTAGACTCACGTAGTCCCATTGTGTCCGACAGGGAAATGCCAGAAGAGCCCTCGGCGGTTGTGGCTCTGGCACCTGAAGAGATGGAGGACTTTAGGAAGTTCACGGAGTGGATGTTCCCTCTCAACAGGCAGTCATCGGGGTCGAACTCGTATGCGCTCGCTGCCGATGTGGCTTATGGATCAACGGTGTCTTCCGAGCATCCTCACCCGTCTCATCCCACGCACGTACCCTCATATTCTCAAGTGATCTCGTCCGCTACTACAACGGATCCCTTCGGTGCTGCCTCGGAACACAGCCACCCGAGCCTTACCAACTCCCCTGCGGCCTTCCCTCCTCCGACATCATCGAATACCTCGACAGACTTTGTCATCCAGGCCCCACCAAAGGGCAAGGGCAAGGGCAAGCTGCTGTCTGTTGAGGCTACTGGAAGGGCGATTGGTGTAGATTCGGATCTGAATACACCCGCGACTAGGTCCTACGAGGCGAGCGGGGTGCTGAAGATGCTAGAAGACCTGCGCCAGCAGTATGGGAGGAAGGTCCATATCAGCCCGAGCCCTGGAGGGATCAGAGAAGAGATACTGCATTCTGTGCCGGATCTCACTGCCCAGCAATCTGAGTGGTCCAGTTATCTTATCGAGAAGCTCACTTCTGCGCTAGAAGACCAGACCCAGCTGTTGACGACGCTGAAGCAAAACATGTCTGCTCCACCAGTATCGCCCAGTGCCTATTCATCGACTCAGGACGAGGATACGAAGGGTAACACCAGGCAAGAAGATATGTTTACAGCCATCTTGACCAGCCAGCACGCCATCCTGTCCAAATTTGACGAGGTCGCTGCTATCCGTCTGAGCTGCACGGATGACCTTCACACGGCCATTGCTGCTTTACACGAAGCCGAAGACGCCGCCAAGGATCGCTCCAGCAGTGCGCACGTGAATGCAGAGTCCGAAGTCCGAGTCACAACTCTATCTACCGAGCTTGCGTCTACAAAATCTCAAGTGACATCTCTTGAGGCTGAAGTTGGTATACTTAAGCAGCGTCTCAAGGACACTCGTTACGAGAGGAATGAACTGCGAGACACCATGGACGCAAAAGAGAAACAGCTGCTTGGGGCTATCATGTCTGAAGAGAAGAAGAACGAAGAGATGGATAGACTTGTGGCCAGAGCACTCGCTGCCGAGCTCGAGAGAGATGCGTTTGCCAAGAAAGTAAAGGAGATGAGACTCGATGAGCTCGAAGATGAAAAGGAGCTTAAACAGCTGCAGCTCGAGGTAGGTCGCTTACTTACTTCAGGTGGTTATTTGACTGACAGCCTTCAGATGCAGACGGAGCGTACACTGGCTGCTTCAGCTCTCACAGACAAGGACGAGGCTTTGGCCGAGCTTCATTCAACCCTCAAAGAGTCTCAGCAAGCTCTCGCATCTACCCAATCCCAGCTTACCATCGCTCTCCAAGCCCTACATCCCGCTCCTACCCTCAATCCCCCCGAACCATCACCTCTCTTGGTCTCCACGTCCAGTGCTCTTGCAGAGCTGAGCCAGTCATCGTACAGCTTCCACGAGGAAATCATAAGCAGGATCAGCAAGTTGGATGACGACATGCACGAGTCAATGGGGTCTAGGGTGAAGGAGTATGGGGAAGCTTTGGGTGAGAATAGGAGGTTGACTGGAGAAGTGGACACTCTCCGACAGAAGGTTTGTCGTATCGAAATCGCATCATTCATAGCTGATCTTGGACCTGCAGTTGGAAAGCGCTTCGCGCGAGCGCCTCAATCTGGAAAAGGACGTCTTGCCTAAATTCTCTGCACTTGAGACCGAGCATATCCATACCGTCGTGTCGCTACAATCCGAGACAGCTCGACGAGAGGCAGCGGAATCCAAACTCGCGGAAATGGAAAAGAGGCTGAGTGTCATGCAAGAGCAGACCATGAGATGGCAGATTGAGGTAGCCACTAGACATTCCCAGGCTCAGATGGGCGAGGTGAGTTAGCCCACCCATGTTAGAAATGATCACTGATGTCCCTCACAGATCCGTCTTCAGACGCTCACTCAAGAGAATGCCTACTGGCGAGAATTTGCTCTGGGCGCCGACCGACGAAGATTCAGGTCTTACGTGGCATCCAGACCATTCGCCCCTGATCAATCCGTCTTCCATACTCCTGCGACTGAGTTCAAATCTGCCGCTAGATCCACCGCGCGGATCGTATCATCGCCCCTGACTGCTGTGACTCCGACCAGGGGAGGTGATCAGAGGAATACTTCTCCCCTCAAGAGGAGCATCAAGGGCTCCACTTTGGACTCGCCTATCGTGGTGAGCGATGAGTCCATGGATATGGATATTGCGAACGATGAGTCCAGGGAGGAGCTTCTATCACCATAGGCCGTCGGGGCGTGTGGTTGTCAGTCCTTGATTCTTTGTGATATACATAGGCAATTCGGTTGGAGTTTTGTGTACTGTGTCTCATGGCGGGCTAGAGTAAGGAATGATGGAGGCTGGAGGAGTCTGAAAAAGTATCTTTGGGTAGAGATTCGGAGCAGCTGTAGCTACTTTAGACAAAAAAATCAAGCAACGACGGTACGACCTTTCATGACCCCTGTCCTTGTACAAGACATGCACTTCATAATGATACAACCGACTCCACAGATACTAGGCTTTCGTTATTCTCTTCCGTATAGGTTCATTCCTCCTCCAGACTTTCTGGGAACCATCCACACCGCCGGAAATCCACCTTCTCCCCACCAGCGCCTGCAAGCGTCTCCACCTCCACACCTTCCAGCTCCAGTCTGTCTTTTTGACGAGCTACACCCAGTCCGAGGTTTCCTCTAGGAGAGATCATGCCCTTTGCTGAAACGACACGCTATACACCCGCCGTCAGTCAGAGAATCCAAAGCATAGCCATCGAAGAAGTGCTCTTGGGGATTGTGGGCGGGAAAGAAGCAGTGACTCTGACGTACCTGCCATGGTATATCAGAATCAGCAGGCAGCATCTTGAGAGCATTTCCCACATGTCTACGCCATCATAGTCAGCAAGAGTCAAGCGGAATGAAAGTCTAAAGTACCTTGGGTAAGTCGGATAGCCGGCTAATTTTGCGATGTGTCCTGTGATAGCTTATCAGCTACTGAAGCTCTCGCACTTCTTGATGTCAGATGATCTCGATGTGCACCAAAGCCCTATTTATAGGGGTTTGGGTATGAGACTGATGGAAGCGCACCATAGCTAGTAACATGTCCTACAGGTATCAGGCGAGTGATTTCGTATGTTCTTGCTGTGAGAACCGCAATGTCGCTCATGCCGATGACGATTTGAAAGACCGAGAGGGGCCGCAGGTAGAGTGCTGTGTAGGGTGTCGCCAGTCTGAGAGAATGTGGAAAGTACACTACGAGTACACGTTAAATGAAAGAGATAACAGATGGAACGCGTCGCGTCAGTGATGAGTGTCATCAGCGGGCCATGTTCTCGATGCTTAGTTCTTCTCGTCGCGCAAGCATCCTGCTCAATAACCACAGGAGTCCACTTCTCCATTGTATGCAGAATTATATGTCGATCTCGCATCTGGCTGTCTACTTTGCGTTGCCAGTCCGACTAGCGTCCGTGCGGCTGCCAATCAACAAGAAAGCACTGGGGGCCAATTGCTATATTGCAATTTTTTTTAATTCACATGACAGGAGTATACAAAGGAAGGAGATGAATGCAAAGACCAAGTTTGTTATTGTGAAAAGGTGTTGATTTGATTGCGTGGGTTTCATAAGTATGGAAGAAGATTAAATAAATTTCGGAAGAAGAGGACAATGTGACGATTCCATTCTCCGACTACTGCTGCTTGCACTCGGGTTGAGCAGCGGCGGCGGCCTGAACAGCAGCGGCATTTCCTTCATCGTCCTGTTTACTAGCCATACATGAGCGTTTGTTCCCCTTTACGACTCTTCCCGAGAGAGAAAAGAGTGGGACTGGACAAAGACTCACCTCGTCATCATCGTAGTCATCCTCGTCCTCAAAGTCGTCCTCATCTCCATAGTCCTCGTATTCCAAAGCCTTGCCGGTGAAAAAGTCGACGGCTCGGGGGATGATCTTCTCCTTAAAGTCCTCGCCGATCTGGTAGTCCATCTCGAGACGGGCGTCGAGGTCTTGGAGCTCGGCCTCGTCGACGTCGTCGGCTTCGAGGTCCTCGGGGGCAGGGGGCTGAGGAGGCTTGAAGAAGTTGAAGAAGGAGTCCGTGGGGACGACCTTTCGGACGGTACGTGTTCGGCCGGTGGCTGATTAGGAGTTAGTGGGTGTCACCAATGGAGATTGTCAACTCACACTTGTTCCTCTGCTTCTTGATCTCAATCTTCTTGGTGAGGTCCTTCTCCTCTTTCCACTGGATCTCGGTACCGACAGCCTTGTCGTAGACAAAGTCACCACCGTAACCCACTTGTTCCTGCAACACAATCAGCGCCATCCCGCATACATATAGAGCCGACTCACTTGGTAGTAGTAGGTCTTGGTCAACTCAGAGTCAGAGAAGAACTCGTTGGCGGTAAAGACAAAGTGGAGCTTGAACCCGGGCTGGTTCTCGAGGTACGAAAGTCGCACATCGACGAGGTGCTTGAGAGCCTCCTCGTCCTCGTCAGAGATGCTCTCAGCGGTAGGAACGTGGTTCTTCAAAGCGGTCAACCAGAACTCGGGGATACCCTTGATGTCTTCTCCACCAGCGGGCTCCTCCTTGTTCTCGGCGTCCTCCTCCTCGGCCTCATCGTCAGAGTCCTCGTCGGCGGCGATACCCTCCTCGACCTCTTGGTCGGTGGGCTCGGCCTTGCCGGTGATGATGGCCTCTCGTCGCTCGTAGAGGGGCTGGTACTTAACGGCGAACTGTGCATTGCATCAGCACCAATCCACCGCACGATCCCGACACGTTGAGACATACCTTCTTCTCAAGCTCGAGGATAGCCAACTGGAACTCGCTCTCGATCTTGGAGTACTCGACCTGGACACCCTTCAAGCCATCGATTCTTCGGCGGACGGAGGCGGGAAGAGACTCGATGTAGCCGGAAGACTTGCCGACGAGACCGTCGAGCTTGGACTGGGCGAACGCGAGGAGCGCGGGGTTCTGTGAGAACGTGTTAGCCATGTTGTTGCAAGATTTTGCCGAGTCGTCTCGATTCAGGAAGGGCAGGAAAGTCGCGGGAGACGACGGTGGTGGAAGAGCAGCATCCCAATCCGTTGGAAAGGGAAAGGAGATGGGCATCCAAACAATCAAGTTCCCACAAGCCACTCCAAAATTTCCCGCACGGTACCCTTCCTTCCCTTCCCGCTCCAACTCCAACCACCCATCCTGAACACTGCAATACTCACAGAAGCCAGCAAGCTGGCGGGGTTGGCGCCACCCTCCTCCTCGTCGCTCTCGCTCTCCTCACCCTCTGCAAGGGTCTCGACAGACGGTTGTCCGAGGTTGGCGGGGCGGTTCTGGAGGACGCCTGTCTCGAGGGGGGTGTTCTGGGGGGTGGGTGCGACGTCGAGGGTGGTGTCCTGGCGCTGGATATCTTTGTTCTGGGACATGGTGGGCGAGTGTGAGATGTTGATTCTCTCCCAAAAGCATACAGTGGCGAGCGTCGCGTCAGCTCCAAGTGGAGGGCCCGGTATTTCACTATCCCCGCCGTGTGGCACATCCAGCAGGGATACCCGCTATTGTTTGTATGCATCCATATATAGTCTACGCGCCAATCCCGGTCTTGTGTATTGTATGTATCCATCCAGAGGCAGCTTGTTCTCCGCTTGGCTGCTTTTGTAAAGCAGCTCCTCGCGCCAAAAGCAGATAGAAACACAGGTGAATTTAGAATTGAAAATGGTTTATAACAGATCTGTGGTTAGATGTGAGAAGTCCTGAAAGAAGAATAGCGAATTATAGTGTAAGAGTGGGGCGGGAAAGAGCCGCTCAAAGAATAGCCATGTCCCTCAACGTGTTCTTGAGAATCGTGTCCTATAGCGGTCAGCTCTACTCCCTCTCGTAGACGCAAACCTCACCTGACAAGCAGTCATCACAACCTTGACGTTCTGCCTATCCACCGCTGTTGTCACATGACAATAGATCTCTTTCGAAGCCATCCTGTTCAAGCCCCTGAACATCATCTTGAAAAAGTCGACAGCGTCCTGGAACGAGTATGGTTTCCCCTCGAATTTGGGGAAATACTCGTGGAGCTGTTGGTTGGGGTCTTGGATCCTGTGGGCAAGGAGGTCGGATTTGTTTAGGAAGAGGATCTGTAGCAAGTGTCAGCCTAGTTGGAAGAGTGGACCTAGGAAAGGCGTACGATGGAGGACTTGATGAACCATTGAGAGTTGCAGATAGAGTCAAACAGCATCAATGCTTCTTGCATACCGTTCGATTCTTGTCTCTGTCAGCTTGCGCCTCATGATGTTGAGGAACACTCACCTCGGTCTTCTATCAGACAAGAGTTGTAGTCTGACAGAGCTACCAGGAACAGGATGGCAGTGACGTTCTCTACAGAGCGTGTCAGCACCTCGAATACCATTGAGCGAAGCATGCGACGTACCAAAGCATGAAGCCCACTTTCGCCTCTCAGACCTCTGTCCACCAACGTCGAATAGTCTAAATACCACATCGTGGATCGGGAACCTCGTCTCCGTGATACCTGCCTCTATCATCAGCCCCACCTCCCTCACAACCAGCAAGGGACACACCAGTAGTCTTACTCCTCACTCTCAGAATATCATCATTACTCGGCTTGTACCCCGGCTCAAACAACCTCCCCAGATTCTGATAGAAATACGGCATATTCTCCGCCAACGCAAACTCATTTCCCCGGCTATAACAAGCCTGCACCCCCGGGTCTTGCCACAGACTCTGCAGCGCTGGGAGGTATCGCGAGGGGAAGGGTTCGTTGGTGTTTATGGGCGGCTCGGCGTCGACGAGGGAGATGTATTTGCGGTTGGAAGGTTGGACGGCGAGGTTGAGTTCGTCCATGACGTCGATGATGGCGCGCATACCGCCGACAATGTTGGAGAATGTCAGTTTGCTGCAAGAGAGGGGTTAGTCGTGGCCTGGAGGAGAGGGGAGGGAGGGACTGACCGGTAGTCTTCGATCTCGTCGGTTTCGAAAGATCGATCGTGGATCAATCGCATCTGCTTCAAACTACCCATACCCCGTCAGTACTGTACTATAACCATCAGAGCCACTTACATGGTAGACTTTCCACTCGCACCAGCTCCCAAAAGAAGAAGCTTTACTTCCCGAGCCAAGCGCTTCTCATCCTACACACAAGTCAGCTTCCATTACACCTTGCCTCCACTTCCATCTCTGTGAACGCCGCTGGCTTATTGCACCCCAGAAGTACGACCATTCCGACACCCCTTTGGAAGAACAAGGCCAGAACAACCAAATCCCACTCTTCCACCCCAGCACCGACACTGTTGACTACCCAGCACCTAAAGAAACGACAACTCACCTCGCGCAAAGCCTTATCAATCTCCCTACTCCTAGCATCCGCAGCGGGATCGTCGGTGGAGGGCGAAGACATACAACCACCCATTGTTTCTCGAGTTTCGGTGTTGTGTGAATTCGGGTTGAAGAGGGCGTATGACGATTACTCTTTGAGTAGATGGCGAGATAGGTTGTCGAGAAGGGATTGGGTTCTTACGGGGATTGAGACCGAAACAAGAGGGGAGACAGGTTATGGATGATAGTCGTAGGTATCAGGAAAGACAATACCAAGCCAGGGCTGGTAATCACAATGCGGGACGTGCGGCCGGGGGTTCAAGTGTGTATCCCAAATGGCCGGGAATACCCTTCTGCTACCAAGCTGCAAGCTGGAGGGGAAAGAAAACAATAAGAGATTTTGTTGATGGCGCTTATGCCAGAATGCGTGGTTGGTGGGGACGTGACTTGTGTGTGGTGGGATGGGGTGCCTTTATGGAATATGTCGTTTGTGTTTGTTTCTGCCCAGTGGACTGCTGGAGAGAGATGGGTATGGATATACCTCTCTGTCGTCCTCTGCCCTTCAAATAGGAATAGGCGATTGAGATGCGATGTCGCTAGTGGCTAAGCGATAGACCAGCGTCGTGATAGAAGGGATGCCTTGGTGGCGATGATGGCTGATGGGAGCGCACACCGCACTCTTGTCTGATCAAAGAATGATCTGGCACGCGTACCGCGTTTCTTGATCTTTCTCGTTGATTTGCTGTGGATCGTGATGGAGACGGAGTGTGGGAGACGGAGTGTGGGAGGACAGGAGGTGTGGGAGGGGATTCGGAAGTAAAGATCGTATGGAGATGAGTCGAAGATGGGAAACAGCGAGATGTCGCAGCAGGCATCCTGGTCAGCTTCATCCCGACTTTTGACATCTCGCCATCCTGAGGGGAGATCCACAGCGAGAAATAGCACTCACAAAGAACGAATGAGACGGCCCGAACAGTTTCCTAGCCCAAGCTCTGATCTTGATCCGTACAGCACGCAAACGGTCTGTGCTCCGTCCGATAGAGGCGGATCGTAGCTGGGTACAGTGGCTACAGTGGCGTACTCGACCGAAGCGGGAAGAAGGATGAAAAGGTGGATGAAGAAAGAGAAAGAAGTCGAAGACGAAGGAGATGCCGGAAATGAGCTAAAGCCAAGGCTCTAATTGCTGGTATCAAAAGACGGCAGTGGCCTGTTAGTGGCAACTCTATCCCCGCCTCTTTGTGATCAACCTGCAATTCTGCATGGCCTGCCTACGAATCCTCTTCATGTCCCGCTGCCTCTGATCCTGGATGCTCGCAAAAATGCCCCCGGGGACGACGAGGTTGGCGGATAACGGCAGCAAGTTGCGACAAGAACAATAAGAAAAAAGACCTAGGCACTGCGGTTAACCATATCCTCTCCCCTCTTCCCTGAGACGCACCCTGGCCGCCGCCCCCACCCCCGCATTGTGCTCTTGCCTTGTTCTCCACTGTTATGTTGCTGCTTCTCGCAGACATGCATGATACTGGGATAAGAGCATACCAGTCCGCCCAGACGGCGGTATAGTAATTAGTCTATACACATTATACTGTTCTCTTTTGACGCGAAAAGCAATCCCAACACCCCCCGTTCTCGTCTCATAAAAGAACCAAACAAAACCGGGAATCCATCCCTTGATTCCTTCTTATTCCCCGCCACTTCCTCCAGCTCTTCCTCTCACTCATCTTCATCCTCTGACCGATCATCCTTCACATCCTCGCCCCAGTTCCATACCGCCCTCACCAGAATCCTCAGTATCAAGAAGTACCAAAACAGGTTCAACGCCTGCAATAACGCGATCGGGATGAAGATCTGCCACTTCATAAACCCATAAGAGTCCAGATACGAGTCGTTGAAAAAGTCAATTTTTGAGCGGGCGGCGACTGGGATGAGGTCATACTGGGTGGGGAGATTGTAGAGAATGAGAAGGTTGAGGTAGTGGCGGAGGTAGGTCCAGGCGATTGTGAACCAGACCAGGAAGGGGATGGACCAAAAGTCGGACACATAGTTGACGCATTTAGCGAGCTACACGTTCGTCAGTTGCAATCATAACCAGGACTTGAGGGGCGTACAGAGAAGAAGAGGTCGGAAGTATCCATTGTAAAGAAGATGGCCACGCCAAAGTAGGTGAACTATCATCATGTCAGCCTGGATTCAGCCTAGTCCCGTTCGACATACATGAGCCATATAGCTCCAAAAGATCAGCCAAATGGTCACAATGTGCTAAATAAAGTCAGCACAACGCCCAGCCAAGTAACACAAACCAGTCACATGCAAAACCAGCTCCTTATAGTCCTTCCTCGGCTTTTCCACCTTGGCCGCCAAAATGATCGTCTGCTGCGCCCAAAACGCCCATTGAGTCAAATAGTAGAATTTAAGGCGGAATGACATGATTTTGTGGGGATAGTCGATGAAAAAGTATTCGGTCTTGTAGTACCAAGTGGGCAGAGAGCGCATCACGTACTGTGTATAGCATCAGCTTACGAGATACACGTTGGTGCAGAGTCACTCACGAGGCCGTACGTGACGTAGATACCATAGTAGAAGACGGCATATCCCTCTATCCAAAGATGTCAGACCTGATACATGCGTGTTGGAGAGTGACTTACGCTCGGTGAATCGCGTTATCTTGCCTCCCCGCACGCCCAGTTTAAAAGCCAGCGGAGCCAAGACTTTGAGCGTCATAAACTGCCTCACGCTGCACCTCATCAGCCACGCCTCGCATACTCTTATGATACGTACAATGTCCAAAACACGATGTAATGCACCAGCAACGCCACATCCCACCACGTCTTTGCGTACCCTCCATCCTGCTCGTTTGAAGGCAACATACACTTTGCGCCAATGTTGGGGATCTGTCCGCCGGGTTGGAACGCCTCTACACCTACATAGGCGAGGCCAACATGGAGGAGACACAGGATGGGGGCAATGAGGGAGAGCTTGAGCGACGATGCTGAAGTTCGGTCAGCGTTCGAGCAAGGCCGAGCAGAGGCACCGCAGAGGCACAGAAGAACGGCCATCAATGCCCGCGCAGTGCCCCAAAGACGGCGGGGACGGCTTACAGGGTATCAGCAGCCATTTCCCAGTCTTGACGTCGTTCCATAGGCCGTCCGATACGTATCGCCGGGACAGCGGTCTGGCTTTCACTTTGCTGGGGGTTCCCAGGACAGGGTGGAAGGAGGGCCGAGACTTGACTCTGAGGGGGAGTATACTACTTGGAGTGAGCATGATGACGCGTGGATTGGATGGTGATAGCCTACCCATCGCCTTGCTGGTTCAAAGGGATCTGGCTGTGCACGCGTCAGAATCTCTCTCGGTAGCGATAGAGCAGCGGACTCACTTGAGGGCTGCGGTGACACTGGAGCTGCGCCTTCTGTGGGTGTCCTGTTTTGAGGAAGTGGGCATGGCGGGTGGATGGGAGATGGAGATGCAAAAGAGAAATGGAAATGGGAGTGTTTGTGAGAAAAACGGATGTGTCTGTGGGCGGGGAAAGGCGGCCGTGCGCGTGTGGTAGGGGGGCGATCGGTGGGGACGGCTTCAAGTGGCACTGGCTATCGTCAGCGCAGGATACTCGGTGTCTCTCTGGCTCTCTGCGTCGCTCCCGCTGCCCCCAGCCACTGCGCCTCCTCACCTGGGGCAGGGCAACTTTCCAACGGGGCTATTATTTGTGCCCGGTGACTAACGGAACGCCGAACCACTGCAGCTCGCGTCGGGGTGGATGTTGAGTCACATCGATCACTACGGGTATGCAGCGGGGCAGCGCGTACAACGGGCAGGGTGTATCTTCATCAGCCTATTGCCAGATACCTCTCTAGTATCTGCCCATGTATGCATACGAACAAGCACAAGCCCGTCTTCTTTGCTGCGAACACCTCAGCAGCCACGGCCGCCGACAGCGAGGTTCGGCATGCCGTCGACGCTTTCTGAAACGATCTCTCTGCGGCTCCTGGGGATGTGTGGGGACTACGCTACAGGAGGATTATGTGGCCAGGGGGAAAGCAGTGCAAAGAAGGAGGAGGAGTGTGAAAGCTTTTGGGTCACCTCGCAGCGTTCCTCCTCCAATCCCTGCGCAACACAGTGTGCGCCCTTCTCATGTTTGACCTTTCGGCGGACTCTTTACCCTGTTTGCCCATTTGTACCATCGGTGCCATAGGAAGCGTATCTCTCCGATGTACCTATGGTGGGTTTAATCAGGTCTGCCATCAGCAAAGTGAATCTTCCCTCTACAATCACTGACAGAAGACTGAGAGCTGTTGGCATTTGTCGGGAGAGCCTCCATGGAAGGGCGTATCACGAGTTGCTGGAATGTGACTATCTCATTGTCGAAGAGGAAGGCGTTACGAGGGAATCTAATAGTTGAAGGCCAGGTTTGAGGACAAAGCCTCTTGTTTCGGAGCATGGCCAAGTTGAGAGAACGATGATGCTCAGTATAGCACACGGCTTATCCGAAGAATCGTTCCAATAACAGTAGTAACACTTCAATGACTCAAGCGTGATACCAGACCTATGCTCCTACCTCAATGCAATGCGACTTTTACATCGATGCTATTCCCCCAGTAACCCATACTGCTAGTCAAGTATACAGTGCCTGGGACATTAGTAGAATGCAAAACATGTCACAAACGGCAAGAAGGTTGAAAGAAAGGCAATGATAGAGGAACTGGACGCAGTCGCGGGGGGCTTCAATGTCTCCTTCGGGCGGTACGACGGGCCGAGTATCGCATCTCCTCTATCATCTCCATCCAAACAAATATATCCACATAATAATCCTCCTATCCTCCCAGTAAGTCTTCACCTCTCTCCTGTGGATGTCCGAGATTGATACTGACGCTGTACAGTCCTCTGTATCCTCTTTCCGCATATATTTCCCTTTCGAGCAGTACTGCACCCGCTCGGCCCGTCAACATCTACCTTACCATCTTGCCTGCATCTACAAAAGCATCACAAAAGGTAGAGACCTCTTCTCCTTCAAGATAGCATATACTGACAATAACACAGAATCTAAACCGCAATGGGCTGCCTCCCCTGCACAAACCTCCAGCCCGAGGTGCAACATTTAAACGCCTGCTATCCACCCTCCAAAGCCCTCCTCACCGCCGGCCCAGAATTCCGTCCCCTCGCTCAAGACCTCTCCAAACTCACCTACTTTGCTACCAACAAACCCTCCAAACTCGCCAAAATCGGCGAGGAGCTTGAAAAACGGGTCATCAAGGAGAGCCAGCGGTCTTCGCAGGGGTACCCCAAATATAGGGCATCCTTGCTCATCAGCTTGGCTGTCTTGCGAGCCTTGCTGACAGAGTGTAAGCGAGATATTGCGCTGTTTGCGCGTCCCGCTTTGAGGATCATTGATACTTGCTTGGGCGTCAAAGGTTATCAGCAAGGGAGTTTGGATCTTGAAGTGGTTGGAAGGGCGACAGCGAGCTTTATCGCATTCACCACATACACCGATGGTTCTCAGATAGGGGCAGATGATGCCCTTACCAAGACCTACCTCAACATCCTCCGAAAATACGCCAGTATGGCTACCACTTCCTCTACGACAAACTCTGAGAAGCCCGACCTCGAGCAGCAGAACCGTACCAGGCTCATCGCTCTGGCTGCTCTCAACGGCGCAATCACCTCCGACGCCATCTTCTCCTCCTCCCGCGACTTCTCTCTCCAATCCGCCATCCTCATCCCGCCCCTCTTGCAGAACGCATTCGAAGAACCAATCCACCAGCTCAAACAAGAGACCGCCAAAATCGAAATGGACGCCAGTCCTTCGCCGTTCTTTAGCGAGTTTGCAACCACCAAGGGTCCTGTTGCACATAGGAGAGCCCCGAGTCTGCATGCGCATATTCCCGGGGAGAAGGGCCCGAGTGGGGCGGATGTGCTTTCGGCTGCTTTACGTTCTTTCCACGCGTTGGTGCGGCAGTGCAACGTCGCTCAAGCTTCTCTCGTCATTGACCGCGCGGGGGAGTACTTGGACAAGACGAATGGATGGCAAGACTCCGAGAGGTGCTGCTGGCTTTCCGAGCGGTTGACTGCCTGTATCACTCTCCAATATCGATTTGTCGTCCCAACCCGGCTCGTCGAGGTTTTGGTCGACCTTCAGGATACCGCTCCCTCTCCAAAACACACTTCTGCTCTGGCAATGATCTCCACCATCCTCACCTCTACCACTTCCCTCATCGGGCTCGGCGTTTCCGACCTCCTCCAAAACTTCATCTCTCTCATTATCCGCCGCATCCATCTCTCTCCTCTTGATGCCCTCTTACCGCCGCTCGTACAGTGCGTCGGCAGTCTCGGGACGCATATCTACTATGCCGACCAGATCAACGATATCGTTGAAGAGCTTGCGGCCAGGATCAGTGAACTGCCTCTGCACGACAAGGCGAGGGGCGAGATTATCAGGGTCCTGGTGGCTTGTATCACCGGGGTGATGCTTGTGGCGGATGCGGCCGATGACCAGGCAGAAGAGAAGGTCAACGGCCAGTCTAACGGAGATGTGGTACAGCCCGGTTCCCCTAGCAAGGGCAAATCCCCTGCTCCTCCGGTTGAAACACCCCTCCCTACCCCTCTATTCGAGCGCCCAAGACCGGTCTACCATCCGTCCCGCCGTAACCCTATTTCGCCAGAAGTATGGCAGGAAACCCTTCCTCTGCTTTGTGAGGCCGACTATGGCGTTCGAGCAGCTTATGCGCGAGCGTTGATACTGTTTATCGAGACTGAATTGCCTCGCGGGCGTATACCGGGCAAGGCAGGCGAGCCTGGGACTGCCATCAAACGCCCTCAGAGCGACGCTGCTACCGTCCGGTTCTGCAATGCTCTCAATGCTGCAGTGTACACGCTGGTGATCAGTAGCTGTCTCGGTCCAGAGGGAGATGGGGAGAGTACCGTTGGAGGGGGTACGATGCCCGCGACTGCGCTGGGCTCGCCCGAGGTCGGTACAAGCGGTCTGGCCGCGACTGAGCTTCAAGGGCATGAGAAGGAGTCGTCAGGTGGCTCTGCTTCTGGGCGAGCAACGCCTAAAGGCGAGAGAGGTGTGTCCTTCAAGTTCCAACCCTCGGAAGACAACTCTGCCAACACCGGCACGTCGACGCCACCCAAGAAGGCCCTCAAGCCCCGCAGGGTCTCTCTTCCGATGACTCGTCTTCAGTCATCCAACAACCTCTCCATCTTTTCTCATGTTGCCACACCTCTCGACTTTTCTGCTGCGCTGCGTATTCTCGACGCTATCCATGTCGCGTGCCCCGTACAGGCTCTGATCAGCGGAGTGCCAATGTTGCTTGCGCTCGATGAGGATGCGGGTAGGGAGCTTGTTAGGCGTTCGGGAGACGGAAGGGCTGGTGCATGGGTCCTGGAGAGAAAGAGGGCGGTGAGGGAAATGGTCGGGTTGGTTTGGAGGAGAATCGGAGAGAGATGGGGAATGGGATCAGTGGAGCAGTTGGCTAATGAAGTAAGTTTCTCTGCATATGGAATGATAGGGCGCTGACCGTTACGTAGGCTCTGTCCCTTCTGCCGGAACCATTCTTGATTCCAGCATACCCAGCCCCTCCCAGTCCTCCCACTCTCTTGACCGCCCCAGACCAGCCCACCGCTTTCATCCCTCATGCTCGCGAGGGCGAATCATCTGCTACCGCCAAGCCCCTCCTCGACCCCACAGTCTTGCTGGGGGCATTGAGCAGGGCGGAAGTCGTGCAGGGTGCTACGGGATGGACTGGGGGACAGACGGAGAGGGTGCTCGGTGCGAGATGGAATGTGGAGAGGGCAATCCGAGAGTGTATGTTCAATTCTGTTGGAATTTAGGTTGGGGCATTACTGATGTTGCTCAGCTGTGGAGAGGTTTTCGTCTGCCAATGTCCGACCGGACGATGATTCGCACTATACCGCTGCCGCCTCTCTGCTCATGAACATGAATAATGCAAGCTATCAGAGTGTCAATGGTAGGCGCGTGTCAAGGGCCATCGATGTGACGGATCTGAGGGACGCACTTGGTATGTGTCTTTTTTCTCAGTATACGGCCAGGGTCAGTGGCTGACTCTAGACAAGGCGGCCGCGCGGATATCATCACCTCTTCAAACGCGCCTTCTGTCAACTCGTACGACGGCTCATATCAATCCCACTCTCAGCAGACTACTTCCACCGCCAACGGCACTGCTCATCCCGCTTCCCAAGTCGGCGCTGCTGCTGCGGGCGGTGCAGCTGGCAGACCGTTAAGCGGTCACGGGCAAAAAAGACCAGCAAGGGAGGCAGACGTCAAAGAGGTGCTGAAGGACATCTTCAGGGACAAGAGGAAACATGCTCGCGCTCGAAATGGGCTCAGTCCGGAGCCCGGGGCAGGTGGCGTGACTGCTGAGCCCGAGCTGGCTGGCCAAGGGCAAGGTGAAGTGCAGAATACTGCTGGGATGGCGAATGGGCTTGGAGCGAGCGAGCCGGAGCAAAATGAGTCTGCCAAAGTTCCTATAACGAGCAACGGGCCTCTGGACCTTTCGCTCGGCAAGCCTCTGAACTAGAAGAGCGGGGCGGAGCTCATGGCTCATCTGGTCTGGAATGACCTCCAATGGAGGACAAAAGTTGATGTTGATCTTGTACTCTTTGGGATATTCGGGTAACTGATGGTATTTGATCCTATGCATTACTCGTTGATTTCGCCTGTTGACGGGAGCAGGACAGATCGTCAAGACTCTCGTTAACTTCCTATGTACGAATTCCAAACATATGCCTTCCCTCGAGCCTCTCGCCTTTATTTATTTGTTGATTACTGGGATACTACCAATCGCCTCCGAGTCTCATTACAGATCATTGAGTGTCTACAGCTCGAAAAGTCTGAAGCCCGGAACTCTCGAGCTACTTACCAAGGCTTTACTTCTAGTCATTAATCATCCTGGTTGTCCTATAGTGACAGCTTTCCATCCATTAATCGTTACAGATGATCATCCCTCTCGACGCTCTCGAGAAGAACTTGTACTTTTTCGTTCCTTCCCCTTTCCACTTCCCTCTCTCCAGATTTCTCTCCCACGATTTCGGTCAAGTGTATCGACAGGGGAATCTCTCCCAGCCCACGGAGACCCGGTGTAGCCCGGCCCACCACTTGTAGCAGTTGGCGATGGTTCCCAAGGAGCTGTTGGAGCGTATGGATATGGACCTCTCTGCTGGTACACTGGAGAACAATCTGTATTCCCGACTGTAGCGCGCGTGTTGGACCCTCTGTTGGACCCTTGGCTCCCATCTCTTGAAAAGACGGGTGTGGAAGAGCTGGAGGAGCCCGACATGACCTGCTGGCTTGCCCAAGCTGGCGCGGGAGACCGAACCATGCTGGAACCGCTGACACCAGACAAGTCGTGTCGGTAGTGCTGCCAGGGAGCATAGGAGAGAGGGCTCTGGTGGATGGCTGACTCCATAGGATTGATGAGCATGGACAGGTCAGAGGAAGATGAGGCCCCGGTGATGGGCAACTGGGAGGATTGCGGGGGAAGATTGAGCCGGGGTTGAGACAAGCGCTCGTGGCGAGGGCGCATATCCGTCTGAGTCGCTTGAAAAGACCGCTGACTAGGCAGGGTGTCGGTCGATTGCGTGGCACCTCTGCGCGACCCTGTTGTTCCGGTATCGTTATCGGAGGCTTCTCGAGTCGACACTTCACGCATTGCTTGCGTAACGCTTTCTGCCAAATCAAAGACGACCTCGAGCTGATCCTGATTGACCTCGCTCAAGAACGAGCGACGAGATTCGTACTCGAGATAGGTGCGGAGGGTGCCCAGAACCTCAGAGCTAGACATGAAGGGGTGGCGAACGTTTTGATAGAGAGCCACCGCGATGATTGACGCCGTGTTGATACCAGCACCAGACTACAAATATATATGTCAGATCCCCGAAGTCTTTCCAGTTCATACTACTCACCGTCATCATATGAAGATCATTAGAGTATCCCAATTTCAATCTCAACCTAATTTCCTCTACAGCAGACTCAAGACACGCTTGCCTCGAGCGCAACCGGAGCTCCAACTCTTTCTCACTGATCCCTTCTGCAGGATCCACCGACAAAAGCAGAGAACTTCGGTGAAGAGTCGTACGGACATAATGGAAGCTGGCTGACACAAAGATCCTGGTAGGTTGATCGATTCTTTCCTGGTCGGAACAGACGAAGTACCCCTTGGGAAGACTTTGTCTGAACCTCGACAAGGCTTCTTCGGCCTCTTCGACGGTTCTGTTCTCTGCTCGGAGACGACTGACAAGCCGATACAGACTAGAATAGAGGTGGGCAATCGAATCATGGTTCCGGTCCTCCTTGAATCTGAAGTCTGGAGGAGATTCGTCGGTACCGAGGTCAAGGGTGGGGTCTTGGATGGTACACTCCGACTCTTGTATGACGGCTGGGATATTGAGGGCCATGGCAGCCATCCTGGTAATTTGAAATCAGTATTAGGTGAGGCGACGAGCATGAAATACTTGCTGATCTAGCACATAGAGTACTGTGTCAATCGCATTGTCAGCTGCTTGCTGACAGCTCTCCCGTAAGAAGTGACTTACTAGCCCACATTCTGCGCCTCGATGTCACCTCTCGACGACTCATGGTCTTGGTGATGCTTTCCTCCAGATGCAGTCTGTTTTGAATTTATATCAGCGTTGCCCAACCAAACAGCAGAGACCATTACTCAACTCTGAATTTGTGCTTTTCGCACGATATAGCTGACAAGTGAACAAGCTTCCAGTCGGTACCCAACCAAACTCGCAAACTTGATGAGCTATTGGCCGGAACAATCAGCTCTACCTGCGTAAGATCTCTAGAGCCAACATGAACTACTCACAAGCGTACCTGCCCGGAGCGTATCCAGGGTCCCTTGTGAAGCCTCCAGATGGAATACTTGATACGACGAATGGTAGAGTCGTCTAGCAAGGACCATGTCCCCATCCGCCATAAAGATCTGCGAGGAGTGTCGGTCTGCAGCCGCTTTCTGACCATCGAATTTGAGCGGCGGGAGAATGAGAGGCTCGCCCTCGTCTGTCGTAACGACAGGGTTTGGAGCGCGCGGGAGTGGCACGCAACCGAAAGCGACCATGATGAGCAAAAGAGAGAGAAAGGGGGTATCGATGGTCTTTGCCGGAGGGTCGCTATGGGATGGGGGATACCACACGAGATCGTACAAGACTCGAAAGTCTTCTTGATGTACCAACGTCAAACTTTTGAGATGGTCTTTCATCAGACTCGGTTTTTCAATGAGCAGCAAAAGAGGAACACTTGCCTGTTGAAGCGGTCAAAGTATCTCTGAACCAGTTCATCGCATCGCTCCTTGGCAGGCAGCTTGCCGAGACATCGCGACTTGATGTTTTCAGGAGACCATGATTGAGCCTTGTCGAAGTCGCTTTGGGGTCGGGCTTCCTTCGCTGCTGTTGTCGGTCCCTTCTATATGATTAGCAATAATACACTGCGAGGCTGAGGTATCTGACGTACAAGGATCATCTTGGCCGCGTCAGAAATAAAAAATCCGTTGCGCTTGAAAGCATTCCCTGTTTGCCCATCAGCTGCGACCATGACAAGCATCACCTGAGAATACTTACGAGCTGTCGAATCCTCCTTCTGTGGCCCCGGCGGGGACAAGTCTCGCACTCTTCTTGCCATCGGGCTCGCATCACCCTCAGATGAAGATGATTTCGGCGCGCTGTTCCTCTTTGTCCTCCCATAGCCTTCATAAACAGAGTCACCGCGTACGTCGGCTTCTGATCTCGGTCGAAGAACGGGACTGGGAGGAATGATTGGAGGACGGTTGTGGTGACTGTTCGAGCCCGAATGGGCACTCTGAACTCCATAGAGGTCCATGTTGAGCGATCCTCCTTGCTGCATACCGCTGCGCGACTCGTCCCACCGTCGCCGAATACCAGAGCCCACCATGGGATAAGCAGAAAGATCGTTCAGCATGGTGTCGAGATTGGGCGGTCTTGGATTCCTTTCCGTCACTTTTCGATACCATCAGTAAGAGGCCTCGTCTAAAATGCATCACATACTCTGGTGTCTTGCAAGACCGTCATCTCCTGCTCGCCTTCGTTCATCGTCAAATCTGCCCCCAGAGAATGCCAAAGGAGCATTCCACATCCCGTGCGCGAGCGCTTTAACATCGTCCCTCATCGGAGCTTCGCTTCTTCTTCTCTTCTCTTTCCTCCCCTCATTACCACTCGGTCCTGTACCCTCTTGTCCGGCTTCCCGAGATGATGTCGTCCGGGGATCGATCTCATATCGACAGATGCTGGGGTCGACTTGTCGTTTCGAGCATTGCAGACAAGGCTGTGCGCCGTCACACTTTCAAGAAGATAATGTCAGCTTGGTCTTTTATCGTCATCGCTTCCGAGAAGGCTTCTCCGGCGTCTGTAAACACAGGAGATAGACCAGAAGCTGGGAGGGGAATAGTACTCACCCTTTGTTTTCGCGCACGACACTCAGTACAGGAAGTCGGTACTCTGCCCCTCTTCCTTCCCACGCGCTGCTGCTGCTGTTCCCCCTGACCACCTTGCATCCTGTCCCTGTCGTTGCGAGAGGAGGAAGAAGGCTGTTGTGGGATCTCTGACGAAGCGTACGGTAGCTCCTGGTATACACCCGTACTGTAGATATCCTGTTGAGGATTCAACTCTGACTCTGAGCGGAGGATGTGTACAGGCTGCTGGGACGTCCACGGTGGCGCGTCTCCTGGGTGGACTTGGTGTCGCTGAATGGGGTAGAAGCCCTGCTCGAGCGTGGGAAGACCTTCGAATGTTTGCTGCCTGCTGCTGGTACCGGGAGGAGGTGCACCAGGCAGTGGCGAACGATGAGGACGACGGTCCATTGTGGGCCTCAGAGCGCCCCCAAGGGGCCAGGGTTGATTGAGAAACGGGCGTTTTCGGTGAGGGTGTGTGATTTGGTTCTTAGGCTGTTGAAATCGAGGTGGGGGGAGGGGAGCCGGTCGGCGTACTGAGTGGAAGAGAAAAGGGTAAAGGTGTGTATAGACTGAAGGATATCGTAAAAGAGGCTGAGACGTGGGGGTTAGTCGTAGAGTGTTTGTTTATAAGCGATCAAAAAAAAAAAACAGAGAGAGTTTGCATCCCCGTACATATACATACCGTTCCTCCCTTCGACGGCTGTGCACTTTGTTTCATACGCGATGGCGATGGGCCTCAAAAGGAGACTGGGCCTTCCACAGGGCAAAACAGTGACCCAAGTGTATTGCGCCGAACTGCTGCACTGGAGATCTGAGCTCTTAGCAGCTATCCGCCCTCCGCCACATTGAGCCCTAGACTCACGCAGCGCAGTATACGGCTATTATCATGGGACATACTACTAAAGACAATCGAGGAAGGATCACCGGGCAGGAGAGTGATAAGACGCTGAGGTGCGGAGCTGGTGACATGTGGCGACAGCGTGAATGTTGCGGAGAGAAGTTTGGCAGGGAAAGTGTGTGACACCGCCGGTTGTTCCCAATTGCCGCGGGAAATTCCCTGGACATGCTGGCGTCATGGTGTATGTACTGTGGCTGCCTATAGTAGCAAGGCGCTATCATGCTGCAGCGCAGTATACAGAATAGAATATGTACACCCATCGGAGCGGAAAAAAACAGTGTAAGGTTCAAGGACCGCTTATCGCCCCCGCTGCACTGATCCCGATTACCCCATCGTAGTTGTGTGGTTGCACTCGAGACGTCAATAGATTCAGGCTCTTTGTACACTGTACAATACATGTATATCTATACCGGCATCAGATCTTGGCACCATTTGGCCCAAGCCAGCAGAGCTATACTATAAGATGCTGGTGAACAGAAGAGGGTCTGTTTCACCCGAGCACAGGGCGTGGCCAGCCCGCTATGTAGATATTTGTGATGAGCCATGCAAGCGCACATGCTGCTCACCATCTCTCCGTCCGAGGCCCACAAGCACGAAAACGGATCAAGAGCGAACACACACATGTATGATCCTCCTTGAAGTTCGCTGCTGTCAGCCATATCTGCTCTGAGGGGCGATCTGCATCCGCTACGGTGCAGATGAACTTGTGGTCTGCCTTTCCACATGTTGCCGAAGACATGTGGGGGCGGCGGGTGCCACTCTCGACTCGGCATCGTTCAACTTACGCTCGATGTCAATGGAGGTTTACAAGACTTTAGAGTTTCTTGGACTCTTTACCCGGGTCGAGTCAGCTGTGCCGGAGGCAAAACACAGCAGCGAGGAGGGTGCAAGCCGGCATATGTGTTACACTCCCCCACTATGGCGTCGTGAGTACGGCAGATCGAGCCCCTCGAGAGTCCATACTGCCAGTGACCATGGGAGATGCGCCCAATTTTATCGAGACGAGAGGATGACCCTCTTAAGCCCCCCTGTACCTGGCTGTACCTGCTTTGTACCTCTTTTTGTGTCTGTGTCCCGCTCTGTGTCCCCGATTGCACCTGCACCAAGTATCCCCCGGCGACCGGCGACAGATCTGACTCCCCCCCTCCCTTCCGTGTTCTGTGTATAGGCGATCTAATCCCAGAGGCACAGCAAAGGTCGCGCGTCCCTTTTGATTGATTGATGGTCGTGTTTGAACTTTATAGTTATCACTCCCCCAACTCTTGTGGCCTCTGGCTGCGGAAACGGCAGAAGCTGTTTGAGAACACGTTGCTACAAGGCCCGCTTGTTGGGGAGGGATGCACAGTAGTGACTGTGAGACAGCCTCTGATCAGAGAGCGAGAGTCAGCGGGTATTGCTGAAAGGCGCGCTCGGGGATGGCGGATGGGCCAGAGTTGAATGATGCTGTTTTCGGTGTTAATACTGCATGGCATCGTTGTATGGCACTGGGCGGATGAGGAAACATTGAAATGAGCTGTTCGAGCCTCGTTAGGGGGTAGTAGTATGCATCGGGGTGACCTACACCCTACGATTGCTTCAGAGCGGCGGACAAAGGAGACTTGTGAGTCTCGAATGACCTAGCGTCGTCGCGTGGTTGAACGATCCATGGTTGTATACGAGACCGTGGACTGAGGCCTCCAAAGCTCAAGCAGTATTTGAAACAATCGATGGACGCTGGGTGTCTGTTTACCATTGGTCTGATCGACTTCAAAACAACGTCGACCTGGTATGAAATGCCGAGCCGTCGTCTTTGTCCACCTCCTTTAGCCCAACCTCGTCTTTGTGCGAGTCCTCGCGATTCAAGCGTCGTATACGCCTCAATCATCTTAGCAACCCAAGGCTCCCGGTATATATACTGTAGCATGGGCCATATGTATAGCTGAACTAACAGACCTAGCTTCAGGGCGAACGCGTCAAAAGGAGGGTCCTGTTTACGTGCGCGCTCGTTACAGCTTTCGCTGATGATGATTAATGACAATGTTCAGTCGTTATAGGAGCTAATCTTTTGATCAGAGCTTTATCATTGTAGCTGCTTGTACATTGCCTCTTGCTGCTACACAAGAAGTCACAGCAGGGCTGTCATCTATGCCGGGTCGTATGATCCCCAGGTCATTTGCCACCACTCACCTTCGTCGACGGGTGCCTTTGTTGCCTGCCGCACTGCACTGTCGTCTCTTGGCCCCTTTTATCCTTGTAATCTGCTCGTATTTCTCCTCCTACCGAGTCTGACATCTACCTCCCCCTGTCGAGTGCCCGTTGAAGCAAGCGCAGGCATCACGCCAGACAACGACACCGTCCCTCACGTCCCCCAACAAAAAGATCTGCGTTGACGCCATAGCCTTCATCCTCGTCTTTTCATTGCAGCTCAGTGAGTGTACTCACTAGCAGAATGATGTGCAGAGTTTCTCTCACCTCTCTCCCATGGGCCCTATCTGGATTACCTTTCATCCTCTTGCCACTCCCCGATGGCTGAGCGCCTTCAAAGTTCGACCTCCCTGCGCTCACTGGCATCATGAAAAAAAAAAAACAGGAGGAGAGAAGTCTAGCTTGTCTCGCCGCCCCATATCTACCCACCGTTATGTCTCCTCCTCTCTCGGTATACTTTGGTCTGGGAGCCATATTATCATACTCACGGTGCAAAGAGAATATTGAGTTGCTTAGCTTTCATCACCTTCTAGACGATTCTGTACATAGTCGAGTATGGACGGTGCGTTGGAATAAAGAGAAGTTGACTGACACAAATTCCCCAGACTCCAGCCCGCCTACCCTTCAGCTTTCAAGGCTGGCCCAGCTTAAGCGGCTCACAACAAAGCATCGAGTACATTCAACGCCCTCTATCCCCCAACACCCGCCACCACAAGACGCTACCGTGCACCCCCCATCATCTGCTCGTCGTCTCTACGCCCTCCCTCTCAGTGCGGGAGTTGATGCCAGACTGGGTGGCAGGAGGATGCAATGTGCATTGCTCTCGAAGGTCAGTTCCATTCTCGAGAGAAGTAGATGCGAGAGGAAGCTGATAGGCTTTCCAACGTTGGCAGGATCCCACTAACCCCTCCTCCATAGGGTCGCTGGCATCTATTCGTCCAGGTTCAGCCACACGCAGATCTACCGTAGTGGTGATAACGAGAGCATCTTGGACACCCACTCCAGATTATCATCGTCATCGCATATTGAAGAAGCGTTGGGCAGTCTCCACGGGCATGGCGGTGTCACTAAGTCGGTACTTCTTTGGATGAGGTGCGGTGCTCGTTGGGACAATAGCCATGAGTGAGCACCAACCTTTTCAAACTCGGCTCATGATTTCGGGACTCTGGGTGCTGGTTCAAAGAACGGGGTCTGACCCTGCCGTACCTATCACCTTCCTAGTCGTTGTAGTGAAAGGCTACAAGAGCGCAAGCGAGCCCCCAATCGTAGTTCAAAATGGTCAGGCAACTCTTGAATTTGCGCATGATCTATTCAGCTGACGCAGATTGTGTACCGTATGCACCTTTTCAAAACGCTCAACCACCTGTACGCACACTTGTGAGACGACAATACCAACGGAACAAGAATACATCACATAGGTATTCTTCGCACCTCCTCAATCGTCCATCCGGCAGCTTTCATACTCTCCGCCCCAAGATCCTTCACCTCCTCATCCAAATGCCTATCCCACTCATATCAGCATGTCATCTATCATCAGAAGACTTCAGACTCACCTGAACAGCACCTCCTTGAAACTATCCAGCACCTCCCTCAGCTTGACCCCATCATATGACTTGGGGTTGGCCTGTGCAGCAGCAAGGAAAGCGTCATATCGATCCAGACCGTCGTGGATGAGTTTGTGGCTGTGGAGGTGTTCGCCGGATTCACGTTTGCCAGCTTGGAACTGAGGCATCTTCTTCGCTAGAATAGGGAAGATGTGGGCTTCCTGCAGTTGTGTGAGTATAGGATTTTGAGGGAAAGGGGAAAGAGACAAACTTCGATACGGTGGTGCAGATCGAGATGCGAAGAGAGTGATGTGGCTTCGCGCAAGAATCGGGAGAGGGTCATACCAGCTTGCTCATACTTTCCATCCGCCAGCTAATCATCGCGATTGGTCTTCTATCTGCAACAACACACACTCACTTCGTAGATCTGAGCAAACTCCATCCGGAAATGAGAATGGAACATGTCCATATGGACTGCGAGTCTGTTCCACTCGGCGTCTGGTTGAACCTTTCGGGGCATTCCCAAGGCTTCTATGTGGACGTGCTTGACAAGAGAGCTACTGGTGTTTGGGCCGATATGGGAAAGTGTTGCTCTAGAGAGACGGGGTCGAGCTGATAAGAGATAGCGGCGAGCGAGTATGGTGAAAAAGGTGGACGGTGGAGAACTTGTGTGGCTGGAAACTCCTGAGCTGAGCTGTTACGGGAAATGTCAGCTATAGGAGGAGATGGAAGTGCGATTGAGAAATCATGTAATTGTGCATGACGACCAATGGATCGAAATACCCCTCGGCTCCGGCTGCTGATCTCGGCACGGGAATATTTTGTCAGTAGAGGTCGGTTATCGCCGCCAACTGTTATCCTAGCCGTCGGCCATTTTTGGGCAGTTGATGACGAGTGCCCATCTATCCCACTCGTAGACTTGTGGTGGACTCATAATATGGGTGATGTTTTGTCTGACTGGGTAATTCCTGGCAACCACCCCTGTCCATATTAGTGCCGTTCCTCTTCAGCTCGTCCCTCAAGTCACATTCTCCGGTGCCCACATCTCAAAGCTGCTCCCATCAATCTTTTCAACTCCAGCTCCCCCATCAGCTTGGTTAATGTCAAGAAATAGAACTTGCTTAAAAGTATGACGTACCAAACTGAGCGCGTATCGTTCCCCTCCCCCAGACTGCGACAGGATATCTCGACTCAGCCTTCCGCCAGCGCCCTGGGTCCTCGACTGGGCCAAACTGTTGGTAACGGGGCCTACGAGACAGGCGGATATCCAGGACACCAAGGACCTGGCGGGAAAGAGAGGCATCTCCCACATCACAGCAAGCCAGTAGGCGTAGAACCCACGAAGCCCTATGGTCAGAGTAGTGAAGGCCCCAAGAGCCATGCCATGGCAGACTTGCCGCCAATATCGACAGAAGACGACATGGATGTGATCCTCGCAAGTCATTTCACCCGCACATCATCCTGCTACCTAGCTGATCATGTCTAAGAGTGCATATAGCTCGGACTTGGTAGTATCACCCCAGCAGATATCCGCCCGAACAGGAGGCTCCCATACCTCCCAGGGGTACCTCTCAACTACCTCCTCGCCTGCCCTTGCACCATCAGCCCAGCAGAGCTCAGCTAGCCATGCCGGATCTCGAACATCCACGTCAAAACCTTCTTCTCTATCACCTGAACCTTACCCGCCCTCTTCTTCACCTCTACCTTCGACTTCCCCAAGCACAAAACGCTCGGGCTTCCACGCCTCCCAGGTCTCCCCACCGGAAACCCCCCATTTCAACGGCAATCTGGTCAAGCTGAAAATAGGTTCACAAACCGACCTGCCTTTCACCGATGAGCCTGCGGCATACACACCCTCCAGCGTCTCCCCCAAACCAACGTACCTGTCTTCCGGCGGCCCCGGCGGAGACACAAAACCGACGTATCTCTCTTCGCCTTCGCAGGTTTCGCTCCCGGGGCTGACTCCACCACCGTCTCCGAGCTCTTCCTCGCCTCCGCCACGGTTGAGGCCAGAGGCTGTATCGCACGTGGAATATAAGGTTCAAGGGAGGGAGCAGATCGTTTCGAGGGATATCCTCGACCCCACGTTGAGGTCTACACTTCTGAACCTTCACGTCCCTCACCAGATCTCCAACATTGCCAATGTGGCTCTCTCAGGTCTCGCTTCCGGGCCCAAAACTCGTTTCAACACGACCATAGGTGTTCCGATAGATGGGCTTGCGAGGGATTTGAAAGGGCTAGGATGGAAGGTTGAGGGGCGGTATGAAGCGGAGCATGGAGGGGTAGAAGTCAGCGTGGGAGTTGTGAGAAGTGGGAGGCAAGAGGGTGAGAAAATGGAAAGGATTGAGAAGGTCGATGAGAAGAAGAGTGAGGCAACAGAGAAGAAGAACAAGAAGACGGGCGAGAAAGGTCGCAAAATGGCAAGGGTCGAGGTGGAGACGAAAGGTGGTGGGATCTTAATTGATATTGTGAGTCCAAGCAAGCTCCTACCATACCCGCTGACGCAAGGGATAGACGGAGATCGACAAGCACAGGCAGATTGATCTCCGGATAGAGACAAAGACAGGTGATGTCCTGCTACTGTTGTGAGTATTCTGTCCCCTGTGATGAAGCCAGGTCTGACATAGGCAGACCGGACAACTTTCTCGGTCCTATCCACGTCAAATCCCCTCGCCCACCTGAATTCCTCCCCGCCCTCCTCCCACTCCTCAAGCCAACCGCTATTCCATATCAGAACCTACACACGACCTACATGGTCCCCATTGCGCTCTCATCCAAAGCCAATTCATCCCTTCCCGAACATGCCGCCGCGCAGCAGATCGAAAAGTATGTCCCAAAAGCCCTCAGAAAGGAGAGCGACATACTCGATCAATTGACGGGGGGCTATGTGAGTCATGTGAGGAAAGGGTGGTGCAAGGTGGTGGTGACCAACGGTAAAGGACGTGTGGTGGTGGGCTTGAGGGAAAGTGGGGACGTAAGGCTTGCGAGAGGGATGGGGTTGACAGTGGGGCGCGAGGGTGTCAAGGAAAAGAAATGGTGGCAGTTGGGGTCTTGAAAGATACAGTTTGATATTAGTACTCTCTTTGCCCATGCCCACGTAGGATGTAGATGCAATGCATTAATGCCGGTTCGTAAAGTATGAGTCGTTGAGGAATTGTGCGCTTAGAAGCCTGCGCACAAGTCAGCTGAATTTTAGTTTCCGCCACATTATGCGTACAGCAGTCACAGTCGAATGGACAAAGGGGTGTACCCCCAGCCTCGGGGTCGATCTCCAGCTCTTTCTCCTTGTAGATCAAGAAGCCTTCCTCCGTCTTTCGCCCTGTACAAACATTAGCGTAGGCTTCCTGGAGCGATATATGACTTACGAGGCCCAGTTCCCCGAGAATCCTTGAACATCTCGTCCTCCTCATCCTCCTGGGCAGACCTCTTCTTTCCCTTATCCTTCTTTGGCTTGACAGCCGGTTCGGGCACCGCCACGGGAATAGTCGAAGGATCAACTACAGTCTCCACCTTGCTTTCCTCAACCTCTTCTTCAGGCTTGAATTCGGCGGCCTTCTTGACCTTCTTCTTCTTCTTCTTCTCGCCTTCCTCTACCTTGCTTGAGGAAGCAACATTTGCTTCAGAAGAAGCTTTCGACTTGCCTTTGTCCTTCTTGGTGTTGGGTTCCGGGACCGTAGAAGTCTTCTTGGCTTTAGGGGCGGCAAAGATGTCGTCGATACTGGTCGATGATTGTTGAGCCGGGGCTTTCTTGGTCTTTGAACCTGAGACGGCCTCTTTCTTGGGCATTGTGGATAGTTTCGAGCGAGCAAAAGACAGATCCAGAAGTCAGAGTTGACTTTTGAACTCAGCGCCCTTACATAATCACCGCTTATCCACATATGCGCCTATGATCTCTATCATTTCCTCTTCCTCTTCAGAACACCATGTCCCCCCTGCAAGCATACCACGCATTCCTCCTCTCGAACCTGGAGTCGGTCCAGACAATCGAGTCGTCCCTCTCGAACATCACTTGGCTTCTCCCAGGACGTTTCCAGGATGCTGAGCTTGCTTCAGAGGGCTGTAAGTATCCCCTTGACGCTGGCATCCACCTGACAGTGATATAGTATACTCTGTGGTATCGTTGATTGAGCGGTACCACGACACGATTCTCACAAAACACCTCTCCTCCTCTCTCTCCCTCCCGCCCCACCCATTCGCCCAGCCTCGCTCACCCACCTCGCACATCTCCGGATCGCCCCTCGCCCCTGCCGACCCTACACGGATACATCCCTCACTCCCTCCGGCCTCTGACCATGCGAGATACACACGGTACTGGACGGATCGGTCTAGATTGTATCGGAGGGCGAGCAGGGCGTTGACGACGGTTGGGTATCTAGAGTTGCTGGTTGAGATGGTTGCAAGGAAGAAGTTAGGGGAGAGGAGAAGGTGGAAGGTAGTGTTGGGACTGGAAGCGCTCAAGTACGTATATCAAGGTTTTTGCTCTTTAGAGCTTACAAGAAAACAGAACTTTCCTTCGCCTGATACTCCTGTTCAAAACACGAAGACCTGTCCTCTCTCCATCAACACCTCAGCGAGAAGTCGATTACGCCTCGCTCCCACCTGAGGTGCTGAACCCAACAGCATCACCAAATTCTGAAACATCAAAACAATCTAGTCAGCCCCTGACGCCCAGCTTGCCAGCATTCTCACCATTGAGAGCGCATCTTCTGCCTATGGTAGGCAACCTGCCAGAAGAATACTTGGAACATCCGCTGGATCTCATACCGACCCTTAAGGGTAGCGAGTACGTGGCAGAGATCATCGCTGCCAGCGTTGGCTTGATTCGGGTGTTGTTGCTGCTCAGGGCTTCTGTAAGCCACTTCAACGAACTGCCAAAGAACCACCACTTATCCAGAGTAGCGCAAATCCCCATCATCTTTCCACCCTTACTCCCTGCCCACCCTCTCCCGCTCCCTCCCCCCATACCTCATCCCCCTTCTCTTGTTATTCATCTACCGCCACCTCCGCTCGGGCTCTTCATCTTCTGCCTTAGGCTCTCCCCTACTCTTGTCTCATAACGCCACACAAGACCGTCGTCTGGCAATGCAAGCATTCTTGACGGGACCGCTGTGGGTGGGTTGGACTAGACCGAAAATCGTCAAGGTTGCCCAAGGATTGGAGAGGATACCACTCGTCGGTCTCGTTGGGGAGTTGGTGGAAGGGTATCTGCCGTTGGTTGACGACTATTTCTATTGTGAGTTTGGTTTGCTTGGGTCCGGTGCCCGAACATAGATGCTGATGTTCGGTAGACACATGTTCATAGATGTCTACATGGTGAGGAGCCGAGTCTGTATGTTCTGTACGAGTACGTCTGTAGGCATCATATACTTGTCATGAATGTCATGTCCGATCGCAAACCAAAGAGGTCACAGAAGGCCCAGAGCGATACGCTGGTTTTCTTTCAGCCTCTGCCGTACCTCTTCTCTTGATCTCTATTTGGACACGCCCGGCCGCCTTCTCCTGCATCGACCACAGCGCAATACCCTGATGTCCTGATCATCCTGAGAGGCAGTTGCTAATAAGCTCTTGGCATGAAAGTTTCCCCGTGCGTCGCGCTCGGCTCGATTGACAGGTCACACATGTATACATATGATGACTTTGTGCGCAGGACCTCGCACCTCCGACTCCATTCTATGATTACTATGCTTACAACGTCATAATATGGCCACAATCTCAAGGTCGTTCCTTTGAGAGCCGGGTCATGTCTTCTTCTTCAACAAGCCCTTTTGTAACCATCTACCCAAACGTCAGCTACACTTTCCCGATGGCGGATGGCACCTACTTGGGGATCTTCTTCTCGCCTGTGGCGGTTTCTGTCTTGGTGCCCCCTGAGCTAGCAGTAGGAGCAGGAGCTTCGGGCTGTTTTGGGGCTGCAGGTGGTAGTGGTTCGCTCTTCTGCTTCAACTCGTCCTTCAATGGAGCTGGGTACGAGCTCGCTACAAGACGAATATCATCAGCTGAGGCTCATAACACAGTATGACAAAGAGAAGGACAGGACATACCATTCATATCCCCATCGTCCCATCTGACTACCAACAAACTCTGCGGCACGAGTCCCAACTCAGCCAACGTCTCCTTCCCGCCCTTCCCTCCTTGCAATCCTTGTACAGGTCCGCCGCGGACACTACCATAGCCAGCGGGCGTGACAATAGAGTTTTTCATGAGAGGGTTGATGGGCTTTTTGGTGGGCTTTTGTTCCGGGGGCGGGTGCTCGGGAAAGAGGGTGCGGGGAGGTTGGTAGAGGATGAAAGGTTCTGCAACGGCAGAGGGAGAGAGAGTCGAGCGGACAAAGTCGTACACTGGCTGAATACTGTTAAACATATCAGATCCATCCAATTACATGAGGAGAGAAGACTCACGGCCCCTGGCTCGGAAACACCCCTTGCACAACCGTCCCATCCCCAAACTTGACCCGGATTGTCGTCTCTGGCCACTTTTCCCGCTTCACCCTCTCCCTCTCACCCTTCTCTGCTTCGCGGTACTTGCTAGTGAGCAAAGGCGCTTCGTTGAGGCGTTTGTTGCGGGCGGCGTTGGTTCCATGGATGGCGCGGACGTCAGAGAGAGTGGGCTCGAAGAAGTCTGCGGGCAGGTCTAGAGTACTGTCAGCTTGTGAATCATAGAATGAGAGTGTTGGGGGGGGTTCACCTTCTGAGTTGGGGGTGGCAGTGGTGGAGGCGGGGTTGTAGACTTTGATGACTTGCTCTTGGGTACTGGCAGCAGGTTCGCCATCCGCCTGTGCTGTGGTGGGGACTGTGGATGCGTCTTCCACATGCAGAGATGCTTCTTGTTGCTGCTGGGACATGGCGAGAAAGTAGAAATGGAGATGTGAGAAGGAGAATGAAGAACGAGACGAAACAACAGCCAGAGGGAGAATGACTTGCGCGTCGGCACCGGCCGCCGGGGGGCCATCTGCTTCCCATAAGAACACGATGCAAAAGCCATTGCTGCAGCATTTGTTCTGGAATCTGCTGATTGGCCTGCATCGTTGCTGTACACTGTGAACTAGGGAAAGATATCTATGCGACATGAAAGGAGAAATATGATAAGAAAAAGAACATGAGCCGTAGCTCGTCATGAATAAGAACCTGAAACCCTTCTATTCTATTGTCTGCTGAACCACTACTCCACTACTACTATAAGCTTCCTGTTTCTCTACCACACTAAGCGCTGGGACGGTAGCGCCTGGGAAAGTCAGCAACAGAACTCAGTAGATTGTCGAGCTGTACTCACGGAGGATCGTTGAACACGGTACTGGGGTCCAGTTCACCATGGATGATGTCGTAGAACAATTGGATGGATGATTGTCGCACCCAGTTCCATGAAGAGTCAAAGGTCCTCGCCTTGAGCGCCGAGAAGACAGGAGAGATACCGTCGAGGTAAGCATCACCGTGCTCAAGCTTGATAGCGTCAATCTTGGCCTGGAGTTCTTCGACAGAAGCCTACAACTCGTTAGCTTGAGCCAGCGACGAGTAGATAAAAAAACTCACCTTCTCCAAGTCGGCCTTCTTCTCGCCGGATCGAACATCCTTGCCCAAGTATCTCGATAACAACTCGATCTCTCGTTGAGCCTGCTCCTCCTGCTTCAAGACAAACTTGTCAAACTCCTCCGAGTTCATGACCGCACCACCACCCGCAGCGCCACCAGCGCCGCCAGCAGCAGCACCAGAAGACAACGTGATACCACTGTAGCTAGCGTAGCTCTGGGCAAGGGCATCGAGGAATGCCTTGGCCTCAGCCTCGGACCCGAGTCGCTTAGGGGGCTCGCTGACGATACCAAAGAACAAGGCGGCGTCGGTTCGGAGAGGACCCAGACCCCATTGCTTGTTGAGGTGTCCTCGGGCAGCAGTAATGTTGAAACCACCGGGGAACTTGGAAGCGATCATACGGTTGGTAAGAGACATAGAGTGCTTGCCGAGGGCAGAGTAGCCGACACCAAGAGCAGCACCAAGCTCGTCGAGAGGAAGGTCCTCACCCTTTTCAGGCGCAGAAGCAAACTCGACTTGCAAGTCACCGAGAATCTCGTTCTGGAGGGTAGACTTGCCACCAGAGAGCTCCTTGAGGGACTTGCTGAGAGGGATCTCGCTAGCCTGCTTCTTGAGCTTCTGAGCCACAATGACTCGGACAGTGTCGACCGCCTTGGGAGGGACGTCCTCGACGGCGGCAGCGGGGCCAGCAGAAGCAGCCACGGGCGCAGGAGCAGCGGCCACAGGAGCGGCAGCGACAGCGGGAGCAGGGGCAGAGCTACCGGCGGCAGGGGCGGGAGCCTCCTCAGCCTCATCTTCAAAGGCGTAGTAGACCTCCTTGTAGTTCTTGGCGTGACACAAGATGGCACGGTCAAGAGATGTGGCACCATCTTGAGCCTCGTACTTGGCCTTGAGAGTTCGAGTAGCCATACCTGCATTACAATTAGTGGATGTTGGCAGAAGCTTTGACGAGACGTACCAGAAAGGACAGGGCTAGGACCAACTTCAATCAACCTCTCAAACTTGGCGTGGGTGAACAAGACGTCCTGGGTCTCAATCCATCGCACAGGGGAAGCGAATCTGGCTCTGGTCAGCTCCGAAGTGTATGAAAACAGGTGCGACTTACTGGTAAGCAAGACACTCGGTCAAGATGTTGTAAGCCAACTTCTGCCTCTGGGCAGCCGAGCCCCAAGCATCCTTCTCCCAGTTCTCGATGACAGACGACATTCGAGGGGACGCAGTCTCATCAAAGATCTTCTGGACGTAAGCCTTGGTGACCTCGAAAGGCTCGGCGCTATACCACAGTCAGCAGAATTCATGATAGTGGATGGAAGCACTTACATCAAGTTCGGGATGTACTTGTTGATCAACTTGTCGGGGTTGAGTTGAGAAGGATCAATCTTCTTGACAAGGTAGTTCCTGAAGGACAACACTCCGGGCCACAAGTACCTAGAGTGGAAGGGAACGTCGATACCGGGCAAGGGGATGGTAGCGAAACCTCGGTCGAGGATGACGGAACCGTCCTTCTTCTCCTTCTCCTCCATCAACTCCCAACAGCCGTCAATGATCTCGGCCAACTTCTCCTTGAGCTCCTCGACGCTCATCATCGTGCTGAGCTTCTCCAAGTCGAGCTTCTGCACCTTGAGCATGTTGAGCACGTTGGTCAGAGCAGCAAGAGCTCGGAGTTCACCAGCACAGACGTACTGCTGGTTGGCGACGTTCAAGTTGACGATCTGCAAGAGAGTAGACTTTTGCTTGCTGATGGTGTCGACAATCTCTCGCAAAGCCATCTCGTTGAAGGACTTGCCAACTCGAGAGGGGTTGGCAGCCATCATGGCGTACTGAGACTTGCCTTCGGCATCACGCTTGACAGCACGCTGCATGGTGATACCTCGGAAGAACACGACATCGGCGAGGGAGGAGATGGGGAGAACGTCGGCAATAGCGGCAAGAGCAGAGTATTCACCGAGAGAGTGACCAGCGAACGAAGCGTTCTGGTCGATAAGACCCTTGGCCTTCATGTCGTCGAAGGCGGCCTTTTCAGTCACGACAAGGGCGATCTGAGTGTACTGAGTAGCGAACAGAAGACCCTGGGGGTGAGAGAAGGTGTAAGAGGTGGTGTAGAGGTCTATGTCACCAAACAAGGGCAAAGTCTTGACCGCGCCGCTCTCGTCGATGGTGTCGTAGGTGAGGTCCATGTACCTCTGCCTGATAGCCTGACCCTTGATACCACCAAAGTGGATGGTGAGCTCCTTGGGGTTGTTCTTGACAATGTCGACTATGGAGAAACCGTAGGTGGAAGTCAAGTGAGCGTCGGCAGCGTCCCAAACGGCACGGGCAACCTCAGAGCTGGCGTACAACTCCATACCCATACCAACCTCCTGAGAACCTTGTCCGGTGAAGACGTAGGTGGTAGGGGGTTGGAGAACCTCAGAGGTACCGTCGATGACCTTCTCGCCTCGCTGGTTGAAGGACTCGACCTTGATCACCTGCTTGCCGTCCCTCATAGCAGTGTGGGTAAGCTTGACCTGGATGTCATCACCAGGCAAGACCATACCGACAAAGTTGACGTCGTAAGAGATGACTCGCTCGGGGTGGTTGTTGGCGACGACGCTCTCGATGTACTTTCGGGTAGCAGCACTGGACCACATGCCGTGGGTAATGGTACCGGGCAAAGAGGCGAGGTTGGCAAAGTAGGGGTTGACATGGATGGGGTTGAAGTCACCAGAGATCTTGGAGTAAGGCTCGTTGGTGGCGGGGGTGGTGAAGACAGCAGTGGTGGGGTCTTGAATGAGAGAGTAGCCAGTCTCGAGAGCAACAGGGTTGCCAATGGCCTGGCCGTGTCGCTTGAGGTACTCCAAGACGGGGTTTCCGTGCAAGTTGTGGGCCTCGTAGTCGATAGTGGCAACCTGGATGAGCGCCTTGGTGCTGTCTCGGATGAAGGCGGCACCAGTGACCTTGACGGCACTGAAGGTGGCCTTGTCCCTGTACCTCAACTCGGACTTGGTCTTGAAAGTAAGAGTAGTGCCAACGTCGAGGGGCACAGAGTCGTCGTCCCACTCGAACCAAGGCTTGGCCTGGAGGATACCGACAGAGTTGGCCTTGGTGAGCTCAACGACGTAGTCGGACTCGTCGGCAGTCTCAAAGGTGTTCTCGTAGTCGACAAACTTGCCTCGGTAGAGGAAGGAGGAGGAGATCTCAATGACGGGCTCGCCAGCTCGGAGGACGTAACCCTTGACCTTGACGGTCTTGCCGCTGTCAGAGTTGATGACAGAGACGACACGGGCCTCGGCGGAGCAGACATCGCCAGCTCGGAGAGGAGCAACACCCTCCATGACTCGGAAGCCGTTGGAAAGGTGGACGAGCTTGAGAAGGTCACCGTCAATGTCATCGGGGAAGATGGCCTTCATGACAGACTACACGTGATTGTCAGTTGGAACTTTTCATGAAGGCGAGACTACTCACTTGCCAACCCATAACGATGGCAAAGTCCATAGGGGCCTGGATCTTTTCATTCCTGGCAACAGTGAAGGCCTCGCCCTGGTTGCCAACAACGTCACAGAACTTTTGCACCTCGGTCGCGTCGACCGCCACCTCGGGACAAGTGAAAGTGGTGTCCAACTTGAGAGCAGGAAGCTGCTCGTTGTCACCGAACCACAAGCGCCAGTAAAAGTCCTTGATGGCCTTGGTACGGCCGTTGACGACTTCGTGGATGGGGGCGTAACCCTGCTCGGGGTGGTAGGCAAAGTTGAACTTGAGGGGCACAGCAGAGCCTCGACGCTCCTCGTTCAAGACCAGGTCAATAGCGTTGGTCTTGGGGTCAAAGGTGAGTTCGACGGCCTTAAAGTCGGCGGGGTGAGGACCGAAAGACCTGGCAGCGCCGTAGACGGTCACAGAAGTGGCCTGTCCGGCAACAGACTTGATCTCCACAGTCTGACCAGTGCGGGGAGTAAAGATCCTTCGGAAGGGGTTGGAGATGTATCCAGTACCGTGGACAACGTTGACAGAAGTCAAAGCAGCTCGGAGCCAGCTGACGTTGGGGCCAGCAATGACCTCGAGGAAGTCATCGACAGAAGGAACAGCCTTGCCGATCTTGAAAGTTCGGACATCGCCAGAGACGGTCTCGGCAAAGAGGCCAGTCTTGGGGTTTCCGGGCTTGGCGCCAATGTAGTCGATGGCAGGGATCTTGCTCTCATCGCCACTGTAGTACTCGTTGAGAATCTTCTTGGCAAGGAGGTCCTCAATGTTGCCGAGCAAATCCTTTATGGGCTCGTCAACGACGTTGGACTGCTTCACAGCCATGGGACCCTGGAGGATACAGACCCTCTGGGGGTCCTGGTCAAAGACGGCGTCAATGTCCTCAGCGGCCCAAAGAGAGTCCTTCTTGAACCAGACCTCAAAGCTGCTGTCGAGGATGGGGATGAAAGGCACGGGCTTCTGGCCGGGTCGCTGGCAGATGGCAAGGAAGAAGGCCTTGTCCTCGGCGGCGACGAGTTGAGACTGAGCTCGGGGGTAAGACTTGAAGAAAGAGTCGATAGTGGGGAGGGGCTTGTCGAGGGAAGAGAAGGATTGAAGGAGAGACTCCTTGGTTCGGATGCCGTCAACGCCGGCAAACCTCTCTTCGACACGCCTCAACCAGTCACCGACGAGGTTTCGGAGCGAGACGTCGATCCACCTTTCCTGCTTGCCGACGTACATCAACCTGACCATCCTCCTGGTGATCTCCTCGTAGGTCATTTTGCCGATATCGGCAGTGACGGTACCATCAGCCTTCTCGCCAAACCAAGGCTTGTTAAAGTCCTTGTTGAGTCTGTCAATGACATAGTCTCGCTTGTTCTCGAGCCAAGCAGCACGCTTCTCCCTAGGCTGGGCAAAGACAGTGTCGTCAAACTCTCGCCAGAGCTTGACGCCTCGGGTAGCGACCTTGTGGATAGGCTCGCCAAGCTCAGAACGAACGGTAAGGATACCACCGGTGGGCTTGTCGTAGGTGCCTTCCCAGGCGGCGTCGTCGACACCGGGGCAGTCGACGATGAGCTGCTTGACGGAAGCAGAGGTGTCGGCCTCCTTGGCGACCATGACTCGGGAAGCGTAGAGGACACCGTCGAAAGGCATGGGCTGGAGACCAAACATCTTGACGGACCATTCACCAGAGATGCTGCGACGAGTCAGCTTTGTATCAATGTAGACTGCGGTGCACTTACTAGGGCCAGACATCGTCGGCGCCACCGAAACCGGACCCAGCAATCAAAGAGATGTTGGGGTTCTGCCTAATGGAAGGGTAGGTAGCAATGATGGGCTGGTGGAAGTCTTCACAAGAGTGGTGACCACCAGCACGACCGCCGGTCCACTGGAGGATGATGGGGTAGTCGGGGTTGGCAGCGGCAATGTTGACAACCTGCCTCAAACCCTCTACACTTCCAGGCTTGAAGGAGATGTGCTTGATACCGGCGTCCTTGAGGGCGGTGATGATCTCGGTAGCCTTCTCGGAAGAGGGGATACCGGCGGCGACACAGAAACCTTCGATGGGAAGGCCTTCCTTGCGCATCTCTTGCCAGAGAGGGAACTGGAAGGAAAACTGACGCTGGTTGATATACAAGGCGTTCAAAGTGATTCCAACTCCGGGCTTGACACGCCTCTGGATCTCGGCGACCTTGGATCGGAGAGCCTTGGCGTTGTAGTGACCACCACCAGCAAGCTCGATGTGGTAGCCAGCGTCGAGGGTAGCGGCAACGAGGTTGGCGCCAACAGTGGAAGGGGTCATACCGGCAACCATGATAGGGGGCTTGCCGAGCAAACGGGAGAAGGGAGTGTCGATGTGGACCTTGCCGTCAAGGGTCTTGACGAGCTTGGGGGACCACTCGCTGGCCCAGACAGGCTCTCGCTTGATGTTGGAAGCGTCGTAGAACTCGGCAGCAGCCTTGCCCTTTTCGCCAACAACGACGACTCGCACACCTCGACCTTCAAGGACTCGGCTGGTAAGAGGTCCGATACCGCTGTTGCCTCCGGGACCAAAGTCGATGGCGTGAGTAGCGGTGGGAGGGAAGTTGCAGGCCTTGACCCAGTGGATGGGCTTGGTGAAGATCTGGTCACAGAGGGAGAATGTGAGGGAGGCGGCGGATCGGAGGTCGGATCCTAGGATATGGTCAGCATTACACACCAACCAGAACGAGCGACTTACCATCCTCGGTGTGGTAGATGGGCATGCCCAAAGCACTGGTCGACCAGAGCTCCTCTCCCAAATCCTTCTCGACCTTTTGGGTAGCACCCTCAAGGTAGTGGCTGTGGTAAGGCACGTTGACGGGCAAGAACCTCATTGTGAACACGGCCTTCCTCTTGCTGAAGGGGACCTTGCTCTGGTCAAGCCCAGAAGGAGCCATGACCTTTCTCAAAGCAGTGGCAAGACCGTAGAGGGCCTTGGCGGGACCAGTCGCGACAAAGTTGGTGGGACCATTGTGCAGAGAGATGCCGATTTGAGAGTTGTGAGGAAGGTGAGAGTTGACCTTTTTGATGTGGCCGTCGAGGGCCTTGACGCCGAGACCGTTGACGCTCAGCATAGGAGAGGGGACACCCTCGTTGTTCTCGACAGAGTCGGACACGATCTTGGGGTCCAAAGACAAGAGAGGGAACCCTTCCTGGCCTCGGAGACCAATGTAGAAGAGCTGCTTGACGGCCTTGAGGATGTTTTCGTACAAGCTGGACCAGCTGTTGGACGACGCGACAGCGACGGCAGAGACGACACCCTGAGAGTGACCGGTAGCGCCCTTGAAGATCTCTCGCATGTCGGCGGGAGAAAGGTCGGCGACACGGCAAGAGACGACGTATTGCGCGAGTTGAGTGACACCGATGAGGGGCATGGAGAGGGGGATGGAACCGAGGTACTCGACGCTGGGTCGGGTAGCAGAGCCGTCAAGCCATGAGAGGACGTCGAGCCCTGAAGAGTAGTAGGTGTAGCCGTCCTGGCCGGCCTTGTGGCTGAGAGAGATCAAGAGGTCGGTGACTTCAGAGATGACGGGAGCGACGAAAGGAGTGTAAGTGTCGTACAACAGGGCGAGCTCGCTAAAGTAGTGCTAAGGGGTGTCAGCGGGCATGTATACATGTAACCTTGCTACTCACCTCGTTGACACCCTGTCCACCGAACAGAGCATAGAGCTCGGTCTTGCCGGCCTTGGCGGCTTCGAGCAAGGACGAGGGGTGGGCGATCTGGACCTTGTCACCCAACTGCTCTCTGGCAGCCGCGAACGCCTTGAAATACGCCTTCAAGACCTCTGCTCTTGTCTCGGGGTCGAAAGACTGGACGAGAGAGTGCACGTTGATAGACGCGAGGAAGAGCTCGTTGAAGCGAGAGTAAGCAGCAAAGAGAACCTGGGCGAGCTCTTCTGAAGCGTCCTGTGCGACACGGTCGGCGACAAAGTTCAAGAACTTGGCGAGGAGCTTGATCTGGGGCTCCTGGGAAGGGGCCTTGGGCTCGTCTTCGTCATCTTCGACTTCTGGGACGGGCTCGTCGTCGTTGGCGATGGCGTCTTGAAAGTCCTGGGCGAGGACCTGGGAGGTGACCCAGGCAGCGAGGGGGGAGGCGGGGACGGGGACGGAGACCCTGGCGGCGGGGGAGTTGAGGACGAGGGGGCGGGAGGGGGACTGGGATGAGAAGAGGGAGGCCATGGTGAGTGGCTGGGAGGGAGGGGGGAACGTGAGGAAGAGGGATGCATCTCGCTCATCTTACAACTACGCCTGGCGCGACTGGGGACGGGATGCTCCCCAAAGCATTGCCGCACGTGGCCCGCACGTGGCTCCTGTTATCAGCCCATAGATCCGACGACCGCCGACGCGAGGCACGCTATGCATTTGTATTTGTGCGAAGCGTTGGGGTTGGGGCGGGCACATTCATCATTCATTTGTATATAATTTAATTGTATTGGGCCATTTTAGTGCGCCCGCTCCAGCCTTCATAGCGCGTAAATCCGAAAAGGCCATGCATCCCGTGTACCACCATAGAACGAATCGGCGGCGCGCCCCGCCTCGCGTACCACGGGCATCATCCCCAACCGAAAGTTCCCCAGACGTGGCTGTAGCAACCGCGTTCTCTTGTGTCCTCTTCACGCCCCCCTTGTTTCTTCCCCTTCTTCCCCTTCTTCCTCTTCTTCCCCCTACTCATCCACAATGGCGGCAGTCGGCATGGACCAGGAGAGCATCGACAGGCGAGAGCTCACCTCTCGCTGTATCGCCATCGTATGTCCCGTTATAGGCGCAGGGACACCAGCTCACTATGGCGCGTAGATGAACCGCGCAGACCCCACCTTCATTGAGTGAGTCCAGTCAACCGCCCGCCCGCCATCGCTGACCCCGTCCAGGTACATGAAGTACCACATCGACAATGTTGACCCATCAAAGGGCCCGACTTATGAGAAGGTGAAGCAGTTTGGTCAGATCTTGCTCGAGAACTGTGCGTATGACCAACTTCCATAGCTACGTTGCTTACCCTAGCTAGGCCAAGAGGTCGTCGACAAGCCCCCAGTCTACCGCGACGTCGCTTTGCCCACGGCCCCTCACACCGAGGTCAGTGCCAAGGGTGACATTGTCTACTCTGAGATCTCGAGGAACAATGTCCGAAAGCTCGAGAGCTATGTCAAGGGTGAGGCTATCCTTTGTATCGTTGAACAAGCTGACGTTCAACAGAGATGGCTTCCGGTGGCGAGGTCGAGCCGGCCGTCAACCTCGACAAGGTCCAGTCCGACATTGGTCCGTCAACCTCCCTTCCCTCTCTACGCTACTGACGCCCTCTACAGAGAAGCTCTGGGAGCTTGTCAACTCTCAACCCTCCATCACTCCCGCCCAGAAATCCGCCATCAAATCCATGTACAGCGAAGTCGTCAAGTCTTTGGGCCACTCTTCCGAAGGCTCTGCCGTCGACGACTCTTTCGCGCCCGCCGCTATCGCCCGAACCAAGGGCCCCAAGCAGAGGCGATCTAGTTCTCAATTCTTGAGGCCTAATGTGGAGGACAGGACAGAAGTCGAGGAGACTCACTTGCCCTTCTTGCATTTGAAGAGGAAGACCGGTACCAGCTTCTCTTACAGTGCCAAGCTCACCAACATCTGTACGTTTAGCCCTCCCCTTGTCGACTTTGCTGACGACATACAGACTTTGATGTCCTCACCGAGATCGCCACCTCTGGTGTCACTTTTGCCAAGAAGGCTGCCCTCCTTACTGGTGTCGGTAAGGGCTCTATCGGTGTCGAGATCCTCAAGGGTCTTCTCTCTGGTGGTTGCACATGTATCGTCACCACCTCCCGATACTCTCGTGCCGCCGTCGACTACTACAAGAACATCTTCCACGAGATCGGATCCAAGGGCTCCAAGCTCATCGTCGTCCCCTACAACGGTGCTTCCCGTCAAGACACCGAGGCCCTCGTGGACTACATCTACTCTACCCTCCAGATCGACTTGGACTACATTATCCCCTTCGCCGCCCTTCCCGAGAACGGTCGAGAGATCGACGGTATCGACGACAAGTCTGAGCTTGCCCACCGATTGATGTTGACCAACTTGCTTCGTCTCCTCGGTGCCGTCAAGACAAAGAAGGCTGCCCGTCAGTTCGTCACCCGACCCACCCAGGTCGTCCTTCCCCTCTCCCCCAACCACGGTATCTTTGGTAACGACGGTCTCTACGCCGAGTCCAAGATCTCCCTCGAGACCTTGTTCAACAGGTGGTCTGCCGAGTCCTGGGGCGAGTACCTCTGTATCGCCGGTGCCGTCATCGGCTGGACCCGAGGTACCGGTCTCATGAGCGCTACCAACTTTGTCGCCGAGGGACTCGAAAAGCTCGGTGTCAGGACCTTCTCCGCCAGGGAGATGGCCTTCAACATTCTCGGTCTCATGCACCCCCTCTTGTTCGACATCACTCAGATCGAGCCCATCTGGGCCGATTTGAACGGTGGTATGGACCGAGTCGCCGGTTTGGCCGAGGTCATGACTTCCATCAGGCTCGACCTCAACCGTGTTGCCGACCTCCGAAAGGCAATCACCATCGACAACGCTGCCGACTTCCAAGTCATCAACGGTGGTGACGCCGAGCGCCTCCACCAAAAGGTCGCCATCGCTCCCCGAGCCAACTTTTCCTACGACTTTCCCAAGATCGAGGGCGACGACGTTCTCGCCGAGCTCAAGCACCTCGAAGGTCTCGTCGACCTCGACAAGGTCATTGTCTGTACCGGTTTCGCCGAAGTCGGTCCTTGGGGTTCTTCCAGGACTCGATGGGAGATGGAGGCTAGGGGCGAGTTTACCATTGAGGGTTGTATCGAGATGGCCTGGATGATGGGCTTCATCAAGCACTTTGACGGAAAGCTCGGTAATGGACAGACCTACGTTGGATGGGTCGACTCCAAGAGCAACGAGCCGGTTGACGACAAGGATGTCAAGACCAAGTATGAGAAGGAGATCATGGCCCACGCTGGTATCCGACTCATCGGTGAGTATATCTCTCAGTGCAATGGACATGGCTGACATGGAACAGAACCCGAGATCAACTGGGGTTACAACCCCGAGAAGAAGGGCTTCATCCAGGAGATTGAGCTCAACCACGACCTCGAGCCTCTCGAGGTTGCCGCCGAAGAGGCCGCCCGTTTCAAGCGCGAGCACGGCGACAAGGTCGACATCTGGGCCCAATCCTCTGGCGAGTGGTTCGTCAAGTTCAACAAGGGTGCCCGAGTCTTCCTTCCCAAGGCCGTCAAGTTTGACCGACTCGTCGCTGGTCAGCTCCCCACTGGCTGGGACGCCAAGCGTTACGGTATCCCTGAGGATATTATCGCCCAGACCGACAGGACTGCTCTTTGGGCTTTGACCTGTACCATGGAGGCTTTGGTGATGTCTGGTGTCACCGATCCCTACGAGCTCTACAAGCACGTCCACCCCAGTGAGGTTGGTACCTCTTTGGGTTCCGGTATGGGTGGTATGCACTCTATGAGCGCGATGTTCAGGGACAGGCGAGAGGAGAAGGATGTCCAGAAGGATGTCTTGCAGGAGACGTAAGTAGACACATGCTTGTATTATGATCAAGCTGACAGTATCATAGTTTCATCAACACCGTTGCTGGTTGGGTCAACCTCCTTTTGCTCTCTTCCTCTGGTCCCGTCAAGATCCCCGTCGGTGCTTGTGCTACTGCGCTCCAGTCCGTCGAGATTGCTTGCGACTCTATTCTCTCTGGCAAGGCCAAGGTCATGTTTGCCGGTGGTTTCGACGACTTCTCCGAGGAGGGTTCTTTCGAGTTTGCCAACATGAAGGCCACCTCCAACGCCGAGACCGAGTTTGCCGCCGGCCGTGAGCCCACCGAGTTCTCTCGTCCCATGACCTCTACCCGAGCCGGTTTCATGGAGTCTCAGGGTTGTGGTGTCCACGTTGTCATGTCTGCCAAGACTGCCATCGAGATGGGTGCCTCTATCCAGGGTATCGTCGCCTACACCTCTACCCACACCGACAAGGCTGGTCGATCTATCCCTGCCCCCGGTCGAGGTATTCTCTCCACCGCCCGTGAGGTCACTCCCGATCACGCTTTGCCCTTGCTCGACATCCAGTACCGATCTCGACAGCTCGCTTTCCGCCGAAAGCAGGTCTCTCAATGGCTCGAGAACGAGCACGAGCTCTTGCGTTTGGAGCTCGAGGGCAGAAATTCGCAGACTGGTAACGAGGAGTGGTTCGCTGCCCGAGTCGCTTTCATCGACGATGAGGCCAAGAGGCAGGAGAAGGATGCTCTTGCTACCTTTGGTATGCTCGAGGGTTCTCACCCCAACATTGCTCCTCTCCGACGAGCTCTTGCCGTCTGGGGTCTCGACGCTGACAGTGTCGGTGTCGTCTCTTGCCACGGGACTTCCACCAAAGCCAACGACAAGAACGAGTCCGGTGTCTACAACCTCCAATTCGAGCAGCTCGGTCGAACTCCCGGTAACGCCGTGCCCGTCATCACCCAGAAGGGTCTTACTGGTCACCCCAAGGGTGGTGCTGCCGCCTGGATGTTCAACGGCATGTGCCAGACCCTCAACTCTGCCCTCGTGCCCGGTAACCACAACGCCGACAACATCTCTGAAGAGCTCCGTGCCTTCCCCCACCTCTTCTACCCTTCCAAACCCATCCAGCACGTCCGACTCGAGTGTGGTCTCCTCACTTCTTTCGGTTTCGGTCAGGTCGGTGGTCAGGTCGCTATTGTCCACCCTCGATACTTGTTTGCTGCCCTCAGCAGCCACGAGCTTGAGGCGTACAAGAAGAGGCGAACCACGCGAGAGCTTGACACTTACTCTCGTATGTCTCAGGCGATCGTCAACAACAACCTTGTCCAGATCAAGGAGGCGCCTCCTTACTCTGCTGAGCTTGAGGGTGATGTGTTGTTGAACCCCTTGGCTAGGGCTGGTCCTAGCAAGAACTCGTTTGCTTTCACTGGTAAGCTGCCAAACAAGGCGCCTATCGACTACAAGAATGCCGAGACTTTGAGGGCGGTGTTTGAGCAGTCTCAGGGTGTTGCTGGTGTCGGGTAAGTCTCTTATTTTCAACATGAGAACATGCTAACATCCCACAGAGTCGACACCGAGCTCATCAACAGCGTGCCCACGTCCGATACTTTCCGTGAACGAAACTTCACTCCTGGAGAGATCGAGTACTGCAACTCTGCGCCCAACCCCACCGCTTCCTTTGCCGGCCGATGGGCTGCCAAGGAGGCCGTCTTCAAGGCCCTCTCTGTCCCCTCCAAGGGTGCCGGTGCGCCTTTGAAGGAGATTGAGATTGTGTCGACCGAGGCTGGACCTAGTGTCAAGCTGAGCGGCGATGCTCTGTCTGCGGCGGGTACGAAGACTGTCAAGGTGTCTTTGAGTCACTCTGACAACTCTGTGGTGGCGTTTGCGGTAGCTCAATAGAGTGAGGGCGAGCAGTGGGCTTGCGTGTAAGAAGGTCGAACATTATTAGAATAGAGGTATTTATGGTAGTAGTCCTAGTTTCTCTCCTGGTCTTTTCTTTTCCCGGTTTCTGTTTCTCTTTGTCAATAACGAACTCCAAATATCATTCTAGGCTTTCTCTTTCCCACGTTGTTGGACAAGTCTATTCATTCTTCATGCAGCGATTTCTGAGATGTACATTGTTTCTGCACTCAAGTATGGGCTTCACAGTAATCTCGGGCTCCCGGCCACACGGGTTCAGACTCCCACGCCAGGTCATGCTTCTTGATTGTCCCCTTCGAAGGATAGAAGACTGACAAGCGATCGGATTTCGGCCCGGGCTTCGGCGAGTGTCCGGTGATTTGCATCTTGATAACCACCGGGTGCATCTACACTCAAATGCTCTACTTTGCCGTCTATACATCAACAGTACCCAAGATGTCTGCTCAATCTACATACGTGGCCCGCTGGGGCATTCTCGGCTGTGGCTGCCAGTGTCTCCTCCATTGTCCAGCCAGTCAATCGCTCATGTTCAGCAGGGATCTCTTCTATGTTCACAAAGGATATCTCACGCCTCATGTCTACCCGTAACGTCACCGATGTCTCCCACGCCATCGCTGCCGTCGGATCTCGCTCCCTCAAAAAGGCCGAAGACTTTATCGCCGAGCACACTCCCAATGGTGCGGCGGCCCAGCAAGATGGCCTCGTGGACTTTAAGCCCAAGGCTTATGGGTCTTATCAAGGAGTGGTAGATGATCCTGTGAGTAAAACTAAAGAGTTACAGATGAAGAGAGCTGAGCAAGCTAGAATGTCGACATTGTGTACGTTGGAACCATGAATATCTGTCACTATGAAGACGCCAAGATGGTATTGGAAGCTGGCAAACATTGTCTGTTGGAAAAAGTAAGTGGCTGCATATATGTAAGACCACGCTGATGCTTACCACTGATATATAGCCAGCTACTCTCAATGCTCATGAATGGAACCATCTCGTCCAGATCGCCGAGGTCAAAAAGGTCTTCTTGATGGAAGGTACGCCATCTCTTCGCGTGTCCCTTCATCCCGCTGATCGCTGTGATCAGCTGTCTGGACCAGATTCAACCCCGTGCTCCTCGCTGTCCAAAAGGCAGTCCACGAAGACAATGCTATCGGCGAGATTCGATGCCTCTACTCTGACCACTCCATGGATGTCTATAAGAAGCGACCTGATACCGACCGTGTGTTGGCAGCAGAGCTTGCTGGTGGCCCTTTGCTGGACGTTGGACCCTACCCCCTAGTCTGGGTAAGCTTCGCTACCTCATAATAGTTGATTCGAGCTGATCGTTACGAAAAGGCCATGATGATCCTCTGTCGCCATCCCGACAACGCTCGCACCCCTCCCGAGAAGGTCGGCAGCACAATGATGCTCCACAAGACCGGCGTCGACATTGCCACCAGCTTCACCCTCACCTTCCCCAAGATCACCTCAATCGCCTACTGCACCACCAATCTCCTTTCCCCAGTCCAAAAGGAGCGCAACACCCGTATAGTCGGCTCCACCGGCGAGATCATCGTGCAAGGCCATACCTCCCGCCCTCAGTCGTTCACTATACGCCGCCTTGTTGATCCGGAGGAAGAAGGGGGCAAGTGGCAGGAGGATGAACAGGTGGATATGAGCTTTGATGGGTTTGGGCTCTATTGGGAGGCGGATGAGGTGGCGAGGTGTTTGAGCAAGGGGTTGCTGGAGTGCCCGAGCTTGCCCCATGCGGAGACGAGTTTGACTATGAGTGTAAGACTGATTCGCACTGATCTGTAGGTGATGCTGACTTTGTGTACAGATCTTTGACAAGGTCAGGGCTGAGGGAGGATACGAGTATCTTCCCGGACTGGAGAAAGTCAAGGTCTAGGACCTTTCGCGTCGTGTCTCTGTGCCACTAGCAAATATGATCCAACTTGTACTTGGCATAACAAGAATGTATAAATCAAAGTATTGTACTGAAAGCCTTTATCAATCCTTGAGATCAAAAGTCGGCTCCTTCTTAATACAACTCCTTATTCACCCCATAAAACCCAATCTCATTCCCCCACTCATCCTCATCCTTCTCCTTAAACGTCGCCGGATTACTATCCGGCACCTCCCCCTCCGCCAAATCACTCTTCTTTAGCTTTTTCGCCCATTTCGGAATCCAAGCACCGCGCAGGTCGTCCCATGAAACTTCTCCAGCATACTGGCCGGACGAATCTGCTTGTTCAAGCATTTCTTGGCGGAGTACGAGATCGAGGGCGGAACGCGTGAGGAGCTGACCTCTGTATTCCCATATTTCTTGAGATTCTTCGGATCCTGTCGCGGACGCCGGGGAAGATGGGGTTGGCGTGGGTTTGGCGGTGGGGCCGGAGGATGGGGCGTTGTATGACGACAGTCCTGGTAAAGCGGGAGTGGGAGTAGTGACGCCGGTTCCAAAACTGTCTTGTAGGTCCTTGACGCTCATACCCTTGAAGACCGCATCTCCTGCCGAGGAAGGGGTGGAAGAAACGGGTGATATGGGTGGTGTTGCGACGGGTGTTCCGGGGAGAGTGAGAGGCTTAGGCGTGGAGGTTGATGCGACACTACTGCTTGATGGTGTTCCCAACGTGCTGGACTGGATTCTGACTTGCAGCTGTTCATCTCATCAGCTTCTCGCCATGGTCCGAATAGGCGGACACGTACCTGCCTTAAAAGCGCCCCAATAACCCTATACGCATCCTCCGCCTCCCTATCATCCAACATCCCCACATCCAACCCCGCACTAAACGCTAGAATCTCTTCCGCCGCCCGCCGGAAAGTTTCGAGGTTGCTTTGGGAGGCGATGGCGGTTTCGAGGATCTGGCGAAGGGAGGCAGTGTAGGAAGAGTCAATTGTCTCGGCGTACCAGACGATGGCGGAGATGAGGATTATGTCGATTAGGTAGTCTGGGCCTATGAGCGAGTCAGCCTCAGGACGATTGAGAAGAAAGAGTGAAGGGGACGCACCTTCTTGGAGGACCTGAACCATCGAACACAGGGCGCCATACGCCTCTCCGTCTGGTAGACTCGAGACACCCTTGATCTGGTTGTTTATCTTTCCATAGATCTGCTGCAGTGTGACTGCGTTTCTGATTAGGACCGGAATTCTTGGGCGAAAGAGAGCTGGCTCACCGAGAGAAGGGAAGCGCCGAGCTTCGATAAAGACTCTCATCTCTTCAATCTCATTCCTCTGTGCTTCTAAGAGGGCTGTCATCTTGCCGAGCGTATCGGCATTTGCCTGGCCGATAGGACTCTGTAGACACTCTTGAGCACTGTCTGAAGTGGCTTATCAGCCTGGCTACATCAGGACAAGAAGGGGGTCACGCTCACCTAGAGCATCCGCACAAACCCCCAGAGCTGATTCTACCAACCCCACACTGCTCCCACTCCTCTCCGAACTTTGGCTTACTCCCTCCCTCGACCTGTCGGGAGTGGGATCCCTGACATCGCCCCTCTCGATGTCTTCCAGCACTTTCAACAACCTCTTCATCGTCCCATCCGTCTCTCCTCCCCTCCTCGCCCCCGAAGCTCTAGGCCGGCGAAGCTGCCGCTGGAGCGTATCCGCCAGAGTCAAGAGTTCATCTCTTTCTCTCGGCGGGGAGGGTGAGGGTGAAGGCCGGTATGGGATGAAGGAAGGGGTGGGAGATCGAGATGGTTGATCTGGAAATTCTGGATCTGGGGTAGCTGTGGGACGGCCGTGCCGGCTTGAAGAGGAGCGTTTGAATACCGATCTGAAGAAATTTGTCATCTTGACCTGTGTTTCTACAGGGGTTGGTAGCAGTACTAGCAGTAAGGATGATGATGCTTGTCAACATGACTGGAAAGGTAGGTGAGGAGCTATCATCCATAGTCTGCGTAGAATCGCAAGGCGGACCCGTGAAAGGTTTGCCTTTTCGTCAAAGGAGGTACATCTTCTTTGAGACTCTGGTAGCGCAAGCTTCAAAGCACCAGCAGTCGTCAGAGTGCTGAACATACCCCGTCTTTTACATATCAAAGGAAAGATACGCAAGACTTCCAGCATGCAAGGAGGAGGAGTGTTCTGGCGGCCCATTATAGACTCCTGATCAGTCGGCTCATCACTTACTCGTTTGGAGATTCTCCACTGCCACATTGGCAGAATCATCTCCAGCCTCTACACCTGAAGCAAGCGAGTCATCAGTGCTCATTGATAGCACGTTTCTGGCCCCTGGCTCGCCCTGCTGGGTTGTCACAATACACAAGCCTCCTGAGTCAGATATGTCAGATAACGAACGTGTCGAGGGGTTCCCCACCGATATGTCGTCCGTCGGTGGTGTCTCATGGCCCTCCATAACGAGGTCAACTGTGTAGAATGGTTCTAGAGAAGCATATGAGGATAGAGGTGCGGCGATGTCCGTGTTCGGTGTTCGGTGATCCGGGATGTCTGGCGAGAGTGGGGCTGGGAAAGTTTGAGTCTGAAATTCTGAATGACTCCATCTCCCTATCATCTCTGAATCGTCTATCTTATTCTCGAACACCCCAAGCCCCCCAATCCCATCCATCCCTGAAACACGGTCCAACCCCGCAGCCCGTGGTCAACTGACGTCGCACCCCAAGTCGTCATCCTCACCTCTTGCCGCCCTCCTAGCACCTATATAACTCCCCTTTCCTCTCTCTTCCCGCCATCCATTCTTCCCAGCATGATGCCCTCCCGCACTCTCGTCCCCCGCATCACCCCTCTCATGCGACACACCGTCACCCACCCACCCGTCATCATCCATACCACCGGCGCCGCCGCTGCTGCCGCCCCGCACTACGAGCACAGCTTTGAGAACGATACCGAGTTTTCTCCTTGGTGGTTTGCCAACTCTGCGCCTGTACCTTCTGTCGTGAGTCTCTTCCGCCTTTCCATGCATTGTATATTGGAACATAGACTGATGCTTTGCCTGTAGCACCCGAACCAAACAACCACAGCCGTTAGCCACGGCCCTCCCTCCCCTACACCCATCCTCACCCCATCCGCGCCGAATCAGCAACCCACACTCAACCAAGACCCGGCCAAGAAGTCTCACTACACCCCACCGCCTTACACTTGGGTAGACTATCGACTCAGCATGGTCTAAAACGCGTTTTCCTCACGCGTTGTTTTCCTCTTAACGAAGGTTGATACGAAAAAACTGTTTCTCTGGGTCTTTGAGTTCTCTGGGATTGTTGTGATTCTAATTGTTTGTATACCCTTTTTACATAGGACATTTCGTACACGGCCTCTATCATCTGTTCAATTACATAGTCATCCACACATGATCCACCTTCATTTTCACACGTACCCACAAGCTGTTTCACACGCGCGTAATTCTGCTCCCGACTCTTACCAGGTGACTCTTCCCCATGCCGACGGTGGTTGGGGGGGGTTGGGGGGGGGAGAATAATGCAAGATGTTTTGACTGTCCACTTGGCGTGCTTGACTCTGGCACGACTCGTGCCGGTGCCGGGGTTTGAAGTAGTTTTGACTTTACGGCAAGTGATAAACTCCATCTGTACTCCGCTTCTTCTCCTCATGGAGACTGCCACATTCATTTCAACCAACCAACACTGAGTCATATTACTGTGATCGTTTATGCATACATGTTCGTCAAATGCTCGAATGACACCCATATGGTACCCGGAATGTAAATGTACAACCCCTCCTCTCATAGATAAGTATTACGGTCTAACCGAAAATCCTCTTCCTCAACTCTGCTCCAACCCTCTTCCTCTCCGCCCCACTCCCATGGTCCCCACCCATCAAGCTCTTATTCTCAATCGCCCTTCGTCCCAAATAAGGCATCACCTCGTCCAACTTGCCATACGCAATATACTTGAGCGCCACGGGCTTGCCGTCATTCACAAACCTCGAAGACATCCTGTCCGTGAGGTCGTCCTTCATACCGTACAGCTGAGCCACACGGATCTTGCCCCGCACGTCCGGGCGAAGGTGGAGCATGTGCCGAATTGGGTCGGCAAACGCAAGCCCATTCTTAACCAACCCGTCACACACGAGATCACAGCTCTCCGAGTTGTGCGTGCCAAACACGACACTCAACGCTCGCTCGGGGTGCTGGCTGTCCAACTGTTCCTTCATAGTCGACATGATGGTCGCAATGGACCCGTCGTAAGCCATGTCGGTAGCAGGCTTGTCGGGCCAGATGGGGTCGGCACCATGTCGGCCTTCGTCCAGCCATTTCTGGCGTTCCTGCATAAAGTAGGCGCCGCGGACGAGTTTGATACCGAGGGCGTAGCCGTGGGCGTCGGCGTGGACGAGGGCGTGGATGAGGTGAGATGGTTGGCGGGTGAGGTAGGATTGGTATGTACCGCTGCCCGGGGGGTCAGTCAGCTTATCGCACAAAAGAAGGGAAAGGGGACGTACAAGATGAGAGGACCGGTCCAGGTGTCGTCCTTCTTGACGGGCGGTCTGTTGAACTCTTGCGACAGCAACAGGGTGTACGCGTCAAGAGCGGGCTGGTACCAAGTATGCTCGGCGTCCACAAACAAGTTGACACTACCATCTCGTCAGCCCTCACTCTTGTTATCGGGAATGCCGAAAGACGTACTTGACTTCCTTGGCCTTGTTACCAATGATCTTCAACTTGCCCCAAAGCTCATTAAGCTCCTCCATATCGCCCTCTCGCAATCCATGGTCGCTCTCCAGCACACCCATCTCATCCAACTTGCCCCCCAGAGCGAGAAGCTCCAAGCCTTTACCGAGGCCTCGCTCGCCCGCGATGGAGGATCGAGCGACGATCTGCGCATCGGCAGACTGGGGTGTACCGGGGTAAGGGACGAAAGTGGCAGAGTTGGGCGAGGTGGCAGAGTTGGATTTGGTGAGGGGGCGGAGACGGAGGAGAGAGTAGGAGGCGCGTTCGAGAATGTTGCAGTCCACCAAACCAGTCTATATACATGTTAGCCGGATGCTCACCGCACTTTCCTCGAAAAGGCTTACGATCTTGAGGGCGAACCCAGTGACACCGCGCTGCTCGATAGGCAAGCTCCTCTCGTACTCTCCAGCGACATCCAACGCGAGCAAAATCTGACCGAGCTTTTTCTCACGCTCAGCCCTGTCTTGCGCCTCGCGATCAGGGCCGCTGCCCTTCAACTGCGACTCGTCGACCTCGGCAGAATAGTTGAGCATCGCACCGACATTCCTCTCCCTCATCGCGTGCAGCGCAGGCATACACTCTGCGACACTCTCGCCAGGCACAAACTGCTCGAAAAAGGTGTTTCGCACAAACCACTCGACGGGGGCTTTGAGGGGTGTTTTGAAGAAAAAGTCGAGGATGGCGGGCGAGTAGTCGACCATGCCCGGTGTGCAGATGAGGGTCCAGACGAACCAGGCTTTGAAGAGCTGGAAGGTAGAGGCGGAGGAGAGGGAGGACGGGGGAGGTCGGGTGGAGGGGTCGGGATCGCAGGCGAGGGTGGCGGCAGGCAAGAGTAAGAGGCCAGCAGGGAGAAGGGCGTAGGGGAGGTAGCGTCGGTTGCCCCCGCGGCCAGAGCTGTGGGTGGACGGCGAGGGACGGGTGGAGAGGAGGCGGTTGGGGGTGAAGGTGGCAGAGTGCCTGAGGGGGGAGATGCCCCTGAGGGAGCGGGGGATGGGCCTGAAGGGGGACATGGAAGATGGGGAAGAGAGAAGAGAAGAGAAGAGAAGAAAAGAGAAGAGAAGAGAAGAGAAGAGATGATTTATGGAGTCCAAAAGGAGCCAGGCACGCAGGCATTACCGTCCAGGGACAAACAAAGATAAGGCGGCACTCCCGAACACTCCCACGGCCGGAGCGATAAAGCTGGCTGCACCAAATCCTCTCGAGGCATGTTGCTGTTGTGGTCATGTGTGCATGTGCCCATCTGCAGATCAATCCCATGTATTTGTCATGTTCTATAACGACTTACAACCATAATGATTACTCCAAAAATGCTACAACCTGAACCAAACAACGAACCATGCCGCACTACCCAAACACCCTTCTCCACAACTCTCGCCCCACCCTCTTTCTCTCCCCAGCCGCACCTTGCTCCCCGCTCATCATGCTCTTGTTTTCAATCGCTCGCCTGCCCAGGAAAGGCATCACCTCTGCTAACGCGCCGTACGAGATGTACTTGTACGCTACAGGGTTACCGTCGTTCACGAACCTGCCAGCCATGCTGTTTGTCAGATCGTCCTTCATACCGTACAGCTGGGCGACGCGGACGTGGCCCTTGGCAGCAGGGTCGAAACGCAACAGACCAGACTCCTTGTCTTTCTCGGCAAGACCGTACTTGATCAGGTTTTCGCAAATGCTATCGGTAGACTCGGTGTTGTGCGTACCAAAGACGACACTCAACGCCCTCTCGGGGTGCTTGCCCTTCAGCTGCCCGGACAATGTACTCAGAAGCGTGTCGATAGCTCCGTTGTAAGACAAGTCGGTAGCAGGCTTGGTAGGCCAGATAGGGTCGTTGCCGACTCGTCCTTCATCCGCCCACTTCTTGCGTTCTTGGAGATAGTACGCGCCACGCACGACTTTGAGGCCGAGCGCGTAGCCGTTCGCTTCGGCGTGGGCGATGGCGGCTAGGAGGTGGGTGGGTTGGCGGGTGAGGTATGATTGGTATGTTCCGCTGCCACGCGTGTCAGTCTGGCACACAAAAGATGGCGGCGGGGACGCACTAGATGACGGGAGAGATGTCTTTGGGGTTTCCAGTGGGACGATTGAACTCTTCAGACAGTAACAGAGTGTAGGCGTCCATAGCGGGCTGGTACCAAGTGTGCTCGGCGTCAATCACCAGTATAACACTACTCTTTATCAGCTCATGTCCAAACAGGAGAGGGTTTCCACTCACTTGTTGTCCTTGGCCCGTTGCCCAAGCATCCTCAACTTTTGCCACAGTGTCGCCAACTGCTCCAGATCGCCCTCCTTCAACCTCACGTCCTCCACCTTGGTCCCCATCGCATCAACCTTGCCTTGCAAGCTGAACAGCTCCTTCGGGTCGACGAGCTTCTTCATGTGGTCCCGGGCGAGCACCTGCCCGTCGGCAGACTCGGGCGTTCCGGGGTATGGCACAAAGGCTGCCGAGTTTGGTGTGGTGATGGGTGTCAGGGGGGCAGCGTAGCGCATACGGAGCAGGGTGTATGAGGCTCGCTCCAGTACGTTGGCGTCAATCAAGCCGGTCTACTCCTAGGTCAGTTTCTGTCTCTTAGGGATGATGGGAACGTACCATCTTCAAAGCCAACCCAGACGCTCCTCTCTGTTCCAAGGGCAAAGTCTTTTCAAACTCGCCCATAACGTCCAAAGCAACCACCACCTGCTCCAACCTCCTCTGCCTATCCTTCTCCTCCCTCTCCCTCTTCTCCGCTCCACTCTCATGCAAACCGCTCTCATCCATCTCTGCCGAATAGTTGACTACCGAGCCAATATTGCTCTTTCTCAAAGAGCGTACTTCCGACATACATTCAGCCACCGTCTCTCCCGGGTTGAACTGGGCGAAAAAGGTGTGTCGGACAAACCACTCGACGGGCCTTCTGAGCGGGGTGCGGGAGATGATGGAGAGCAGACCGGGAGAGCAGTCGACCATGCCAGGGGTGCAGATCATGGCCCAGACGAACCATGAGCGCAGCAGCTCGGAGACGGGGGCGATGGTCAATGGGGATTGGGGCGGGGAGGTGGCGGGGTCAGAGTCGCATGAGAGCGAGGGGAGGAGGAGCAAGCCGGCGGGGAGGAGGGTGAGGGGGAGGTACCGCCGGCGAGAAGAGCCAGAGCTGAAAGCACGGGGGGCGGCAATGCCTCTCGACGATGGCCGGGGGAGCGGGAGGCGGGGGGTGAAGCTGGTGGATGGTCTAGTGGATGGCAATGTGCGTGGGCGGATCATGGTGCTGCTGGGTGGGTGGGTGGCCCTCGATGCATGGGCAGTAACGGTATATGTATCCCCCTCCTAAACACGGTACTTCGGTCTCTACATCGGCCCTTCCGCTTCTTGTTAGATTACTCCTAGCAGCGAGATAAGAAGTGCAGAATGGGTGCCGCGTTGCTTGCCGAGATCAGATCTGACAGCCGGCAAGGCGGTAACTCGGCACACAGCTGGGGGTGAATTCAGGCAATTGATGCAGTCATTTCATCTTTTTGTCTGTGCGCTGACTGCTCAGTAGGGTACCGTTCATGCATGGACTGGTATACCAACTAGCATGGCTCTGAAAAGCAAGTCATCAATAAGAATGCCGATGTATCGGGCATCGCCGCCACATCTCGGACCGGACGGCAAGACGGAGATGAGATGGGATCTTTTGCTGTAAATCACCAAGAAACATGTCCATCAAAGCCAACCTCGAGGATTTCACTATTAAGGTCGCGAATAAGGATCAGGAGAAGCAGCATGCCCTGGCAGGGTATGATCATTGGCAGAAGGGTGAGCCGTTCGAGGTGAGTGTTGTCATTGGCTAGGCGAATCACTCATGGAGATGTAGGAGTACCGCAAGGTGTCTATAAGGGAGAAGACAGAAGCAAAGTGGGGCAAAGAGGCATTTGTCACTTGGTAAGTTCTAGGTGAGCACTGGGATTGCTTCGAGCGATGGCATGCTTATCTATGTTAACAGGGTGTTGGTCCGAAAAGACGACACGGACGGCGAAATCTATTCTGGCTGTGAGACGTAGGCTGCCTCCATTATTCGGTCCCCATCTTGCCTTGGCTGACCTAACCGTATCGTAGATACCGCAGGCAAGGATTCATCAAGCGCAAAGGCGCAACCGATATTGAACCGGGCTTTGTGTATTGCATTGCCTCCGTCGTGACACCCAAAGCCCATGGCCGTAGGTAGCCTTTCTTCGTTTGCTTTCCTCATGCTAATGAGCAAGCAGGAAATGGCTATGCCACTCGCTTCCTGAGCCTCCTTCACCGACATCTCTCCCCCGGATCTACTCTCCCACCCATCCCCGCCTCATGGGGTAAAGACCAACCCAGCATCCCCCTTCCCGCCCAAGCAGCTGAACAAATCCCCAAGGCAATCGGGTCCTATCTTTGGTCCGACGTGGGCGCGAGCTTCTACTCCAAGTGTTCTATCGGAGAAGGCCGACCGGGATGGGTGGTGGACGATGCTCAGTGTTCTGAACTCGTCTGGAAGATCCTACCCCCAGCTACTGTCGAAGGCTCCTTTTCGTGGATCCATCTTCAAGACCTTGAAGATGTCGGCAGCCTCATCTCTGCCCGCCTTCAGTCCAACTTGCGCCAGACGGACACTTCCCAAAATGCTGTCTTTATCACCGACCCAGCTTCTCCGGGTGTGTTGGACTTTGTGCCCGTCAAGGGGTCTTGGAAACGGCCCACACCCGAGCCTCTACCTGTTGGTATCCGTATCCCCTCGCCCTCTGGGAAGAAGGAAGATGACGCGATAGTCCTATTCGCAGTATCGTGTATCCACATCGGCGACAGATTCCTCATCACCCACATCTCCAACCTCTCTCCCTACCAGCTACCTCTTCTCCTTTCTGCCATCGACTCTCTTGCATCTTCTTCCACCCTCTGCCCGGCGGAAGGGTGGGCCTGGGACCTCGGTCTTTCGGGCGAGCTTGTTGATGCTTGGAAGAAGCAAGAGGAGAGGGCGGTAAGCGTGGGGAGAAGGGAGGAGATTGATGGACATTTGTTGGGGGTTGCTTGGTATGGTGATGATGAAGGGAGGCTGGGTAATGGGGACATCTGGAGCTGGGCCTAAGTTTGTGGGACTGGAGAGTGGAGGGAGGCGTACAATGCTGTAAATCTGTACTGATGGGAAAGTCAATCTTGTAATGAATAACAAATACAACTGTGCAACACAATGGTGGCCATCCTATAGGCAGTGAGTTGTCTCGTCGAGGATCGGAGAACGATGTCCTGACGATGCGAGTTGTATGTAGGCTTCCGCGGGCATCAAGTGTAAAGGCATAGTCGATCATGTATCCCCTCTCATTCCTGTAGTCTACTCATCGTTCCATCGACGCTCAAGTTAAGAAGAGCACAAAAGTACACGACCGCGTCGCTTGCAAGGACCGGATCACCGAACGGATATGGCCGCCGGGTAACTCTTGCCGGGAGATTGGCTGAAGAATGATTTTGGACGCATCTCCTCTTTCATCACTCGCCATGTCCCAAGAGCCCCCCCTCTGGTCACCCCCCAGCCCCAGCACCACACAGACAGCCCACTTCCTCCGCCGCATCAATACCGCCCATGGCCTGGCCCTCGCAGACTACAACGACCTCTGGCAATGGTCTTGCACTCACCGCTCAGATTTCTGGTCGGCCGTATGGGACTATGAGCAAGTCTTGGGAGACAAGGGCGGGCAAGGACCTTATGTCGATGAGAGCAGGACGCCGGAAGACAATCCCCTCTGGTTCCAGGGCGCCGAGCTGAACTGGGCTGAAAACCAGCTTCGGCACGCCAAAACTCGTCCCGACGACATTGCCATCATCCAAGTATCAGAGTCATGTGACGGCTACCAAGCACCTACCAAGCGAATGACACAGCGGGAGCTATGCACTCTCGTGGGTCGCGCCCAGCGCTCACTCAAGAAAGCCGGTGTGTCACAAGGCGACCGTGTAGGTTTCTGGGGTGGAAACTGTCTCGAAGCCGTCGTCACGCTCCTGGCTACTTCGTCCCTCGGGGCCATCTTTTCGTCGGCAGCAGCAGATTTTGGAACGGAGGGTGTGGTGGAGAGGCTGGAGCAGATACAGCCAAAGGTTTTGGTGGTGACAAATGGGGTAGTGTATGGTGGTACGCCGAGGCCGTTGTTGGCCAAAGTCGGACCGCTGCTCAAAGCTCTCTCGAAGCCTCCAGCGCAGGTCGTGGTGGTAGATCATTTGCCAGAGGAGATCGCTTCTACTCCAAAAGAGCTTGAAGGTCAGGTGAAGCGGTGGGACAGCTGGCTGGATAGTGAGGAACGAGACACCGAGTTCTTGAGGATTGGCTTCAACGAGCCGATATGGGTCCTATTCTCCAGTGGTACTACCGGTAAACCCAAAGCCATTGTCGTGAGTATCTGTCTCGAGATCTTCTCGACAGGACCTGACGTAGCTGCAGCACCGCCAAGGCGGCATGCTCCTCGACGCCCTCCGCGAACACCACCTCGCCGGCGACATCGGGCCATCGTCCGTCTTCTTCTACTACACCACCCCCGGCTGGATGATGTTCCAATACCTCATATCCTCCCTCTCCACCGGATCTACTATCGTCCTCTACGAAGGATCGCCTCTCAAACCCGAGGGGAGGCTTTGGGATATGGTGGATGAGCTTGGCGTGACGGTCTTTGGGACAAGCGCAAAGTGGTTGGAGTATACAGAGAGGGCGTATCCAAATGTGGGAGAGAAGCATGATCTGGGGACTCTGGAGCAGATATTGAGTACCGGGAGCCCCTTACCGCCGAGCTCGTATGATTTTGTGTATGGCAAGGTGAAGAAGGATGTGCTGCTGGGGTCTGTTACTGGCGAGTCTTCACGCACATCCGGTATAAGCCCAAAGACTGACCTTACTCAAGGTGGCACGGACGTATGCTCAGTGTTTGCCGGACGCAATACAAGTCTACCGGTCTATCACGGCCAGATCCAATCTCGAATGCTCGGCTTGTAGGTTTCGTAGGCTCCACAAATGCACCTGCTGATCCCACTTTACAGTGCGCTCGACACCGACGCTGGTCCCGACCAACCTGGAGAACTGATTTGTACCGAAGCATTCCCTATCGAGCCCTTGGGCTTCTGGCCACTGCACGGATCAGGGTTCTCGGAAGATCAAGTCGCGGCAGCCAAGCAAAGGTTCCAAGAGAGCTATTTCAAAGGGGATGGCGGAGTTTGGTACCATGGGGACTAGTGCGTTCCTGCTTATCTCATTCAACACGTCGCTGATGAGCTGGTCGAAGTGTCCAAATCACTCCATCTCAAGATGGCAACTCGGGCGGTCTCGTCATGCTCGGTCGCTCTGACGGTGTTCTGAACCCCGGCGGTATCCGATTCGGAGCCACAGACATCTACTCTGTCCTAGAGACGAGAGAGTATGCAGAAGGTGAAGGGGTGGAAGAGTGCTTGGTTGTGGGGCTCATGGTTTCTGGTGGGAGTGACGAGAAGGTCGTGCTTTTTGTCAAGATGAAGGAAGGGAAGACTTTGAGTGAGGGTTTGGTGGGAAAGATGAAGGCGAGTATCAGGAGTGCTAGGAGTGCGAGACATGTGCCCGCAAAGGTTTGTTCACACCCAAGACTTGATAACCCAAGCCGAGCTGATAATTTGATGTTGCAGTTTCTGCAAGCGTCAGACATCCCCGTCACCCTCACTGGCAAACGAATTGAAGGTATCTTCCAGTTTGACTTCTCTTTCTGCAGCTCAGGCTGACAATGATACCAGTACCCATACGAAAAGTGATCAACGGCGCGCCCTTGAGCAGCACCAACCCCTCCACATTACGAAATCCCGAGTGTTTGCAAGAATACTTCAGGCTTGGTGAACGGTTGAGAGATGAAGAAGGTGTGGGGGCGGGCATTTATGGTGGGCTGTAGATATCTTGTGTATTCATTGATGTGGTTTATACAGTCAATCGTGATTGATTGCAGGGCATATGTAAACTGTTGACTGACTGAGAGGCATGTACTCGGCCGGACCAGGAAGAGCAGCGAGCAGCGAGCAGCGAGGCGAGTGAGGCGAAGAACCGCCCTGTGTTTGACTCTGCGGCCGAAACGCCAGAGAAAATTGTCGTGGTGTGTTCGAACGATTGCCATGGATCCCTCCTGCATCCCACTCAAATCCCACTGACTACGCTTACCAGTCTGTATAGCCTCTCGCCTGCGCAGCGGTGCGCCGCATGTGGTAGCGAGGCGGCGGTCGCCATCCATAGCCTAAAACCCTGAATTTCCTCGTTGGCCCTCGCTGCCCAACAATTGAATGCTTCGTTTCGTCACTTTCTACAAGATCTTCCAGTTTTATAAGATACTTCAAGCCAAAAACCAATAAACCAAGATGTCTGCCACAGATGTGAGTGCTTCGCCTTGCCTTTGTCTTGGCCCCGTCCCTTGCGGCAAGTGGCCCCTGTCGGAAGGACCTGGCGCTTTTGTTTGTGTCGAAGGAGAGATTGCTGTGCCAGCTTTGTTGTTGTTTTTGACCGCAAGAGATGACTGACCATTGTATTTTGTAGTACTACCACAATCAGTATGTTATCTCCCGAACACAAATCGCCTCTCTCCTCGGTGTTCCCACCCGTCCTACCTCGCCGCATTGCTTCTCTTGCCGTCTATCGCGCCACGTCGGTAAAACCCGAATCTGGATAGTCGCTGACCTAGTTTGCCACTCTTCCCTCTCTCTCAATCTATATCGGTCCATTCAAAACACTTTTGATCAAACTATAGGCAACAACCGTACGGTCAGCAGTACGGCGGGTACCCCCAGCAGCAGCAGGGTGGATACTACCCTCCTGCCCCCCAGGTGAGTCTTCATCACAGAAAACCGAAGTCAAACTCGGTCAGTCTGGAGGGGCATAAGCTGACATGAGTGTCATAGCAATCCTACCAGCAGCCCGGCCGTACGTTCCTCACATGCAGCCTCGTGATATCTTGCCTAACATCGTAATGCCTCGTGCCGCTCGCTCTCGAACAGAATAGTAGGTCTTTTGTTTTGAGCTTTTGGTAGAAGCATCGGCTGACTCACCATGCCTATAGCTACCCCCAGCCCCAGCCTCAACCGGTCTACGTTCAGCAACAACCCCGAAAGAGGTCTGGTGGTGGCGGTGGATGCTGCGCCTGGTATGTTCAGCTCGGTCCTCTTCATACTCGCTTATCTTAACTACTACCCTCTCCCTCTTTCTGCCACGGTCTACAGTCTCGCCGGTAGTGAGTCGCATCGCATCCACGCTCCTGTACAGGACAGAGGCTGACAAGTGTATAGTGCTCTGTTGTTGCTGTGCCGAAGAGATGTGCTGCGACATGCTCTGCTAAGAGGTGTATAAAGCCTGTTGTCGCTACCTATCTGCCCTGAGTGTATAACAGCACCAGATCCTGTCCAGTTGTGTCATGAAAGTGTACAAATGGTACTTGCAACTCGAAGAGAGAGAAGCTATAGGACAGTCGTGTCGTTTTGACGGTTGCTTTCTTTCATATTTTGATTTATCTCTTGCGCACGTCTATGCTATACCCGATTCCGTGTACCGCAAAGGACAAGGGTTGCAATACATGCCGCACAAGTAGGATCATGGACAAGCTGTATGTGAAAATGCTCAACCCTCGCCACACGGTTTGTTTGATTGGATTTGGATAGCATTGCAAGGTCACCTCTTGCAAGATACCACAGCACCTTCTTGCCTGCTACCATGTGATCCTCCTCTCTCTCCACCTTCAGCATCCCGGCAACAGATCCCGTTCATCTTTCTTTCTCCCTTATACAACAATTTCTCCATCAACCCTTTCCTCCAACAAGATCTGCGTGGATACTTCCACACCCTTTTCACCCTTCCATCCAACACCGTCTTCACTATCTCTGCCTCTGCATCAAGCCCCAGGCTGCTGCTGTGCCTGCGCCGCATGTGCGTGTCCCGGTACGGGCGACATTTGCATCTGCGGCGGCGGTGCTTGCTGGTATGGCGGCTGGTGCCCTTGAGCGGGAGAGTGGCCGGGGTATGGGATTTGGTGATGTTGCACTATCCACTATTGTCAGCGTCGTCAAATGGCAGGTGGTGAAAACGCACGAGGAGTTTGGTGAGGCATCGGTGGGCCCTGGTTGGGGTAGAATATCTGTGGAGGACCATTGGGTCCGCCCGGTCCAGGACCTTGGACATGGCGTTGAGGGGTGTGGGGGTATTGTTGCATGGGTTGAGGGGGGAGGAAAGCGGGGGAGTGAGGCATGCCGTTTTGGAAATACATGGGCACTGCGACAGTTAGTCTCAAAATCTCAATTGTCAAAAATTCACATACTGTTATGCTGTGGACCACCGGGTATCATATGCTGGGGAGGCTGGCCCATTTGTTGTCCTGGGTGAGGAGCAAAGTGAGGAGGGGAGAACATGGGGTTTTGCATACCCTGAACAGCGTAAGGCGGGGGCATGCCGGGCTACTCTGGGTCAGCATGGTCACACGCATACAATTCGCGACTTACCTGGAATCGACCGAAAGGAGGATAGTTGGGCGGCATACCAGGCATCAAAGACGGCTGAGCAGGGTGTGGCGAAGGCGAGTTGGGATCATCGTCAAACTGCAAGTGAACACCTGGGGCGGGGCTTGCAAACGCGGGTGGTACACCAGCCTTTCTGCCCGAGAAGCCCCAAGCCAAACCCACAGTAGAAGGCTGCTCCACGGGCCTGTGCTTCCATGGGTTGAAGTCTTCCCTCGGGTTGACATTTGACAACCTTTCGGGGGGCTTTTCACGGAAGAATTGGTTGCCGCGAGGTTGGTTCTGAGCGGGAGCAGGGGCAGGAGTGGATGTCGTGGACGGGCCAGCAGCAGGCTGCTTGGCAGAAACCGCTGGACTCCCAGCCACAGACGGCTGCCCAGGCTTGAAAGCCTGCGCGTCCGCACGCGGCTTGAAGACAAATGAGCTCGCAGTAGGGTTGAGTCTTGTAGACGCAAGCGAAACGTTGGAGGGAGTGGGAGAGGTGAGAAGCTTGATGTCGTTTTGGGCAGACTCGGCGACGGGAACGGGGGGTGGTTTGCGCTTGGTGGCGTTGAAAGGTGGGATTTCAGGGATCCTCATGTTGATCTTTTTGGAACCAGGAGGGCGGGGAGCGTCGGTCTTGCCATTGGTGTGGATGGGAGGTGCAGCGCTGACAGGAGAAGGCGCAGCCGCCAAAGAGGTTTTGCGATCCTTTTTGGCAGCATCGAGGGCGGCGGCAGCCTTTGCCTCAATATCCTTCTGCTTTGCCTCATCCTTGGTCAAGATCGAAAGCATGTCCTTGGGCATCGGTAGCGGCACCTTGAAGCTTGCCTGGAACTTTTTCAACTCGGCCAATTGCTTGTCCTTTTCCGTCTTCAACGCCGACGTTCTTCTGGCCTCCACCTTTTCGCGCTCGGTCCCAACAAACTGCCTCCACTCGTTGACGACACCGCTGAGCTCATTCTTCTGCTCGGCAATGGACGAGGTCGCGCCCTCAGTGATGGGCTGGATGTTGGTGCTGGTACCGGAAGCCTTCATGGGAACATATTGGGGCACAGTGTTGACGACTTCATCGCTTGTGCTGCGAGCAGGACCGGCGGGTGGAACCAGGACGGGCGATTCGGCCTTGGGTGGCTCGGGGGCTTTGGGAGCTTGGTTGCCGTTGACAGAGGCGCGAGGAGCAGCCGGAGCTTGACCGCTGTTGCCGCGTCGAGCAGAAGGAGGCACGTAGGCGTTGGGGGCACGGGAGACGCCAGAGTACTTTTCCTCTTCGTCTCGAGTGTCGACCTGGCCCCGCTCTTCTGCGACGTGCGCATTCTTGGCAGTTTGCTGGATCGACATCAGTACAAGTCTCTCAACGGAGACAGTGACTCACGCCCATAATCTCCTTCGCCATTCTCTCCGCTTCCTTTTCCCTCTTCTGATAGTCGGCACCGCCTCTGTTGAGCTTGGTGGTATACAACTCCTCCTGGAAGTCTGTCTTTGCCCCAAACAGCCTCTCGTTCGTCTCAAACTGATCCCACGGAATATTCTTTGCCTGGCCAAACGTCTCCAAATCGGCGTTGCCTCCATTCGGGCGAGGCGAAGGCGAGGCAGTTGCCGCGGCGGCGGGGCCGTCGGGGACCCAGGGCTGGAGTTCACGTTCTGCGTTGGGGTTGCTGGTGGTACGGGAGATGTCGGTGTCTGTCTGGAAACCCTTTCGTTCATTCTGGACGCCTTGGACGATCTTCATGTCGTTCATGCTACACACGCCACGTCAGCGCGTGATTCTGCGGTCCGACATGGCGACGGTAAAGAAGACTCACTGGTCGTTAATGCTCATTCTGGGGTTGGGCGTGAAAGTGGGAGGGGGACCGTTCCGCCAGGCGCCTCGGCCGCTACAATGACAGGTCAATCTCCCAGCTTATTGACAGAACGGTAATGTCTTACCGGCTTGAACCGTCGCTACCGCCTCGCCCACCACGGTTTCCCCCTCTGCCTCTTCCGCGCTCATTGGACATGGTGAGTGTAGGGGAGACGGCGCGCGCTGAGTGGGGTCAGTACGCGTTGGCAAGAAAGATGCAGAAGAAAGAGAAGAAGAAAGAGAAGAAGAAGGGCGGAAGAGATATGAGAGGCGGGCGATTTGTGGCACTTGGCGCGTACTCTACTGTATCCGCGGCCACGTGGCGGAAGGTGGGAGGGAGGGGTCTCGGGGGACTTGGACGTACTCTGTGTAAGGGGGATGGGGACACCTCTGCTATGCTGGTTGGATGCACGCTGCTCTTCCCTCTTCCTGCCATAACGTGATGCCCCGCGTCGGCCCTCTCCGGATCATCGGCGTTTCCCACTTGTGGCGCTTTCCACCCCTTTTTGTTTGGTTCGTCGTCTATTCATGCATGCGTGTCGCCCCAGAGGACCCGTGGCACGCTCAGCCATGACGTCTTTATTCATGTGAGACCGGAGTTTGTAAAAGTGAATATTATAGCGTGCCCGTCCGATTGGCGCTAGCTGCAATCTCGCTGCTTGCACTTATCCTCCGATAGAAGGGCTATGCGGGTCATGTTGGGAAGGTGCGATTCTGATTTCTGGCTGACATCTCCGTTAATCAATAATGATTGGTATGGACGCTCAATCTACTCTTGAATAACGACGAGCGGGAGAGCCAAGAAACGGCACTTGTCGGAAGATTGAGCTCTGACCCGCTTGTCCTTCTCAGCTGCGATTATGCCACATACAAGTGAACAGCACCGAATCCCAAAGCCACAGAGGGCCTTACAGCATAATCGTAGTGATAAAGACGCATGCAGGCTGCCCTTCTGACTTGCACCATCAGTCAACAGGCGTGGTACCTGAGAATTGATCCCGCAAGAGCGGTGATGCGTCACTACTCACTATCGCATCGACCTCCTTGACCCATCCATCCACTCGCTCTTGCTCCTCTACGCCCCTGCTTTGTGTCTACCCCGCCCTCACATCAGCAGTATAGGCCCAACATGATCCTCCTGGAAGTGAGTCTTGCCCACAGAGCAAGACAGGTGGAGGAGTGAGCGCTAACGACGTGTAGTCTCACAATGTGATCATTCACGATGTCCTGACCGACCGTTTCGAAAAGCGCGCCCTCTTGTCTATCCATGGCGGCTCAGCTGACAAGTCCCCTAGGCCATCCAAGGCAGACATTCAATTCGTAGACTACGACAATGTCCGGTTCCACCTCTCCACCCCTTCCTCCAAGACCCAGATCCTCCTCTCCATGGCTATCCAATGCTGGCCCGACCTCGTCAAGTACGGCGCCAAGGAGCACCTCCAGCAAGAATTCGCGGGGTTCTTGGTTGGTGACGGAGATGTGGAGCCAGAGTACGATGTCAGTCTGTTGATTGACTTGGAGAACCTCCCTGCGAGCCCTGGTATGTTGCATCCCAAGCAGACTGGTGCGGTGCTAATGTACAAGTAGAGGAGCGTATCGCCCTTGTGTCAAAGATCTCTTACCTCAAATCATCCTCCATGGCCGCCCCTTTCCTCTCTGCCTTTACCGAACAAGCCTCCCTCAAGGCGTCCTATAAGGAGCCTGCCGGCGCGCAGCAGGCCGACCTCCAAGCGACAGAGGTGAAGGGCGAGCTGAAGATTGTCAAGTATAGGGAAGAAGAGGCGATCTATATTCAGGCGAGCCATGATCGTGTGACGGTCATTTTCTCGACAGTGTTCAAGGAGGAGACGGATAGGGTTTATGGAAGGGTATTCTTGCAGGTGCGTTTGCTTTGGCGTTTGTAATGATGGGACACTGATGGGGATGGTAGGAATTTGTGGATGCGCGAAGACTTCAGAGTCTTCAAAATGCTCCTCAGGTGTTGTACTCGAACCGAGAACCTCCTCTTGAAATCCGACATCTCCCCGGGCTCAAGAACGGCGAAGACTGGGGCTACGTCACTTTCGGCAAGTCGTTTCTCATCCATATATATGGTATACATGACTGACACGTCGGACAGTCCTCGACCCCCGTCACTATGCCAACTCTGAGCAGGCCCTCGCAACCATCAACCGCATCCAGCTCTTCCGCGACTATCTCCACTACCACATCAAGTGCAGTAAGGCGTACATGCACTCGAGGATGAGATACAGGGTGGCCGAGTTTTTGAAGATTTTGAATCGGGCCAAGCCGGAGGTGGCGGCGGAGAGAAAGACGGCTACGGGGAGAACTTTCAGGACGCGATAGAGGATGCGAAGAGGAAGAGAGGTTTGTTGTATACGAATAACGTAGGAGAGATGTTACGTGATGTGTCAAGATCAACCGTGATGTTCTGCTGATGTGGATGTCATGAAACGAGAGTGGGCATGAGGGGAATCGAGTTTAGCTGAGGGTGCGCGGGTAGGTATATAAGCCAAACGTCAGCCACAAACACGACATTGGTCCGGTGTCCTGAGGACCTGAGCTACATAGGCGCCAGCCAAGGACTGCACCACATGCAACTCGACATTTCTTCCCCACGGAAGCTAGAGCCTCTCCTCAGTTGAGGTCCGCTTGTCTACATAACATTATGACAACCAGGACGCTTTCTATAGGTCGTGCGCAAGCATCTGCGAAAAAGTTCGGGCTTGACGGAAGCATGTTGAATGGCCGTGCGCTCATTGACTGCCTCTAGCATGTTAGTCACCGTTACCGTCGTGAAGAAGGGGTATGCTCGTTGATCGATCAGCTGGATCCGCTGGAGAAGCCACAGAAGAATGGGCGATCTCGCAGAGGATGCATGGAATGGGGGTCGTCGAGGAGCCACAGCAGCACACTACAGACTGTCACTACACAGCGTCGATGGGCAGCGAAACGACTGCAAGCGTAACGCCGTAACGCCGGGGTGTTTACTGCTGCCTCGTGTTGTTTTAAATACACATCATGTTTGCGCGAGTTTGATTTGATTTCCCTGACGGCGATCGCCGCGTTACGCACTTGCACCCAACACGCAGCCGCAAACAACTCTCTCTTTCCCATCTCATCTCATCCTCCTTCCCATCCCATCTCCCCGCCTCCCCGCACCGCCACCCACCCCCCATTCACTCCTTGCAGCGACCACGGCAGACCCACCCGCACACACACATCCCGCCCCACACATCCACCAGACATACCCCCAACATACCCCTCTCCACCTGCTAGACCTATACCCCTCGCTTCTCCAGTCTAGACAGCCATCCCCATACATAGCACGCTCAGCTCACACCCCCGAGCGCTCCACCCCCCGTATCTCCTTTGGTGCCAAACTTGTTTGGTGAAAAACACTCCACCAACACACAGCACATCCTCCCTTCCGGTTTTATCCAACTTGTCAGACATCCGTCTAGCACCGCAACTCTCCTGCCATCCTTCAGCCGCCGTTTCACATACCCACCATGGCCTCCCGAGTACGTGAACTCATCTCCACACCCTTCTTCCCCTCCCGTCCACACCAATCACATCTGCACCAATCACCAATCACCAAACATGACAATGTTTGCTGACATTCTGTTCCAGAACCCTGCCACCCGCCGTCCCGCTACTCGTTCTCGCAATGACGAGAACGCCGCTCCCCAACCGTCCATCCGTAACAAGCCTTCCCTGTCCCACCTGGGTCCTGCCCAAAAGACCGCCGTCTCGGGAGCTTCCGCTGCCGCTGCCGGCAAGAAGCCTGTCGCGGCCAAGGTCGGTGCGAAGAGAACAGCGCTCGGTGGTGTGGCGGTCAATGCAAAGGAAGACGGTGTCGAGGGAAAGAAGCCTCGTAAGTTGTCTATCACCAAACATGTCGATCGTAAGCCAACCGCCCTTTGGTAGTGAAAGCCACCGCTGGCAAGACTGTTGCCGAGGTCCGTCAACCACTTGCCTCCCGCAACAACGATGCGCAATCCGCACGCCCTATCGCGGCCATCCCTTCTCGGTCAAAGACCTCTGCCCCCATCTACTCCTCTCTCGACAGCAAACTCTCCCTTGAGGACGACTTTCAGATGGAGGGTGACTTTCGGCGACAACAGACGCTCTCTGTCCCTCAAGGCATTGACACTGTCGAGGAAGAGTACTTGGACGAAGACTCTGAGGAGGACGACATGGAGGAAGAGGACGAGGAGGACTGGCTGAGGATGCCCGAAGAGGACGCGATCAGAGCGCAAGAACAGCTCGATGTCATTCAAGCAACATTCAAGGACGAGGTCGACCTTTTCGACACCACCATGGTTGCCGAGTATGCCGATGAGATCTTTGGCCACATGGAGATGCTTGAAGAGTCTGTCATGCCTAACCCGAGGTACATGGACTTTCAGACCGAGATTGAATGGTATGTTGTGTTTGTTCCGATCGTCGTTCAACATGGCTGACTCTAGTCCTAGGACCATGAGGACGACACTCATCGACTGGCTTCTCCAGGTCCACCTCCGTTACCACATGCTTCCCGAGACCCTCTGGATCGCCGTCAACATCGTTGACCGTTTCCTTTCCGTTCGAGTGGTGTCTCTCGTCAAGCTCCAACTTGTCGGTGTTACCGCCATGTTTATCGCTGCCAAGTACGAAGAGATCCTCGCGCCTTCAGTAGACGAGTTTGTCTACATGACCGAGAACGGTTACACCAAAGACGAAATTCTCAAGGGCGAGCGTATCATCCTCCAGACTCTCGACTTTACTGTTTCATCCTACTGTTCGCCCTACTCTTGGGTCCGACGTATCTCCAAGGCCGACGACTATGACGTGCAAACCCGAACACTAAGCAAGTTCCTTATGGAGGTCACCTTGTTGGACCACAGGTTCCTCAGGTGCAAGCCTAGTATGATTGCCGCTATCGGGATGTACTTGGCGAGGAAGATGCTCGGTGGTGACTGGGTGAGTATCTGTTTCAATAGCCCAAACATACACTGACCTTGACCGCAGAACGATGCCTTTGTCTTCTATTCGAACTTTACCGAGTCTCAACTCATCACCGGTGCTTCCTTACTGTGCGAGCGCCTCGTCGAGCCCGACTTTGAGTCTGTCTACGTCTACAAGAAGTATGCCAACAAGAAGTTCCTGCGAGCTTCAACCTTTGCCCGTGACTGGGCTTTGAACAACACCTCGTGAGTCGAGCATTTACCACTTGAGACATCCGCTGACGCATTCTCAGTCAATGAGCTTTCTAAGACTGTTGGCTGCTTACCATTCGTATACACGAGATTCAAAATCTAGTTTTTCGTCCCGCCCTCCCCCATTCAATCTTCGCCGTGCTTGAGTCTTGAGGTCTTTCTCATACATACCCATTACCCCTCACCTCTATACAGTTCTTGCACGCTATCCGCATAGTCCTTTGCCCTTCTTCGGTCACATCTACCCAACCCCTCACATTTATCAATATATATACCCCACTAGTCGAGTAAGAAGTGATAACGTCCATGTGATATAATCTGTTGCGTTTCACGTGGGACTCTCTTCCTTTGGCTCGATCACGGACATTCATGGACTATTACCCTATCCCCTCCCCCATATCAAGTAGTTTGTGCAACTACCGTAAATCATATATGCCAAGTCGTTTGTATGTTGACCCTGACCTGAGCACTTATCACTTCATAGGAGACCACAGCGACGCAATGACGCGACGGCAAGGCATCAATCCCCCGGCGATTATTGACCAGCCGCGGTGTCTTTCCTGTGTGAGTCATTTGGATAAGGACCATGGACAGATCAAGCTGAATGTACACATTCAGTAGCTACTGGCCCCTTGTCTGAATTCAAGTCGATAGCCAGCCTTGTTGACCACATATGGCGATCTGAGGCTCAGCAAGCAGAAGAACTTCGATGACCATTATACAATAACCCTTGTGGAGGGGCTTAGCTAATCGCAATATGTGCTACATCAAGCGAACATATAAGTACTGTCGAGGAACGCGTCAAAGAGAGAAAAGTGCCATGTTCTTAGCAGACAGACCTCTGGTTCAACCTTGCTGGTGGAAAGAAGACTAGCGGACTGCCAACTTCGTTCACCGAGACGTCTTCTCATTGGCCCTGGTCTTGATAACATGCACGTATGGATATCATGACTATATACTGAAGGCTGTATCTCCATGCTTCCGATATGTATGTATTGGCTAGGCAGTCATCTCCTCCTGCTTCAACATAGGTTACGTGATGGCGGCTGTGGCCGACGCGGGACCTCCACATCTAGCACCAGGGCCGTCGGGCTGGATGATGCGTTGCTTCTGTGTTGCCATCTCCATATGCATCAGCAGCGCAGGCCCCATGGCGAGTCTTCCACGTCATACAGGGCTCTACTAACACTTCTACAGCATACATCAGCGCTGGGCCTCCTCCTGGCCTGCACTCCCGCCCTCGCCACCCCTCTCAATCGTCCTCCGCAACAGGCTCCATGGCTAGCGTCCCCGCCCGCAGCACTACCGTCTCATCCTTGGACGTCCCAAAGTAATGCCGATCATGACCCTACGAGGCTACTAGAGAAGTATGCTCCCATACTAAAGCTCTCGTGAGTCTGACCGGCTCGAGTCGACATGCGGTAGACGGGGCTGATGTGGTACGTATGCAGCAAGGACGAAAAGTACTTTCCCAGTACTGTGGACTACATGCTGCCTCATTACGAATATGTGGGTATACATGCGCTATGCCATGCGTACAAGCTGACACGTTGCAGATTGAGAACATATCGGGTGACTCATACCCAGCTGTAAGCTCAACTGTCACGATGCTCCCTCAGACACTGATACACGTGCCAGAACCACACCATCTTGACTCCATCTGAGCTTGATACACTACCATTTTCTGGCTCGCAGTTGTTCTTGTCGATTTCTGAGCCACACAACCCGCAACCGGCTTTGCTCAATGCCGAGTCGCATTACCTGTACGGACCCGCAGGACAGAAAGGCGGGATAGATTTCAGTAGTGAGGGTGGAAGGGGAAGAGTGAACGAGCCTGTCTATGGTTTCTGGGTAGATCAAGGAAGAGGGATAGTGGTGCCTAAGCTATAAGTCAACGCGACAGGGCTGACGCTGGCGATAGGACTTGTGGTATTGGACGTTCTATCCTTTCAACTTTGGCAAGCCAGCTGGTAGATTCGGTGTGCTGGGTAATCGTGAGTGATTTCCTGTCTATTAGCAATGTCGAGGCTTACCTAGTATCTGTAGATGTCGCTGACTGGGAAGTGAGTCGCCTTTTGCAATTACTTGAAGACGATGATTCAGAGAGAACTGACACATATCTGACAGCACTTTCGGATGCGTACAGTCAACGGCACCCCCATATCAGCAGACTTTAGCACCCACGAAGGCGGCTATCTCAGTGCTGGAACTCTCCGATGGGAGGATGTAGAGAAAGTCGGAGAGAGACCTGTGGCGTATGTGGCTATGGGCAGCCATGGAATATGGCCCGACCCGGGGGAACATGTTTATGCTGAGGTGCGTCTTCTTCCCCTGACTCCTTGTTGGCACCCACTGATGATGGTATAGATCGGCAATATACTCAAGATCATAGACAGTACAGACGATTTCGGTCCCATCTGGGATACCAAATCCCACGTCTTTCCCGTCCAGTACTGGACCAACTCTTCCGACCGTCAAAAGCTTCAGCATGAGGGCGAAGATAGCTGGCGAAATTTCGAGGGGTACTGGGGGAACAAGGGCGATACGGATTGCTGGTGGCATGGAATAGTGGGGATCTGTCAAGTTGTTGATGCGCCTCCCGGGCCAAACAGGTACTTTGGAGGTCCACCAGAAGTGCATACTCTCAATACTTGCCTGACTCATGCTGACAAGTTGGTAGTGTCTTCTGGCTCCCATATCATCATCACCCGCCTCTACCATTTCATTCTACCTCTCTTCTCCCGCCATCGATTGGGCTACCAACAACAGCATTGCGATGGTTCAGGTCGAGCAGATATGCGAGCGGCCAAAGAAAGACCGTGGAGGCGAAGATGTGCAAAACATGGAGTCGGACACTGATTACGCTAATGATGACGATGTTGAGGTGTACGGAGTGAAGGGATTGACGAACTTTGTTGGTGACGAGAAGCATTCGGTAAGTCATCGCACCACGTCCTAGGATCCAGCTGATCGCCCCACAGATCGAGCTCCCTGCATGTAAAGGTCTTCAGAGCGGCGTGAGAGGCTATCGAGTCTCTCTTTGCCTCCTCAACGGTCGCTGTCTCAGCACTTCGAGAGAGCGCAAGATATGCGCATACGAAGAAGGAAAGAGGGGACACAAGGCTGGGAGTGCGGTGGTGTTGGACGACGTTGACGATTGGCTGTGGAACTTTTGAGATTTGACCATTGTCTGTAGAAATAGAAACAAGCCTTGGACAAGATTGATTTTTCTCTTATTCTACTACTGTCTCATAGGCAGATCAGCCATGACTCAAGCTTCTGGGAGAGCAAATCAACGATTTATGACGAGATAGAGTATGTAGCATGGTTCCAAGGATCGGTTGTCTAGTATGCAACGCTCGAAAGTTGTCCATCAGCTCTAGAAGTCTTATCTCCTCTCATTCCAGGCTGAGAGTCACAGTCACAATGCAGAGGAGCTGAGCCAGCCCGTTGCCTCGACTTGTATAAGCCACCCGCGCGTATGGATGCCTGGTCCAGATCCGGAAATACTTGGGAGGGCCACCAAGAGGGCTCTGCCTCCTAAACCCCCTGCCACCTCTTTCCCTGCTCTCCATCTCCTGTCATCTCCCCTCGAATTGCCCCGACTGGCTTTACTGTCGTTTCCTGCGGTTTCTCCTTCGCCCTCTCCAAACCGAACGTTGTAAAGACCTCCTCGTATTGAAAGAGCAGACCCCTTCCTTCGTCAAGACCGCTCATATATCTCCCCCTCTTGGAAGTCATGGTCATGATCGACAATTTTCGAGCGCCACCTCTCTTGGCATCGACGTCCAGTCCTGGAGCCACCTATGAATACATACCAGATAACTCATGCCAGGGAAGGTCAAAGCCATATAGGCTTACGCGCAGCTTGCTCAACATGTGCCTCTTCGTTAGTACAGGGGTTAGTATATCCGCTTTTCAAGAACAGTCGGTTTTGATTTGTCGCGGACGACCCGGGTTCGAATCCCGGACGGAGAATACTTTTTTGCGTGTCTTGTATCTTTGTATCTTTTTGCGCTGGCCCCAAGTGCATCTCATCGCCTGGCGACAGGAAAGGAAACGGAGAAAGATCACAGCAGGTGACTTAGAAGAGCTAATCCCCCGTGCGTGATAATCAGGAGCTTCCTTTGATCATAGCAAACATTACCATGGGCTTGTGGCTTGGACAATCTACATAGATGCTTTGTGAATTGTATTGCCCTGACAGTCAGTAGAGCCGTGTGTAATGCTACGCTCTTCCGCTGACCACGCGTACAGTAGTTCTCATGCTGATCCATAATCAAATAACCAACCAATAGCTGCTCTTTCAACGGTGTCGTGTCGCGTGCCATGATCGGACCGAGTCTGGCCGTCTGGATATTCGCTTTCACTCAGTCACCGTCACCACACTACCCTAATAACCATACATCACACTCGTTACACTTGCCTCATAACGCATGCACAGGGGTCCAAATGAACGCAGTCCGACATCATCCACCACAATGCTCGCTTTGCCACATCGGGGAATTCTCGGCCTTTCCGTACCCAGCGGGGCCCCCCGCCGGCATCTCTCGCGGTTGCATCACACGTCCGAGAGCTGCCGGCCCATTCATATTCCCTTTTCCATCTCCTTCTTTCCATCTTTCTTCTCAACATTCTAACTACACGAACAACACGACATATATACAAAATGGCTGCTAGACAATTCTTCGTTGGGTACGTCGCCTTCTCTTTCTACATTTAAGGTGGAGGGTAGCTATGACGACACGTGCTGGCGAGCGTGAAAAAAGACACGTTGCCTGGTGGATGGCGGTAGAACACGGGCTGACATGCGATGGTCTATAGCGGGAACTTTAAGATGAACGGCTCCCTCGAGTCCATCGAGAAGATCATCAAGGGTATCAACGAGGCCAAGCTCGACGGCTCTGCTGGTACGTATCTTACCGTCTCCAGTCTGCTTGTGCTGACGGACGATTTGTAGAGGTTGTTGTCGCTCCCCCTGCCCTTTACCTCTTGAAGGTCCAGTCCGAGCTCTCCCCCCCTGCTCAGGTCGCTGCCCAAAACGCTTTCACCGAGGCTTCCGGTGCCTTCACCGGTGAGATTGCTCCCCAGCAGCTCAAGGACGCCGACGTCCACTGGGTCATCTTGGGACACTCTGAGAGGAGGAGTTTGTTCGGTGACACTGACAACCTTGTCGCAGACAAGGTAAGCTTAGTTCTCGTATCAAAAGAAGAGACGCTGATGGCAATTGTAGACCAAGGCTGCCATCGATGCCGGTCTTTCCGTGATTGCTTGTGTCGGCGAGTCTCTTGAGGAGCGAGAGTCCAACAAGACCAAGGAGGTTGTCGAGCGTCAGCTCGAGGCTATCGCCGCCGTCATTGACGCCGACGCTTGGAAGAAGATTGTCATCGCCTGTATGTCCTCCTTTGTCCCCTTGATCCAAGTTCTCACGACCTATAGACGAGCCTGTTTGGGCTATCGGTACCGGCAAGGTCGCCACCCCCCAACAAGCCCAGGACTCTCACGACGACATCCGACAGTGGCTCGCCAAGCGTGTCTCCCAGTCTGTTGCCGACTCTACCCGAATCATCTACGGTGGTTCCGTCAACGGCAAGAACTCTGGCGAGTTGGCGCAGGCCAAGGACATTGATGGTTTCCTTGTTGGTGGCGCCAGTCTGAAGCCCGAGTTCATCGACATCTGCCAGGCTTCCAAGTCTGCTTAAAGGGGATAGAGATGTGACGGAAGAAGTCAAACATATGCAAACAATAGATATTGTGATCCTTTTGTTGTTTATCACTCAACGAGCGCTCGGTCTGGCTCCGCGGGTTACACATACGTACTGGGATTCACGCCGCGGCCTCTCACTGTTTCAGCTAGCTCACATTCAGCCATAATGCTGATCTCGGACTTTTTTACCCGCCGCCAGACGCACCTTGAGATCGACAACTGGAGTTCGTGGTTCGACAACTGGAGTTCGTGGTTCGAGATCTTTGAAGATACAAAAGGCGCGATTTTGAAGCGGGTCGCGGGCAGGTCATATTGTGCAACCGAAGTACTTCTTAATATTAAGCAGAGGTGAAATGGTTAGATGAGAGAGTAATATCGACAGCATTGGCGGATGAAGCTAACAGGCTAAGCCAGATGTACACTGAATTGAGTCACAGCTCACAGGCCTACGAGGCACTCACTGGTCGCCAATATTTGTGTAGTGTCGAGTCTGGCTCAACTTGGCGTTCTTAGGTGCGCAATTAGATAGACGGCAGAAAGCCTCAGAAGTGTACTGAAGTCACGATATTGAGGGAGAGGAGAGCACGAGGCGGCCATTTCGTTAGAAGTGTTACATCATGCCCTTCTACCAAGTCCACCCGCTGACCACCTTCCTTCTCAAAGGGGTATCCTCTCGCACTTGCCCCGCACTCCTGACCTTACGGATGGCCTTGTCGTACTGGATCTGCTGTTTCTCGGCGACAGTCGAGCCTTCACGAAGGACAACGTGGATACGCGCAGACTGGTGGTGCAAGATACCGTACTTTCCTCGACCCTTGATGTCGATACGTCCAATCTTTTGACCCTTCGACACCCAAGCCTCGGCTACATTCGATCAGCATTGACAGAGACGGCAAAGAGACAGTACGCACAGACAACAAGCTTGTCCCTCTTCAAATTCTTGTCCATCGCATGATCTCGCGCCAACGCCAACGTGCTCTTGACCCATTTACTCGCCCTCTTCTCCGAGAATTGCATCTGCACAATCGCCTCATCCACCGGCAAGCCCGCAATCTGCCTCGAGAGCAAATTCAGCTTTCGCGGTGAAATCTTGTGCGGGGCAGACGAGTAGGAATGTTCGGTCCATTCAAAGTTTGTGCCACGCTTGGCGAGCTTCTTTTTGTTTTTGGGAGAGTCCTTGACGGGGGCGGTGACAGAGTCGAACAGGTTGCCCTGGGCGTCCGAGGAAGAAGTGGGCTCGTCGGTGATCTGGGCTGGAAGGGGTTCGTCGGTGGTGGAAGTGGTGGCGTTTTCTTTTGACCAGGGGAGACGGAGATTACGGGATAAGTCTGCCATGTTCCATGCTCTGAAATTGTTATTAGATATGCAAGCCATTGATATGCAGTTGACGTACGTTCTGACCTGGACAGGAGCTCTTGCTCTCGAGGAGACTCGTGAAGGGCCTGCGAGGGATGATCCTGCGACTGTAGTATGTCAGCGAGGCTTTTGTCTATATCTATGTACTCACTGGTCAGGACTGATCTGAGTGGTCTCGCCATGGTGTCTACTGGATCTACTGCTCGTGGACAGTGGATGGAAGAGCGAAAGAGGAAAAGAAAGCCAGCCAAAATGCCACGTGTAGTGTAATTACAGGCAGTCACCGCGTTAAGAAAGAAGCTTCGGGGCCTGCCGCCCTTCTCCCTGGGGCTGCGTTTAGATCTATCCCTGTTTTCACCGTCTCCCTCAACCCCCACCGCCGACATGAGCACCTCCCAGCACAAGCAGGACGAAGAGCAGTCCATCCCCCTCAACGTGCGTCAAACTTGAAATTCTTCCCCTGCCGCCGCACCTCGACCTGGAAATTTCGAGCTAATGTCTCAGATGGTGACTGCAGTCGATGCCTCGCGCGTCCGATGTTGAGAACGACCTCACCCATGGCGAACATGCCGACATCAAGTGAGTGCCCGTTTCGGTACTACTCCTCGAGTGCGGGCGTACACGTTCCGAAATGAACGCCCAGCGGAGAGGTTTTTGTAAACGTGCTGCGAGCGGCCAGGTACTGATCTTTTCTCGCAGAGTCTCTGAGCCCCGGACAAACACGAATGCTCCCAAAAAGATCACCATCCCGGGATACATCAGTGCGTTCTTCTCCCATTTTGGTTTCTTCTTGTGCATGGAGGGTCGAGGGAAAGGTGTATTTGACTAGCGAGATTTTTGCCGAGGGGCTCTATGGAGGGTTCTATTTTCGACGCGACGCGACACATAATTGTGTATTCTGCAGAGCTAATCACATCGCCTCTTCACAGTCATCCCTATCTGGATGGCCTGCTCTATCAGTGTTATCTTGTACAACAGTGAGTCTTGACTACTCGCCCACTTGAGAGGGGTATCCGAGTTGTGGAACTGATACGTTACGGTAGAATATGTCTTCTCAAGCCTCAACTTCCCTTACCCCACATTCCTCACCACCTTCCACTTAACGTTCTCTGTATGTCTTCTGTCACGGTGATTCATGTACAGAAGGCTGACTGTTTTGGTAGGCCATTGCTACCCGAGTGCTGCAACGCACAACGACCCTTGTGGATGGTGCCAAGGACATTGAGATGACTGTGAGTCTTCTGTTCAGCGCAGAGGATGTCGCTAAGCTTTTTTGTAGAGAGATCGATGGATCAAATCTATTCTCCCTATCGGTGCCCTTTTCTCCGGGTCCCTGATTCTGTCCAACTACGCGTACCTTACGCTTTCGGTCTCTTTCATTCAGATGCTCAAGGCGAGTCACATCCGTGTGCCCTTTCTTTACAAGCTGTGAGCTGACGACGACCTCCAGGCGTTCAACCCTGTTGCCATCCTCTTGATTTCTTTTGCTTTCAAGATTCAAGAGCCCAACGGCAGGTTGATCATCATCGTCTTGGTACGTCTTCTGCCTTCAAGCTTCAGAAATTCAGCTCACCAAGTGTCGATAGATGATTTCCATGGGTTGTTTCCTTGGTAAGCCGCCTGCGGCATTGAATCAAAAACAACCTAATCACTGATCGTACCTCTCCAGCTGCTTACGGCGAAGTCCAATTTGAACTCACCGGCTTCCTCTGCCAATGTGCCGCTCTTGCCTTTGAGGCTTCTCGACTCGTGATGATCCAGATCCTTCTCCACGGCCTCAAGATGGACCCCATTGTGTCTTTGCACTACTACGCCCCTGTCTGTGCGGTCATCAACCTCTGTATCATCCCCTTCACTGAGGGGCTTGAGCCTTTCTACAACTTGCACAGGGTTGGCCTCTTGGTGCTGTTCAGCAACGCTGGTATCGCTTTCGCTCTTAACGTATGTCATATCTTCTCTCTCGCGGGAATAAACACTAACGCACATTGCCAGGTTGCCGCCGTTTTCCTCATCTCTGTCGGATCCGGCCTCATCCTCACCCTTGCCGGTGTCCTCAAGGACATCCTCCTCATCTCCGGCGCGTTCCTCGCTTTCGGGTCCCCCATCATGCCTCTTCAGGTCCTTGGATATTCGATCTCTTTGGGCGGCTTGGTGATGTTCAAGACCACCGGTGGAAAGTAAGAAGAGTCGAGATGTAGTGGGGTGTTCATGTTGAAGAGAAAATGAGAGATAGATGTGTATGTTGTTCTAGCCCATATATGGGCGGGCGATAGAATAGGAGTGAGGCGTGTAGAATACGGAGGAGCGGGAGAACATCGTCCAACAAACCGTGTAGCCGTATGATGTCGAGATATCTGCGTGGGGACCGATCAAAATATAGACTTTCTTTTCTTTCGCTTGTAGTTATCTCTCGACCTCTCTTTTAGTCATTTCTTTTCTAAATTTGCCCCCTATTGATATATTGAGATGTATACGGGCGAAAAGTTGATATCATCAAACATTACAGGTGGCATGGGTTGGTGGGCGAGATAGAAGGCCGTCGTTGCAGGTTCAGATGTGGTGGTGGAGGCTGCAGATGTTGCGACATTACTGTTGCTCAGCCTACATGGACCCTCATGTTCCAGCCTTAGGATTGCCCCGCTGACAGTCTGTTGACTCTGTTGACAGCGCCAGTCAACAACAGACGCGTCTCGATTGCATCCGCGCCCCCCCTTTAAGCTCCCATTTTCCTGCTGCACTCATAAAGCATGCCCGAATTTGTTTATACAATCTCTCACGCGTTTCTCTCCAGTCCATCCGCCCCCAGCTCACATATACCATCAAGATGCCGCCCGCCAAGTCTGGAAAGTTCAAGACCAGTCGAGTACGTTCCCGTCTACAATAAGAGACATTGTCACAATGGACCAGGCTGACCCGCAACTTTGTAGTTCCCTGCTGTAAGCTTGTTCAATATGTGCTGTAAGCACCTAAATATGAGACGATCACTGATGTTCAATGGGTCCTCTCTCCTTCTGTTGTCATCAACAGGCGCGAATCAAGCGGATAATGCAGCTGGACGAGGAAGTGGGAAAGCTGGCAAGTGCTACACCGGTCATGATCTGTACGTGCCATCCTTCATCCATTCACAGTCGGCCTCAGGTCGCTGATTGTGCGGGCAGCAAAGAGTCTGGAATGTTTCATACAAGTCTTGTTGGATGAGAGTTGCAAAGAAGTGACTGCTAGTGGATCGCGGAAACTCACTGCCGGGCATCTGTACGTCCTTGCCTTACGCCTACTTCGAGCACTGACAATGGATACAGCAAATCAATGATCAACACCAACCCCAATTTTGACTTTCTCCGTGAAATAGTCGACGCTGTGCCCGAACTGCCCGAAGGCGGCAAGTCCTCCGCCGCCGGTCCTTCACGCGCGCGGAAACCTAGCGCTTCTGCAGCTGCGACCAAAGCCGCTAAAGCTGCTAAAGCAGAAAAGAAAGAGGCGGAGGAAGAAGAAGAAATTGGGAGTGGCATTGCTGGGGGCACAGCGAAGAAGAGTCGGGCTAAGAAGGAGGTGGAGGATGACGTGAAACCGCAAGTAGCAGAGCCTGCTGTACCGTCGTGGTCGGGTGCTCCTGTTCCCGCGGCTCAGCCAGCGAATCCACTGATCGGAAGCTGGAAGAAGGATATGACTGGGGGCGGCGGTACAGGCGAAGGCGGAAGAGGAATGTTTGATGACTATGAGGAGGATGACGATGATTACTAGTCCAGCATCAGGAAGACGGTGTTCAATACAATTCACAACTTGTATGTACAATACGGATTATTTTCAGGTGGCATATGTGTGATTGTGTAGCCCAGAGCGTAGTCAGGGGGGATGAGTGACTGTATAGTCCAGCGGATTCTCAACTCTCGGCTTCAGCACCACGACCGTCTGCTTATACTTTGGGATCGCTGTGCCCTTTGTGGCTATCGTCCTGCAATTAACCGTCGCTGTAACAGCGCACGCCCCAACATGATTGATCTTCTCAGTCCGAGCTGCAAACGCCGTATTACTATGCAGTTACATGTACGTCCCTTCTCCTACTCAAGCCTTGATCTCCTCGACCGTCTGCGTGGGCTCATTCAGCAGACCGGCATGTCTCGCTTCCCCAGCAACCGACAACAATTGTCCCAAGATCTTCTCCCCGTCCAAATGCGATAATGGCAGAACCTGTTTCGGTCCATCGTCTATACCACGTCAACTTGCGTTTCACCTTGCTTCTGCGACAGACTTACGAAACTCTAAGATCATCTCCGGCTTGGGCATCTCCTTAACCCCACCCTTTCCTCCAAACAGCCCAGTCTCGATAGCCTCCTTGTCCGGGTTCTCGGGGTTCTTGTGCTTTGAGCGGGGGTCGGGTATGCGGTGGACGAGGATGGGGAGGGAGGGGTTGGCGTAGGCCAAAGAGGGGGCATATTGTCTCAGAAATTGTCTATGATGGTACATTAGCTTGTATACCAGCAAGTGGAGAGGCGATTCGTACCGAGGTCCAGCTTCCGAGTTCTTCGCAACGAAGCGCATGCTCAGAGCGCTCACACTGGGCGACAAGGTGACGTTGGCCGAGTTCTCTCTGAGGGAAGAAGCAGCTTGCTTCAGGGGTAGTCTGTTGAGGGTCTTTGGGAGGGCGGGCATTGTCGCGATGGTTTGAGATTCAAAATGCAGGAATGAAAGAGAGAGAAGAGTGAGTGCGAAAAAAGACGGAATTTGATCCCGCTCGGTGCTTCTTCAACTTCCATCTCCACCTTTCTCTCTACATATCTATACAAAAGCTGTCAACAATGCCAGCCCCCTCTGTCTCTACCCTCGAAGCCACCTCCGCCATCGTGTGTACCCTTCTTTTGTGTTCTCGACCCATGCTGACTAGACACAGCTCGGCGAATACATGCTCAAAGGCTGGACACTCACCGACCTCCACTGTTCTTCATGCAAGACCACACCTCTTATGCGAGAACCCGCTGCTATTGCTTCGAGAGAGAATAGGGAGAGGGTGCAGTTTTGTGCGGGGTGTGATGGGCGGCCGGAAGGGAGGGTGAGGGTGCCACCTGTGGCCAGTGTTCCAGAGGCTTCGGTGCCCGCTGGTGGGCTTGGCGCGTACGAGACGAGAGCAGTAGCTTCGGAATCTACGGACAGGCAAGAAACAGTCGCGGTCCCTCAGCAATCGCGATCTCGTCCTGCCGAGGCCTCCCAGCAATCTCAATCTCAGACCGAACCCAAAGCCGACCCCGCCGCTTCCCTCTCCCAACTCCTCCTTCAAGGCTACTCTCTCCTCGCCGACACATGTCCCAACACCTCATGCCGCGGCATTCCACTTGCTGGCTATCCAAAGCGAAAGGACGGCTCGAAAGACGGTAGAAAAGTCTGTGTGAGCTGCGGAATGGGATGGGTCGAGGAGAAGAGTGTCGATGAGGGGTGGGTCTTGACGGGAGAGAAGAAGGGAACGAGGGAAGATGATGGTGGGGCGGAGAGTCCTAGGAGTAAGAAGAGGAGAGAGCTGTATGGCCTTGGAGATGTGAAGGGGAAGGGGAAAGCGGTGGATGTGGGAGAATTTGAGAGGCAGGCGAGAGCGTCTGAGAATGAGCTTGTGAGCAAGGCTGAGGAGAAGGAGCTTGAAGAGGCCGTTGCCGAAGTGGGTTCAGAGGGCTCTCTCGTTCACAAAGACATACTGACGAAAGAGCAGTCATCCAACTCTATACAACAACCCCACCTCGCCCAATCACTCACTCAAACCTCCTCCGCCCTCTCTACAACCCTCTCCCACCTCGCTTCCTCCCTCTCCTCTCTCACCCAGCCCGAGCGACTGGCAGAAGGAGAAAAGAGCGGAAAGCTGTTTGTGGATATCAAGCTGCATACCGAGGCTTTGAAGGACGTGTTGGGAGTTTTGGGGGAGGTTGAGAAGGCTAGGAAGGGGTGGTGAAGTGTGGGCGAGGATGGACTATCGGGGCGAGTGGTTGAGTCTGTGGTGGGGGATGCGTTTGTATAGAATACGGGCCGTTACAATATGCATAACGTTGCATGGAGTTATCCTGTTGAGCAGATCATCCACTCCAAGCATCGGCGCAGATCAAAGACCAGCTGGTCTCTCCACAGGGCCCTTTCCAGCCCTCGATGGACCTGATAAACGTATATTATAGACGTAACAAGTAGTATATATGGCACAACGAGACAGGTATAGCGTATTTATATATGAATGACTAGAATTCCGACTCTATTTGAATGGAGAATGGGCGACCACCTTACGCCATATGGGCTCCACCAGCCCCACCCTTCGTCAACATATTATGGTTCTTGATGAACCCTCCAAACACCAATGCCAGACACACTGACGTGATGATTGGGATGAAACTCTTGGTGATACTGATCACATACGCGTCGATGACGGGGGGACGTTGGGCAGGGTCGAGAGTGTAGATGGCAGAGACGGACTGGCGGACGAGGTTGAAATCGACGTCGGGGGCCAGACGTTTGATTTCAGTGTTGAGGTAGACGGATTGGACGGTGTTGATGATACCTGTGATTACGTTAGCTGTCATATCGTGACAATGGTAGTAGGGATGAGACTCACCAGTACCCAAGGCAGCACCGGTCAGCTGGAAGAAACTGATAGTACCAGTAGCCTGGGGCAAGAGCGCAGGGCGCTCGTGGTACTCGGCGTTGATAGCCATGAAGACCATCTGGAAAGACAGGCCGATACCGAAACCGGCGAGGATCTGATAGCCGATGATCTTGGAGCTAGAGGTGGAAGAATCGATAGTATAGAGGAGACCGAAACCGGAGGCAGCGAAGGGAGGGCCGGCGACGAGGAAGGGCCAGTATCGGCCAAACTTGGTAGTGAAACCGCCAGAGATGAAGATGGAGATACAGATAGCAAGCATGAATGGGATGATGTCGATGCCAGACTTTTCGGGCGAGTGGTCTCGGACCTAGGAACTGTCAGCTTTCTGATCCAAAGGTGGATGGAGATACGTACAGCTTGGTAGAAGAGAGGGAGCTGATAAGTACCGCCGAGCATGGAAAGCATCCAGAAGAAAATGGCGCCGGAAGACATGGTAAGGGTGCGATTCTTGAACAAGGAGACAGGGATAAGAGCGCGCTTGTCATAGAACCATTGCCAGGCGCCGAAAGCAATGACCAGGAGACCACCGAGGATGAAAAGAAGAATGATACGCCAGCCTATCGATATATGAGTGACAGTCGGGTGGACGGAGGATTGACTTACTCTTCCAAGAGTACTCGTTACCACCCCAACTGAGGGCGAGGAGGAGACAGGTCATACAGCAAAAGATCAAAGCCGTACCGAGCCAATCCAAACGCAAGATCTTGTGTAGGACAGACCTCTCGGTGGTGTCATCAGAGCCGGATTTGGCAGGAGCATGAGCGGGAAGCAAAAACACGACGGCGGCGGCGGCGAGACCTCCGAAGGGCAGGTTAATGTAGAAGCACCACCTCCAGGTAACGCGTTCGGTAAAGACACCGCCCAAGAGAGGACCAACGACGGAAGAGATAACGAAAACGATACCGAACGAGGACATGAAGGCGGCACGCTGCTCAACACGGGTGATGATGGCGATGATGGTCAAGATGGAGACGAACCTGGGCGATTCATCAGACTGGTTCTGGTGAGAGTGGGGGTGGACCTACATTCCTGAGGCACCAATACCTTGAACGGCTCGTCCACCAATCAGAGTAGTCATATCTTTGGCAACGCCGCAAATGAGAGATCCGAGCTCAAAGAAAAATACGGAGCCCAGAAGCATCCACTTGGACTTGATGACGGTCAACATCTGACCAACAAGCAAGATGAGACCACATTGTGTCACTGCGGTTCTGTCAGCACCAGACGTAAGACCGATGACGCGAACGTACAGAAGTACCCAGTGATAATCCACGAGACTTGGTCGAACGCGTTAAAGTCGGAGACGATGACCGGAATGGCAGTACTGACGATACTCTGGTCTGTAAACAAGATAAGCAGAAGCTCGAGCTGGAGCTGGAGGCGGTGAACGAACCAAGGGCAAACATCTGCAAAGGATGTCAGATTTTGTATCTTGAAAGGAAGCAACCAAACACTCACAAAGACACATAGCATCATGGCGAGGAAGACAAGATACAGTCTGGCGCCGGATAACAAACCAGACTCGTCTGCTTGGGGGGCGGCATCCTCGTGCTTGGGGAGCTCGGCAGCCTTCTCTGTGGAGGAGCTCTGGGTGTCGTGGTGCGAGAGTTTCTTGGAGCTGGTGCGGCTGAGGGGGGCCTCGGCGGCGAAGGGAGTCCCCTCACCAGAGAGGCCGCCTCTGATTTCGTCGATGAGGGTGGGAGAGGTGGAGTGGTCGCCGGGCATGATGATAGAGTTGAAAGAGAGACAGAGGGGGGGCGGGAATGTAGGAATATAAGGATTTCAGAAACAAGGCATGGCGATGGCCGGGGTGGTGCCCGCCCCCGGCCAGGGCTTACTGGGCACCCCGGCAGAAAAATACCTCCGCCGATCACTGAACTTTGCCTTGCCCGACGGGCATGCCTGACACTGTTTACTCGAGTACTCGCTCAGTATGTCGCGTATGGGTGTGTGCAGCACACGAAGGGTCACATCTCACCCAGCCACACGTTATCCTGGTATATTAGTAGGAATCCCAAAACGTACAAATGGACTGCAGATGTGCAAGCCAAGTGCAAGCTGGAAGCATGGCAGGACCCGGGCGGGGCTCCCCGCTGGATGATCGAGCTCTCGGGGTCCCCGAGGCCGTAGGGCATCTTTTCCCCGGACTCCGAATGTCTCGCCCAGCGGGCTTTCTCTGATTCCTTCAACCTTGCTATAACCACACTCCATATGGTCGCCGCTCCCCCGCCGCTGGGTATCTCCAACGATGGTTTCTCTATTCCCGCCGATGCCGACAAAGAAGACTTGCTGGCCCTTGTAGTAGACTCTGCCGCCCCGCTCTCCGAGGACTGGGCCGCTGATATGGCCCTTCTTTATCCAGAGTTTTCGTGACGGATACCCCTCTCCTCCCAGCAGCGCCGACTCTGAATAGTCTGAACACGAATTGGCAGAATATTCAGAGCTGGAATTTACCTCGCATGAATATTATGAAGAACAGTTGCGCATGGACCACGAGGCGATGGAGAGCGCTGTCAGGGCAGCTGAGAGGGAGGAGAAATTGGCGTGAGTTGTGGCTGGGGTAAGCCAGTGAGCAGTGACTGATGCTCTTCTAGATTCAGCGAGTACCCGTGGAGTGACAGTGCTGAGGATCTCAGCAAGCAGCAACCGGACGTCGAGAAGATGGTGCCGATGATGGAGGACGTGGATGATGTCAATGAACGCATCCAGCCATACGATGCCGTTCGCGATGATCTCGAACTGAACTGGACTCTGATCATTTCGATTATCTCTCCATCATCCAAATCATACGTCTTAGTGGTCGATCTATTCATTGTTGGATAGGGCGCGGAAACATTCACTCCTTCTGTCGGCACCGAACCAAACAAATAGAGAATGAAGCTTTGCCCTGTCGGCTATGGCCGCCGAACGTGGTGATGTACGTTCAAAATTGGTTCAAAAAATACCCTCGACACTCTCCCGCGACGACCCCGTGCCGGTACTCGCCATGTCGTCTCTTTCTCCCACCCAATCCCCGTCCGCCCCGCCATCCCTCCTCCACTCTATAGGTGCCAAAGCTAGCGAGCGCCTGCCTCCAGGCCTGGTCTACTTTGTCTCTCAGAATGTGGGGCTTACCCTCGTCGCCATTGCCGAGCTGTTCTTCGTCCTCATGGGCTTGACAGTCAAGTACTTCTTGTCCAACACCGAGATCTCCACCTTTACCCTCATCTTTGTGCGCATGGGAATCACCTGGATATTTTGCGTCATCTCTCTTTGGCTCGTCAAGCGTGATCCCAACCCTCTACTAGGACCGCCTGGTATTCGATCCATCCTCGTCTTGCGTGGTCTCTTTGGCTACTTCGGCTTACTGGCGGGATACCAAGCTCTCCGTGGCCTTACACTCTCCGACTCGCTCGCCATCCAATTCCTTGCGCCTAGCTTTACTGCCTTTCTCGGATTCGTATTCCTCCACGAGACATTGTCACGCAAGGAAGTGATCGCCGGCTGCTTGTGCTTCATGGGAGCATTGCTGGTCAGCCGGCCGAGGTTCATTTTCGGAGATGTGAGCGAAGAGAAGAGTCATCATGGAGGAGGAAGATTGGATCTACCGCCCGCCCCGGGAGGCGAGGAAGATGGGGTGCAGGAGATTGCAAGGTCGGCTGCTGTTGCGTGGGCTTGCGTGGCTATCGTCGGTGCTTCCCTCGCTTGTAAGTGTCGCTGACTATACACGGGATCATGAGCTGAGACAGATTAGACACCACCATTCGATGGATCGGTAAGCAAGCCCACGCCCTCCATTCTATATCTTACTTTTCCATCATGTGCACCGTTGCCAGTGGCTTGTATGTCATCTCCAGCCTTACTTTTCGTAGGCTGATGACCTTGTAGCTGGCTCCTGGTCCGACCTGAACCCATTGCCTGGGTCCACTCCCTTTCCGACCTCTTCTTCATCCTCACTATCGGCGTATTCGGTTTCGCCGCTCAAACTTTCCTCACCCTTGGTCTCCAGCGCGAAAAGGCCGGGCGGGCAGGACTGGCCATCTATCTCCAGGTCGTGTTCTCGCTGATACTCGAATTTGTCATCTGGGGTACCATCCCCAGCCTGTTGTCCGCTCTGGGTACGGGCCTCATTCTGTGTTCTGCCTTCTGGGCTGCGGTAAGTCACGCTCCTGTATCGCAGGACAGAGCTGATGAGACTCACAGTTCTCTTCAACACCCAAACGTGAAAACGCCAAACCGACCGACCCCGAAACCCTTCCCTTCTCGCGCGAACCGTCCCCTATCCCTCCACCCAATACCACCTTCCCATCCCGGCCAGGGGCAGAGACTCACTACAGCTACGACTCTACCCCCAACTGGCTCGCGCCGACTCCCCCTAATGGGCTGGTACGTGCTTCGAGCAACGCGGTAAATTCTGGCGCTGGGTCTAGAGAGGGATCAGGAGATGGGGAAGGAGGAACGTTGGATATTCCTGGGAGGCTGAAAGCGGGATCTAGAACCGGGAGTAATGGGTCCTTAGGTGGAACGAAAGAGACGAGGGTCAGGAAGCAGTCGGGGACTGGAAGTGAGAGACAAGAGCGGTGAATGTGTGAGGCTGGGTGAGGTTTGACGATTATCTGTTCTGCTGTAGGTCTGTTTGGTTGTTTATTGGTTCTTCTGCATAGTAAGTGGCTGGAACTTGAAAGTGAAAATGCCTGACAGCCTGCAGTGCATGTTACATCTTTAGCGATTACAATGTGTGCAAAATACCAACATCAGTGTGCTCATATCGCGACCCTCGTCCCACTCGCCTGTAATCCCCTGCCCCTACTCACTCCCCTGACCATTTCTCGCCCGGATTTCTTCCCATGCTCAACATTCTGCCATACAACCTTTCTCTCCACCACCTCCCGCCCCTCGGCCCACTTCATCTCATCCCCCACGACCGTATCTTCCTTCACCCTGCCCCCTCTCTTTCTCGCGCGCCGCCGGTCGAGGAAGGATGTGCAGCGGATGAAGCAGGCGGTGAATACGAGGAAGGCAACGAAGAATGTTATGAAGAGGAGCACTGGACATGGGTCAGCATTTGGGACAGACGTTGGAGGGGAGGACGTACTGCTATCTCCAGCGGTATTGTTTGGCAAGAAGACGTAGCCTCTTCCCAATTTGTGAACGGTTGTATCGGAGGGGGCGCTAACAGGAAAGTCGCTGGCAAAGGTGGTCATTCCTGGTTAATGGACACTGGTCAGTCTGGGGTGGCATGAGGGGAGGCGAAAAGACGTACGGATAGGGTTCAGAGGGGTTGAACGAGTTGAGCTGGTTTTGACTGTGACCGTCTCGACTTGTGCGCTGCTCCTGGCTGCTGACTCTGGTGACGAAGATGCAGCCGACGAAGAAGAGGCATGCGTACTAGCTACCTCTGACCTCAATGCAGAAGAAGAGGCAGCAGTTGCCGTCGTGGAATCGACCTTCGACGTCCCCGAGCTCGTCTCTCCTCTCGCCGCCCCGCTGCTCACAGCATCACTGCTCGCCGCCACCTCTTCACCTGTCGTCCCTGCCGTATTTGTCCCACTGGCAGACTCTTGCACGGCGCTGCTGGCAACAACAGCCGCTGAGCTGGTCACCTCTTCCTCGCGGACTTGTCTTTTTGGGTGCGGGTGGAGATGGTGATAGTGCCGTCTGTATGGGATCCTCATTGTTGACCTTTTCGTTGTTGCTTTCTGTTTTCTTGGAGGTAGTGACCTCCTCTGCCAGAGAAGAGAGTCTTATACGTGCGGAGAGTGGCCGAGATCTAAACCACTATCTCTTGCTTATCTGTATCTTGCGGGAGATATGTGGATCTGACCAACCTTTACATATCTTTCACTTTGCATTGCTACTTGCTACTCGGTTTGCACAAAATTCCACCTTTGTTGCCGGTCCTTTGTGTCTACCTCTGTCTTTGTCCGACCCAGTATAGCTGTGCCTCGCATACACTTGTATGCAAAGGCCCGATCTCTCCTCTTTGCCCACTCGCCCGCCTTGGGCGCCTGCCCGCCTCCCTCGCTAGCGCGCCATACCTGCATTTCATCGTGACGGCTACCTAAGTGGAACGCCCCGTACCAACACCGTGATCACCCAAAGGGGAAGAAGGGGCGTCTCCAAAATTGATTGAGGAGCCAGAGGCGGGCGAGAGGCCGCCACCGTGACCGACCGCTGGTCCAGTACCATGACCGACCATGTAGCTAAGGCCAACAGAGAGACCACCACCATAGCCGACCGAGCCCCCGGCAGGAGCGCCAGCAGAGGAAGGAGAGGGCGAAGGTCCAGGAGCGACACTCAAGTCCCGATGAGACCAAGAGACACCGGCCTGGGACTGAGGGCTCAGGCGGCGCCGTAGGTGGGCACTTGTCAACTCTTCGTTCAATGCCACAACAGTTGCGCCCAATGTAAAGGAGTTTCCATCCGTTCGTATCAATGACCGCTATCTCCCCCAGAACATCGGCCACCATGATGTATCTTTCGTCGTGTGAGAGAGATGTGTTGGAGATGACACCCAGTTTTGAAGGGCCCTGAATGACATGGAGCGGTGTGTCGAGGCGTGCTGGATCATACACTTGACTGTGCCCCCGTACGAATATTGTGACGATGCGTTGACTTCAGAGCCATAAGAGGTCGGCGACGACTATGTTGCCCATGACTTGGTCGGTGTCAGTGTTCATATTCAGGCCGGGGTGAGAGTCCGCAACTTACTGCTCCTAGTCGAACGCGGCTGACTGGAGACGGCGGGGGAGGGTGGTGGTCTCGACGAGCGATGCGTGGGTGAATGGTGTGAGGCGAAAGCGTTTGTTTATACTGATGAGAAGGGCGTCGCCGTGTGTGTAGTGTGTCGTGATCGAACCCGGGGCGCAAGGAGAGCTCTCGCGAGACGCACCGTTCTATACTATATATATATCAAATGCAATCAAATAGAGAAAAACAAGAAGAGGTATCGAAAGAAGATGTGAAGCTGCACGAGTATGGCGCAGTCGTCTTCGTTTTACGCTTCTGATGCGGCATTGAAAGTGGCACAAGGACAAATTCCCGCTTCGACTCTCTCCGATCCATTGATGCAACTTGAAAGCTTGTCAATTCAAGGGTCCCAAAGCGGAAGGCAATTGCTACAAGTGCGCGTATATGTTGATAGACATACGTAGGGCCACTTCTGCGCGATGCCGAACATGCGGAGCACCCATAGTACGTACTGCACTGCTCGCTCTAAGAAGGCAAAGTCAGCCATCCAAGTATCTCAAGGTCGGCAGTGGGCCGGTGGCAGGACGTATTCGTTGAAAAGAGGGCGGCAGTATCCACCATATGGATATGTCATTGTACGGCAAACAGCAGCGGGAAGAAGGTTGAGAGTCCCCAAAAACCTTCTCGGATAACACCGAACAGCACACGACTCTCTCCGGTTTCTATGGCAATGAGTCATGGTAAAAGAGCTGCTTCTAGACCAGTTTGCTTGCACGGATCGACACCAGAAATCGAGAGAAGTCCGATCCGAATAGACCGATGAAAACGAAGAGACCACGAAGGCATGCACAGGTGGAGCTACCTGCGGCAAGGGTAATAATAATTATGGAGGGTATGGCAGCCTGGACTGCAGCACACCGTCACTTAGAACGGTCTACTAGAGGTACAAATCAAAGAGAGCCTTCATTATGAGCCTGGGCTTCATACGTAAGCCACAGACGCATGGCAGAATTGTGGATCGTCCATGCAGACTAGATGAGTGCAGCAGTGCATGCAGTAAGAGATGATATCGAAGTGCGACCCCCAAGAGATTTGGCGAGAAGGCTAACTGCGTGGGGCTGAGCTGGGGCAATGCTGTTCAACTGGGGTGCCTCTGGGGTCGTTCGTGGCTGTTGAAAAAGTCCGATATGCCTATCTGTCATTCTCGCGATCACAAGCTCCTCCTGGCCCTCTGCTCTTGCGCTCGAAAACCTCTGAGGTCTGGAATCTGCTGGAAGTTACGTGACAAGGTACATCTCCGAAGAATGTTGATAAAGACCGATCAGCGAAAAGCGTCACTAGCACATGCTCCGGAATGCGGAGTAACTTTTCCAGACTCTCCATTACACAATCACCCCAGAAAATGGTACCAAGTTGTGGCTGTTCACAGTATCCATTCATGCGGCAAGGAATAAAAACAGCCTGCAAACCCTCTCTGGAATCACTACGCACTACCTTATGACACTCGATCACCCAGCCGACCCACCTCGGTTTTTGACCCCGCTCGGCGACTCAACGGCGCACCCTATTTGCGCTTTACTTTTCACGACCGACCTGCGCTCTACACCCCCGCATCTGTTCTGATATCTTTTATCAAATCCCCAAAATCCGGGGTCCGGGGAACGCAACGTTGACATCACAGCATGCAGGTCTTCTCGCCTCTGGACCCAGGCCGTCTTATCTGCCTGCCTGGCGCAGTTGGGCCTCAGAAAAAAAAAGTTGAGCGGCTTCCAGACGCCGAAGATGCTCACAAAAAGGTATATAAGACGCCCCTCTGAGCTCTCCTCTCAACTTCATCTCACAACCAACTCCAAAAACAGTCAGCCAACGCTACTTCACACTCTCTGTACTCTACTACTGCTCTACGCAACACAAAACCAAAAACCAAACCAAGACTCAACACAATGTTCGCTACCAAGGTCTTTGCTGCTCTCGTCGCCGCCTCCGTCGTCCTCGCCGCCCCCGCTTCTCAGCGATCCGGCTCCGCCTCTGGCAGCCCCACCGCTTCCAACAGCGCCTCTGCTTCCGGAACTGCCTCTGCCTCTGACAGCGGCTCTTCTTCTGCCAGCGGTACCGCCTCTTCTTCCGCTGCTTCTTCTTCCGCCTCTCTTTCCTCTGGCGACTTCTCTGGCCAGTATGTCTTTCTTCTTTTTCACTTTGTCCATCGACTGACATCTTGGATAGGGCCACCTACTACACCGTCACTGGTACCGGCAGCGCTTGTGAGGTGACCGTCACCGACGACGACTACATTGTCGCCCTCAACCAGCCCCAGTACACTGATTCCGACCACTGTGGTGACACCGTCACCATCACCAACACCGAGGTGAGTTCTCCACCATCCCTCCTCCCATTCAGACCTTTTGCTGACGAAGCTATAGAACGGTAACACTGCCACCGCCAGGGTCGCTGACGAGTGCCCCGGGTGTGACAGCGGTTCTCTCGACATGTCCCCCGGTCTCTTCGGTGCCCTCAAGTAAGTCCACCATACCACCTGTCTCATGCTCAAAGCTGACATCTTTCTTAGTGACGACGACTACGACGAGGGAGTGTTCGCCATCACTTGGTCTTTCTCCAGCTAAGAAAGTCTGAGACTTTCGGCTCGACGGGTCTGTGACCTCGCTATCTTTGCTTCTCCATCTCTTTTGCTTTCTTGCCTATCAAAAAGTTGTCTCCATAGATCTTTCTTCTCTTCGTGGTTAAGCCTGGTGCCTACCTAATCATCATCATTGTTATGTTGATGGGCATCCCGGTTTGGCTTCTTGTCTTCTTTTTGTATCGTCGTACTCTACTGTACAAAGCCTCTGGCTAGGTTTTGTGTAGGATATCAAGCAAACATGTATACAACTTTTTTCTTCTACTCTTGCCTCTCAAATGGTGCAGTTTCGGCGATATCAGATGGTTATCAAGGCGGCGCTAATTGTCAAGTAGTCATCTGATCTTTTGAGATCTTGTGCCTCCGCCACGCACTAGTAGTGGCTGTGGTGGTGCTTGTAACTTGACTATTGATCCCCATCAATATACCAGCTCCAAAATCCACGTACGCGAGATATCTGCTTCACGGGGCGCAACGAGGTCGTATCCAAAATCAGCCCAGCTGTAGAGAACAAACTTGGTCGAGGAGAGATTGTCCCAGAGGCTCTCGTATGATCTCTGTCCTTGGTAAACATGGCTTCATCTTTTGCATCTTTTGCATCTTTGGCCAAAGGCCAGGCAGGATCACGATTAAACACTTTGTAAAGATATGTACTGGTAAAGAAAGGAAACACTTGTGATCGGAGAAAGAAAAGAAGACGTCATGCAGATATAGATCTTGTCAGAAACCCCTTTTGGATACAAAAGAGGAAGAAAGAAAGAAGAGACTTTTGCACGTATGAAGAAGCGAGCAATAATAATACTGTGAAAAGAAGAACGAGACTTGACGCCTCGTATAATGTGGTAGATTTACAACAATGCTAGGATTGATGGGGTAAAGAAGAACAGTGGGAATGTGATATGCAACGTGTTGGTGGTAGTGTTCTTGTCGTGGTTTGTCGTCGGTATCGACAGTTGGGGGGCGTAAACATGGTAATGAGAAAGAAGCAAGGATGTGGAGGGGAGGGGATTAGGTGAGGATGAGGGCGGGTTGACCGAAGAGGGTCATCAAGAATACCGTCCTACCAACGAGTCAGTATTGCCTCCAAAACAAGAAGAAGAGAACTTACCCTTCCTTGCCACCCCTCTTTTCAATCTCTTTCGCCACGATAACATCCGCACTCTCCTCTTCATCCCCCGCCTCATCCTCCTCATCACTACTCCCCGAGCTGAACCCTGAGCGCAACCTGATTTCACGATAGTCTCGCGCCGAAACACGGGGCGAGTTGGCAGGAGACTCTTCGTCTGACGAAGAGTCGATAGCGCTTGTGGCGTGCAGTGGCAAGCGGGGGAGAGAGAGGCGCGGGGAAAAGTTGGGTTTGCCAGCTTGGACGAGACTCGTGCGACGCACTTGGGCGGCCTTCTTGCCAGACTCGGCAGCGTGGGAAGGAGCGAGGCGGATACAGCCCCAGCCGTGGTGAAATGGCGACGGGCGGGTGGAGGATGGTTTGGGGGGCGTGGCAGAGCGGGCGAGGAGGCGGTAGGTCGTCGTGGTCGAGTGGGTGTTGAGCAGGTGGGAGAGGAGGGAGTGGGTGTGTGCGAGGGTCTTGTCGCGCAGTGTGTGCAATGTGGACAAGTCTACGAGTCATTAGCATGAGCAAGTGTGAGCAGAGGAGACGCACCTTGGAAACAACCAGGACTCCAGACGGGGTAATCCACAATCAACTCGGCGCGTTCATTCTCCCAGCTCCCACCGAGACTCTGCATCCGTCCCAGCTGCTTTCGCTGCTCAATCTTGCGCGCCTCTGTACGCTCCTCATGCTCCTCGATAGTGACATTCTCCACCATCTCGATCAGCCCCTTCTCCCTGGAAGGCGAGCCGCGCCGATCGTCGACAGACCTCGCGACGAGCTCGGCAAAGTGCCTGCTGTCTGCGTCGAGCTCCTTCTTCTTGATGGACGAGGGACCATAGGGTCGCGCTTGGGGGCCACGGACGTAGCTGCGGGTAGGTGCGCTCTGGCTGAGTGGGCCAGGAGTGGTGGTGGGCGAGGTGCTGGAAGAGTGGGTGGTGGAGAGGGAGAGGTGGGAGAGGGGTGCGAAGGTGCTGGGCACGGGGACGAGTTTGGGGGAGGAGGAGGGGGAGGGGGTGTGGGTGAGGGTGCGGGAGTGGGGAGTGATAATGGGGGAGGCCATCATCATGTTGTGGGTGGGCGGTCGAGGGATGCAGCTGGGGTTTATATGGTGCTGGAGTCACACGACCGGGTAATGATGGGCTCCTTTGATACACGGAAGCTGGCAGGGGCGTCAGCTGGAGTATGCAGTGACGCAGAGAAGGACGAGAAGGATCGCCAGGAAGCAGCACAAAAGAAGGCGCAGGGATGGAAGCCCTCTGTCCACTACTCCAATACGACGGGAGCCCTTCTCCGCCTTTTCCAACAGCACGCCGCACTCACCTGGGGTAGATCTTCAGGATGCTGTGGGGCCAGAAAGCGGGGGCGGGGGTGTATATATGTGGATGTACTTGTGGTGTACGGGTGGAATGGGAGAGGAGAAGACGTCGGGAGTTGCAGGAGGAAGAGAATTCACCCAGCCAACCAGCGACGCTCGCGGTAAACATCCACCCGGGCCTCCGAGCCGCTCGTTTTCCTCGCCCCTTCCATTGCACAGTGAGTCAGGGATGTGTGTAGCGAGGCCTGGGTGGGCTGCATGGCGACTCTGCGCTGGGCAGCTGGGATACTGCGCTGTTGCACTCGCTCTGGGTATCACTCAACACGACGCGGTGACTGTCCAATCCGGGCCAGACATTACCCATCCAACCACTCACATGACGCCTTATGACCTAGCCCCCTCTTCATACTCTCCCCGCCCACCTGCTTCCCTCTCCCACCCTCTCCCAGCCCTACGCTGCACCTCTCGTCCTGCAGATACCCCAGAGATGCATGCACAGGCGGGGCAGTGGCAAGAGACGGAGCGCCGTCTTGTTCCGAACTTTTGCGTTGCCAAATAAACATCGGTCCGGCCGAACTCCGCGTTTTCCCGATGCGGCCGTATGTACGTTTGTTTGGTTCGCAGCGTTGTTTCGAGAGGGGACAAGTTGGACATCTGTTGCGATGTGGCATGCACATGATCCTCAACTAGCCCACAGTCACAGACCACCCCACAGCTCGTTCTCCCCAACCGCCCCTATCCCCATCCTCCCCTCATCCCTCCTCCCTAGATGTGCATCGGGATTAGAATGAAGAAGTGACATCTGCAAAACGTCCAATCTCTTTACCCTGTCGTTACTGATCTCAAGTAGCAATCACACAGGAGTGGCAGTCGGAAAGACCATCCCATTGTACCATCGCACTATCCATCCATCCAACGAAAGCATCTGCTTTCGCCCCTCCTCGTCGTAAACTCGTAAAAAGGGCGGAATCACAATTCGCAAGAGATGATTGTTTGGTTCCAGCGTGTCCTCGGTGACAAGTCGACGAGGCATTGTCGGGCGCGTCCTCTTTTGGTATAGAGCTTCACTGAGCGAGAATCTTCTAGAGTCGGCCCGCTCTCGTCGATGTATGGACAGCATGGGCGGCTCTAGAGTAGTGGGCTGCAGTAATCCGTGCCAGAGGTTGAACGACAAGCTGCGTATAGGACTTTCACTACAGCACGCAATAAGCTCACAGACGAAACGATGCAGCGACAACGGGGACAACACACGACCCCCGATCGCGCATCTTGTGCGTCATAAGCAGCCACACCCTCCTTTGGCCTTCTAAGCTTCTCCCTTCTCGATGCTCTTGGCTGTCAGATGACCGATTCATGAAAAAGTATACAAGCCTCGCCCCCAACACCTCTTCCCAATCCCCCCACTCATACTGTAAGGGTGATGGTAGGTGGCGTAACCTATGGGCGGTTACGTGGTGGATCCAACTATGGGTGCTGGATATCGACCTGGGACAGGCGAGGTAGGTGAGGATGGATAAAGGTGATGAGGAATATACGGAAATACATCTATGAGGAAAAGGATATGAGACGCGGTCGGTTAAGCCACTTGATGAGGTATTGGGTGGAGTCGTTTTGGGTGCGGGTTCTGAGAATAGATTCGATCTGAAGAGGGTTGTTTGGGATAGGGATAAAGGGTTTTTCTCTTTTGTTGCCTTGGCGCGACGACCACGCTCATTTATCACAGAACCCCCAACCCTTTATCCCTATCCCAAACAACCCTCTTCAGATCGAATCTATTCTCAGAACCCGCACCCAAAACGACTCCACCTAATACCTCATCAAGTGGCTTAACCGACCGCGTCTCATATCCTTTTCCTCATAGATGTATTTCCGTATATTCCTCATCACCTTTATCCATCCTCACCTACCTCGCCTGTCCCAGGTCGATATCCAGCACCCATAGTTGGATCCACCACGTAACCGCCCATCTCGCTTGCGCATGCGAACGCGACAATGTCTTTGGTAGAGGCGGTGAAGCCGAAGATGTCGATGATCGTTTGACTAATCTCGGGGGCAGACAGGGGTAAAAATTTTGGTTCAGGTGAGAGGGCATGATGGTAGGCATAGAGGACAGTAGAAGCAGAGGGCGATCTCGATAATGTATGGCGACGGAGAGTGGATATTTGCCGTGTATAAGTGTCGGGGATGGGTGCGATAATGTATGGCGACGGAGAGTGGATATGCGGACGTCACCACATTACGAACACCCGAAGAATGCGATCAGAATGCGATGAAAGTCGTGGATATCATTTCTGCATCCAAAACAGCCCAGATGAGCGGCGACGACCCCGGGCCATCCTCCAACTACTACAGGGCATTCCCTGCCACCGCAGACGGCCCCCTCCGGCCCCCAGAGCCACCCCGCTCCCCCATCCTCGGCGCCACCCTCCCTCCTCACCAGCCGGATCGCGACTACTATGCCCTCCTCAACCTCCCCAAAGACGCACCCGACTCGGCCATCCGTGATCGCTATCGCTCTCTCGCTACTACCTGGCACCCCGACCGCCAGCGATCAGACTCTGCGCGCCTCGCTGCACACACCCAATTCACCGAGATTCAGCGCGCTTATGAAGTGCTGATAGATCCGATGAAGCGGACAGTGTATGACATGTTTGGTGAGGAGGGATTAAAGACAAGCTGGGAGGTGGGGCCGAGGGTGAAGACGACGGAGGAGATGCGCAAGTGGTTTATGGGGCAGGCGTATGAGAAAAAGTCGCTGGAAGCGGAGGTGCTCGTCAAGCCGAAGAGCGAGATGGAGGTGGTCTTGGATGCGAGGGCGGTGTTCCTGCCAAGGACCTACTTCCAGGATCCCGACCAACTCAAGCACGATCCCATATCGCGGGCTTTGCGGGTCCGACCAGGCCGGGCGGTCATGAAGCACTCTTTCGAAATACCCGTCTCGCCCAACACTCAATTCGTCATCGAAGGACAAGCGCTCTCTCGCAATGGTCGAGGCGGTGCCAACATTCTTGGTACGGTCAAGCATCAGTTCTCCCCCAAGCTCTGGTTTGAAGGTGGCATCACTTGCTTGAATCCACGGATATTCCGAGCAAAGGGGACGTATACGATCGATGAGGATCAGTATTTGACTGCCAACATTGTGGCGCCTACTGTCGCTGCTCCTCCTCAGCTCGGCTTCACCTATGGTAGGCGGTTATACCAGGACACGACTGGGTTCATGAGTGAGTGGCGTTCTCTTTCAGTCGTCTTGATACTGATCGTTTTCAGCTTTCGAACCTGGATCTTTCTCCCTCGGCCCCTGGGGCGCCTCCCGCACAGAGAACGAATTGTCTCCATCTTCCCTCTCTATCGGTATCACAAACTCCACCCGATCCGGCTCCGGCTGGACCGTCCAAACCTCTGCCTCCCTCGCTTCCAACCAAGTCTCCGCCGACTACTCCATCCCCATCCCCGGTGGTCTCAAGATGAAGATTGGTGCTGAAGCCGGTCTGGGGCAGAGTGTAGCTGGATTCGTCACGGCGGAGGGAAAGCTTTCGGAGAATGTGAGGGCGGGGTTGGTGTTGCAGATGGAGATTGCTGGTGGTATCATCTTGAAGCTGCGGTAAGTGCGACCATCGATTTGACATCCAACGCGTTAACGTGGGTAAAGATTCAACCGCCTCGGTCAAAAACTCTCCATCCCCGTCCTCCTCGCCGAAAAGCTCGACCCCAAGGTCCTCCTCGGCACCACCCTCCTCCCCGCCATCTCCTACTACGCCATCTACAACTACTACCTCGTACCCCGCAAGAAGCAGCGTCTGAGAGAAAGAGTACGGGAGCTGAGGGAGGAGAACAAGGAGTTTATCAGGCAGAAGAGGGAGGAGGCAATAGGGGCGAGGGAGGTGTTGGAGAAGAGTGTAGCGACAAAGGTTGTGCAGGAGAAGGAGAGGAATGGTGCGTACAACCAAGATTGTCTGCGCAGACCGCTGACTCGTATGGAAGGCCTCATCATTCTCTCCGCCACATACGGCCTCGCCTCGAAGATCGACAACCCCATCGAAGCCCTCTCCGAAAAACCCATCGTCACCGAGGAAGACGAGGAAGAAGAAACGATAGACGTCACCATCCCCATCCAAGCTCTCGTCCAAGATAGCAGACTATACATCCCCGGCGGAAAGGGCAAATTCAACGTCCTCGGCTTCTACGACCCTTGTATCGGCGAGAATAAGAAGTTGAAGGTGCAGTACTCGTTCAGGGGAAGGTTGCATGAGGTCGTTGTGGAGGATGCTAGTCCTCTACGGGCGCCTGTACGGAGTAAGTCGATTCAACCTGATGTTGCTTGTGTCTTGCGTGTGCTGATGACCGACGTTTAGCGCATGCTGTTGATGTGCAAACTATCTAAAAAGCTGATTAGGATCGCTGCGCTGCCCATGCATACTTGACATATGGTGACGTTCTGTTTATCTCGTCGTCCAACTATTCACCTCCATGAGTTCATAAAATGCGACACAGCATCTACCTGACTTGAAGCTTCTCCAACGATCCCTCCAAGCTCTCAGTGGCTTTACTGGCTTAACTGGCCTCTTGAGATTCACGATAAAACACCAGCGGGTGTTCCCCAACATCAACCCTCTCCCCCATCCCCGACAATCCATAAACCAACAACTTGTCCCCATCCACCTTGGCCCTAAAGCCAGCCCCATAAAACACCTTGCCCTCCAACCCAGCTTCAAAACACCCCTCATACTCTCCCTCTTTTACCGCAGTAAAGACCGGTTCACGTGCTTCGTTCATAGTTGCGGCAAGATGGGGATTGTGGTAAGGGTAGGACGGGTGGGGAGGTTGTTGGATGGTGTTAGGTGCCAGGTGGAGTAGCCTGGGGCTGTGAATGTTCCGATGAGGGGAGTTTGGTTCTGGGAGGAGAGAGGGGAGGGGATGGAGGGGGAATTGGTGGTTGTTTTGGCTACCCTTTTTTGGAAATCTTCTCCGATCCTGCTATCGCGTCAGCTTCTCGTCTCCACATGAGAAGAAGCAGAGCCCACCTAAAGTAGTATTCCATTCCTCCGGCCCTACAGTCCCCCCCCGCAAGTCTCTCCAACAAAGTCATCTTGATCAGCGTACTGACCAACTCCCCTCCATCCCCATTCAAGAACACCCCCAATCCCACCTTCTTTTCCGGCACATACACCATCAACCCCCTATACCCCGTGAACGCGCCCCAATGCTATCATCCCCCTAAACGTCATTTGATAGAGCCCCCCGCCGTAGGTGGGGGTGGTGGAAGAGTAGGGGAAGTGGAATATGTCGGCGAAAGCGGGGTGGGAAGAGTTGGGGGTTGAGGCGAATTGGTAGCCAGGGTGGGAGGGGAGTTGTTTGAGATACTTTGCCTATCTTTTCGTCGGTCTAGGCATATGAAAATGGATGGAGGACGTACGTAGTCTTTGATACTCATGATCAACCCCCCAGCAGGCCACGTGGCAGGCGACCTCACTACCCCATTGTCAATCCCCCTCATCTTACCTCCCCCACTCGCATCAATCCAATGCCCTTCCGCCGTCGACTCATCATTCTCAAACCCCGCACTGTCCAAGTCGAATGGTTTGAGAAAGTGTTCTTTCACATAGTCGGGGTAAGAGAGGCCGGAGATGCGTTCGATGATGAGCCCGAGGAGGGAGTACATGAGGTTGCCGTATTGGAATGTTGTGCGGAGGGGCGCAGTGGGGTGGAGTTTGCTGACGCTTTCGAGCTGTGTCCTGCATTAGCCACATTTCATCTCTCGATAAGAGGGACTCACGATATCCTCCAAGCTCGTCCCAATTTGAAAGACATCAAAGTACGCCGGAAGCCCAGATACATGCGCGCACATATCTGCGACAGTCACACCCTCTTCCAGCGCTTTGTCGGGGCTCTTGAATTCAGGAATGATGGTCTTGAGAGGGGTACCGAATGTGTAAGATGTTTTGGAGAGGACTTGATGGACGGCAAGGACGGTGATGAGTTTGACCATGGAGAACAAGGGGAAGCGGGTCTATACCGCGTCAGCCTGTGCGTGTACTGTCGTGGAAAGGCTCACGTCTGGGGTGACAGGGACGCCCTTCTTAGCCTCCCCAAGCGTCCACACCCCCTCATCCCACCCGCCATCCTCTTTCGCCTTGACAATAGTAATAGCACATCCGGGGATACCAGTCTTCTTCAAGAGCGCGCGGATGGTGTCCTCAAGGTCTGCAGTGTAGAGGTCGTTGATAGTGGGCATTGTAGATGTTGATGAGGGGGAGGGGTGTTGGCTGGGTGTCTTTATATGTTGCGGATAGGCGCGGACATGGGAGAGCTGACTGGACGGCCATCCGAAGCCGAGCACATGCCGAGGCCGCCTCGTGCCTATCCCAGCAGCGCCTACGTGAGTAGAGTAGGGGTGGACCACGAAGGGGTCAGAACACAGGGTATGAGGATTGTCAGTCATCTTCACCTTGTGACGGATTACAGCTCAGCGTGTGGGTAGCCGTCATCCAGCGGCGGCACTAGCCACCTTTTCTCCAAATGCCGCCTCGAAAGATAGATGGCCACAATACAAACACCAGAAAACACAGCGAGAAACAACCAGAGACAAAGAAAGCGTGAGGAGGTGAGGAGCGGTTGATGCATGATTCATTGAATCTTTTTGTAGTATGCAATGATCGGTGTGGGAGAGGTATTCGTCTATGGGGAGGCGGCAGGGGCGGCTGCGACCTTGATGTCCTCGGTCTTCTCTTCCTCAGCCTTCTTCTCCTCCAAAGGGGCAGATCCCTCGGGAACAGCAGCAGGCGCCTCATCATCGTCGATCTCTGCGGTCATAGTCAGCATCCATCCTTCGTCGCAGATTACTCATATCGCCCGACTTTAGCAGCTCGAGATGGAAAGTTGACTGACCTTCACCATAGATCTCGGGATGTTCCCTGAAGCAATCCTGCATAGCCTTGAACTTTTCCACGCAGTCTACACCCTTGGGCTCTGCTTCAGAGTATACAAAGCAAGAGAAGGCAGCTTTGAACTGTTCCCCACATGGGCCAGTCGCCATACCGCCAAGACACTACCCATCCGTCAGTCTTCTGCTCCAAATGAGAGATAGGGAAAAGGCGTACAGGGCAGTCCCAGTTGATCTCTCCAGTCTCGGGGTTGAAAGCCCCTTGCGAAGCATCCCCGGCTTCTTCCTTCTTCTCCTCCAACACTTTCGCCGCGCCATCCGCCGCAGCCTCGACGCTATCTGATGACTCTGACGCTTGAGGAGCAGAAGCACCATCCTGCCTCACTACTCTCCATCAGCACTCATTCCACCTCTTTATCGATGATATCGATCTCGACAGATAACGCACCCTCGGTCTTATGTATAGGTTCCTTCAAACTCTGCTGATGCAGCACGCTCTCCCTCGGACTAGGCTTCTCGGGCTTGGCAGATTCGTTCAAGACCTTCCGCCTTTCAGAGGAGATGGCAAGGGCAGAGATGGCGAGGGTGGTACCAGCCACGAAAGCGTGGCGCGAAGACCATCGGGAGGAGGAGGGAGCGGAGGGGCCGGTGTTGAGGGAGCGGCGGGCGAATGAGCGGGCGGCGGTGTTGAGAGATCGGGCGAACATTGCGAGGAAGGTAGAGGGAGGGATGGTTTTGTGGAAAGGGAAGGAAAGGAGAGAAGTGCACTTTGTCAGCGAATCGAACTTTCTGGCCGTGCCTCCACCCGCACTTGCGCCGCATCTCATTGGCTGGCGTGCCAGACGTTGGATGACGGTGCAGGGGGTAGCTGTCTGGTATGCTTTGAGAAGAGGACGTGGTGAGGAAGAGAGAGGTATATAGAAGAGAATTATACACACGAATGTGTGTTGATCTTAGGGACTGATCTTTGCGAGGCGTATACTTTTGCCGCTGATTGTTTGGTTCGTGTGGGCGGCGTCGAACTGGATACGACGGACTTTGACATATCCTCATATCTAGAGGGGGCCATACAGGTTGTTTTGTCCAGGTGGGAGGCGATCCGCTTGGAAGAACGTGCCGATGCCAGCGCCCTCTCCGTTCTCGAGAGAGTTACCGGCTACGTTTACAGCAACCCTGCCGCTTTCAGCGGGCCCGTCTTCTCGAAAGCATCGATCGCCGGCTACGCCTTCCTATTCTGCAAGATTCTTACCCTCACCAGATCACCTACCACTCTTACGATGCGGACCGCCACCTCAGTGTCTCTTCTGCGATGGAGTTGGACGAAGCTCCAAGGCTTCGTGTCCCACCTTCAGAAACCGACCACTATGGCTCAATCATCCCGCTGGTAGAAGGTCGCTACCCTATCTGCCCTGTTCGGACTCTCCCGGATTGGCTAGCCCACCACCCAAGCCCGTCTCCGTCGAGTCCGCTGTTTTTGTTTGAGGACGGGAAGCCATTCACGTGGACTCGAGTAGCCGAGTACCTCGCTGAAGCCACGAATACGCTCTGTATCGATCCGTCTGTGTAACAGCTTGGACGTGGAGCGATGGTGTATTATAGATGATGACTGTGCAGGGTTCGAAAAGCCGAGGTTTATGTACTATATGGTCCTATTTGGTATCCAGACTTTCATAATGTGTTGCATATAAATTCAGCAGTAGTCAATGCGAGATAACCAATTCAACAATTGTACAAATCTTCTATTTTTATCTTATCTTTCAGAATTTGCGTTACTTGACAAACGTCCAATACAGAACAAAGGAACAGACTTAAAGCTCATCAGGCTCAGGCTCATAGTCTGAGCGGGTCGAGAAGGCCGAGAAGGGAGTACCGTCTTCGCCGGCGTACTCGCTTGGGGTATTGATCTGCTCGTCAAAGTAGTGCTTGGCCACAGACCTCGGAGCTATCACATCGTCAGCATAACATCGCGCCAAGATGAAGGAAGAAGACTCACTCTTAGGCGTCTTGGGCAGCCTACAGTACTCGCCCGTCTGCATAATACTCCAAGCCACCAACCCCGTCCACCCCGTCTGATGACTCGCGCCCAAACCTCGTCCATCATTCCCATGGAAGAACTCGTAAAAGTGGACATTGTCCCGGAAGTGAGGGTCTCGGTTGAGCTTCGGGTTACCGCCATTGACAGCCCGGACGCCGTACTCGTCTCGCGAAAAGATGTGAATGAGGCGGTGCTGGATCTCTTCCGCACACGCGGCGAGGTTCATGTAGTCTCCACTGCCAACGGGACACTCGACTTGGAGGGTGTCGCCATAGTACTGGTGGAATCGCTGGAGAGACTCGATGAGGAGGAAGTTGACGGCGAACCAGATGGGACCTCGCCAGTTGGAATTGCCGCCAAACATGCCAGACTTGGAGTCCCCAGGCCAGTAGCCGACGCCGAATTCTTCGCCGTTGACGTTCATGGAGAAGGGATTGTCGTGGTGGTAGAGAGACATTGATCGGACACCGTACTCGGAGAGGAACTCTTTCTCGTCCAACATCCTCTCGAGGATCCTCACCAACCTCTCCTTTGAAGCCAGCGCCAACAGCGTACGGTCGCCCCGTCCAGGAGCTTGCACTAGGTCAGCACGATCCCCACATCGCGAAGGAACGACTCACTCTTCAAACTTGCCACGTTCCTCTCAGAGATATCCGGCCTGTTCTCAATGAACCAGTCCATCCTTTTCTTGAACCCGGGGAACCTCTTGATGACACTCGGCTCCAATACCAAGGTCGCATAGAGCGGCATGAGCCCCACCATACTCCTCACCGGCAACTGCTGCGAGTGCCCGTAACCCCACTGGATGGCATCATAGTAGAATCCATCTTCCTCATTCCACAACGACAGCTGCTCGTCATTGGAAGACGGGTAAGTCATGGCGTCCGAGATGAAGAGGAAGTGTTCAAAGAACTTGGAAGCAATGTCTTCGTAGGTGGGGTTGTGCTTGGCGAGCTCGAGGGCGATGGAAAGCATGTTGAGGCAGAAGAAGGCCATCCAGGCGGTACCGTCGGCTTGACGAAGGTTGCCGCCGGTGGGGAGGGGCTCGGATCGGTTGAAGGGACCAATGTTATCGAGACCGAGGAAACCGCCTTCAAAGACGTTGTTGCCGTCAGCGTCCTTACGGTTGACCCACCTGACTTGACATCAGCATCTGATTCTGTGATACCAGGTCGTTGAACTCACCATGTAAAGTTGAGCAACAACTTCTGGAAAACTCTCTCCAAGAAATCAAGATCCTCCCTACCAAACATCTTTCTCTCAATCTTGAACACTCGGAACGTAGCCCTGCCCACTATCAGCGTCACCTCATCAGAAGCGTAAAGACGACTCACCAAGCGTGGACAGGAGGGTTGACATCGCTAAAGTTCCACTCGTACGCGGGAAGAGCACCGTCGGGCTTCATATACCACTCCCTCGTCATCAAGTCGAGCTGCTTTTTGGCAAAGCTGGGGTCGACCATGGCCAAGGGGATGCAGTGGAAGGCAGTATCCCAACTATCAAGTTGTGTCAGTCATGACCTTTATCAATCTTGAGAGAGACGCACGTGGCGAACCAAGGATACTCCCACTTGTCGGGCATGGAAAGAATGTCGTTGATATACATATGCTTCCATTCCTACATCAAATGTCAGCTCTGCCATCGCCTCCGAATGAGGTACTTACCCTGTTTCTAACCCACTTTCTCTCGGGCGGGGGAGGCGGCTGCCCAGGATCACCATCCATCCACTCCTTCTGGATATACTGATAATACTGCTTCGTCCAAAGCATACCACTCAACGCCTGCCTCATAATATTCCTCAAATCATCCGAAATACCACCTTTAGCGATCCTCCCATAAAACTCATCCGCATCCACCCTCCTGTCCTCAAGATTCTCATCAAAGAGCTCTTCGTCCAGGATAGTAGGGTCTTCTTCGGGGGTGTTGGGCGTCATCTTGAGACGGACGACGACGCAGCCGCCGTTGGCGGGCACGTCTTTGAAAAAGTAGTGGGCGGCGGCTTTGGTGCCTTCTTTGTCGGGGTTGACGAATTGGCGGTGGCCGCCCGAGACGGGCCTGGGGGCGGCTTCGGCGGCGGGGGCAGGGCCGGAAGACCCGTCGTCCTCTCCTCCTTCCTCGTTCTCCTCGGCACCCTCGTCGGCGTCCTCGGAAAGGTCGGCTTGGGAGTGGTGGGGAGGGAGTTTGTGAGATTTGCCAGAGGGAGACTTCTTGACGGGGAGAGCACCGGGGGTAGTGTGTTCCGGCTCGGGCTCAGGAGGTCGGTGGCCGGGGATGAGGTGGTCGTGGAAAGCATCCTTGACCCAAGGTGTTCGGTTCTTGCCATTGTAGAGACGCTACCCAAAGTCAGTAAAAGTCCCGCCTCCAAGTGGAAAAGCTCACCTCAAAGTTGGTCTCATTGTTGGTAAACAACAAGTCGGGCACAACACTCGGCCCATCAACCAACACCACACCGCCCTTGACCGGCGCAGCAGGCGCAGGACTCGGCGTCGCATACAACCTAGTCTTTCCAAGCGTCTCGTGGTCGGCGTGAATCACACCGTCGGCTTCTTGCCTCAGGTTGGGCATGTGCTTGGGAAGCTCCTTTGGCCAGGACCAGGTGTTTCGGAAGAAGAGCTGGGGGAGGATGTGCAAGTCGGCAGGGTCGGGACCGCGGTTGTAGGCTGTGATTCGGACGGAAAGGGCGTCGGCGTCCTCTTCGTCTTTGGCATACTATCCAAGAGTGAGCTACGATTCTAGCACTATACAAGAGTACCCACCTCGACATAGACATCCCAGTACCTGTCTTCATCAAAGACATCCGTATCCATCAACTCAAACTCGGACACTTCCTTGCTCCTATTGGCATTTTCCTCCTTGAGCTGCTCGTAAGGGAATTCCGCCTGGGGATACTTGTAGAGGTACTTCATGTACGAGTGGGTGGGGGTAGAGTCGAGGTAGTAGTAGATCTCCTTGACGTCTTCACCGTGGTTGCCTTGGTTGCCGTTCAGGCCGTACAGACGCTCCTTGAGGATGGGGTCTTTGCCGTTCCAGAGGGCGAGGGTGAAACACAGGCGCTGGTGGTTGTCGCTACGAGTGATCAGGACGCGAATTAGTCAAGAAGAGTGTCACTCACGAGATACCGGCCATACCATCCTCACCCCATCGATACGCCCTACTATTAGCAAGCTCAAATGGGAACGAGTTCCAAGCGTCCCCATTCGCAGAGTAATCCTCCCTAACTGTCGCCCACTGTCGCTCACTGACATACGGGCCCCACCTCTTCCAATGCACTTCATACTTGTCAGACTGCTGCAGCCGGTGTTCCTCCACCGAGTGATACTTGGGTCCGAGCTGGGCATGAAGACGATCTCTGAGCGACTATTGCTCGCTTAGCGGGGCTCATTTGTGGGGGTGGGGGATCTCGCGGGGTAGAAAAGAAGCTTACCTTGTGCTCTTGACCTTGCGTCCCGGGAGTATCCGTATCGCTGCCGCCCTTTGCTATGCATTCCATCAGCCCATACTCTATCCTTCTAGGAAGTTGGGAAGCGCGTGGCGACTCACGTGTGGTAGCCTCGTTGGCGTCCTGTCGTTTGGGGAGGTTGGCCTGGGCCCCAGGGGGGGCGGGGATGTTGATCTTGAGGGACTCGGCGGGGATGGGGGTGGATGTGCCAGCGTCTGCCTGCTCGGGGCTGTCCTCTGTGGAGAGTCAGCACGAGGTCGGAACAGAGGCATGTGGATGGCCCCATGGGCGGTAGATGAGATGGAGGGGGACTGACGAGCAGGCTTGGTAGCGCTGAAGAGCTTGTTCTGGAGCTTCTTTGCGTTGCTCATGGCGAGCAGGGGGAGATGGAAAGGCAGTTGAGGAATGAGGATGTTTAAATGAGAAAGAGAAACACCTCCCGCCCTGACGCGTCATCGAGACACCCGCGACTCACCGCCCATTCCAGGCCACTCTTCTCTCGAATGCTTCTCAGAAGAATGGCGGTCTATCATCAACTCTTCATAGCATAAATGATGGATTAATGAGCGGGCCGAGAAACAAGTCACGCGAACGAGAATAGAGCGAGAGAGTATAACAAGTTTGAGAGGTAAGGGAGAATCACGAGAAAAAGAGTGAGATACTTTACGTAGAAAAAAGCGACTAGTAATCAACAGCAGGTGTAGAGGAGAAACTATGCGAGGAGTGAAGAAGAGAGAGAGAGAGAAAGAACTGTCATAACCTAGATGGGTATCAAAGGATCGTTCTTTGATGCAGGGGCGTCAAGTTGGATGGGGTGCAGGTCATGAAAAAGGTATCGATGTGGGGATATATGTAGATTGATTATACACATAAGGGGATTCGATGGATACGAATCAAAAGAAAGAAAGAAAGAAAGTCATCTACTCCAGTCAGCACGCGCCCCCAAAGCCTTGTAGCGGGGACAACTCACCAAGCAAAGTAATGAGTATACACCCTACTCTCGGGATGGACCGGCATCTCCAACTTGAACGCGTTCAGCTCCTGCTTGATCGACATGGCCAGCTCGGGCGTCAACCGATTACACGTCGCCGGCTCGCTCCTCCTATCATAAGTCGACGGGTCATACGTCGTGTACACTGCACATTCCGGTGCCCAGAGTAGCCGGCGCTTGGCAGGGACTGTCATGCTCCTTGGCTGGGGCGCTGGGCGGTCGGACGTGCCGAGGAGGGATAGTGTGGGGGCAGAGGTGTTTTGGGAGGGGATGGAGTAGATGGAGGTGTTGGGAGCGGGCTGGTCGAAGGGAGAGAAGGAAGAGGAGAGGGGGTCGTAGATGTCGTCCGGGGTAGAGGTCAGAGTCTCCATACCGTCCAGCCTGGCCGGGTCGGCGGTGGGAAGTTGAGCCAGAGGCCCGGGAGCTTGCTGTGCGCCTTGTTGCGCCGAGTTCGACCGGGGGCGACCCTTGGCCTCTTCCATCGACGCATGCGAGGGGACACCTATATCCTGTCAGCCCTGTTCCCCATCGTAGTGCCGGACTCACTCTTCAAGATACTCTTTTTGGGCACCGCATTCTTATCGATATACGCATTACCCCACGTCGCCTTAAACTCTGCATCCGCCTCATCCGAAAACCTCGTCCTCCCCATCGTCATCGTCAGATCCTCCACCGTATCTCCTTCATCCGACGTATCATCCTCGCTATCATACTCGTGCTCCGTCACCGCCACAGCATGCACAACCGTAGGCGTCTGTCTTGGCTGGACGTGTACGACTTCAGGCCCGCCGTTGGGCACGGCAGCAGCGACGTTAGCGAACGAAGGCATCGCCCCCGGTTCAGGAATATTTTCCAAAGGCGGTAGGCCGTTCTGCTGTCTCGTCTGCGCTTCAGCCCTCGACTTGAGGGTATGCTGCCTCGCGAGCTTGGCAGCTGGCGAAAGGCCCGCGAGGGTACGGTCGTCTTCTTCTCCAACAATCCGATCGTGTTCGGCGGTAGCGTGGCTGACAGAAGCTGGCGCAGCTTCGCTCTTGCCTTTGCCCTTCTTCTTTTCCTTCTTGATCTTTTTCGCTTCCTTGGCGGGGAGCGCGGCGTCCTCGTCTTTCGGCTTGTCTTTGAAGATCCTCGAGATACCCATCAAGCTGTCTCTTCGTCAGCCCCTTCTTATACTTTGATGTAGCGCACTGACCTGTTCCTCCTCGCCAACTTTCCAATACTCCCCATCTTCCTTATCATCATACTCGCACTCGACACAGTCGAGCTCAAACTGATATTATCCGTCGACATATTCTTCATCCTAAACATGCTCCTCTTTCCCTTCTTTCCATCTTCCCCACCGATCGTCGCTGTCCGTTCCGTCTCTGCCAGGCTGAGCTCGCTGCTCGAAGCCGCGGGGTTGAGCGCAAAGGGCGCGTTGGGCGCTGCGAGCGGTTCGGATTGGGGCGGCGTGATGGGCGGTGTGCCGGAGCGCGTCGAGCTTTCTGACGGCGACTCGAATGCCTGAGGGGGCAACGACCTTTTCGCAGGCGTGTCCGCCTTCTTCTGCTCTTTCGCTTCCTTCTCCGCACTTTTAAACAACCTGCCCTTGAACCCCTTCTGGGGCTTCTCCTCCACCGTAGTCGAGTTGGACAGAGGGGAAGGCCGGGCGTTGGTAGCGTTCGTAATCGGCCCAGGGTAGAGCGGTGTCGGCGCCCGCGTCGTAGGCGGTCGTGAAACAGGCGACGAAGCCCTCGACACCGGGCTATTCTCCCGATCCGACCTCTCGCTCGCATTCGAATTGCGCCGCATCTCCGTATTCAGCCTCGGCGGTGGTACAAAGGATGCTGCCGACGGGTCGAGCTCGGAGCGTATTGGTTCGGCAGAAGGAACGGTCGGGGGGTTGAGGGTGCTGGGGGTGGAGATGGGGTAGGGTTGGTCGTCGAGACCTTTCGGAGCGGAGGTTGAGCGGGGGAGGGATAAGGGGGATGGGTCGGTCTTTGTGGGCATAGATGCGGAGCGAGGGACATTGTCTGAAGTAACCTTTGCAGGACCGCGCTTGTACGGGTGAAAGGCTGCTTGGGGTTTCCCCTGGTTCTTGGGTTGTTCAAGCTGCCCCTGCGGTGCAGCGTATCCACCCTCAAAGTATCCACCCGCCTGCTTCTCAGATACGTTCCCGTTGGGATACTCGGAAGGCGACGGGGTATGCTGTCCAGCCATCATGACCATATGCTGATACGCATTCGCCCACGCCGCAAAGTCTGCCTGGGACTGCTGAGCCTGGTACCCCTGCGGATACTGCCCCGCGTACTGGTTGTACTGCTGCTGCTGCTGCTGCTGGTACGCGCCGCCAGAAGGGGACCAAGCCTGGTTGGGATAGTACTGTCCTTGCTGCGGCGGTGGCTGGGGAAAGTACGAGTTGGTGTACGGCTGGTTGTAGGGCGAGGCTTCGGAGGCGCTTGAGCCTGGCCGGCTGGAGGGGTGGTCGTAGGGGGAGCTGAAAGGTGGGGTGGAGCGGGCGCGGGCCTGGTCGAGGGAGGGGGTACGGTCCATGGAGGGGCGGTGGACGGGACTGGGCATGTGGAGGGCGGCAGCCATAGTGCTGCGCCGGGCGTCAGCGGCGTACAAGGTTGCCGTCGCGGTGGACGTACTGGGAGGCGAGTCGCGTCTAACAGTTCATCAACTCGTCAGGGACGGCGAGACGGAATGACAGCTGGGAAAGACATCAGCAAACGAATGAGAAGAGAAGGGTTGTTTGGAAAAAAAGATGTTGTGGAGAATGGGGACAACGGAGGTGGTGGTCCGTGAGCCCGTCGAGCTCGACATCAAAGATCGCCCGAGATCTGGCCAGCCCTCCTTTCCCAGCGCCGACTGCGCAGTGGAGCGGGAGCGGTGGGGTGGGAGGGGGAAGACATGGCGGCAGGGGACTCACTGATGTTGTACAAGGGTCGTTCGGTGGGCAGAGGGCAGTTACAAATGTCGGGAGAGAAGACAGAGACGGTGGTGGGCGGCTGATGGGGGCAGCGCTGTGGACGCGATGAGTCTAGGGGGGGTGAGTCATGGAGACGAGGGAAGAAGGGAGGAGAAGAATGAGAAGATAGGGGCAGGGCGGACGGGGGCGGAAGCAGGGAGGCAGGGGTGAGGGAGTGTGTGTCTGCGATGTGTGCGCTGTTCACCATGCACAACAACAGACCGCGTAGAGCCCCCCGTATGAGTATCCCCTGCAGCCCCCGCCAGCTGCATAGAGCGCGCAGAGTCCATAGCATACCCCTGCTAAAGCTGCACAGACCCCGCCGAGCAACGATGCGCTATGCACTGCCCAAGGCCCAGCTGATTCGTCAATCACCCGCCGCTGGGAACACTCTGCGGCACCCGATACCACCATCACGCCCACCCGCAGACCCATCATCAAGGGCAGCTTCTCGTGGGCAATGCGCCAAAAACAACCACGTCTCTCGCGTAGACAACTCGACTCTAGACTCACCAGCTTGTCTCTCCAGCGGACCTGTATTCCTTTTCCTTCTCTTTCGTCTCTCCAGTGGCGAGGCTTGTCGAGTATCAGACGATCCTCCTCAAAAAAATACACTCGTTCTCCTTCTTTCACAGCTGCCGAGCTAGCCGTGTTTTCCTGCCCGCGTCGTGGCGCCGGACGAGCAGATGCGAGGCGAGCAAAAAGATGCGCGACGTGGTGGAGGGGTACACCTAGCAACTGATGACTATAGCCGGACGGGAGGCATGAGACGGAGAGACGCAGAAAGAGGTTGTCAAGACACTCGGTAGGTTGCTCCCCTTCTCCGTCCCTGAGGCGCTTGCTTTTTGGTCTCGTGGTCGTGGACCGCGCGTTTCATGCCACTCCAAAAACAAAAACAAGCTCATGCACTGCCCCCTTACCCTGACCCTTCTTCTCTCTATCCCATGCATCTGTCTCTCCTCTGCATCCACTGCAGTGGTGGGGTATGGGGGCATATCTGATAAGCCCCCCTGCATGGCCACCGACCGCTGGACCCAAGCGAACCCCCCTCTTACCCCGCCCCGTGCTGCCCCGTGTCTTGCCCCTTCGGCTCTGGCGACCGAATGACGTTTGCCGCAGAAACGCGTCGACTTTTATGCCGCAAGGGGAAAAAGCAAAAGTCAAAAGACGGCTGCGAGCGTTTCATCGCATGATGCGGTATGCCGGCGCGAGGTCTGGCCAGGTATTTATGCGCTTTGAGTATGCATGGTCGATGCTCGGAGGGGCTCGGGGGTCGATGGCATCGCTGGTAGCTGGTATGCAATACAAGGCCTGGACAGAGGGAAGGGGATCAGGTACTCAAAGGTATTGACAGAAGGTTGAGTGATAGCATGGATAAGAGAGTGATGATCATCAAGCATATGTCATTTCGTCTATGCAAGTGAATGGTACCTCCCGGGTCTTCGTAGTCATTGTCAAATCGTGTATCAGCCACAGCCCTGAAGTCCTTGATGAGCGTCATATCTGCCAGCGTTGCAACTCCCCCAACTGTCTCTTCTCCCTCATACCTAGGCCACAAAGCCAGCCACCATGAACACTATCCCCTATCGTTCATCCCCTTTAACATCTCCAAGCCTTATCGTCGCGATCAGACTCTCATCATCAAGCCTTACAAAAGCATCGTCGCGGAGGATGAGATGGGTAGAGATTTTTGGGTTTTGAATGGTAGAAAGTATGGGATCATGGGTGAGGGGGAGTCTTAGAATGAGCTTGTTGCCCGGCGTTGTCTGCATTGCAGAGTGTTTATGAGAGGATTAGAGGGAATGTTGCGGAGACGAGGTCTGTGTCGCCGGTGCACTTGGACGGGGAGTACTACCAAGGACAGTTTCTTTCAGCTGTCAGAAGTCGTTCACCTTTAGAGCTATCACACGGAATACGGTATGAGCGCAAAAAACTTTTACGAGATGAAGGATAAATTGAAAGCACCCAAGTCCCTGATCAAAGACCACAAGAAATGGCATTGCGATAAGAAGGTGAAACGGCGTATTCGCATGACGCTTGCTATTGCCACACATCCGTCAGAAACAGACCTCTTCGTGGCCTAGAATCTCTTACACCATCCCCCCATGTTCAAGAACCTCGTGAGACGACTTTCCTGGATCCCGACTACCACATCGAAGTGGGGTCTATCGAGGATCATGCTTTGGCGAAGGAGGAGGCGGAGGTCAGGGTGGTGCTGGTCACGCCGGAGGAGATGTATGTCTTGCTGGCGCGGGCTGCAAAGTATGGGCGGGGTGTGGCGTTGAAGATGGAGTATGGCTCTGTAAATGATGGCATAAAGCAGTTGAGTGCATGTACACTTGTGCAGTACAAGCTTTAGGAGAAACAGACAGACAGACCGTCGCGACAAGGAAGCGAGCCAAACAAAAGCCCCGCCGCCGGGCTCTGCACTGACATCACTCCCCGCCCCGCGCTTACCCCACGTGGCTCCCGAGCTCCCATGAGTCATTCGCTCGTGCCTGTGGGTGGTTGTGCTTTTCGCGGTTCGCGTGCATTTTTTTTTTAATTCCCCGTGCCCCTCTCGGTGACTGTGATCTGTGAGATGGTGTGCTTATCAGTCCCTGGCGTTTCCTGGATCTCTTGGGTCCTGGATCTTCGGCGCCGGGGTTTGGTGCGCGCCCGAAATACTTTTTGGTTGGCGGCGGTGTCCACGTACTGTCTACGGGGGTGCCAGAGGGGGTGAAGGGGTGTGTATACTGCGAGGACAGTTGGACAAGGAGTACGAGAGCATGCACGAGCCCGCACAGTAGGATCTCCCGCCCAAGACGCGGAGCCAACGCTCCAATCCGACATGCCCAATCCTGCGGGCAGTGGAGGGATGATGCAATCCAGTGACTACTCCTGGGCCCCCGCGCTACTTCCCACTTTTCCCTTTTTCACCCTTTCGCTATTCTCCTGAACACATCCTTTGAGCACATCTCCATGACGTTTATTGCACACAGCAATCAAATCTGAACCCCACAAACACACCACCAGCGTCACCGCGCCACCTTTGGAAGACATATATAACCAGCAAACGTTTTCACGTTGCCTCCCTCATCTCCAACACAAAGAAGAAAGACTTCTCGGTACTTATACCCATTCGAACTTGCCCTTACTGCAGCACTACTACCCTACGTTTTTATCACCATGTCCCAGCCCGAAGCCCAGACCAAGAACCGGTATGTCCCCCTCCCCACCCCCACCTCATGTCGAAGGATGGCATCTGACCTTTGATGTAGCGAAGAAGACCAGACCGAAACTCCTCAGGAGGAAAAGACCTCTGGCAACGAGGCTCCCTCCGAAGCCCCCTCCGACGACAAGCCTGAAGAGTCGGAAGACAAGTCTGAGAACTCTGAAGACAAGTCTGACGACAAGCCCCAACAACAACAACAACAGTCTGGCGAGGAGGGCGGTTCCCCCGTGGACGCTGCTACCAAGCCCGTCGAGCAGACTGCCGACACTGCCCAGGACGTCGCCAAGGGCGCCACCGACCAGGTTGGTGACGTCGCCGGGACCGCTTCTGGCTTGACCGAGGGCGCCACCGAGCCCGTTGGCCAGGTCGCCGACACTGCCCAAGGTTTGACCAAGGGCGCTACCGAGCCTGTCAACCAGGTCGCCGACACTGCCAAAGGGACCCTCGGCAACGTTGGCAAGTCTCTCGGCGGTGTCACTGGCGGTGGTGGTGGAGGGGATGAGAAGAAGGGAGACCAGGCTTTGGGACCTTTGAAGAGCAGGAGAAAGCCTTTGGCCAACGAGCTTGCCGACACGCCCCCCGAGCAGCAGCCTGGTGGTGGAAAGAAGGACGACGAGAAGGGGTCGCTTAGGATCAACATCTCGCTGGATCTGGATGTCGAGGTGCATCTGACGGCGAGGGTGAAGGGTGACATTACGATTGGTCTTCTATAAGCTACGTGAAGGGGGAATGATCTTGGAAAGAAGTTTTACTGTATCGTTTAGAACCACCAAAGTATTCGTGTATAGATTTTAATATTAGAGCTCCATGAACAATCTAATCGTCTTGCCTCTTGCCTATGCCCATTGCCGCATTTGTTGGTGCAAAAATTTGACAAGGCCTTATGATAAAAGATAACAGCATGCTCACGGCAGGACGGGCAACTAGATAAAGCCAACTCTGTTTTCACAGCAACAACTGCATACTCTCTCTGATAACCCAAATCCCTCGTCGCACGTCTCGCAAGAACGGCACGCCATCCGTTTCCCATGCTTCCCGGGAGGTTCTTTTTCTCTGCAAGAGGAGGGCGGCGCACGAGGAGAGTCGATGTGGGTTCCAGCTTCCAGCGATCGAGTATGCTTCTGGGTGACGTAACGGCGACTCACCCCCCTTTCGATTGCATTACGTCACTCATCAGACCTTCCTTCGTGCGCTGTGTGGTTCCTCGGATTTGATCCCGTCCATCTCCACCGTGAACAGCACTTGTTATTATTTTGTCTCAGAGTATGAATCCCGGCAAGAGCTCAACTTTTTTAGTCATCGTAATCCCGCCTTCCGCCTTCCGCAGAGGCCGTAGAATCGTTCACCGGCTGGTTTACCAAATCCCGACACTGTCCACCCGACACGAGAGACGAAAATATTCCACAGCCATCTCTGCGCCACTCCTCGCCCCCCCACTCCGACCCCATCACCCCTCCTACCTCTCCATAATGCCATTTGGCCTCCTCACGGCCATTGCCGCCTGCCCCGCCATTATCGGCACCACCGAAGCCATCCAGCAAGGCCAAAAAACCAACGCCCGCGAACAGCATCGCGGTAAAAAAGTAAACTTGACAGTCAAGCTGCATGGGGCGGACATGTATCGGGAAAAGTTTGAGGGGGCGTTGGTTGTGCTGAAGGATAACAAGGTGTGTACATTTCTGGCTGGGGAATAGAAGGAAACTGACGGAGGAATCAGCTCTGGGTCGAACACAGCGACTGTATAGAACTGGAAGGCTCCCACCCCTTCTCCGGCTACTACCTCCCCCACCCACAACACCAATCCCGGTGGAAAGGCGCAGGCTTCAAAGGCGAAGGCCTCGTCACCACCACTAACGCCCAAAACATGCTCAACTGGGTCTACGTCGATAAAGACACGTATGAGCTGAAACATGGGATCCGGGTGCAAGCGCAGGACCACCTGACGGGGCCTTGGGACTGTACCCAGATAGATAGACGGATGACGTTTGAAGGTTGGGAGGGGTTTGTGGTGGTGCAGGTGGATGAGGAGCGAGACTTGTGGGGATTGTTTTTTGATAGGGATGATAATGGGCTTAGCGGACCGGGGCAGATTGGGGAGGTGAAGGAAGGGGAGAAAAGAAAGAGGATGTTGCAAGTCGAGTTGGTGAGGAGTGAGATGGAGAAGACGAGGTATGATGCGTTCGAGGAGAGGAGGGAGAGGCTTAAGGCGTTGGCGATCAAGCAGAAACAGGCCGAGGGGGCAGCGTAGAGTGCGTTCTCTTTCTCTCGTCGTGGGCTTTCGCTGACTTGAGTAGGAAGCAGTACGGACAATCACTTGCATGGGACTGTAGCATAGAAGCATTTGACTGTAGATAACGACATCTGTACGAATAGCATCTGTAATAAAAGCAATTCATGAATTCTGATGACAACTCTTACAACTCTACCTAGAACGCCTGTCACTCTACGCCCAGATGTTGGCAAAGGGATCCCTATCATCCTTCTTGGCCAGAGGTTGCGCCTGCGCCGCCCCAGACCCAGCACCAAAGAACCCTGCGCCGCCGCCAGAAGAGTTACTAGCCCACGGGTCGCTCGCCCCGCCCGCCTGTGTCCAGGGATTTGCCGAAACGTTTTGCTGAGCCTGTTGCGGCTGGGCATACAAAGGCGGTTGCACCTGCACCTGCTGCTGCTGAGGGGCGGCAGACTGGGGCGCACCCCAAGCCGCTTGGTCGTTGAACCCACCCCAGAGATTACTCTGAGTCGGTACAGGCGCCTGTGTCGGGTTTTGCTGTACAGGCGGCGCAGAGCTCGTGACACCGCCGCCCCAGTTGGCATACTGGCTCTGCCCCTGTACACCTCCTGGAGGCGCAAAGAACCCGCCAGCTACATTTGGTCCTGCAGAAGCAGAAGCGGAAGCGGAAGGAGAAGGGGTGGAGAAGAGGGACATTATGTCTGCTTTGGCTGATCTGGGTGCGGGAGCGGAGGATATGGGGGAGGTGGTAGATGATGGGGTGGCGGAGGGGGCACGGAAGTCAAGGTCGAATATCGAGCTGCCCGTCGACGCCGCCGCTGGGGCAGGGGAAGTAGGCGCAGGTGCTTGGGTAGGGGCTGGGGCAGCAGCAGTGGTAGCTGCAGGAGCCTCGTCGTCTCCAATGAGGTCGATGATGGGCGCTTTGGCAGCTGGTGTAGGCTTGGAAGGGGAGGCCTTGTTGGCAGCGACGGACCGCGATAAGAGAGGGTGGGTCTTGGGGAGATGGGCGGGGACGGGAGGTGCGGCGGTGGTTGTAGGTGTTGGGGCCGAGGACGTGGGGCGGGATGCCGGAGCGGGGGGAGGGGCAGAGGCAGAGGAGGTGTCAGAGTCGAGGGTCTCTGGGGCTGGGGGTGGACCGTCCATTGCCCAGCGGCGGGACTCGTACTTTGAGCGAATGAAAGATTCTATCTTGCTGCAACATCATCAGATCCTGGTTGTCAACTGTTGCTGAAGGGGACTCACTGATCAGGAGGAACATGGCCAGCCTTCAAATGTCTTTCCCAGTACCTGTTCGCCCTCGTATTGCCCCATCTTTGGATATTCTGCCCACCCCCATCAGCACGTGTCTGACAACAAGAAGGCAAGGCTCACCTCCATCTGCTCAGGCGTCCAGATATCCAAGTCAATACTCTTCACCTTGCTGATATGCGTCCCCATCGACCGATGGATACCCGAGCACCGGATGCACAGATACAGTCCCAAGTTCCACGATGCCCATCGTGTGTCTTTTCTTCTTCATCAGCTTGGCATATGACAGAGGGAGGAGGGAACAGACCGTTGCGTTTGCAGTCGGCACAAGACTTGTTCTCGGGCTGTTTGACGAGGTCACGGAGGATACGGGCGTTGCGCTCTGTGGTAGCTTTGTCTGCAGGGCCCAGTTGTCAGCTTGCCTCCCGTGGCTTTGGGTAGAGAGGGGGATTACCTTGCCTAGACATGGTGCGCGAGGTTGTACAAGAAAGAGAGACGTGTAGAAACAAGACGACAGCGCGATGAAAGAGGACATAGAGCGCGGGTTGTTTTCTTAGGCGCGCCTCTTGCACTTGCGGGCCTATCCACCTGGCAGGGAGTCAATGCTACTGTTGGATTGCTGTTGGAGTATCACGATCCATGAGTGATACTGCAGTCTTACAGCCATCTATATATTATGCATGACCCATCTCTCATGATGATATGCCCAAATCTACATATAAGCCTTCGTACCCATCGATAACCACGCCTGGCTCTTCGCCCACGTCCGACATCGCCCTCACATCGTCTGACCAGACTATTACACCATACTAGACTCTAGAGCCCCCATGCAATGCATTGCTCCCCCTTGTGCGTAGGATGAAGCGATTCAGATTAGAAGTCGTCGTTCTCCGGGACGTAGTAGTACCCTTCGATAGAGTAGAGGAAAGCAAAGATGATAAAGGCGACCGCGCCGATAAGGGTGACTGTCGGTCGAGTCAGCTCCAATGCACAAGTTTGGAAGGAGGGGGACGTACTGTGCTTGACAGAGATCTTTGTGGAGAGATAACGTCCGCCAAGAACAGCTCCGCATGTGCACACACCGTGCCCGACAATGGTTCCGAACGCAATCACAGCAACGCTCTGCGTCCAGTCATCAGCGATATCCACATGTCATCATAAAGCAGACTTACGTGGGCACCGGCCATGGCGATGGTGGTGATCTGACTCCGGTCTCCCCACTCTCCCAAGAATGTCAAGACAAACGCCTGAGCGAAAACGGGGTTTGTGACCATCTGCAGTGTTTCTCTGATCCTGTCCTTGATCGCCACTGTCCAGTGCTTGCCCTTCTCCAAAGGCCCCACGCCGCCCTCCGCGCTGTTGGAAAGAGGAAAGTTGATACTGGGTCCCTGCCTGCCCGGCCTCGGGCTGGCAGATCGGTCCATAAGCGAAGATCCTTGACCAGAAGTTCTAGCAGGTCGGCCTTCTTCAACACTTTCGAGAGGGATCGCGGTACCGCGGGCGTTGTGGGTATCGTGAGAGGCAGAGTCTTCTTCGAGCTCTTCTTCGACTTCACGCATTTCTTCTTGGATGTGCGAGTTGCCGCCAGACATGGAGTGGGCTTCTTGGAGCATTTTGACGCCGAATACGGCAAAGAGAAGGGCGGCGGCCCAAAGAGTCCAGACCTGTGCTTATTGTGAGCTTTCGACTTATCGCGCGGAAGGATACGTACTTTTGGTATCAGACCGAGGATGACTCGGCCCAGCGCAGCACTCAGGATACTCATCACCACCAAACTGGCAAACGCTCCTCCGAATACCGTCGCCCTGGCATGTCGAGTAGCCATAATGGCCGCGATAAGGAAAGTCTTGTCGCCAATCTCTGACACGACAATCATGACGAATGCCTGAAAGAAACCATCTACAAACGCTCTGTTAGCTCTGTTGTCCATTGGCATGGGGCGTTCAAGTGGGCATACTGAGGGTGCTATCCGAAGCTGGTACTTCAGCCATTTTGGCAGTGAGGGTGGGATGTGAGGAGGTGGGATATAGACGAGATGGAATTGGACGAGCGCGTCGTGGAGCAAAGAAAAAACAATCGGGCATCGCCGCAAGAGATCTTGGGAGGACGGAAATTCAAGATCCGGGCACGATCTGGTATGCATGGGGGCTGATGTTTGTTGCAGAGCTGGCATGGAGGCGCAGGACTGGATATATGTGTTTATGCATGTGTATCTGTCCAGGATGCCACTTCAGCATGCCTCAAAGTAATATGGCGGTCACCAAACGTGCAAGCCTGAGTTTGATCCCGGCCGACGCCGCGCTTCTCTGACTTTTGAGTGCAACCTCCGACCTCTATGAACTAATACTCCAAAATCCCACCCCTATCAAAATATGGCATCAAGACCCGCTAGCTACACTCTCCGGTTAGCTTCAGCCCCTAGGGCCGTGCGAGCTGTTCCAGCGCTCCATCCTCGCTTCACCAGACCATCCTCTACCTCGTCCCCCAAGCCCACCGTGCCGACAAAAGGAAAGGGCAAAGTCGACAATGTGGCCGAGTCCATTTCCAACACGAGCGATATCCCTCCGCTTCAAAGACCGCTGGGTATCCCCGAGCATCCGACGGCTGTGAACAAGACATGGAAGCAGAAGCGTAGAGATATGCTGGATGACGACCGAGCAAAGGAGAAGACGAAGGTCTTGTGCGTATTCTCCGATCACGCTTTGGAGCTCTTTGGCTGATGTGTATATTCATAGACTGGCCGAAGCCAAGCAGGGTTACTTTCATGATTACAACAGAGCTCGAAAAGGCGGTGGTGGTAAACTGTGGATAGCTCCTAGTGTCCTTATTCGAGAAGATGTATGTCTCTCCCTCAAACCTTTGCAGAAGGGCGCTGACACATACTTTTAGAGGGCAAATTACTTTCCCGACATCTCAGGCAAAAACCTTCTCGGAACCAACGTCCACACTACCGACCTCTTTGCCGGCAAAGCCACCCTCGTCTCCATCATTTCTACCCGCTTATCAGAAGAACATGTGCAAACGTTCTCCCAGCCGGTACTGGAAGATCTGGAAGGACATCCTCGTTTCCAATCCGTCACTGTGCGTATCGCGGTTTAGAGACAGGGCTGAGCTGATCTGGAGAGAAGATCAATCATCAACCGAACTCGCTCAAGACGTGGATTGTGAGCATGTTCACTTCGTCTCTGAAACGAACGATACCGAAGGAGAACTGGGGCAATTACATCTACGCCACAAGCTCCTGGTCTGAACTCGATGTACGTCCTCAATTTCGCTTTCCCCGGCTTGCCGACTGACATCTCCTATGTAGATACTCCAACCACTCAACCTCGACAACCACCTGCTAGGCTACACTTTCCTTGTCGATCAGAACTGTAAAGTCCGCTGGGCTGGGTGTGGTGAAGCGACGGAAGAAGAGAGGCAGAACCTGAGGCGTGCGGCCGCCGTGCTTGTTGGGAGGATGAAGGGTAGATCGATCAAGGCGGAGGGTGAGGCTTCTGCTTGAGGCCCATCACAGTAGCATCAGAGGTTCATGCATTGCTTCAATAGGCCCTTCTTCCTTGTTGAACACCTCGGCCCTTACGTAAAAGCGTCGGATGACCCCGGCGGGCATGAACCATGCGTCCAAGTTGCGCACCCTGACGCCTGACGAGCCCTCGTTTCTTTCCATCTCTTAGCTTTTTCTTCTTTATCTTCTTCCCCCAACCCCCAGCAAACTACAGAAACATGTCCTTCACTCCCAAGTTTCAAGCCGAGGGATCTCCCGTCGATAGGGATCCCGCCACCCTCTCCAACTACCAGCAGATCGTCACCAAGCACCTCGACATTTCCTGGTCCATCGACTGGGAGAAGCGTATCTTTGGCGGATCCGCCACTCTCCAGCTCGAATCTGTCGTCGACGATCTGAAAGAAGTTGTGCTTGACGCCAGCTATCTCGACGTCAAGAAGGTCGAGGTGGACGGCAAGACCGCCGAATGGAAGTTTGGCGAGCAGATCGAGATCATGGGTACCGGTCTCTACATCACCCTCCCCTCCGCCCTCTCCGCCGGCACCAAGACCTCCATCAAGGTTACCTACTCCACTACTCCCGAATGCACCGCCGTCGGTTGGCTCGAGCCCAACCAGACCAAATCCGGCAAGCACCCATACCTCTACTCCCAGTGCCAGGCTATCCATGCTAGGAGCTTGCTGCCGTGCCAGGACACGCCGGCTGTGAAGGCTACTTATGGAGCAAGGGTCAAGTCTGGGAGCGGACTGGAGGTGCTGTTGAGTGCGCTGAGGAAGGAGGTGGTGGATCTTGGGGATGGGGTCCGAGAGTTTGTTTACGAGCAACCTGTCGGGATCCCCTCTTATTTGATCGCCATCGGCGCGGGAGAGCTTGTCTACAAGCCCTTTGAGAAGCTCGAAGGTCGAGACTGGCAGACTGGGTGCTGGACTGAGGTGCGCTACATTCCTTTTACGTGTTTGACAGAATACTGATCATGTATCAGCCCGATACCATGGACGCCGCCTTCTGGGAGTTCCACAAAGACACTGCCAAGTAGGTTTGTCTACTACAACCCGATCTTTGTCTGATTGAATTGTCTAGCTTTGTCGCTACAGCCGAAGACCTTGCCTCTCCCTACAAGTTCGGCGTCTACGATGTTCTCTTCCTCCCCGACTCCTTCCCCTACGGTGGTATGGAGAATGCGTGCTTGACCTTTGCGACTCCTACCATCATCGCTGGGGATAGGAGTCAGGTGGATGTTGTGGCCCACGAAATCAGTCATGTAAGTCATCATTTCGCAGACTTGGATGGACACTGATCTCGTCTTGTAGTCGTGGTTCGGTAATGGTATCGGCTGTGCTTCTTGGAGGCACTTCTGGCTCAACGAGGTGCGTCTATGCTGCCACACATCGAATAAATGCTGACATGAGGCTAGGGATGGACCACCTACCTCGAACGTCTCATCATCCGCGCCACGCACGGCGAACAAGCCCGCCAGCTCTCCTACATCATCGGCCGCCGCGCTCTCGTCGACGACCTCTCCAGGCTCGAACCTCGTTTCCAACGCCTCGTCGCCGAATACAAAGACTATGAAGACCCCGACGAGGGCTATTCCCAAGTCCCCTACGAGAAGGGCGCCAACTTTTTGTACCATCTCGAACAAACTGTGGGAGGGTTGGAGTTGTTTGTGCCCTACATGAAGGACTATGTGAAGACCTTTGAGGGGTATGCGATCACGACGGAGCAGTGGAGGGAGCATCTGTTCCACTACTTTGGGAGCTTGAAGGATGGGGATGAAGTGCTGAGGAAAATGGGCAAGGTTGACTGGGATGAGTGGCTGCACGGTGACGGTGAGGATCTTTGCGTGGACATCAAATACGATGACACCCTTTCCAAGGCTGTAAGTACACTCCGATCGTATGGAGAAGCATAGCTCATGTGTCTAGGTGTATGACCTTGCTGCCAAGTGGGACAAGGCCAGGGAGACTAACGACTTCTCCGGCTTCTCCCACAAAGACATCGATTCATTCTCCACCACCCAGCTCAGTAAGCTTTCTCCTTCCCCTCTCCTGTTTCCAACTGACAACCCGTCAAGTCGTGTTCCTCGACAAACTCGAAACCTACCCCTCCTTCCCCAAGAGCGCCATCAAAAAGCTCGACTCTGCCTACGCCTTTGGTACTTCCGGCAACGCCGAGATCCGTCTCCGTTTCTATGAGAACGCTCTCAAGACTGGCCCCGAGTACGCGGTAGACGCTAGCAAGTGGGTCGTCACGAAGGGGAGGATGAAGTTCAACAGGCCGGTGTTTAGGCTTTTGAATGAGCAGGCGCCAGAACTGGCGAGGAAGACGTTTGAGGAGCATAAGGGGTTTTACCACCCGATTGCTAGAAAGATGATTGCGAAGGATCTTGGGGTGAAGGAGTAGGGCTTGAGGCAGTATGCATTCGGATGAATCAGCCAGGTATCGTGGGTCATGTAGCGCTTTTGCCCGGGTCCCATCTCAAGGTTGAACGATAGATGTCAGCCATTCAGCGCTGGGTCACCAGCGTCTCTTTCTTATACGCCGACTTCTCATAGCCACTGCCTTGCGATGTCACAGCACTGTACAGCTTTCCTACCCTCTCTCCCTGACAGCGACCTCCTTCGTCGGTAAAGCCCTAGCATACTGCAGACCACCAGTTGCCAATCATCCGTTCTGCTCTTGAGGTCGGTCCATGACCTCGTGCTGATCATGTACGAGTACGTACTCTCCTGCCCTTCTCATTCTATACAAACCTGCATGTCTATGATTCTCTGTTGAGCTTCTACCGGTATACTATCTTCACATTGCGGATCTAGAACTCTCTCCCAAAGACCCTGCTCAGAAGCACCTCTCTAAGCACCTCAGTCCCCGGAGTATGGGTGATGACCAAGGGTAGATTCTTCGTTTTGTCAATGGTCTCGCCCATCCTCCCCGTCCCCTCATCCTTCTCAGGCAGCTCATCCTTCCCCAAACCCTGCGACTTGATCTTCTCATCCTTACTCCTATCCACGCCAGTCTCTCCTGTCCCTCGGCGATCCACCACACACATGCCTCTTGTCAACTCGCCATTTCGCTCGATCAAGAACTCTCTCGGCTTAAGACGCCAGCCAGCTGCGGGGGCGGAGCCTCGCTTCTGAGAAGCATGCGCGAGGGCAAACCAGACAGCGACGGGGTCGTGCATCTCCATCGAGTCTGGCAAACCAAAGCTCGCCTGGAGACCGCGTACTCTTACGAGCATGGCACTGGTGAAGCTCTCCAAAGGCGTGGGTTCGCCCTTGACTGGCACCTTTCCAGTCTCGTTGGCGATGGGAACGACGCTGGGGTGGATGAGGTCGTAGAAGGGGATAGCGTGAGGGGTGGTGATATCGAGAGGGGCGAGGATGAGCTCGATCTTACCGGCCTTGGTAGCGTCGAGGATGGCGGCGGCAGCGTAGGGATCGGCAAAGCAGTTGAACTCGGCAACGGGCGAGGTGTTGCCAGGGGACTCGAAAGCACCACCCATCCAGACGACACGAGATACTTTTTGGAAAGTCTCGGGCTCGGCGCGGAGGGCGTGGGCGAGGTTGGTCACTGTACATTAGTCAGCGGTAGATCACAATGGAGGCGAGATAACGCACGAGGACCGAGCGCAACGATAGTGACAGTGTCTTCTGGCTCTTTGCGGAGAAGGTCGAGGATAGCCTGATATGAAGGTTTGGAGGTGATTTCGAGGTGCTCGTGGCCCTCGCCGTGGGCAATCTCGGGAGGCGTCAAGTGAGGGTGGGTCTCGCTGATATTTGACAATCCGTCTGGGCCGTGCTACCAAGACTGTCAGCACACGACCTTGCGAGGATCCTTTCTCCATGCCTTCTCCTCCTGGAAGACACTCCGACGACCGACTCACAAAGTAGGCAGCCACAGCCTTCTCTCCACCGATCGGTCCATCCTCGCCCAATGCGAGGACAGTCTTTTCAGCCCCCCTCAACCTCTCGTACCTCGCGTCCGCTCCCGGGACTACTTCAATCTCCTTGGCGAGCTGGTGGTAGATCTTGATCAGGTTTTTGTGCGCGACGGGGGCGTGGGTGTTGCCGAAGACAATGGAGACGAGGGCAAGGTCGACTTCGGGCGATGCGAGGGCGAGGAGGATGGCGAGGACGTCGTCCACTCCGGGGTCTGTGTCGAGAACAATCTTCTGGGGCATGGTGGGTATGTGTAGCTGGAGAAAAGTAGAAAGAAATTGAAGATGGAGATAAGAATGCAAGATTGTCTTGGGCACAGTTCCGGCCACTTCGGACCTCCACCGCGCCTCCACCGCGCCTCCACATCACCACTTCTACATCTTCTCTTGCACGCCTCTATTCAGACTTTTGTCAGGTCACATTGCAGCCGTATCCATCAACAAAATGCCCCCTGCAAAGCCAGACTCCAGCATACTGAATCCCATTCTCGACAATACGCAAGTACCGCATCAAGCGCTGCTAGTTGTCAGGGATCCGGTGTCGTTTTCCGGGCGGCCTGTTTTTAGAGAGATCATCCGGCGGGCTCTGGCCAGGTGCGTTTGTGGAGACCCTCCCTTCAAGATTGGCATGCTGATGTGTGCCCAGAGGTGAGACAATTACCGTCATTGGTATCCTGAATCCACCAGAGGACTACTTGCCGCTTCATGCTCCTGGGGTCAACAAGCTGGACTTGACGGGATCTGTCCCAGGATATTCCTCAACTAACACTGCATCTGATATCAAAAAACAGATTCTTTCCACATGTGGGTCTTGAAAATTGACTCTATTCTGATGCGTGACTGACTACTCTGCCAGACCAAAGTGGACAAATCTTCATTGATGCTTTGGACGTCCTCGCCGAAGACTACTCTGCTGCAAGTGTTGTCAGTCTCTTGAGGTCTTTGTTGGGAACGATAAAATCACTCAAAGGTAGACCTCTCTCTGAAACCATTCCCATGCATACAACTGATCCAACACAGCCCCATCCAGACTCGTCCTCCTCCTTCCCAGTTCGTCTGTCCTGTCCCACATCACCCCACCCACCTTCCACCCCACCCTCACCCTCTTGACGCCCCATCCCCCTCCTCTCTTGACCTACCTCTCCAAACTCTACCTCTCGCCCATATCATCATCGCCCTCAGCAAATTTCTGGATGATCTTGGAGAATGCTACGAAGCGGCAGACTGGGAAGGAGCTGGCTCTGAGGGGAGAGGAGGGGCTTGAAGTGAGCACGGGAAGCAGCTGGGGTGATGGATCTGGATGCGTTCAAGTACTCGTGAGGAAGGCTACGGGCGGGATGAAAGGCATCTCCCGATCCCTCGAAGCTCTTTCGCCCACATCCTCCCAATTCCTCTCCACCGTACCCCTCTCTTCACTCGTCCCCTTGAACCCTCTTCGCCACTCTTCAACTGGTCCTCCACCCACTGCCAATACTCCATCGACATCTACGGCGCAGACACATGCGGAGCTGGATTTGCCGTTCAACCTCAGCTTGACAGATTCGCAGAGACGGCAGAGGGATAGTGTGCCTATACCTTATGCGCATGAAGGCGAGGGAGCGAGTGGGGACTTGGTGTGGGAAGATGAGGAAGAGACGGACGACGAGGAGATATGAGGCGGCAAGGGCAGGAGTAAGGTTTGAGGACAAGTACTCGGGAGTAGGGCGTTATTGTATAGTAACACTGGCATGATGCAGAGAAGCCGCTGCCACTATGAGCACAGTGGACTTCAGATGGTGTAAGGATGTCCATGCTGTCTTGATCGTTAGCGCTAGATTGACAGTGTTTGACAGGCATTGCATGCAGCGTAGGTCTGCCCTATTCACGTTTGAGAATCATGATTGCGATGTTTTGAACAGCATGTGCGATGGTCAGTGGAGCTATATAGTGCATAGCATGACTTTCTTGGCAGTGCATTAGCGTTTTGCGGACCAGGCGTCGATATCAGAGAACAGTAGGATGAGATGCGCCGACGGAGATTAAGCAAGAGATAGGCCCGATAGGGACGTGTTTCGGACGAGAGAGCTGTGCACACTACGAGTACTTATCTTTCTTTATCCGCAGGGTTGATGAGATATAAAAGAGGAAGGGTTGACCAGCAAACTCCATGTCCTCAAACCGGACTTCAATCGTTCAACAAACCTCTCTCCAAGCCACTTTTACATCACAACACACATACAAAGATGCTTCACTATCTGCGCTTTGCCCGCATCGTGAGCCCTCTTACACTTGCATAACCCTGCGACCACATTCTGACTCTGCGCCCCAGGCCTTCCATGTCTTTTTTTGTCATCTTCCTCATTGCTTTTTCTGCCCGGGCTACCGGTTCCGTTTAGAACTTGATCACCCGCATTGTGTCTTGTATTATCTTTGACATCTATCTTCCCGCTGCCCTCATCTTTGCGTTCGCCAGACGTCACTCGGGCAAGCACACCTTCTTTGACGCCGCTTGGGGAGAGGCGGCGTTCATTGTTGCGCAAATGATACTGGCTCTTTGTGAATTTTCCTCTTTCGCCATCTTGCCACTCATCAGAGGCTGAGCTGCTCCTACCAGTGAGCATAATCTTCTCCATCATCAAATACGTGCACTACCCACCCTTCCACTGGGAAGGTGCCGACACCTCTCGCAAGACCAACTTGATTCCAGTTGCCGTCCTCAGCGCCGTCAACTGTGCGGTCTTGTTTGCTTGGTTGGTGGTTGTCGTCCTTTTGGTCCAGCGAGCCAAGAGGAACGGCACCTGGGACTGGGGGAAGGGAATCACTTGGATGCAGCAGGACGAGGCTGAGAGGCAGAAGGTGGGAGATGCTCAGCGACTTAGGAAGGTGCAGAGCTATGATGCCTAATGATGGTCCCCCTTTATTAGATAGTATCTAGCTAAAAGAGATTAGCGACTGTCATATAGTCTAGTGTATGAATATTCAGAAGTTCTGTTCCCTACAGCTTTCTAGGTTTCAAGTCACGTTGACGGATGGCGTGAGCCGTGGCACGCACCACCACCATTGAGCCTTCGACTATCGTCTCGACTGATTACACCTACTTTAGAGCAAAATGCATGACTTCACTTCCATGATCATTACCACTCCACTCACCCGCAGACCTCCCTTCTCGCTGTAAGTACAATAATCGGACGTGATTTGTATACTGGATCGCGCGGTGGCCAATTCCCGAGCGGACAAGGCCGCCAACAATTGGCCTCCGGCGATGGCACCACCCAAGCACCACCTGCGACCTCAATGCGACCTGCGCTCCATCATCGTCCACTTTTCTGAGGTTTTCCCTACTCGCTCTTGTTTCTCAACCATTACAAGCCGCTCTCCACTACGGCTCTCAGCTTTCCATATCTCACATCGATCCACAATCCCAGCCATGTCTCGGCAAGAAGCTCAGCCCTACGACCACGCCCTCGACGTCCGTGATCTCACATATTCTTGGAAAGAGGGAGATGATCCCGTCCTCCAAGGGGTGGAGATACAGCTGAAGAAAGGGGAGAGGTGTCTGCTTCTCGGCGCGAATGGAGGTATGTCGCATCTACCGAGGGGATGGTCCACTGTCGATCGATGTCCATCTGCTGGATCCGATCTGGGGCATGGAGCCTCGATCGTGTCTATATGAGTATAGGATGCTTATATTAGTATGTCATGTTAGCCGGAAAGTCGACACTGCTCAGAATTCTGGCCGGTAAACGCTTGACCAAGACGAAGCACTGCCGGATCCTCGGACAAGATGTCTTTATGAACCCTCCGGGTGTATGTCCCTCATGCCCTACTATTGTTGAAGTAATTGCTAATGCAAGTCTACAGGGCGTGGTCTATCTGGGCACAGAATGGTCTACCAACCCCGTCGTGCGCTCCGATATCGTCGTTTCCCATTTCCTCGACTCTGTCGGTGGTTATCGACACAAAGCGCGACGAGACCGTCTATTAGCGCTCCTGGATGTCGACTTGGACTGGTCAGCCCCCCCCGGCTTCCTATGGAAAGAAGAGCTGATCAAGATGTAGGCACATGCACCAGATCTCTGACGGCGAGCGAAGACGAGTGCAGCTCTGTATGGGGCTCATGGGGGAGTGGGACGTCCTTCTTTTGGACGAAGTCACCGTCGACCTGGATGTACTCGTGAGGGCAGACTTGATCGACTTTTTGATCTCGGAAAGTGAGGAGCGGGGAGCCACTATCGTCTGTGAGTTCTCAACCTGCTGCGAGACTGGGAGATGAAGCTGACGGGGAGTTAGATGCGACGCATATCTTTGACGGTCTCAAGAAGTTCCCCAACAAGATCTGCCACATGCAGCTCGGTGGCACCCCTCGCGGTCTCGTCCCATGGCCCCCTCTCCACGCCGACAAAGATGTCGGACAAGAGGATCTGTGCACGTTGGCGCTGGGATGGTTGAGGGAAGACAGAGATCTGAGGAGGGAGGCGGAGAAGGCCAAGGGGAAGGTGAGGGGGCCGAAGACTGATGTAAGTGCATTCGTAATTGCTTCGAGAGTTGACATACTGACTTGATTGTAGACGAAGGATAGAGTGGCTTTCTACGAGAAGTACGATTACTCCCACTAGAGTTTACAGACTATAGACATCTCTATAACCTGCTGTGCTATTATCTAGACAACATAATTCAACATCATGCCCAATCATCTCTGTTGTTTGTGCATCAACTGCATGGTCCCTTATTATGGCACCAAATTACTGCTGCATCATCTTCTAACTGCCAAGCCGCACGAGCGTGACCGCCATACTCTATATTCTACCTTCTGGCGTGGCGGTGTCGGTAGCCTTCAAGTTCGGAGTGTTCTTCTCCGCAGCTCTCAAGCAGAATCTCATTTTTCCGTAGGGCTACTACCTCGCCAACTGGGGCAAGCTGTTTCTTGAACGGGTCTCCTGGGTCGCATTGATGGATACATTTTCCTTGTCACGGTGTCGAGATGGGACTGGCGGAGGAGGGTGAAGGTAAGGGTGTTTTTGGCGGCAGTAAAAGATCGTTCGTATCTCCTGCATAAGTCTTGGTATCGATTACATAAATGTCTCTCAATGATACGATCTCCGGCGGGTGTCTAAACTCTCGCAATGCAGGCTTTCGAGCCGACAGAATAAAATCGTCCCCTGTGATGAATTTGAAGAAGAGTGGCATCTTGGCGCTTGCTTATGCATCATCTGTCCATTGACCAGCGGCACGAGGGTGGCTGCCATGCTTCGTATTCTCATACTCCCTGCATCCCTGCCATCTCGAGCCGCTCTCTGTGCTCGGACTGCAGAGTGCCTCAACGTGAAAGCCGAAAGCAAGAGGAGATGTGCGCAGGAACCAAACGGTCAGGGTCCGGCAGAGTCACGTCATGACAGTCTAAGGCACACCCGTCTTTCACAAGCTCGTATTTTTTCGAGGATTCAGCCGTGCTCGAGCTGTCGGAGCGGTGTTGACGAGGGGGGTATGTATGCATGGAGGGCGAGTATGGCAGAGGCGGAGGGGATGGCGAGGAGGGGCCAGCGACCCAGGCGATGTATTGTTAGGTTACATGCTTTACGGAATCTACGCAGTTCAGGTCGGCTCAAGCGCAGGGACAGTAAACAAGCACCGACCAGCGCACATGGACGTTTTCTCTTCCTCATCTCATCCTCTCTATCCCTCCCCCGCCCCCTTCTCTCCATACATTTCTGCCCCCTTCTCGATCTCCCTCCTCCACCCTTCGGGACCGAGAACAGCGGTGAGACGATCAGGACTAACCGCCCGGCTTCGTCATCTCGTATCAACCCCACACAGTCCCGCTCTGTCTCTCCTGTCGCCCCACTCTTCAAGCACGCACCAACAAAAATTCTTTTCACTCGTTTCATTCTTCCACCCCGTCAAAGCAATACATCCAAAGCAATACATCGCATCTGTATACACGCCTGTACTGCCCCTGTACCACCACATATAACATACGGGTGTTTTCACTGTAGAAATTAGATCGCTGGCCCGCAACGTGGGAACCCATCACCACGCCCGTCGCCCCTGCCGCCCGTATATATATAAACGTAAGCTGGGCCGTACACTTCGCTGGGGTCCTCTTTGTCACCCGACGTGGTTAAACATATAGCACAGCTAACGCCCCTCCCTAGCCTGTCCCTGCCCATCACCCGCACTCATCCAGCGCACCACACCGCGTCCCTCTCTTGAACCCGCATAATTTCGCCACTGCCGTGCATAGGGAGATCGTCCTCGCGACCCTCGCAGCTCTGATATATAATCGCTAGGGTTTCAAGGCAATCCCCAGAGAAGCGCATTCCCATCTCTCGACTACTACTGCACGGACTCGCATCACTCCACCTCAAAGATCTGCAGCGGCGGGTGTTGCCTGCTCGGGCCGTTGCGCCATCTCCATTGCCTGCGTGGTCAATACCAAAGGTGAGTTTGAATTCTACGCTCGCAGCATCGGTTTGATGTACCATCTCCTTTATTCACCTCGTTCATCTCGACGTGACCGAGGATATCCCAAGATCTCGTTTTCCTTCTCCTTTCTTCCAACTCTCGTTCGTGTGCTTCAGCACACGGACCAACACTCCTCCCCACCTTCGGCCCCTGCCTTTACTCCACACCATCCCTTTGTCAAACCACCAGGCCCCTTCCTGCGACTGTTGGAGGTTGCCCTAAAGGTATGGAAGCGCTGACTCTACCCCGCCAGGCTCCAAAGACCCCAAAGCAATCTCCCCTGCCAAACCGAGCAGGTGTAAAAGCCCGAGATCCTTTCTCTTTGAGGTCAGTCCGGTTTGAAGGGAAAGGATATAGGGAAGAAGATCGAGTTGCTGACGACCCCCAAAGCTCGATTGATCTCTATCTGGCTTTGTGATTGCGAGTCAAAGTGAAAGAGGACTTGCCGTACGTCCACGCTACAACTTCTTTGCATATAGCTGACATGCCAGGCAGACGATGGACTCTTTCTTCTCATCTCTCCCCCGGCCGACGTCCCTTTACGTCTCCAACGACCCCCGCTCCATCTCCCTCCTCGACACCTCTTCCTACTCACCCTTCCCCACCTTCCCCGGCTCCCAAAAGACTGCCGACCCGTACAACCTCAACAACTTTCTGTTACACCCCGCCGACAAGCTCTGGGACTATGTCGACCCCATACCAGACCCTCAAGCGCACGCTGGGTCCGGGTCGGGGTCGGATTCAGAAGGTGAAGAGCCAGAGGCAGGGACAGGGCCGAAGAGGGCGGTGAGGAAGCAAAAATCGTTGGGCGTGTTGAAGCCGAGTCCGCTCTCGCAACCGCCGATAGCGGCGTTGGAAGTGGACGAGCCGGTATACGAAAAAGCTGCGCTCGTGCGCAAGAGGAGCAAGTCGTTAGGCGGGAATGACTTGATTGCGAGCAAGGCCAAAGATGAGTTTGTCGAGTCTTTAAGAGAAGCGCCGCAGGTCAAGGAAGAAAAGCCAAAGAAGAAGGGGATCAAGCGGGCTTTTACGCTAGGGAAGAAGGGACGTACGTCGGAGCCTGTTGTGATTCCACCGGTGCCGCCTGTGCCATCGTTATCCTTCCCCGACGCCCTTCCTCCGCCTATATCCCTTACCACCCGATCCCCATCCTCCAACTCTACACTCTCTTCCGCTTCCTCAACATCTTCCTCGGAAGGGATAAAGACCCCCGCCGAAGGGCAGGCTATGGGAGCGATGATTGAAGGCGAGCAGCTGGCGAATGCTCTGGAGAAGGGCAAGAAGAAGGGACGGATGTGGGGCTGGTTCGGAGGCAAGAAGAAGGGCGAGCTGTCGTCTTCTTCTAGCTCGGCGAGGACAACGCCCAACAGCAGCACCACCGACCTCCTCTCCATGCCTTCTTCTTCACCTCAGAACTCGCAATCTTCTTCTCCTATCCAACTCCCCTCGGAGCAGTTTGCCATTGAGCATACGTATCTCACGAATCAGCTACGGTCTTCGTCCATGCGCAAGATCACGCAGCTCAAAGCCCCGTCACCGCATCCTTTCGCGTTGGCCTTGGTGCGGGGAAACCGCAAGTTGCCTGACGAAGTCGCAATGTCGATACAGAACGGAAAGAGGGTCTTCCCGAAGAGTGTCAATGCCTGGACCGGGTCGGGGGGGCTGAGCCCTGCTCAAGGCGGGCTCCGTCTAGGTCTGGCGGTGAGGGATGTGATGATCAAGCTCGACCGGGGCGAACAGCCGCAGGGCACCATCATGGCCCGTCGTCCGTCGAAAAAGTCTCTTGTCCCGCGCCCTCGAGGTGTCTTGGACTTTATCAACCGCCCGCCTTTTGAGCAGCGTAATCTCGTTTTCCTCCCCTCTGCTATCTGTACGCACGTCTCCATGGCCCGTCCGGGGTATGGCGTGTGGGAACTCGACTTTTCCCGATACATCCTCGGTCTTTCCGAGGTCGACGAGGGCTCGTCCATCTCGGGTTCACCGAGGGTCTCGCAAGTGCCCGGTATCGGGGCTGGGGAGAGGGAAGCGAAGGAAGTGAAGGCGACGGAAGAAGAGGTGAACAGGAGGGAAGAGATGGAAGGTGTCGAGGCGGCGCTCAAGGCGTTGACTGCGAATGAGGGAAAGAACAGTCCGCCTTTGACTTCCAACCCTCTTCTCGTCGGTTCTGAGGCTCCACTACCTGTACCGGCTGCGGCCTCGACGAGACCGTTCTCTTCCATCCGCCCCAATGCTGCTCGCTCCAACACGCAAAGCAGTGAGGAGCACGAGGATGATCTGCCTTTGAGCCGCCGTCGCTCGCAGCATTTCTTGAAAGCACAATCCGCCGTCTCTTCTGGCAATGTTCGCGGTCGTACCCAATCTCAACCTCACCATTACGCTTCTGCGTCTCGTTTCTCCCAGGTCCCCACTGCTTCTCGTAGCCCCGATGAAGCTTTACGCGAAGTCCAAGCTGCAAGGGAAAGGCGCGAGGGAAACACGAAAGGCGAGAATGAGCGTCGGGCAGAGATGGACCGGGTGAGGGAAGATAGGAAGGTGAAGGACCGCCAGAGCAAGGTGCTGTCGAGGGGCTTTAGCATGACCGACGTCAAGTCTGTTGACGGCGGGGAGAAGAGACGAAGCCAGATGACGGGGTTGGGTATCGGGACGGCACTGCAGCACAAGAGGTCGTCGAGTAGCAGCAACATGCTCGATTTGCACAGGACGAGCCCACCTCGCCCCAACCATGAGAAGAGGACAAGCACCTTGTCGTTCTACTCTCAAGCTTCTTCTTCTTCCCATCAACCCCCTGCTTTCCCCAACTACCACGCCAAACGCCCTCCAAACCACCGCGCCAAAACCGCGGGCGACTCGCCTTCTTCTACCTCTACGCAAAAATACCACTCGTTCTACGAACAGCGCGCTGCATCGTCCAGCCTTCCTACTGTCAATCGTCTACCGCCCGCCTCATCGCAGGTACCGATGATGCCGGTGCCGATGCACGGTCAGCAGTTTGTCTACCACCAGGCGTACCCGCAGATGGGCGGCCAGGTCTCGATGGTGTACGGGCCTGGGCAGGGTATGGGGATGAGCCTAGGCCAGGCGTTGGGGGTGCCGGTGGGCAATAAGAGAATGTCGAGAATGTCATAGATCAGCTCTTTCTTCCCCTAATCATCTTCCACCCATTTGTAGATTATAATTCTTTTTCAACACACGACATATCTTGTCTCTTGTGCCGGACATTTCAAAAGGACATTCCATCTCTTTACACTAGTTCAATTGATCATCTTTCCATACCTTTTTTGTCTTGTACATATAATTGTCGCCCTAGCATTTTCCTTCTGACGAGACGTTTTCTGTCTGGTAGATCAAAAAATCATATCCACCATTGGAGTACCTTGTAAACATGTAACATGCACCTTTGCACCAATATATCATCGCTATGCAAACCGGACTTGTCAGTTCTATGTTTGCGGGCTGAGGGGGGGAGGTATTTGGGAGAGGAGGATAGAAATGCCACAAAAAGAACGTAAACAGGTAGAAATCAATTAAAAACCAAAGTAGCAAAAAGGCCCTCCCAAGCATGTTGTTGAACCATCAGGAGGAAGGTGGCCCGTGCGATGAAGATGGAAACACCCACAGAGGTATCTTTTCATCCTTTGCCTTTCATCTCCCACATTCCTGCATCCACAACAACCCTCTAATACCGCCTCGGTTGTACTCGCCGGCATGCGATGAAAGGCTCATTATCTCATGGGCAGGATGCTAGAGGTACACGTGGCAGGGTGAGTTTCGATCTCACAGATGCTGCCTCCATCCAATCTCCAGCTCTTGGGCTGACAAGACGTTCATAGCCCGTCTGAAATGATGCTTCCGGCCTCATGCTCCTACAGCGGATCGTAACAGGCCAACGTCGCTCCCAAGCCGCCCCCTCATCCAAATCCCAGCTATAAGACCACACTAGGAGAAGTGCAGTAGGAGAAGTGTGGTTTGATAGCTGGGATTTGGATGAGGGGGCGGCTTGGGAGCGACGTTGGCCTGTTACGATCTATAGATGTATCAGCATAGCATGAGTCTCGCGCTCGTTACTCGCCATTGGCTCGGCCACTTTCTTCTTTCGGTTTGCCCGCTTCGGCTTCCAGGCCCGCTTCGGCTTCCAGACCGCGTCAAATCGACTCTCCGTCCGCTGCGAGACAATATCAGCGACCAACATATCGCTTGTTTTTCACGAGACAGACATACACGAGCGTACTTCCTGTATACCTTGTTGTATTCTTCGAGCCAAGCTACCCCACATAGTCCTTCTGGGTACTTTGCTCGAAAATCAGCTCAGAAGCTCCTATAGAGACCAGGACCTACGTTGTAAATCTTGACGGACTCTGCCGCACCTTCTTCTTCTTCTTCGTGTGTAGCCGCTTGCCTTTGCCTGTGAGCGAAATTCTGGGCACGAGTCATCCTCCCAGGATCATCCTGTATAGCCTGGTTGTCCAAGCGCGTGACCCCAATGCCACTCTCGCGAATAATTCGAGCAATGTTGTCAGGTGCTTTGTTGTCTTCGAAGAAAGACATGGACGCAAGGGAGAAGTTGCTGGATGACGACATGTCGATTGTGGCGTAGCTGGATGAGAGACGAGAGCACAAGAAGAAAGCCAGCTCTTATATCTTGATGGCGCTGCATAGCTTGATGGCGCTTGTGGCTGAAAGGACGGTAGACTACCTTTCGATCTCATCAGAGGCTACCTTTCCACTTCATTAATCAACTTGACTAGCCCGTGTAGTGTGCCTGGTGGCGGCGAGAAAGGAGGGGTACATCACGCCCCATGCACTCGGTTGCGCCCATTTCCCCACCCATATTACATATATATATGCTCTATCCCCGCGATGCCCCTTTCGACCCACAAACAGCACCATCCCCCCCAAAGCCACTGCTGGGCCCAGCAAGCGGGCCGCGCAGACTCCTTCTGCTGGCCAGTCCCGTCGACGTTTCTCTCCTCTGGATCTAGCTATCGCTCGGGCCTCCCTCGCGGCCTTTTTGGTATCTTCTTTATCCCCCAAAGCCATCCGCTCGATGTCCTCGAGGATGGACTCTCGACGGGTCTCCATGCTAGCGACGCCGTCTTGGAGGCCCTTCAAGACCTGCGAGTGGACCCCCGCAGTCACCCGGGAGGACGATAGGAGCACAGTTACCAAGGAGGAGATCGCCTGGGAGTCGAGCAGGCGGGCCTTGACGCTAGCGTATCGAGCGTGCGTCTTCACAATGCCCCCGGAATGCAAGAGACACTGACAGACGCGCAGAACCCCGCGCCGGCCAAAAAGCCACGAAAGTCGGCCCCTGCCAATGTGAGCTTTCAAGGAAGAGTCAATAATGTCCTGTTTAACCTCTTTTCTCTTAGCTGGAAAACAGCAATGGCGTTGCCAGTGACCCGGGAGATGACCAAGATGACTTCGAGATTCTTTCGGGCGATGTAAGTCAGGTCATATACTCATAGTCTTTTCTGACACCCATGTAGGACCACGAGCCCGCCACTGGCAAAAAGGGTATGGGCAAAGGTAAGTCGCCCAAGAACAAAGCCCCCCCCAAGAATACGGCATCGCCAGCCAAGAAGAAGCCCACTGTCACCAAGAAGGCGACGATCTCCATCAGGCACGACACGCCCAAGGAGCTCGCGGCCTTCCGAGCACAGGAGGCTGGTCTAGGCATCTTGGAAGGGTTGCCTCTGGGCGAACAAGCTGGTCGGTCCGCTCTCTCCCCACGCACATGTTCTCAGCGATCGAAATGCAGTTCGCATCTCGGCCAGAGCTGTCGGCCTTTCCTCCGACCGCTTGCGCCTGGACAAGCAGGCGCTCGCCCTAAAGACTGTCGCCCTCAAGGCCCGCCTACTCGAGTCCCGCGCGACCTCCTCCTTGGCAGTGCTTCTCTCGTCCTCCCGGGTGACTGCGGGGGTCCCCTCGCAGGTCCTGAAGGGCATCCGAGACGACATCGCCAACATCAAGGCGTGTCGAGAGTCCATCCTCGAGGACGTTGAGCGGATGGCTTTGGGGGAAGAAGAGGCTACCGGAAAGGCCGCGAGGGGGGCGCGAGCGATAGCGGATATGGAAGAGGAGGAGCCAGAGGAAACCGAGTTGTCTGAGGGTGAAGATGAGGAAGAATAGTCGCATGCAAAGTTTAGATTCTGATAGTAGCCGACCAACGGCAGAAGGACGAGTGCACGGTCGATGAGACAAATCAATGACAGGAACAAAGTAAGATCAACATTAAAGAGTAAGATCAACATTAATAGCGTTGGTGCTGGCTCAATCGCCATGGGTAATGCTTGAATTGTGCGTGCAACACGAAGGGGAAAGGAGGAAAGATATTAAACATTTCGCCTCTCGAACCACACCAGTCATGTTGTGCTACATAATTAATCTTACCGCTTGGGTACCATCAATGGTCTCGTTGGTGTAGTGGTATCATGCCCTCTTTGGGTTATTAATTAAGTTAATTAACTGAGTGGGGGTGGTCCTGGGTTCAATCCCCAGACGGGACCAATTCTTTTTGTTTTTTTTAGGCAAGCATGGATATTACATGCATGCATATTTTTTTACATCAGCAGAAAGCCCTACTTCCAAGCTATATTCTGTCATTTTTTGTGCGACTGTAGCAGTGACAGGTGGCCGTGAATACCTGTTGGGACATTGACCTGCTTTTTCGCATCGTCTCGGACGTGCGGTCGGTATCTCCAAGGTGCGCTCTGTCATGGGAGCATGGCCAATTCGGTCCCAAATCCGAGTCTCAGGAAGGCATGTATGGACATATCCAAAGCCCCACATAACATGATGGTGGAACTGTTGAAGGAAATCTCACTCTGCTTACAGTACAAGAGACTGTCCCGACGCGACGCGTTTTGAGTCTTCTGCGCGTTTGGCTCGATCTCGAAATCGCAATCCACCCTGTTCCAGTCGACCGAAAATGGACTCGGAATTCGAGCCCGCCGCTCCCAATCGCATCCTCAAGCTCTCCCAGTCTACCATCAACCAAATCGCAGCCGCCGAGATCATCCACCGCCCTTCCAGCGCTATCAAAGAGCTCCTCGAAAACTCTCTCGACGCCGGCGCTTCCCAGATCAAAGTCACCCTCAAAGAAGGCGGTCTCAAGCAGTTGACAATACAAGACAACGGCCATGGGATTGGGAAGGACGATTTGCCGCTGCTTTGTGAGCGGTATGCGACGAGTAAGCTGAGAGTCTTCGATGACTTGAAGGGGCTGGGAACGTATGGGTTTAGGGGAGAGGCGCTGGCGAGTATAAGTTACTGCAGTCATGTTGAGGTGGTTACCAAGACGAAGGATGGTGGTGTCGCTTGGAAGTAGGTGATTGATCTGCTTCATATGGCCATAGCTGATAGCTAGACAGAGCATTGTACGAAGACGGCAAACTGGTAGCTCCAAAACCTGGTCAATCCGTGGACCCCCGACCCACGGCAGGCAACGATGGCACAACCATCATCGTGCGTCCCTCATCATGACGATCTTACATGGACTGACACATGCTGGAAGGCTTCAGATCTGTTCTACAACATTCCCATCCGAAAACGCTCTTTCAAATCACCAACAGAAGAGTACACCCGTACCCTCACCCTCTTGACAAAATACGCCATACATAATCCCCATGTCTCCTGGACACTCAAGAAACATGGGACATCCCTCCCCGACATTGTTACCCAAGCGGGTACGACGATAAGTAATATCAAGGCTCTCTATGGGCCTTCGGTGGCGGCAGAGCTTTTGGAGGTCGAGGAGAAGGTTTTGGAGCCGGAGGAGACTCTTGGGGCGAGCTGTAAGGGGTGGGTGAGCGGGGCGAACAGTACTTGGACAAAGAAGGGGCAGTGGCTCTTGTTCATAAACAGTACGTCGCCTTGAGCCTGTCCGAGACGAAAACTAACCCAAGCAGACCGACTCGTCGAATCGTCCAAAATCAAAAAAGCCCTCGAATCCCTCTACACCGCCTATCTCCCCAAAGGCAGCACCCCCTTCATATACCTTGCTCTCTCCATCGACCCCGCCAAGATCGACGTCAACATCCACCCCACGAAATCCGAAGTCAGCTTCTTGAACGAAGATGAAATGGTGGAAGCTATCGTGGCGCAGGTGGGAGAGGTGTTGAAGGGCGGGAATAAGAGTAGGAACTTTACGGTGCAGACGTTGTTGCCTGGGGTGAGAGATTCGGGTAGGGAGAGGAAGGAGGGGGAAGGGTCATCGTCGTCTATTGGTAATTCGAGACCTGCGGCCAATTATAAAGTGAGGATGGACCCGACCAACAGAACGCTGGACTCCATGGTTCAGGTCGTCGATCCATCTCAGCTGTCTTCCTTCGTCCCTTCGACAAGCGATGGACAGCGACCGACCAAGCGACGCGCAGTGTCCGGTGTCGATGGAGGTGTAACGATGTTGGACGAGGAAGAAGAGGGTCAGGGGCAGGAAGATGAAGATGCAAGGGAGATGGTGAGGCTGGACGTCGGAGAGGGGAGTAGTAAGGGCAAAGGAAAGGAGATTGAGGAGAGTGTTTGCGAGTTTACGAGTATACAGGCTTTGCGCAAGGCCGTGCTCAAGAACGCTAGCTCAGGTGTGTACGCTTGTAAAACATCATTGACAAAGCTGACATCCCCCAGAACTACACGAAATACTCTCACGGCATGCCTTTGTCGGCCAAGTCTCCTCCCAACTTACCCTTTCCCTCATTCAACACGCCACCAAGCTATTTCTAGTCAATCACGCTGCTCTCGCCGACGAACACTTCTATCAACTCGCCTTGAGACAATTCGGGGCGTTCAATAGGATCAAGCTGGAACCGCAACCGAATTTGAGAGAGTTATTGACTCTGGCTGTGGAGGATGAGGAAGGGCTAGGGGATGCTGGGCTTTCAAAAGAAGATGTCGTGGATGTGAGTGCTTGATAATTCTATCTCTGCCCCCGGGAGACTGATATGAGCGCTTAGTATACCACAAATCTCCTTGTTGAGCGCGCCGAAATGCTAGACGAATACTTCTCTCTCCTCCTCAACCCATCCTCCGACGCAACAACACCCGACGCAACAATCGAAACCCTCCCACTCATCCTTCGAGGCTACACTCCCAACCTCGACCGCCTACCGCATTTCCTGCTCTGCATAGCAACGAGAGTGAATTGGGACGACGAGCGGGAATGTTTCGAGACGTTTTTGAGGGAGCTGGCGTTCTTTTACTCGCCGAGACCGTTCTCGGACGCAGTTGAGGATACAGGAGAGGGAGGCGAGGAGGATGCGGGCCCGACGGAGGAAGAGCTGTCGCATCAGACTTGGCAGCTGGAACATGTGCTCTTTCCGAATTTTAGGAGATATACTGCGTGGCCGAAAAGTTTGGTTGGGGGCGGTGGTCTGGGGAAAGGAGGAGCGGGGGGAGCGATTCAGCAGGTGGCGAATTTGCCTGACTTGTTTAGGATCTTTGAGCGCTGCTAGTCATGGCAAGAGAGTTGTACTGAGCTTGAGCTTGAATGTAACAGTGCGATCATCAGCACAAAGCAATCAGGTACATATTATACGAAGACATATCATACTGAGACGTAACACATCAAGTTGAAATTATACAAACAGAAGCCCAGTCATTCTACACATGGCTGATATCTCTCTCAAGATTGTACCCCTTGGCCTCTTTGTCATCCCTCAACAGCTCGGCCACGCCGACCTTCCACCCTCCCCTCACTTCTCTCTTCGCCTTACTGACAATATTCACCAGTAACACCATCCACACTATCAAAAGCAGAGATTGGATACCACTCTCAACTGCCATGGCGACCATGGTCCGGCAGAAGCGATCCGTGTCCCAGATGATACCACCCCATTGTAACCAGATTGATTCAACGGGGTAGGTAGGATAAGGGCGCTCACAGGTGGAGCTAGTACGTTGGGCGATGGATAGACCCATACTCACTGGAAGACAAGGTCAGAATGAGAACGAGAGGCAACAAGGGAAGGGATTACTCACCAAGCCAGAGGAACAGCTGGGCGCCAATGTACCACATCTCTCCCCAAGCCCTGTCGAACACTGTCCTGACGTTGGTCCTTCGGCGGATAATGGGCAATATGAAGGCGGCAGGGATGTACGTGGCCCAGATCACGGCGGAGATGATGTGGGGGATGAATAAGGTGAGGGAGCCGGCGACGACTGAGGAGATGACGGTGTTGATTATTATATAGATGGTGTGGGCGATCTGAGGTGCGTCAGTCATGGACGACCTTTACGAGTACAAAAACAGCTTACGATGAAACCAAGACGTAGACCGTCGGATGGCATGATGATAGTAATATGTTGGGTGTAGCCACTTGAAAATTATTGCTTCTATGAGGGAGCAGGCAGGCAGACTTGTGTTGATGGTGGCTTGCGATATCCTTGTGGCGAGGAGATTTAACTGTGAGTCTCTCTCGTTTTTTATATGTACAGCTTCTAGATAACATGGATGCATAGCATATTTTGATGTACAGCTCCTAGATAACGTGCATGCATAGCATATCTTGATCTCCGTCTCTTGGCGCTCGTTGTCGTCATCGTGCCGCACCTCTCGCCGCCACCTGCTGTGCCAGGAATCGTGCTTGTGGAGACTGCCGCCGGAATAAGCGCTGAGATAGGCATCGCATTCGATAAATGCTGGAAAGGAGACGGGGATGAAGGATAGGGTCTGCAGTTCAGCGGCTTGTTATCTTATCCGGAGCTGCGGATGAGTGGGATCGCCCCCTCGCGCGCAGCCTTTCAGGCTGCGGATCGCGGTTGGATTTCTTGCCACCTCATGGGAGTGTGTCAAGTTTGGCGAGGGCTTCACCCTCATGCCCCAGAGTGCGCAGGGTGACTACTTGTACATACCCGAAAATAGGCTTTTCGCTTTGCCCATGCTGTCCAAGGCAAAAGCAGGCACCAAGGATCGCATGTGACACTTTTCAGGCTCAGGATCGATGATGTCATCCCGGCCGCTGCTGTCAGAGTACGTAGGAGTACTCTTCTACTCGTACTGTTTGGTTTCAATTGGATCCGTTTGGCTCGGCGGCGACATGCGCCTGCTCCTCTGTGGCTGCATATATATAACACATACGGTATGACCGTATGAGAGCTAGAGACGCCCCTTACGAGTTACGACGATTTACGATATGAGGGGCACTAGGTATGTACGTATTAGGTACTGTAGAGTACTATAGCCTACGCCTACTAAGTACATATCATATACTGTAATACTGTATCTACTGACTATACCTGATCTTTTTACTACATATACTTAGGCGGTATACGCGGCGGCTTGGGAACCACCGTGCTACTGCTCATTGCTGCCGTAAACGGGCAAATAGGGTAGTCTGTGGCAAAACCTCCTCCGGCTTGTTCGTTTACGTTTTGTCAACATGTTCTGCACACACACACAATACACGAAGTGTCATGGTTAAAGGAGTCAACTCCCCAAGCGTGACACGAAGACCCTAAGATGAGGGATCGCCACGCACGCCCACCATGCGCACCACCACTACCACCACTCGTACCTCTCAAACGCTCATCCCTGGAATGTTTCTGCAATTATTCCATGCTTAGACTGGCTGATCTCAGGTGACAAGTAACTCTATGCGATCCCGCCGAAAACGGCCGGCAAATTTCATGGCTTACGCAACATGGCTATATATCCCATAGACTCTTTGTATACCATACCCTCACCATGTCATTTTTCACACTCCCCTTCGTTTCCCCCTCACCTTCCTGCCTTCCTGCACGCCCCAGCCAGCGCCCTCCTCAACCTTTCCTGAGCGCCTGTCACCGAGCTTACAGGTGAGCATATCTTCTACCATTCCCACAACCTTTCTGACAAGGTTCTCAAGTCCACCATCTTGCACACCATGAAGTTCATCCTATCTTCAATCTTGGCCGGTCTTGCCACTGCTGGCCTTGCAGCCGCCCAGGCCGGCACAGACTGGAACATCACCAACGTGCCGTCGTCCGGTCTCAACGACCTCACCTTCCCCTTCGCATTCGCCATGGCCTCGCACGAGTCGGGCTACTACTATGCCAACCAGATCTCCATCATTGACAGCCCGGACATCATCTACGGCGGCTTCCAACCTCGCCCAGACAATTCGTCGGGAAAGGCTGTCATCCATGGCGTCTTCTCCAGCTTCATCAATGGCACCACGAGCAGCGACGACAACTGCAGCGGCGGGGCCGACGGTGGAGCGGGTGTTAGCTGCGCCTACGAGTTTGAGGTCTCCTCCTACGATGGTACCTGGAACCTCGTCGTCACAAGGGAAGACTCCACGTCGACCGTCTGGTCTGGTGCGGCTGTTCACGCCGAGACGGGCGACAGCTACCACATCGGTACCTTCACGCTGCCCTCGGGAACAGGTGGCCTCAGCTACGCCCAGTTTGGGTTTGTCGAGTACTACCCCTGGAACGGGAACGCAAACTGGACGTGCAAAGACAACATCCCTTACACGGAGGTCACCTTCTACCCGCCTACTACAGAGAGTGCTACTGGCGGTAGGCAGACGGGGGCCGTCTATGGTTTCATCAAGGACTCGTGCAAGGGGTATGGGGAGGCCACTACTGCGTCGGATGGCTCGGTCACTTTTACGATCAAGGATTAATGTGCTGGATGCTTGTCTGTGTTCATTCATGGACAGACTTTCACATACGTTGATAGTAGAAGTCTGGAATTATAAGATGTGGAAAAAGATAGGAAGTTTTCGGAAAAAAAGTAACAATTTGTTTGGAAAAAGAAGTGATAAATGACATGCAGCTAGTAGTGACCTTTGGAATACGTTCAGAGACTCATTGCACAGATTCAGTAAGAACCATCCAAGTAGAGAATCAGCGAGGCCGTTGAGTCAAGCAGTAATTTCAAACCCTGACCTCACGGGGTCCGTTTCGGCTTATTCGGAGACCAAAAGTATCCGACATCTCTAGTGCCATTAGGTATACTGACAGCGAGTGTGCTCATTGCTGGTGAAGGGAAAAGATGAGGGAAGCGAAGGTCCGATGTGATGAATAGGATGTTGCTCTTTAGTGTCCGCATCATCATTTTCAGCAAGTTTGGTCCCGCTCGACGCGGTGTCCTCAGGGTGTCCTGTATCTCTGCGTTATCTTTCAAAGTCATCATTATCGATTCTTTTCCCATTATTGCTATTCCATAACCACCGACAGATGGCCTCTCCTCTCGAGCTCCATTTGCTCTACGTCCTCCTCGACTCCAATCTTCCTACCGGCGGCTTCGTCTCTTCGTCTGGTCTCGAATCCTTTGCGAAACACGGTTTTCTCGGCTCCTCTTACACCTACTCGTCCGACCTTCCTCCTCCGAATGGTGCTTCAGCGAAGAAGAATATGATGGGTGGTCTGGTGGAGTTTGCGACAGCGGAAGTGAGGAATTATGGGAGCACGACTGGCGGGTTTGTGAGGGATGCTTGGCTGGCTGTGGACCGCGCGCGACAGATCTTTGTCTCAAAGCCCGACGAAAGCTCCGAGGCTTTGGACAAAGTGCTACAGGAGGTTGAGAGACTCGACAATTACCACGAAGCTACCCTGCTCTCGCACGTCGGCCGGAGATCGTCCAGGGCACAAGGTGTAGCGATGCTCACCTTGTATGCGAGAGGGCTCAGCAGGCCTCCCGGAGTCTCCGAGTATGGCGAGACTAGGGATGCTAAGAAAGAGGAAATGGAGGAGCTGGCGGGAAAGGTGGTGGAGGGGTATAAGAGACTGGTGAGGCTTGGGAAAGCGCCCGGGCACCTGGCTGTTTGTTGGGGGGTGGTCGCTTCAGCTTTGGGACTTGGAATCGGTGCGTACTTTAGCAGGCAAGGTTGGGCGGCACTGATACGTCCTCAGATCGTGCTGTCCACATCCACCTCTTCCTTCATGCCCGATCCCTCCTCTCCTCCGCCGTCCGACTCAACCTCATAGGACCATATGCCTCCTCCCAGCTACTGTTACACCCATTCCGCGAGATCATCGACAAAACCGTGTCAGATCTGTCTGATAGTACTACCGGGCTACTGCAAGAGGGCAAGGGCGAGAAGCAGGGTGAGGAAGACTTCTGGGCGTGGACGGAAGAGGCGGAGAGAGGGCCTCAGACGACTTGGCCTCTTGGAGAAGTGTTGACGGGGAGACATGATCTGCAGCACTCTAGGATCTTTAATTCTTAGGCGAAGTGACAGCCGATGGGAGGGTGGGTCTTTTGAAGAGACTTCTTCAAGGAAAGTGCATGTTCAACTTTGCTATACTTATAAGGTGTGTTGTTCTACTCCCGAGACGTTTTCAATGGCTTATTTCTTTATCCTGTATCAGACATCCCTTTCCCTCCTCTTCCTCCCCGTTCTTGTCCGACTCCGTGACCTTCCCTCTCTATCTTCCTTTCTTTTCTTTGTACGCCCCTCCTGCGCATCATCATCCGCCTCACCGCCCTCGGCTCTCTCCCACTTCTTCGTCGCTCGTGTCTTGCACCGGCTGAAAAATGGTAGGCAGAGACACCCGAGCCAGCCGAGGTCTGCCCTGCGCCGGAGACTTCCTCGAGATATCTCAAGAAAGGCGCAGATGAAGAGAAGGATCCATGAGGCATGCAAGACTACATTGCTTGTCAGCTCTTGTTCCTCCAATCCCTTCAATGTGAGAAGAGACTTACAGATGAGTGCCAAACCCACGCTCCCTCCATCACCACTAGCTTTCTGCACCTGCCAACTCGCCGCACAAGCTACACCCAACACAATCCACCCCAAGAAGAATACATACAGCCGGCTCACCCTAAACACAAACCTCTTCCAACCTCTTTTCATCCTGCCCCACCTTGTCTTTGGTTCTTCTTGTCCTTCCTCGCCTTGGGTAGGGGGTGGTGGGGGAGGAGAAGTGGAGAAGCGGTAAAATGTGAAGAGGAAGGTGTACGTCATGAGCCAGAAGGAGCAGAGGGCTGCGAGACCGGTGGTCAGGTAAAAGTTGGCGAGGTCGATGGAAGAATCGATGGCGCGGGGTGTGAGTGATCTTCTTAATGCATCGGAGGAAGAGGAGGAGGAATCTGATGAGGAGGAGGTGGCGCCTTGCATCCAACCATCACAGCTTGATGCACTGCATTTCTCTGACACCTTCATCAGCTCTCATGTGCTCAGCGATACACCCAGCAAGAACTCACTCAACAGCCCAATATACTCATCGTCACTCCTGATCACCGCCGCCAGCCCTCCATTCGGCTCCAAAAAGCAAACAAAGAAGAGAAAGAGCCAAACGAGGAATTCGAGTAGGAGGACGGAGAAGGGTGGATGATAGTTGAAAAAGTCGGATTTGCGAAACTTTGAGGGAGGCAGGCCGCGCTCGGCGTGGGAGGGGTCGCGAACTTTCTCGGTAGACATGGTAGAGGGCGAGCCACGGAGGGTGGCGAGACACGCAGATACTCCTTGATCTTATGGAAAGGAGTGTACGGTCGATTGACGGTAAGGCAAGATGTCTTACTGAGCCGGGGTCATGCCGGCGTGTATGTAGGGAAGCTGTAGATCTATGTCGTATATCGTCGGATGTAGTTCGAAGATGGTTATATGCAAGAGATGTGATGCGGTCTCGGACGTCACAGACCATTATGGGATCTCGCATCGAATAGCACGACGATACACGCTGACGATCAAAGGATAGTCGATGCAGCCAGGGACGTTTTGTTAAAGGATCTCACGGCCCTTTCCACCTGTCTATCATACCTTCCCTCCAATATACTCTTACACCACGCCATATTATGACCCTGATGCATATGAGATGACAGTATATGCTACAACTTCTCTACGCTACGTCCTCTCCGCCGAGAGACTTTTCTGCTCTTCGCATCGCCCTCATCAGCTTCGCGACCTTGTTGGCTTTCGTCTCCTTTCTGACCTTCCCCGGCCCACTATCACTCTTCTCTCGCGTCCTTTTCCTTCCCCCAGCTTTGTTCTCCAAAAGGGCGCCATTGTCTATGTCTATGGTTACCGCGACCGGCGATGGTGGCGCAAGGGACACGAGCTGTTGTATAGCTTGTGATGAATATGTTTCGTACTGGCGCGATAAGCTGTCAATGTAAGACTGAAGCCAAGTACGAACGCCGGTTGGTGTGGGGAGGAAGACTCGGGGGAAGAGGGATTGGTGTCGGAGTTCACCAAACACGAAGGATGAGAGTGATCTCAGAATGACCACAATGGGAATGGCTGGTAGACTGTTAGCTCGTGTATGGAATCATTGTGGGGATGACGCACCTGCACCGTTCTGAGAGCAGTACGATACTTGGGTCAATAGCAGGTTGAGCTCGTCCAGTTCGACCAAGGTGTCGCTTTCAAAGTACTCAGCGAGTGATTCGACAAACTTTGGCGGTCTGTCAAGAGCATCAGTGCTATTCAGATTGCATACCAGCTGAACTCACAAATCAAATGTCTGATCCTGGAGCTTTGGCAAGATGATAGGTTCAAAGTCTGTATCATCAAGCAAACCAGAAGACCCAACCGAAGCTGTAGTAAGCTGGGCAAATTGATTGATAAGATCAATGCCCGACCGCAGGCATGTCCAAGCTGCGTCCAAATCTGTGAATCATTAGCGACAAGCCCATCAACAACCAAATGACTCACTTTTGGGCCGCTGAGCCACAACCATACCGGCCACGTCCAAGAACTGATCCCACGAAAAGTGCACGGCTTCGACAACGTCTTGTTCAAGTCAGCTCCAATCGGTCTCTATCGTCTGTGGAGTATGCTCACCTTGTAATCTGACAACCACCTGCTCCTTGACATCCACAGACTCGTACAACGCCTCAATGGCTTGGACAAATCGCGTATCCAAGTCATTTGATACTTCAAGCGAGACGAGAGCTTTGGTCTCAAAAGCCGATAATTCATCTTGGATCTCGAGCTAGAAACAGTCAGCTACCTTTCAGGCCATTGCACGGATGAAACATACTCTGGCGGCGAGGTCAGCGAGCGTTTCGTCCTCCCAAGTGAGCACCATCAGGGGAGGGCTATATCGATTCGTAGAGCTGTTCAGAAGCTTGACCAGAGCTCCTATCCTATCTTGAGCGCTAGCGACATTCCTGAAAACAAGTCAGCCATACACTCCAAGTTTTAAGGATCAACTAACTCTTGCGCCTTCTTTGAATCTGACGTCTTGACAGGCGCCTCAAACACCACCAACCCCACCCATCCCTGCCTCCCCACTTTCCCATCCTTCACCACGCTCGTACCAAAATGTACCCCGCCCATCTGTACCCCCTCGTCCCCTGCCGTAAACTTTTTGACAAGCCACTCTTGGACTTGACTATCCGGGGCGGACCCGAAGTGGTCGGTTTCTGCTGGCGGGACAGAGAGGAGGGTGATAAAGTTATATGGGATGTGGGGGGTGAAGGGGCTGGATGGGGAGAGGTGTGGCGAGATGTGCCGGGCGATAGCTTGCAAAAAGGTGGATGGGGCGAAAAAGTTGTCTTTATTCCTCTCCGCCTTCCCACTGCATGAGCTTGGGTCCCTCACATAAACGAGGGAACGGGGCTTACCTGAGTCATCTCAATATCAATAGTCAAACTATCCCTAGCCGTATCAATCCCCGACCTCATCTCCAAGCTCCTACCCCAAGTCCGCGTACTAGCCACCATATCCCCCAACTCTGACCCACTCCCTACAGGCTGTACCCCCCAAGCAGCGACCGACCGACTCAACCCCATCGCCCGCAGTTCATCATACATCTCTTCCCTCTTCTTTACCGCCATCTCTCTCCTTTCCCTCCGCTCTTTCGCCCAGGCTTGCCAGTGCTGCACCGCCCGGCGGAGGATGTATCTCTTTCTCAAATCTCTCACCACTGCTTTCCGAGCAACAGCCCGGATCTCGGACGCGATCAGGTCGGTAAAGACGGATTGTGACCACTGCCCTATAGCTTCCTTCCTCCATCTCTTCATTTGTACATGTTTCCTCTCAGCCATTTGCTGATTCACCATCCCCTCCACCTCCACCCCCAGATGGTCTTGGACCATGGCTTGCATAACTTGAATCAAGAGAAGGTCGGTTATGGCTGGTAAAGCGGCTTTGCGCTGGAGACGTTCGGTGTGCAGCTCGGATAGTGGTTTGGAGGTGGATTTGGAGAGACGGGGAGGGGCGGAGGTGGATAAGAGCAGATATGGATCTTTCCTCGCATGGACAATGGGAGTAGGCGGAGGTGAGGGCGCTTTGGCAGAAACTTCAACTTGTCCCAGGCTCGGTCCCGCCGGGGTGCTCGTCGTCGTCGGCGGTGCAGGGGTGGTGAAGCTGAACGTCGATTTTGGTGCGTCGGCCATACCACCCACAGCAGCGGCAGCCGGTTTACTCGACATTTCGGACGGTTCTGTGGGTTTAGGTGCGCCAAACGTGAACATGGGCTTCTTCTCTGCAGACTCATCATCTGCTCGCCGTTTGCCTTTCCTATCTTCCCCTTCCCCTTGCTTTACCTCCTTCCCCGCTTCTTTTCTTTCGGCCATGTTTGGTGGTGGAAGGCCGAATGAGAAAGGCGCTTTCGTGCCCCCGCCTCCCACCCCGTTCATACCAGAAGAACTGGGAGGTTCCGTCTTGGGTGTGGTGGAAGGCTGGGGAGGGGGTAGGGATGGTGGAGGCGCAGGGGTGGAAGGTTTGGAAAAAAAGTTGGGGATTGCCCGTTCGCCCGACTCTACTGGGGCTGGGGCAGATTTTGGAACAGTCGGGACTGGTGCTGGAGTTTTTATAGACCCAAAAGCAGGCGCTGCAACTCCAGCTGGTACTGGAGCAGAAAAAGCAGAAGGAGCAGCAGAAGGCGGAAGAGCAGGCTTCTTGAAGCTGAATGCCGACTGTCCAGCTGGTGCTGCTCCGAACGCAGACACCGCTGGCGTCGGCGGCTTGGCCACTGAAGGAGGGGGAGGTTGAAAGTTGAACGCCGGCTTTGCTTGTGCTTGTGCTGGTGCGGCTGGCTCCGGCTTCGGCGCAGCAGGTATAGCATTCGGTCTCGCGAACCCAAAAGTCGGCTTGGCTGTGCCACCAGGGACACCAACCTGCGCCGGCGCCTCCGCCGCCCCACCCCCCAACCCCACCCCCTTCCTCCCATTGACAACATCCACAAAATCCGCATCCCCCCTCTTCCCGCTGACCAACGCCCACCGGCGGGTGTAGGGCGCGTCCTTGTTATCGTTGAATGGGGTCCCGAGGTTGATCAATGCGCCTATTGTGGTGCCGGAGGGGTCGGTGTAGGTGGGGATGTTGAATCTTTCGACTATGGAGATGGATTCGTCGGAGGGAGAAGATGATGTGGGAGGGACGTCGTCCCATGCGGAGGGTGTTTCGTCTTGAGGCTCACAACCTAGGAGATTGTTGAGTGTGGATAAGAGGATCATCTTGCGCTCTACGATTTCGCCGGATTCGTTCGTCCTGACAGGTTCCGTCCTCAGACGGGGGTAAGACCTTACAAGGGAACGCAGGGCTGAGCGCCGTATCTCGCGAAGACGGATCTCCACCAAACATCCCAGCAGGTACGGTACTTTCACCTGCTTCAACAACTTGATAAACCTCGTAATCAAATTCGCCCCCAGCTCTGCATTAAGCTTCGATCCTTCCTTCTGCGAATCAAAGTTTCGCTGTGCCGAGCGCCGGATGTCCCACGCGAGTTTGACGAGCGGGTGGTCGAGGATGATGGTGGGCAGCTCGGCAGTGGGGATGGATACGGATTTGCTGGTGAGGTCGTATATGAGCATGTAGGCGCGGAATTCGGGTTCGTTGGCGCATGGGAGTTCGAGGCCGGATTCTTCTCTTCTGTCATTGTAGTGTTGTCGAAGACTGACAAAGCCTGTGAAACTTTAGTCGTAATTCAAGAAGGGGAGAAGGGTGGACTTACACCTCCCGAGCTCGGCAGAGTCGATATGCATATCATTATTCGTCCCCCCCTCCTCCTGCAGCTCTCTCAGACAGAGGATATGCCACCTCGCAATCCTCTCAAAACTCGCTATAGCCTCCTCATGCCCCCAACTCGACTGCATCGCAAACTCTTTCCTAATAGCACGCGTCCGATCTCTTATAAAACCCGCCGTGTACCCCAGCGCTTTACGAGCAGAGTCGGCGGGGGACGCTATGGATGTGGTTGGAGGGGGGGTGGGCATGACGGAGGAGAAAAGGTAGTCGAGGGTTTTCATGAGGGTTAGGGGGGTGCGGAGGTCGGAGGGGAGGATGGCGGAGTCGCCGTGGCCTGCACCGGCGTCGGATCTCGAGTACGCTGCTACGGCTTTTGCAGGGTCCATCCTTCTATCCGGCGTCTACCCCTCGTCAGCTTGGCCCCGAGTTGTGAGTGGGGGCACGTACAGATTCAAAAGGGTTAACCTCCCTCGTCCATTCCCGAAACTCCCGCTCATAATCACTACACATCCTCTCGCAAGTACCTCTCAAGTCGACGGCATCTTCGAGTTCCGTCTTGCCAACTTTGATGAGCCCTTTTTGCTCAAAGGCTTTGCGCTCGTGTTGGCGGAGTTCTTCGAGCTCTTTGTAGCGGTTTCCGGGGAGGACTTGGGAGAAGCGGGCTGCTCGGGCGGCCCGTTTTTCGTCCGAGGCGAGAGAGGGGTCGGGCGCCATCCTGGGGCGGGTTTGGGAGGGGGGGAGGGGAGGGGTGCAGTGGTAAAGTAGAACGTCGAGAAGTGGAGACTTGTACAATAGAGTAGAGTACAGAGGATGACCCTCAAAGACAGTCGGCGATGTCCGCCATGACATCGAGCTGTTCCGAGACGAGCTCCATCTCATCTCGTCTCTCCATCCAGCATGCCGGTGACCGTCAACGAGCCCAGCGGCGAGTCCCACCCCCTCCACCACCGCAAGCACCACTACACCTTCCGCAAGTCCCCCTACCTCGTCTCTCTTGCATTTCTCCTCGTCGCTACAGCCTTGACACTGCTTAATATCCATGTAAGTCGCCTGTCTGCTGCGAGGGCGAGGGGGAGGGATGGCATGTGGAGGGGAAGCTGATGGAGGGGGTAGGTGCCGCAGTTGATCCATGTTGTTGGTCGTTCACCGGGTCCGACGCAGTTTGAGACTAGGTATGGCACGTATCTCGTATGATATGGCATGATCACTGATCAGCTGTGTAGGTATGGCCTCTACAGGCGGTACGTCTTGCCCCTTCCCAGTTCCCATTTGAACCAACTCCTTTCACCCCAAGCTCCACACCCTAACGCCTTCCAATTACTAGCTGTACCCGCTCCCTAGCCTCCTCCCCTAACACCACCGCCCTCCTCCTCCCCGCCCATCCTCTCCCCCACGATGTAGAGCTCCCAATGCCGGCCATCTTTGACAGCCTCCCATCCTCATCCCTCGTAGGAGGAGGCGGAATCGAAGGACCGATCGGCCATCCGGCGGAGGGTGATGGACATGAATGGGTTTGTCAGGATTTCCCTACCAGGTGCGTCCTCCTCCTTCTTCTCCTATAGATGGGTGGGCTACGGATACTGATGGAGGGAAAAGGTCGGAGTGTGAGCAATTCGGCGAAAAGTTCTGCGTACTCTGGTCGACTGCAGGTTACGCCGCACAATCATCGCTCGTACCATGCCTTGCTTCCCTCTTGTCTCTTTTGTTCATCTTTCTTCATCGAGGTGCGTCTCCTTCTCCCCCTCCATCTCCTGTTTGGAAGAAAGCTAAACGAATGACCATAAAGGCGAGCGCACAGCAAGAGCAAAAGCCCGCAGACAACAATGGAAACTCGTTTCCGTCACCATGCTCATCCACTGCCTCTTGCAAGTCCTATCAATCGGTATGATCTTGCATGTGTTTAGGACGGATGAAAGGTTTGAGAGTAAGGGTTCTCATCTTGGTATGTTACCCTTTCCCCCTTCCCCTTCCTTCCCCTTCCTTCCCTTTCAAAGAGAGAGAGAGAGAGAGAGAGAGAGAGAGAGAGAGAGAGAGAGAGAGAGAGAAATAAAGAGAGAAGATAGAGGAAAAGATAAGGGGAGAAGGCTGACTTTTCGGCAAAAGACAAATCCTTCTCCTTCGGCGTATCCTCCGCCCTAGTATCCTTAACCCACGCACTCTTCCTAACCCTTACAGCCTACTCTGCCCGTCTCGGGCATTCATGGGCAGCAGGCAAGTCTGCCAAAAAGTCCAGGCGTCATCGTAGAACCCATTCGGGTAGGGTCGTGTTGATAGAGGATGGGGTGGAAGTGCCGGTGGGGGAGAGGGTCACTGTTGGGGAGGCTAGGGTTGTTGCTGGAGAGGCGGGAGAGAGGACGGGGTTGTTGGAGGGTGATAGTGGGGAAGCGGCGGGGGGCGGGAGGGAGAGGGCTACGGATAGTGCTGTTTAACGTGAAGATGCTTGGAGTACTTGAGCTGGAGGTGCTTGTTATCAAATGAAAATGGAGAAAGGAGTGGTTAGTTGAGTGATTCGGCGTGGTGGAGTGGAGAGTGTTTTATGATAACGTTAGATCGTTTTGTTTCTGTTTTGTAGCGAAAAAAAATCATTCAATCTTGGTCGACTTGTTTCATGTATCTATTGATGTGTGATGAGTGATGAACCTTCTGATAGTTGATACTGCAAAGAGCAGAGATGATTTTTCCTCCAGGGTATACATGATTCTCATTCCGTAAGAGAGAAAGAGAGATGATGTGACCCGACCTATAAAAGTAAAAGACAAGCAAATCGAAAGAACAAGGCCAAGAGATCAACACCAAGACAAAAGAAGAGACAAAAGAAGAGGGGGTAAAGAGAAAGATCGTTTAGGGGCGTTTGGGAGCATGAGTAATGACCGTTCAGGATCGTTTCGGTGATAAACCAAGAAATGGTGATACAATTATACGACTAGTGTAGGACCGACCCCTCAGCTCTTAGTCTCAAGCTATCATCACCCATTTAGAGCAAAGCAAGGACCGCACCCGCCACAGCGAGCACACCGCCCATGGCAGGGGAGACCATACCAGCCCCAGAAGAAGAGCTGGAAGAAGAGGAGTCGCTGCTAGAAGCGGTAGAGGAACCGGAGGTGCTCCGGGTAGAAGAAGCTCGGGCGGAGCCGGAAGAGGTCCTGGTGGAGCTGGACCCGGCGGCTGTGGAAGAAGCGCTGTCTTCGGAGGAAGACGAGTCGGACGAAGACTCATCGGAGGAGGAGGAGGAAGAGTCGTCGGAAGAAGAGGAGGAAGGGTCGGCAGCGGCGGCCGTAGACGAAGCGGTAGACTCAGAGTCAGAGTCGGCGACGGCGGAGGCGGTGGCATCGGCAGTGACGGTGCCGGCGGTCGTGGCGCCGACACCGACGGCGGCAGTGTCGGAAGCGGCGGAACCGCCGCCGGTCGCAGTCAGAGTAGGGGCAGTGTAGCCGTCTATCACACTATTAGCCTTATCCTCCAAGCAAGAGAGGAGGAGGGGGACGTACCAGTGTTGATAGTGGGCAAAGCATTGGTGGTAAAAGTACCGTCGGCATCGGTATAGTTCTGGTTGGAACAAGATTCTTGGAGAGAGTTGAAGTCGGAGATTTGGGTGGCGGCGGTGTTGCCGTTGGCAGTGTTGCAAGAGGCACAGTTGTAAATGTTCTCGAGGTACTCGGCACCGCCTTCAATCCAGCATCAGCTTTTGTCTCAAGGGATGATGGGGAGAGGGGGAGGGGGGACGTACACTGGCAAGAAATGTCGCTAGAATCACAAGTGTCAAAAGCACACTCAAACGAGCACTCGCTAATAGCAGTAGGACAAGCAGTCTGGGTAGAAGTCAAGAGGGAGGCGAGGGCGGCGGCGTCGTTGGAAGTGAGGCAGGTGGCGCAGTCTGACGCGTCGGTGGGGTAGTTGTTGCAGAAACAGCCGTAGACGTCGGTGTTGCTGGTGTAGGTGGTCTGGATATGGTGTTAATTTGTGGGTGTAGGGAGTAGGGTGGGAGGGCTTACTTCACAGAGGTAGGCAGACTCGACGGTCTGGGAGCAAGTGTCGGCGCAAGCAGAGGGGATCTACTTGACTGTCAGCACGCGCCCAGCAAGAGGTAGAAGAAGACGCACGTATTGCCAGTTGGGAGCAGATTGACCCTTGACGACGACGGCAAAGGCGGTAGTAGCGGCGATAAAGAGGATCTTGGACATTATCGGTGAGATTGTGGGCGTGTGGGCGTGAGGTGAAAAGAGTGTGGGCGAGTTTGACTAGAGAAGAGAAAAAGTGAGTTGAACAAAGAAAGAAGAATAAGAGGAAAGAGATGTGGAATTGCATGTTTGTTATATACCGATCTCAGCTCGAGGCGGAGGGGTCAGGTGAGGGACGGAAATTGACGGATTGTGGCTTGATCTGCCCTTGACGGGGAAGTGAAGAGAAAGAGTGCATGGACCAAACAACAGCGCGACAAACACCCAGAAAACAAAGTTTCAGGTACAGGCACGACAGGCACCGCCCTAGAATAACAGCAAGGCACTGTCCGAATACCTGGAATCCGTGAGGGGCCCAACGTAAGGAGGGGCGTGTTTTGTTTGGTGCATGATTTCTCTTCTTGAAAGGGGATCTGTTCGCGAGGGATGTCGGGCAGCAGAGGCAGGTAGGTGACTCAGATGATCTGCTTATAGAATGAGTGCATAGGCGCCATATCTGCCACACTCCCCGTGCTGAAGCCCGTGCACGATCCGATACCGGACATCTGATCCATCTGATCGATCGATCCAAAGTCCGGCCTCAAGCACGACAAGAGATCAATAGCGCCTTCATTTGAACCCGCCTCCATTGGAAGTGGAGGTGGTGGTTGGTGGTTGCTGGTTGGTGGCGCGTCTCTGACTTTAATTGACTTTTGACTTTTGACTTTTGACTTGCTCCTTGACGATGACATTTGCATGTTTGCATGACGACGATGTTCAAATAGCAGCGATCACTATATCAGAGCCCGGTACATCCGGTGCAGAGGGGTTGATTCGATTGGGACTCAAACCACAACATGGAGCGACCGTGGTCTCGCCAATCCCATCGACCATCATCGAAAGCAGCGAGCCGACAGTCTCCAACAAGACGAGTGCATAGACACGTCCACATGGATGTCACGATCCATGCTGCCCATCGATACCCCAACCTCCAATCTTGTCATGCCTTTTTCACTGTGCAATCTTCGCTCTTCTTGGTTTTCTATGATATGAACAACTTGCCCGGAAGCTCGCCCATGCCCTTATTGTGGCTTTGTTCAATCCAAGGGACGTGACGAAGTACTTTGCGGACGAGGCAAGAGCGTAGAGCGGCGCCGAGTCGTGTATTGGGTCTATGTGTTGTCTTTGTATTGTACAGTCGTAACGGACGTGCTTGGGTCTCGTTCAGCCTAAAAGTCCTCGATCTTCCAGGTTGAAGACTCACAGAATATACACAATTATCACCCCTCCCCTGCCTCGGCTGATCCTCACACATACCAGTGCTCATCATCCCCAATCAACACATGCTTGACAAGATCCATCTCATCCTCCACCATCATCCTCGCCTTTCTCCCATCCCCCTTCATCTTCGTCTTGCCAGTATGCGTCGGCAAGACGATGGCAGAGTCGAAATCGATGATACGGATCCCGCCGGCGGGGTGGTATCGCCAATGGCGCGGGTTGGGATCGCCGTGTAAGCTGCCGGAGGTGTGGAGGGCGGTGTAGTGGGAGAGGATTTGTTCTCTACAACGAGTGTCAGGGCAGTCGGGAGGAAGAGAGGAGGGGACGTACTTGTCGGATTCGGATAGCCGCGCAACGTCGACAGGCATTCCACAATTCTCCAGAATCATTACCCAAACCTCACAATCCCCTCCCCCTCCGCCTTCCTCTTCCTCCTCATCATCATCATCCGCATCAAACTTTAGCCGTCCGCCCCAAAGACCATACGACCCCGGCACCACGCTCCCCTGCAGATTCCCCAGATAATCGGTGTATATCTTGCTCTCGTGAAAGATTGCCCGTCGGGCTTCGGTTTCGGTGAACATGCCTGGCAGGTGGGGTTTAGGCGGGAAGCGAGAAGGGTCGGTGGTTTTGACAATGACAGGTTCTTCGAAAATCAGATTCTTTGATTGATAGATTTGTAATCTCCCTTTGAACGCGTCCCATACTTGTCCATGACTCAGCGCTTCATCGAGATAAAGCTTTCTCAAGCCTTGGATGTACTTGTCGTCCTTCCTCTTCGGGAGTGCCGGGGCCCCGTGCCAGGAGGGGTCGGAGGGGGAGATGATGTGCGGGAGGGAAGATTCGGAGGGGTGGGCGACGAAGGGACCGTGCAGGGAGCCGTCTTGGAGGAGGCCGTGCATGAAAGTGTGTGGGGAAGAGAGGGCTAGAGGGTTGGTTGTTGGGGAGAAGGAAAAGTAGATTGGGAGGGTATCGGGTCCGAGCTGAGTCTTGTCAGTTACGATCCATGCGCCTTTTGAGCGTAAGATTGAGAGAGTGGACTCACATCGTCCTCTTTAATGGGATGCGAAGAGACCTCAGGCTTGCCCTTCTCTGCACGCTCGTGAGGGACCGATGCTACACTCGAGCTGGTGGCTGACAACGGTCTCGCCAACGGTGGCTGTAGGTCGCTCGACGCCGTACTCGCCGACTCGGACATGCTGGACACCGCCGATCTTGATTTCGAGGAGCGTGCCGTGTCGAGAAGAGGGTTGTGGACTCCCGAATATGGAGCACACGAATGAAACCAGGTTGGGACGGACCAACAGAGAAGAGTGGATATATCGTGGCATCATCACTTTCCTACCGGAGATTGCCGCAGTTCCATCCTCCACCAAGAACAAGTCAAGATCGCGCCCCTCTCTTTCCCCTTCCCCAAGGATCCACCATGCCCGTCATTGAATCCATCAAGAACAAGCTACACCACGACAAAGAGTCCCCCGAGACTACCACAGCCCAGCAAACCCCACCCACCCCCGTCTCTCCCGAGATTACCACCGGCGCGAGCGCGTCCGAGCAGGCGGCTCCTGCGGCGACGGCGGAGCTTAGTGATAAGCCTGTGTTTGATGCGAATAAGGTGACTGTTATCTTCGTCCTTGGTGGTCCTGGTGCTGGTGAGTCTCCTTCTCTTTTGGTTTTGTTTTTGTGGAAGAGTGCTGATAAGGTTGGTAGGTAAGGGTACGCAGTGTGAAAGGCTCGTTGCCGAGTATGGCTTTGCGCACCTTTCCGGTATGTGCCTATTGAATGATCAGGTCTGATGGAGAGGGGAAGCTGATAGGGGGTGTAGCTGGTGATCTTCTTAGGGCTGAGAAGAACCGAGAAGGATCCACTTATGGCGCTATGATAACAGAGTACATCACTGAGGGCAAGATTGTCCCTATGGAAGTCACCATCAAGGTCTGTACCCTTCCCTCTCTCATGCCTAATCACTTCTAATTCTCAGGCAGCTCCTCGAAAACGCCATGTCCGACATCCTGTCCACCCCGCCCACCACCCCCGGCTGGTCCAACGGCCACGGCCGGTTCCTTATCGACGGTTTCCCTCGCAAGATGGACCAGGCCGTCAAGTTTGACGAGTCGGTGTGCAAGTCGTCTTTCGTCTTGTTCTTCAAGACCAGCGAGGAGATTTTGTTGGAGAGGTTGATGGAGAGGGGCAAGACTAGTGGGAGGGAGGATGATAACAAGGAGAGTATTGTCAAGCGTTTCCGTGAGTACCGTTCTTGCCTGACTGTCTTTGTCTTTCTCGGAGCATGATTTGTGAGACTGACTGGCTGTGGTATAGGCACATTCGTCGAAACGTCCATGCCCGTCGTCGACTACTACCGCGCCCGAAACAAGGTTATCGAGATCGACTCTTCCCCTCCTATCGACCAAGTTTACGCTGAAGTGAAGGTGGCGCTGGATGAGAGGATACCGAAGAAGGGCGCGGCTTATGGGGATGTTGCGGAGTAGATTCAGAGTCGGCGGAGGGGGTTATATACTGAGGTCTAGATGACATGGATTTTGTCGCCTTGAAATACATGCTGGGCGATCGGCTCTACGGAATCAACATATCAAGCAGATTATTGGCACAAAGTCGTGCCGAAGTGCGCAGCTCTTACGACCGAGAAGGGTTTGTTGTGCATACTAATGCACTGACCAAACAGTGCTAATTTGGGGGGCTAAAGCGATTAAACTCGTTTGGAAAGAACAGAGCTGTCGTGGTGGTGACGTCCAGCTTTCGGGTAACCGATCATGGCCACACACCGACAACTTTATGCTCAATGCATGCCATGAAACAATATTCCTCTTGCATTCCCTATGCACATGCATCCTGACACGATTCACCTTTGCCACGATGCAAGCATATGCATACGAAACAACCCACGAAAAGACGAGGACAGAACCCACCGCCACTGTGCCAAACGCCGCGATCTGCCGCCACGTGGATCCGTTGCCGCTAAAAAACTACCATAAAAGAGCACTCCCCTTTAAAGAAGCAAGGTCCCAAAAAGGACGACACCCCCCGCGCCGCGACTTTTTTGGTGCTACCCACGCTTACATAACACCCCCAGGCACAGGTGGAGGTTGACCACCCAGCAATGTCGTTTCGGTGCGTTCTTGTGGTATGACGAGAGGGCATAAAAGCTGACAGTAGGGGTACAGTCAGGACAAGCTCATCCTTCTGCTGGACAGCGGTACATCTAAACAAGTACGCCAGACAGCCGCCAAGCAGATTGCGCGTATTGCCGGCAAGTTGTTCGAATCCGCCGTCTCGCACCCTACCGAACACAAACCCGAGCTCGATGGCGAGGGCAGTATAACGCTGCAAGCTGGCGGAGCGGGCGAAGATGAAGCTTGGAACGACTCGCTGGAGACGATTGGCAAGATCTTGGCCTTGCTCAAATCGAACTCGTCCGAAACGCGGCATGCGGCGGCTCATGCTCTTGGGCTTTTGGCTGAAACGTTGCCAGAGTCTATTCCCGTAGCCTCGCCGTCTTCTGATCCTTTTACAACATATCCCATCGACCTTCAATCCCTGCTTCAAGGTGGGCAGATGCTGCTGGCCTCCGCCGGCCGAGAGTATGCCGCCAAACCGAACGCTGGTGACAAGGCCAAACGGCGGAAAGCCATGATGGCCACCGTGGGCTTGGGAGATACCGTGGGGTGGGGCGATGATACGGACAATGTGTTGGATGATGACGATGATGATTTGGATGTGGATGTGAAGCGCTCTGGGACTGCAGGGAGTGCCGAGCCGAGTCAGCCGCCTGCGGATGTCTTTGAAGGGCTGAGCTCGAGACAGATCACAATGTTGAAGAGGAAGAAGGGGAATATGGTTGAAGAAGCCAACAAGTAAGTCATCCCACGATTACTCTGAGTCTGGGCTAATAGGTGCAGAATGCGGAGATTGAACGAAAAAGTCGCTGGCTCAACAGCCCCTTCCGCCGCCCCCTCTCGCGCCCCATCACCCACACCCGACGCTCCTTCAGACGTCAAGACCGAACCCAAAACCGAAGTCGTCACAATCGACCCCGGAGCCAAAGCTCGCGCGGCCAAAGGCGGTCAAGTCGAGCCTTCCCTCGATATGGATGGTAACCCGATAGCATCCTCTCGTACGCTGTCTTTCGTCAGGGGGCAGTCGCCTTGGACGACGGTCATTCTGGAGGTGGTGGGTGATTTGGGAGATGCGGCGTGGCAGGTGAGGCATGGGACTGCCCTGGCTTTGATGGAAATACTTCGCTCGACGGGTGCTTCTTTTGCACAGCACCAGCCCAGTATCCTCCTGTCGCTCGCGCGACAGCTACTCTCATTACTCGTGCTCGACCGATTCGGCGATTTCGTAGGCGACACAGTCATCGCCCCCGTCCGAGAAACCGCCGCCCAAACCCTCGGTCTCCTCATCAAACACATTCCTCTCTCATACTTGCCCGAGATCCACCACACCCTCATGCACATGGTCCAGCAACCATGGGCCAAGCGCGGGAAAGAGGCGGAGAAGGCAAAGAAGGGTGAAAAGTTTGCTTGGGAGGTACGACATGCGGGGTTGTTGGGGCTCAAATATGAGGTTGCGGTGAGAGGTGATTTGTTGGGGGTGAAGAAGGAAGAGGATGTGGATATGGAGGCGCCGAACTTGTTGGAGGATGTTGTGAATGCTGCCATACTAGCGTGAGTCTTATACGACTGGGAAGGGTTGGAGCTGACGCGAATGCAGACTCGGTGATTCTGACGACGACGTCCGGACAGTGGCAGCTTCCGCCCTCATCCCCATCACCTCCATCCTCGCCTCCCAACTCCCCACTACCGACCTCTCTCACCTCCTCCAGACTCTATGGGACTGTCTCGCCGAGGGCGGCGATGAGCTTGGAAGCAGCACGGGTGCAGTGATGGACCTTTTGGGTTCGCTCATAGCGTATCCCGAGGTGATCGCGCTGCTGACTGCGGACGATAAGAATCTCATTGCGAGAGTGTACAACTTTTTGCGGCATCCTATTGGGGCTGTCCGTTTGGCTGTCGCCAATATCCTACTCGCTTTCGCCAGATTACCAGATATTCCGAGAAGATGGGAGTCTGATGGCTTCTTCCCATTCATCTTCCAGAACCTGGTCCTGGAGGAACGTCTCGACATTCGACAGGTTTCCTTCCTCGCCTTCTCCACCGCACTCACCCTTGCCGCCTCTTCAACAGGTCTCGACAGCGTCCTCGGTACCGACGTCGAAGATTGGTATTCTATCGTCATGACGCCAGTCGGTGTGCCTCTAGATGAGAATCTGTTTAGACGACCGGTACAAGGAGCGGGCACGGGGCAGGGGACAGGGCAGACGCATAATGTGGATAAGGCGATGATGAAGGGTGATATGAGTCTTGTGGGCGTTGATACGGTGCTGGAGACGAGGATTGAAGGGGCAAGGGCTTTGGCGCTTCTGCGGCAATATCAGTTGGACGAGGTGAGTCTTTCATTCATGGCGATCTGCGGGCAACGCTAACATGGATGCAGGTGAATGACGTGAACCTCTTGAGACAATACCTGTCTTCGTCGAGCGCACACCAAACCTTCATTGCTTCAGTTATTGTTCAAGAATGGGCCATGGACTGCGAATCGCGCATCACCGACGCATCTTCCTTCTCCCTCGCTTCGACCAACCCCGACGCCCAATCACTTTCTGCCATCGTCATCGATCGCGTCAGCGCGCCACCGCCATCAACATACCACGAGATGACCATCATCCTCCACCGAATCCACTCCGAGTGTGTGGCCATGTTTAGTGCTTTCAACATCGAGGGCAAGCTGGGCAAGGACAAGGTGCCGGTCCTGCCAAAGAGGATCGACCCGACGAGCGATGCGCCGGATGTGTTTTCTATCGAGACTGCCCAAGAAGCTATCACGTCCACGTTCGACGAGACGGTTACCAAGCTTTCCAAGGCTGCTCAGAAGAGGGTCCTCCCGGCTCTCGAAGAGCGCCGGAACAAGGTCATGGCTTCCATCGGCTACTTTTCCATTCAAAAAGTCAAGTATGACTATCAAGTCTCGGCAGCTCTCGCCGGCGCCCTTGTTGCCCTCAAGATCATGCCTCCCAAATTCGGCCCCGTCATCAAGAGTCTTATGGATGGCGTTAGATATGAGGAGAATGAGGTGCTGCAGAAGAGGTCAGCGTTCTGGGTGAGCGCATTTGTGGCGTTTACGGCTGGACCGTTGTTCCAGGGAAAGATGAACCCGTCCGACAAGGTTATCAAGAATCTCTTTGTTTTCCTCTGTATGGACAACTCTATCGTGCCCATCTTCAACACTGCGCCCGACGCCGCTGCTGGTATCATTACCCTCAGGGAGGATCAGGCTGCCGCTGTGGCTAGTGTGGGGAAGAAGAAGGATGTGGTGGAGGAGACGGAGGATCAAATCAATAACAGGATTGCGAGGCGGGGCGCTTTGGAGGGGTTCAAGGCGCTGGCAAAGAGATTCGGAGCTGGGCTGTTTGGCGGTGTGCCCAAGTTCTGGGAGGGAATCAGTGGGGCTTTATTGAAGGTCTTTGGTGAAAGTGAGTCAATCCCATCAGTCGAAGATTAGATGACTGACGGGTCTTAGATACCGACATTGAGAAGATCGACGCAGACCTCGCCAGTACCCCACAAATGGGTCAAGACCTGGTAGACGCCCTGGTCTCTCTCCGCCTCATCACTCCCGAACTCGACCCCATCCTCTACTCACAACTCTTCCCTCTCTTTTCGCCCATCATTCTCGCGCTTCAAAGCTCATACCCGGTGGTCCGCTACACAGCGGCTCACTGCCTGGCGGCGATGTGCAATGTGATGACGGACGAGGGCATGAAGAGGGTTGTGGACGATGTTGTGCCGCTAGTGGGAGATGCGGCGAGAATACACTCTAGACAGGGTGCTGTGGAAGCTATTCATCGTGAGTAACCTCACCTAATGTATCGGGCAATACTGACGCATGCGCAGGCATTATCAAGCACTTGGATATCAAGGCTTTGCCTTATGTTCTTTTCCTCATCGTCCCCATTCTCGGCCGTATGTCCGATCCAGACGAATCCACCCGACTTCTCTCCACCTCCACATTCGCTTCCCTCGTCAAGATGGTGCCTCTCGAAGCAGGTCTTCCCGACCCGCCCGGCTTCTCCTTGGAGCTTTTGGCGAAGCGAGATGACGAGCGCAAGTTCTTGATGCAGCTGCTAGACGGAAGCAAAGCCGAGCAGTATGAGATTCCGGTCAAGGTTGAGGCAGAGTTGAGGCAGTATCAGAAGGACGGTGTGAGCTGGATGGCTTTCCTGGCCAAGTACCAGCTCCATGGTATTCTGTGCGACGGTATGTCTTTCTGCATTCTCTTTTCGCAAGCGTGCTGACCGATGGCCAGATATGGGTCTCGGAAAGAGTCTGCAGAGTATCTGCATTGTCGCGAGCAAACATCACGAACGGGCCGAACGCCACAAAGCCACGCAGTCTGTCGACTCTGTCCATCTTCCCTCCCTTTTCGTCTGCCCGCCGACTCTTACGGGACATTGGTATCACGAGTTCCTCAAGTTCACTCCTCATATCAAAGCCCTTCAATACGTTGGATCGTCTTTCGACCGAACTTCTTTGCGACGTCGTTTCAACGACTATGACGTTATCATCACCTCATACGAATCTATCCGATCCGACATTGCCGATCTGCAAAAAGTCAACTTTCTGTATTGCGTCCTCGACGAAGGGCATATCATCAAGAATACCAAGACTAAACTCGCGGTGGCTGTCAAGCAAATAAAGGCGCAGCACCGCCTGTTGCTGAGTGGTACTCCCATCCAGAACAACGTGCTGGAGCTTTGGAGCTTGTTTGACTTTTTGATGCCGGGATTCTTGGGTAACGAGAGAATGTTCAACGAGAGGTTTTCGAAGCCTATTTTGGCGGATAGAGAAGGAAAAGCGACGCCCAAAGAGCGGGAAGCTGGTAAGTGCATGGGGTCTTTCAAGGTGATCGATGCTAATCGGTCTCTAGCTGCCAACGCGCTGGAAGCGCTACACAAGCAAGTCCTCCCATTCCTGCTTCGTCGACTCAAAGAAGACGTACTCGACGACCTACCTCCAAAGATCATCCAGGACTATTACTGCGAGCTTTCCCCCGTCCAACAGCAACTTTACGACGAATTCTCCAAGTCGAAGGCTGCCGAGGACGCCGGCGTGGAGATTGGATCCACCGGGGCTGCCAAAGAGAGTCAAACACACGTTTTCCAGAGCCTACAGTATCTGCGAAAGTTGTGCAATCACCCGGCTTTGGTGCTGGACAAGGAGCCGCAGAAGTTCAAGGAGATACAAGGGAAGATCGGAGGTGGTCCGGGATTGCACGACTTATCTCATGCGCCCAAGATGGAAGCTCTACGGTACGTCCATCTTGCGCTTCATACATTTCAGCCCTGACGCTATACGCAGACAATTACTGCAAGATTGCGGTATAGGTCTCCCGCCCGACAAGCTCGCCGACGATGTCTCCACCCATCGAGTTCTCATCTTCTGTCAACTTCGCCCCATGCTCGACCTTATTGAGAAAGATCTTTTCGGCACTCACATGCCCTCAGTCTCTTACATGCGGTTAGATGGTCAGACCGACCCGCGCAAGCGACACGACATCGTCCAAACGTTCAACGCCGACCCAAGAATCGACGTCTTGCTGTTGACGACGAGCGTGGGTGGTCTGGGATTGAACCTGACAGGTGCCGACACAGTCATCTTTGTCGATCATGATTGGAACCCGATGAAGGATTTGCAGGCAATGGATAGAGCGCATAGGTTGGGGCAGAGGAAGGTTGTGAATGTGTATCGGTTGATTACGCGAGGGACTTTGGAAGAAAAGATCATGGGGTAAGTCACATCTGGGTCTTCAATACCTGTTTGTATGCTGACGTGTGGTGTCAGTCTGCAACGGTTCAAACTGAATATTGCATCGTCTGTGGTCACTCAACAGAACGCTGGACTGGGGTCAATGAATACGGGAGAAGTGTTGGATCTGTTCAGTGTGAGCGCAGAGGGACAGCCGGCAAAGACAAAGGCAGCCAACCCGGGGTCGGTCTCGATGAGCAAGATGTTGGAAGAGTACGTCGCCATGAAGCCGAGACTAGGACAAGCTGACTCTTCACCCACAGATTGGACGATTTACCACCTGAAGACGAATACGCCGAATTATCATTGACAAATTTCATGAGCAAGGTATAATAAATACAATATATAGATTTGTACCCTCATAGCTTCACAACATATCTTACTCGCATACTTATCAGCATAAATGCATTGTCGTTGGTCATAGATACATACCTGGCCAGCCCAAACCCAGTCGAATCATCATGATCAGATACTTGTAGAAGTGCCGACGGACGAGAGAGGAAATAAGGAAGAGTCTACATGTCACTAGCAAACACGGCGTTCTGCTTCCTCCTGCTGATATATTGTAATGTGGATCTGTAGGCTTGGCCTTTCATGATACTTCAACAGCTACAGTGTCGTGGAAACGATCATACCATATACAACTAGACGCTCAAACGACATCTTCCTTCAACGACGTCACATCCCAATGATCACCTCCATGGCCGGCCGTGTATCGGGATCACCCTGCAGAGGCGGCATTTCCAGCGTACAAAGAGGGCACATTGGCTAATCCGTCAACTGTCAGTATGTCATATGGTAGGCTGATGAATATGAAAGACTCACGCTGGTCGCCAGCCATTTCTTCAGACACGTCATATGCCAAACATGCCCGCATGGACCCACTGCCCAGTCGTCTACAGCCGGTGCTTCTCCAGCTTCGTATAAAGCAACCACTTCTCCTTCACCTTCCCCTTCAGACCTGGCATTCTCTGGCAGCAAATGATCTCCATCGTCGCCGACGACTTCTTCGGTTTGAATGTAGATGCCCGTCTCGCGTTTCTCGGCATTGTCGAGGTCAAGGGGAGGTTGAGGGAACCGAATAGCCTCGTAACAGATGTGACACGTCGGGCTGTCGCACAAGTTCAGAGTGGCGCGCAGCTCGGTCGTGAGAGGACGTTGGAAGGAATAGAATTTGGGAGCCAACTGAGGGCAAAATCAGCTTTCTGTTTCACATCTCGATACTCGATTAATGTGTGACTGACAAAGCGGGGAAGACTATCAAGAAGGCTTCGTCAGCAAAGTGAGTGATACGATCCGCAAGGTAGGATGGCGATCTTACTATCTTGAGTTGGGGCTGTACATGGATTGTGCAAATAAGATGGTGATTTGGACCACTTGCCATGCTACTATCCCATAAGGCCAGCTCCTATATTCAATCATCGTCGGGCCTGCGTCTGGAAAGATGAATGTGACTGCTCAGGCCCTCGTCAGCGTACACTCTCGATCTACCGCTTAATGCCCGATCGTGATCTTTGCGCACCAGCTAAACTCACAAAGAAATAGCAGTGTAAAGACTGTACTCTTCAGCATGATAGCAATCCAGCCTAAACTGAATCGAGACCCTTCGTATGTGTTCCGGATGATTTGAGGGACCCAGAAGGAGTAGAGGATGAATGCGGTGATAGGGAGAATTGCCGTTCGAAGGAGGACTGGTAGCGAGAAGAAGGCGATACACCCGAGAAGTGCTGATACTACCAACGTCACATATCAGCTCAACGGTTGTAAATCGAGAGAAGCGACTCGGGGACTTACAGCAGCTAGATGACCCAATGAACCATCTTTGCATCTGCTCCAACATAGAAGTCACTTTGACCAGGAGGATATTCCTAGTTGGGGGCGAATATGTCAAGGCAAAGATGGCAGGGGAGGAATGAAAAGAGCGCGAGTTTTCACTTGCTGCTCGTGCTGCTGTGATGTTCCAGGTGTGTGGCTGTAGTCGTTAAAGGTCAGCCATGTGCACGGGAAGATGAAAGGACAAGGGTCCATACAATGAGGTCAGCCGTCCTGAAGAAGATAGCGCACACGAAAGGCACGAGTATACCTACCATGGACCAATCGTCGTCGAAAAATCCCAGCACGGTCGTCATTACCAGCAAAAAGCAGTCGACCAGCATCATCATACTGATCATTCCCCGCGAAGTGTTTTTAGTGAGCTTCCGGTCAATACCGTGCCCCAAGAGAGGGAATAATGGTTGCCGCATCCCAAGGGCCGCAGATGTCGCTATCGCAGAAAGAACATCGTAAGCCCATGTTTGGAGTCGTGTCGACAGGAGTCACTCACATCGCATCTTTCTCTCGCGCCAATTGCTAAGAGTCTCCTTTGCCATGGTCCCTTCCAGCCCCATTGCCCACCCACACCCATCTGACACCGCGACTCCTCCAAAACCTAGAGATGCCGCTTTTCCGGTGGTGAGATTGTGTAGGTTAAGATCATGTACGGTCAAAGGTTGAGCGTGCGGTTCTGGCAGGGAGAACAGTGGTGGGAGAGTGAAGTGAGCCAGGAGCGGGCAGTCCGGGGTTGGTTCTTGAGGCGATCAGCGATGGGATGTGGAGGAAAGAAGGTTGAAGATGAAAGCTCACCTTGTAAGCGGCTCATCAACCACGTCGCAGGTAGCTCACTAGCCTCAACCTTTGACAATGTGATAGCTTCTTCCTTGCCCATACCGTAGTCTTTCAGAGAGCGCTCCAAGAACCTTTGGGCATGCTGCAAATCAGGAGTCCGCCCTTGTGGAAACCCGTAGATGCGACACGTCCCGTCTCGCTCGTTGTGCAGGCCGAGAAGGTCGTACTGAACCCTTCTTCCCATGCTCAGCGCCCCCGAAGCGCCAGACATCAGGCGCATCCTCCCAGAAATTCTGTTCCAACCTTCAAACGGCGGAGAGTCATTGGATTGGATCTTCGCCCTCTGCACATACTCTCCTCGCCTTTCCTTACCCTCCCAGAGCATCTTAGCGAAAGAGTCATACGCCAACACCATATCCATCTGTTCCATCCTTGCCCAGATAGATCCATCCTCCTTCCCGGTCGTGTTCTTATCCAAGGAGTTTCCTGGCCAGAAGGGGGCTCCGGACGAGGCCGAGAGGGACCGGTTGTGCGCAATTGCGAGCTCGAGGGGAAGCGGGTGTACACGATAGCCAGTATGTCGTCCATCGAGGAAGGGGTACGGTGCATTCGCGTCAAGGTCATATTGGTATTCGGCTGGGAGCAGTGAAGAGGGAAGAGTCATGAATTGAGGGTTCTGCGCGAGCGTTTGAGCGAGAAGAGGGGCTGGAGGAGATGCACTGTACGTACGGATGTGCCTTCTTGGCTGGACTGCCAGGCGTTAACAGCGCTTTGCATTGTCCTCCATGCCCTGTCATATCCCCAAATGTGATAGAGGGAAACAGCAAGTACACTGAAAGTGATGAGTATAGCGTAGTGAAGGACGCGAACCATCGTGGAGCCGGCGGTTGGCGTCGTTGCTGCGGCGTCTGTTGGTCGCCGTAAGGGCGTGTGGTGGGCTGGATGTCGCTTGGAGCTACTGAGATCGTAACTAGGAGAGTGTCTGACAAGACTGAGGTAAAACAAGGTTGTAATGGAAGATCAATGTAAGAGACGGTGTCAAAAGCGCGTACAAACAAACACACAACAACAGTCTACATTCGGCGAGGGCCGGATGTGGCAGACGACGGCTATCGTCATCCTCGATATCGCGCGATGTCAATGTGCATGCTCGTGGAAAATTGTACATGTAATCTGCATACTAATGTTCTTTGACTACGCACAGTATCGCGATGCTCAGATCCTTCCAGGCTAGTTGCTCATCTTCAAACTTCCTCCTCACCCTTCTTCAGTACATTCCAATCATCCAACTCAGGCAGCCTTCGCGCACAAACTGTACAGGTACCCTGTCCTTTCCATCAGCTTTGTTTACCAATCGAGACACAGCTCACATTCTCAAGTAGGTACACTCTCAAGCACGATAGATGATAAAGATGTCCACAAGGTCCCATAGCGTAATCCGTGGCCAATAAGTTTCTTGTTCTTTTAAGGCCCCATTCAACTTCTCGGATGAGGTCGGCGAGCTCGGAGGGACTTAAGAGATTACTGTCTTCTCGAGCGGCGTGGATAGGGGGAACGAGTGGAGGCTCAACGTCGGAGGGGTATGGAGGCTCTGTTTTTAGGCTGGCTTCGACTGCGTTGACTTTGGCGACGTTGCCTCCGTTGTCGACTAGAGGTACCTCGATGTCATCTCCTTTTTCCTTCACCCCACCCCCTCCCACCCCATCGAGTTCTTCCAAAACCTCGTTCCTCTTTTCCGCTTGAAGCCCCTTCTCTTCCAAACTTTTCGCTTTCTCTCTCAATCTTTCCGCTTTCTCTTCCAGTTTTTCCGAATGCTCTTTCAACCTTTTCCCTTCCTCTTTGACATAGGTGTCGTGCGACGTGTAGAAAGGATGATCCAAAGGGGTAATCGGGAACTGCACACTTCCCGAGCAGATCCGACACGGAGCCGTGCCCTCGCTGTCGACTTCAAGCCAGGACGCTATTGTTGGAGAGAGGATTAGTTGGTAGAAGTGGAATTTTGGTGCAAGCTATATTCCAGTCTTATCAACCAACGCTCTCAAACATAGAGACTTGATGCGGGAAACGGAAACGTACCCAGTGAGGAAGGCTAAGAATTTTCGAGAGAAGGCCAGGAAGCGTTAGCTGCCGCTTCTCGGCATTCCTGTGACAGAACGGCAATGACTCACTATCGAGATCTCGGACCATAATTGTCTTGAGCACAGAGGACACCAACTTGGACGAGCTGCCAAGCTACGATGACGAGCGGCCATTGGGGGTAGCTCCCTACTTCCGTAGGGCTGGCGGTGATAGCGTGAAAATTGACTAGGCCGAATCAGCTCACTTCCCGGCAGTTGATATCAATTAAAAGCGGAAGAAGAGATGAGAAACTTACCCAACAAGGTGGTACAAGATATGTATATGATTTGATTCACGATGAAGAACCAGCCGAAAGGAAACACGCTCCCCATCTGAGCATTACTTAGGATTTGAGGTACCCAGTAAGAGTAAAGGATGAAGAAGGTGGTGGGAAGGAGGAATGATTCGTGGAGAGATGGGGTTGTGAGGATGAATGGCGTGCCGATGGTTATAATCGCTCAAAAGAGATCCTTAGAAGACATTTTGTTTTCGAAAATTGAGTGGCTTACTGGTGAGGTCGCTTAGTGTAAAGTTTGTAGCCAACTTGGAAATCGACGCTTCGAGTATGTTGTGGGGCCGAGTAAGAGGGATGAACGACGCAGGTGGGATGGGCGAGGCATTCGGGCGTACTATATCTTCCTTCCTCCATTTTTCATCGATATAATAGACAGCCACCTGCAGCCATTGTAAGCTTTGAGCTAGAACACGAAGAGGGGAGAGATCACAAAGCAGATGATGAGATTAGCCACCGCGGTCAGGAAGAACGGCATCAACACCCCGATCATCACCCCGTCACCGTCGAAGAACCCTCTTGCCAGCATTATGACAAACATATAACAGTCCGCCAATGTAAGGAGGTAGCGCGTGCCCCGTGAAAGATGCTTGGAGATAGACTTGTCTTGGCCAAAGGTTATATAGAGGCGTAAAGCGAAAGAGGTCAAGCCTTGGCCAGAGGATAGTAGAACGTCTGGTATGGCAGTGAGCATCTCGTCACTGGTGGAAATGAGAGAGGGTTTACGGAAGGAACGCCAGCTCCAGAACCACATATCTGAATGTGCAATCCCCTCCGCATCAACGCCCCCCGAAAATCCCAGGGTCCAACCACATCCATCCGCCACGGCAACACCGGCCAAGCCCGGCGGTGCATTGTAGTATTCTACATTTGTCCACTCTGGATCGGTGGTCGGTGTGTTGGAGAGGTTGACGAGGGGAGGGAGGGTGAGTTGGATGAGGAGAGGACAGTAGGGTGTGGGTGCTGTACTGACGTCAGCGCCTGCTTTGCTTTCCTACATGACAACAGATGGACAGACCTTGGAGCTTTCGCATAAGCCACGTCGTCGGAAGGTCATCGTCTCTCACATTCGCCAAATTCGAGGACACCTTCCTCTCCAACCCCTCCTCACCCAAAGCCTTGCTCAGCATCTCGGTGGCATTGCCAAGGCTCGGCGGCGAGCCTTGAGGAAAACCGTAGATATGATATATCCCTCTCCGGCGGTCTTGCACCCCCACGAGACTGTAGTGAACTCTATAAAGCTTTGTGAACAGGTCGGTACGAGAAGAGGTCAAGCTCATCCGGCCTGTGACTTTATTCCAGTCGTTGTAAGGTTCACGAATACCTCGCCCGAGACCCCAGCGCGTGGTATCCCAATAGGTCGTTTGGGGCTTCCCGTTATTCCAGAGCATACGATCGAATCGCTCGTGCTTCACAGACATGTCCATCCTTGTGACACTCGCCCAGTCAAAGCCAATAACCGCTGCCTTCTCGTAGCTAGGGGCGGTGTAGGCGACTTGTTTGCCCCAAAAATTGTCGTCTGTGGAAGAGTACTCTGGGGTGTCGGAGGAGGAAGTGTGGTTGAGGGCGAGAAGAGTGGGAATTGGATGGACGGTAGTGTTGATATGACGTCCGGTGATGAAGGGGTAAGGGAGGTGGGCAGCGATGTCGTGTTTGTACTTGGCGGGGAGCACGGTGGAGGGGAGTACCAGAGCAGGGATCTACAAGACCTTGAGCTTCTCGTGTCTTTCGCTGGGCGAATGGGACGATACATACCTCTGGCAGAATGTCGTTCCTTTTCTGAGCAGCGCTTGAGATATCTAGGTCCGGAGGGGACCAAACCTTGAAGCCGAGCATCCCCACTGCTATGATAAAGCCCGCAGCGAAAGCGGCTATGGTCCAGCCCCGGCGAGCCATAGCGTGTCGAGTACCAAGTAGAGGATTGAGAAAGTTGAGAAAGAGGTGATGGGGTGCGAATAACAACAACAGAGCAGCGTGATGCGCCCGTCGTCCAGCAGGAACACACGACGGACAATGCCGACCGTGTGTATGTGCTCCAGTAAGCCACCTCTCGACCACCGTGTATTACGAGTTCATGCACAGCCGGTATAGATACTGGGGCCAAGACATTCCTTCCATTATGCTCTCTCAGGGGACATCAGCAATAGTGCGCTACGACAACTCCATCCGGTGTTGGTTGCTCAAAGAGATGGTACTCTTTCGCGTCATCACTGTCATTCGGTGATGACCGACACTTCATAGTTCCAGAATATTCTAGTATATAGGAGTAAGGGAGTCCTTGTAGCTGTATTAGTAAGCGGGGGAAGACAGTAGAAACTCCCAGTATATACTACCAGGGGTGTGCTCACTAAGCACAGGGGTATTCTAGTACTTTCCATAGCGGGGGCGCAAGGTATATGAGGCGCCGGGAGTAGCGTAGAAGAAGAGATGAACCAACCCCACTTTACCCCAACTACAATAATCACCGACGTTGATCGTGCTCGGCTTCACGCAGCGGTGTCCACATGTGTTGGCGGACCTGAAAATGTATCATCCGAGAAGAATAGATGTACTATGTTGCTCCGATATAAGATCGTGTGAGCTTGCAATGAGCATTTGAACATCGCAGGATTTTCACATAATAATGCGTGGGTATTCTCAGAACGTCTTTTCATCATCAGCGACGGCATTGATGCACAGCTCGGAAAAGGGTACTCCGCCAGATGTACTTGTACTATATAATATGGAACAAACAGTGTTGTTGCGATATCTCTCACAGTATCAACATCAAAACATGGAGAACTACGACAACGATACCGATATGTCGTTTTACGGCAACAGTGCCGATGGACAGCGCTATGACCCCACTTACAACTATGGGGAGAGCTCCGCCGCAGCGGGGGGCTCTTCTTTTGCTTTCGATGATTTCTCGTATATGACCGGGGTCGGTACTTTACCTTCCACTCCATCAGACGTGATTATTGACAGCTATCATGTTATCTACATCTTAGGAGGCTAGCAATGTGATGGATCCGTACAGCCAACAACAGCAATCTTCGTTCGGCGCTGCTAGTGGTGGTACTGCTTCCAAATCAGTATGTCGTGACTCTTTCTGCTCTTATGACTGCCTACCCAGGCTGCCTGGCGTCAGGCGACTGATGAAGCTCTTGTACGGTTACTGACACAATACAATTTGTTTGCAGACCAAGACCGCTGCGAGTATAAACAAGAGCAAAGGAAGGGCTATTGTCTCCGAGGAAGAGAAAGAAGGTGGGCTACCATCACGTCGTTACCCCGACTCGTCCTTTCACTGAAAGAAAGCCCCACTGTACTAATACTGATACGATATTATCTGATGATTAATAGCCAGAAAGAAAGCACGATACGAAACGTCATTGGACAGGAGCCCTGAAGCTCGAAAACAAAGGAGAAAAACGAATGGTGCGTTATCACAGCTTTCTTGCCGATTGCTGACATCGTCGACGTTGCTCATCACACAGTTGCGAGATACAACGCAAAGAAGGCCACATCCGAAAAAACGAGACTGACAACCCTCGAATCGGCCGTGCGTGATGCCGAGGCAAGATTCAACAATACGGAGGCAGAAAGGCAGCATTTACTCACATTGTATGCCCAGGTTCAAGAGGAAAACACGAGATTGAAGAGCGAAGCCGAATATTTCACCGAGGACATGCCCTGGGCTGATGTCGAATTTGGACAGGAAGACCTGGAAGAAATGGGTGGGCTATTATGATGGACAGTTGTTGGTAATAAGGAACGATCCAGTGAATATCAAAATCAGCAACGTTAGGAGACTATAGCAGATGAATTACTAGCATTCCTCACTGCTAAATGGTGACAACGCTGCGCTGTGCATATGTCGCTGTTACTGATGAGAAGAAGAAGAAGAAGGCCTGAAAGGATTTGAGAACAAATATATCTATGTTGCCTCGATCTACGACTGTGCTTGTGGAAGGGCAATCTACGAGCATTGATGCGAAAGTACTTGCTGAGTTGGAAGTAGCATATGAACAGCGAGCAGTTTTCACATGATGAAGCGCGCGTAATTCTCAGGAAGTCGTCTCATCATCATCAGCGGCGGCGGCCTTGTTGATAGACAGCAGAACGGGGAGTACTCCGCAAGATGTACTTGTACTGTACTCGTACGATTGCGAGTACGAGTAGAGTACATAACATGGTAGACATCATCACTCCATGCGATTGCATATCTCACACAAAACAACATGTCCTTCAACAACAATGACGCAGATGACCAGAGCTTCTACTTTTACAACGGCGAGAGCTCCACCGCTGCTCCGGAATTCGAGTATTCCTCGTATCTGACCGGTGTCAATATCCTTTCCTCTCTATCAAGCACGATCCCTGAGAATTCTGATTGAATTGTTGTGATGGTTGGAGGCTGGTAATGAAAGTGATCCGGATAGCCAGCATCATCAACAGCCGCCAGCTGGATCGCTCGATGCTGCTGCTGCTGACATGATGTGAATTGTTCACAGACTAATAACACTACGAACGAGGGCAAACGAAGTACTGTTGCTGTGGATCGCTTTCCCAGACAATACAACTCATGCATGGCATGCGCATAAGTACCCTCAACCTCCTTCATCCAGCCCTGATTGGATCCAGCGATGATCCAGCCTCCGTCGGCAAGTGCCGAAGACGACGGGATCAAATGCAGGCGGCCATCTCGCTTTTCGTCACTCTTTGGTCACTCTTGTACTGTCCTCTATCCTATCCGCCATGGTCCGCCTTCCCCCCTCCTCCCTCCTCCGCTCCTCCCTCCGCGCCCAGTCCCGCTATGCCTCCTCCTCAGCACACGTACGCCCCCTCCCCGTCTCTTGCTGCACAATTGCTAATCCTTCTCGGCAGACTCTGCGGCCAGCTGGGACTGTCACAACGCTACCAAACAAGCTCAGAGTAGCCACCGAGGGTGTACCGGGGCATTTCCATGCTGTGGGAGTGTACATTGATGCGGGCAGTCGGTATGAGAGTCCGAGGAACAGCGGCATGTCGCATTTGCTGGATAGATTAGCTTTCAAAGTGCGTCGTCACCCTCTTCCCTCTTGCCTTATCACAAGCTGATTGCGTTGAAGAGCACAAACAAACATACAGACGCTGAAATGACGACCCTCATCGACTCTCTTGGCTCCCAAGTCACCTGCGCCTCATCCAGAGAAACGATCATGTACCAATCCACCGTCTTTCCCCAATCCCTCCCCCTCGCCCTCGAACTCATCTCCTCCACCATCCGTCACCCCTTATTACTACCCGAAGAACTAGAAGCCCAAAAAGATGCGGCGGCCTATGAGATCAGGGAGATTTGGGCGAAACCAGAATTGATCCTGCCTGAAGTCGTGCACACTGTCGCTTTTAAAGACAATACCCTCGGCATGCCGCTCTTATGCCCCGAGTCCCAGCTGGACGTGTTGGGGGAGAAGGAAGTGAGGGGGTTTATGAGGGATTGGTATAGGCCGGAGAGGATGGTCGTTGCTGGTGTCGGTATGCCGCATGAGGAGCTTGTCATGCTGGCTGAGAGGTTCTTTGGCGATATGCCTTCTTCCATTGGTGCTGGTGCTGGTGCGTCGGCCGGTGTGCTGCACCCTGCTACAGGCGGGCAAATACCAGCGGGAAGCAAGTCGTTTGCGACAGCTTCGGCTTTGCCCGTCTCGGACGACTTTGCAGAGCTCGCGCACGCCAGGGCAGAGTACACTGGCGGAGAGCTTTTCATCGAAAAGCCGGAAGACGAGTTTGTGCAGCTTCATATCGGCTTTGAGGGACTTGGGATCCATGACCCGGACATCGTACGTCACCCCTCCCCTCTTCATCTCAATCCACTTTTCTGACTTTAGTAGTACGCTCTGGCGACACTCCAAACCCTCCTCGGCGGCGGCGGCTCCTTCTCCGCCGGCGGCCCCGGCAAAGGCATGTACACCCGCCTCTACACCAAAGTCCTCAACCAATACCACTCGGTCGACTTTTGCTCCGCCTTCCACCACTGCTACGCCGACTCCGGCCTCTTTGGCATCTCTGCCAGCGTCTATCCCCAGTTTGCGGGGCGGATTGTCGATGTGATTGGGGGGCAGCTGCATGCGTTGACGGGGAGCATGTTTGGGGGGATTGATGAGAGGGAAGTGAGGAGGGCGAAGAACATGTTGAAGAGTACGTTGGTGATGGCGTTGGAGAGTCGGTTGACTGCTGTTGAAGGTGAGCCTTTACCTTCTTCCTTTTTGCCCGTGAGTCTTTGCTAACCTGTTACTAGACCTCGGCCGTCAAGTGCAAATACACGGACACAAAGTCCCCGTCGAAGACATGTGCGAAAAGATCGACGCTCTTACCATGGACGACCTCTACCGCACCGCCAACCGCGTCCTCCGACCGGCTTCTGCGTCTTCCCGCTTGAATTACGGATTAGGGTCGGGCAAGGCGACGATTGTGGCACAGGGACCGAACCTTGGGGCTTTGGGGGATGTGAAGGGTGTGCTGAGGGATAGGTGGGCGTTGGGTCTGTGAGGTGGTGGAAGAGTGATCAGAAGGGGGAGGGCGAGAGTATACTTTTAGAGAGTGAAATATTGTATCACTAGTCGTCGAGGTCATATCATGCATTCTAGCAGCTCGCCCATCTACCAAACAGCCAGGTGTTCTCTCGATATAGACACCTCCCATCCAATGATGCCGAGGAAGAGCACCTGCTCGCAGCCGAGGAGCCATGGAATCTCAGTCACAGACATGTCTTGGTGCGCGCCAGTTCAAAAAGATCTAGCAGGATCCGACCATCTCCCACCTTCTCTCTGTCCACTTCCCACTCGCCATATTATCGCAGGCTCACCGGGAATCGGAGAAGAAGGTACTCTACTCTGGAAGAAAGAGATATAGGAGAGGAAGATGAAGACGAAGGATAAGAAGGCGCCTCGGCGTCCTTTGATAGGACATTGCGGTAACGTAGTATTTTTCATCATCAGCCACTAGATAAGATGTGAACTTGAAGGTATGCGCACTGATGGTCCACAAAAGAAATCCAAGAAATGCTGAGTTCTGGGTCGCGATCCTGAGTGGTTTATCATCATGTCGGTGGATCGTTTGTATGTCTTCAACCCTCTCCCAGAGTCAGCGACGGAAATTCAGACAATCATCATGGACCTTTTCAGCGATTTCTCTCAACAAGAGATGGATCATTTGACGTCAAGCTCGAGCGTGAGTCCTTCATCTCATTGCGTTGCCCCCATGACCGTCCCAAGCACGGAGCATACGAAGTGCTGATACAGAACTCCTCGTTATAATACAGTTCCCACTATTCACAGATGACGATCTGAATGTGAATACAGATCGGCCTTCGCAATCCACGCATGAGGGAGACGCAGCTCAACAGGAGGAGGAAGACACATTTCAAGATGACTCGACGATGGCAGTTGTGAACAACACGAGTTGGGATACTTATCAGCCAGCACACAGGCATAGGAGAGGCGATGTGGTTGATTCAAGTGGTATGTCATACTTTCGACGGGCCGAGGATGCGGATTCCAGGCTGACACTATCGTGCACGATCCGCTCTTCAGATCCTATAGATGTCCGCAAGCTGCAAGGCAAGTGAAAAGCTAGAGCCCTATTCAAGGCTGAGAAGAGCACTGGCAGTATTGACACTTGATTTTGTACAGATAGGAAAAGGCAACAGCGTTTTCGGGAGCGGAAAAGGTCATTGCAGTCTGCTATCAACAAGCGCAGTGGGAAACATCCGACTCATAACTTGAGCAAGGTACAAAAAACAAGTGTGAAGGAGCTTGAGAGTCAGCTGGGGTCCCTACTACTGCATAATGTACATGATCTCGGTGAAGAAGGTAGTAAAGTTGCGACTATCGAAGAAAGAGCTGTGGAAGAGGAAGAAGACGAAGAAGAAGCAGAAGGTCAATACGACAATGTCGAGGGAGTATCTCTTGAAGATATGGCACCGCCGGAGAGATTCCATTTCGAGGACTGGGAGAGATTAGGTCAATACGACAATGTCGAGGGAGTATCTCTTGAAGATATGGCACTGCCGGAGAGGTTCCATTTCGAGGACTGGGAGAGAGTACAGAATGACTTAGAGGAGATCTTCCAATCTGCGTGGGACGCAGAAGTCAATGATGCTGCCCCGCCCTAGAAGAGAGATGAATCAGATCTATGTATGTGCGGTGATTCGTAAATGCTTCCAGGAACACGCTCTTGCTTTCGGTCGATGATTTGGCGTCCACTCGCTTGCCACTCGCGGCCTCACGCTCTTGCTTTCGGTCGATGATTTGGCGTCCACTCGCGGCCTCACACGGCACGAAGTGTAGAATGGGATCCCTACCATAGACATCTTATTATGTGGATCAAGTCATATATTGTCCATTTTGTTGTCGTCACAAAGGACGTAAACGATGAGAAGGTTCAGTTCTGATCCTCAAGCAATGTCTCTCACAATGGAAAGTCGCCATAACAGACGCAGATCATTTGAAAAGAGAGAGTTTGTCTGAGTTCAAATCTAGCGCCCTTTGCTCGTCTGGCCGTACTAGCATCGTGTCACGTCTCCTCGATATATCATCAGCTCGTAAAATTCCACCACAGTTAGACGACACCGAAAGATCAAACAATCATGAGCTATCCCGACTCTCAGACGTATCCTTCATCGGAGTATCCAGATTTTCGATTGATGGCGGAGGTGAGTTGGCTATCTACTATACTACACCACATACTCGTCTCGCCTGACACGACCGTGTTCATCGCGGAGCTCGGCATACGCATACTGACTTGAGAAACTTCACCCCAGATTCCGTCCGTCACTGATGACACCATGTCCGATCAGCATACAGATCAGCACGCGCATGTATCGCGTGCCACTACAGCACACGGAGACGAAGAAGAAAGCCGTCCGACTGACTTTTCGAGTGCGGTGGATCCTAGTCGAAGCAATGATTCTCGGTGGAGGTATAGACCGGGGGATACAATAAATATGAGCGGTAAGCGATCGATGCTCCTTGAACGGTCATTGTCGTGCCGCGCAGCTGACCTCGGCGTTCTGCGTGCTGGGTGCAGATCCTAGAGACGTAAAAAGGATGAAAGGCAAGTTAATAGGCTGGAAGGCTTCCCTTCGTATGATGACTGTACCATGTGGGAATGGATGCTGACATAAGGAATGGACGTTTGGTTGTTTACAGACAGGGAAAGGCAAAAAACTCGCCGCAACAAGAAGATTTCACTCCAGACGAGGATAAACACACTCAACGGCTCAGACCCGGGTACTGATTTCAACAGACTACGCAAGACGGGTGTTAAACAGCTTGAGGAGTGTCTGAGGTCTTTGGAAGAGCAACAGCCGCAAGCGCCGGTGGGAGGGAGTAGCAGGCAGGCGGCGACTGAGGCAGGGAGCGATATGGCGATGGAAGTCTTTGAAGAGGAGGGTGTCGGATCCTCGCGAATGGGACAGAGCCTTCCCACTGAGGAGCAAGTGGACTGGGCGGGAATGCAGCAGGGAATTGATGGGATGTTCTATTCTGTTTGGACAGAAGTAGATTAGTAGATTAGTAGGTTTTGGGATGACGGAAGGCAACGACATTTCGGGATGACAACAACGAGGAAGGACTGAGCGCATACACAACGCGTCTCTCGCGTCTATCTGTCTGTGGCAGTTAACTCCCTGCCTAGATAGCTTTCTACAATTGCAACCTTCTTGATCTCCCTGATTCAATTTGATGTTCAGTATGGCATTGCATCGCATTCTACCGGTAAGCTACGGACGTAATACTAGTACATTTGCTGCCCGTTCTTCCTTTTCGCTTTTTCCTTCCCCGCAAGTTACCACTCTACTTCACGCCCTGCAACCTCTCCCACTCCACCAACGCATGCATAGCCAGGGCCTGACCATACGGCATCGGTGTAATAGGAATATCCTTGTAGAACTGTAGGTCCGGGCCCATGCCCGTGCCGAAGGAGACATTGTCGACTTGGCCGTCGGGCTGGATCTGGGCGATGATGCCGGAGAGGGCGGTGTCGGCTGTTTGGCGGTATGAGGGGTGGGCGAGGAGGCCCTGAGGGGGTTTGTCAGCCATCTGGGAGGGGGAAAGTAAGGGAGGGGAAGGGGAGGGAGAGGGGACGTACTTGTCTTATACCCATGTAGATACCAGCTACGAACCCCGCACTCGCGCTCGTCTCCACATAACTAGTAGGGTCCATCAACAACGTATGCCACAACCCCGTCTTCCCATCCTGAAGCTTGACCAAAGCGTCGACTTGGCGCTTCCACACGCTCACGAGGTACTTGTACGTCGGGTGAGAAGCCGGGAGGCGGTCGCCGAGGATGTCGAGCAGCATGGGGATAGCGACAGTGATCCAGCAGTTGCCCCGTGCCCAGAGAGCGTTGGCAAAGTTGTGACCGTCGGAGGAGGAGTTGGGGGTGAATTGCCAGCCGTGGTACCATAGCCCGGTTTTGGGGTCGGCGAGGTATCGGATATGGATGAGGAATTGGTAGAGCGCTTCGTCGATGTAGTCTTGGCGCTTGTAGAGGACACCGATTTTGGCGAGGGGGATGGCGGACATCATGAGGGTGTCGTCCCACATTTGCTGGGAGTGGTCGGCTATATACGTCACTGTGAAAAGTCAGCTTCCGCACACCGAGCGAGAAGAGGAGGAGCGTACTGTGCTGGAACCCATTGTCTTCCGTCCTTTTCAATCCGCCATTCGCGATCCATTCAGCCCACTCGTGGATCTGCCCATCCCACTTGTTGTCCGCCATCCTGCCGTCTTCGACGAAACAGGCGAGAGAGTAGAAGGGGGACATGGTGTTGATGTTTTTGGGCGCGCCTTTGCCGTTGGTTCGTTTCCATTGGGATTCGAACCAGTCGAGGGCGACTTGGAGGGATTTTTTGGATGCGGGGGAGGAGGAGTCGATGGCTGAGTGCTGGATGGTGCTGTTAGCATAGCTCGTGGAGGGGGGAGAGGTGGTCTTACATGGCAGAGGGCGGTGAGGGCGATACCGTGCGTCCACTCCCACGAAAAAGCAACAGGATGCTCCCAGCCCTTCGTATCAACCAGAGTACCATCCTCCACTACGCCATTCCCATCAGCCACCCGGTAAAGCACATGGAGAAGAAAGACGCACGCTTCAAGAGAAATGTGCCATCGACATCCTCGATACTCACCAGCCCATCTGTAAGCAGGCTGATGAGCTCTGTAGCTTTCTTGGTGTCGAGGTCGAGGGCGGGTGGGTGGGACATGACGAGAAGTAGTTGGAAGTGGGATGGGATGCGGTAGGATGCAGCTGATATATAGAGCGAGAACTCGCCGGGTTCTCGGTCACCCGGGGCCGGCACCGGTCGGCATAACAAAGAGCCGAGATCTCGCGCCTGATTTTTCACTTACTTTTCCAGCGGGTCGAGGTTACTCTGGCTCATGTAATACGTGCAACATGGTATGGTGGGCATAGGGCGCCCACGCGACTGATTCAAAATGCCGGTTCAGATCTTCTATCTTCGCGGGACTAATCACAGCGGGTAATGTTGAAAAGTACCCGTCGGTATATCAGACTATCTCAAGCTCTCCACTAAGCTCCATCACATGATCCCGATAACTTCTTTATCGACCAGGTTTCCCATGTGCACCCTACATGGCCACCACTGTGATGAAAGCAGACCAGCCATCTCCTTCTTCGCGCCATCTCAATCCTTCGCTTACGTCGAGTGCGCTTGGCACCCTTTGATAGGATGTCATGGCAGAATGGTACTTTTCATCAGCCGCTTAACGAGGGGATGTCGTATCTCAGAACCGATGACTCACTAACGAAGTGCACAAAAGAAGGAAGATCAGATGAATGGAGCGCTCTGGATCCCGATATGGCACCCATTGGCCGCCTTCTATGCGTCCCCGTGAGATGACCGACTGTCACACGTAGTAATTCCCTGACCCTGCTGTATCCCAGCTCGGCCGTGACACCGACCCTTACTTGCAAATGCATATAAATACCATTGCCATTGTAGACTACAGAAAACAAACTGCTGGACCAACCATTATGGACTCTTTCTCCACTAACTCTCAACAAGGTTCGATGTCGAACTGGGGCGTAAGTCCTTCATGTTCATCAACCCGTCTCTGTGGTATACGAAGTGCTGATACAGAACAGGAATCACAGGCTCCACCATTCACAGATGCTTCAAATACACAGCAACATTCATTTCTGATGCAAAATTCAGAGGTGTAAGTCGCAGTGCCAGATGGCTCGACCATCATGTTTGTGGACAGTACGAGTCTGTCTTCGTACTGATTTGCTCCGGCACAGGACAGGCATTGCGGTGACTTTCAACAGTATGTCATGCTGCTAGCGCGCCGAGGGTTGATGGTATCGTGCTCACTTCGTTCATCAGCTCCGGAGGATATTCGCAAGAAAAAGCGCAAGTGACAAGTCAGAGTCTTACAAAAGAAGCGTGTACTAACTATTATGATGGGGGTTTGATATAATGCAGACAGGGAAAAAACTCAAAATTACCGAGCCAAGAAAAAGGAACTGCAGCGTCAGATCGACGAGCTTAGTGGAACTAAGACTCGCACTTTTAGTGAACTACAAGACACGAGTCTTGGAGCTCTTCGGATTGAGCTGGAGAAACTACAATTACAGTCGTATGGCGGCGTAAGTCCTTCATGTTCATCAACCCGTCTCTGTGGTA